CCAATGGGACGGCCTGCATCCGGCTCCGGCTGCAGGGGAAAGCATGTGTCCATCAGCCAGATGTGCCAAGTCTGGTTGTGCCTCCCTACCAGGAGGCATCCTCAGGCTGTATCCATATGCAGGTATCCACCCTGACTTTGACACACGTTCGGGCAAACTGGCTGCGCCCACTGCTTGACTCGCTATCCCGCTCTCAACTTGACAGCCTCGTCGTCTGCTGGTCCAGGCCACAGACCAGGCCGCAGACCTGGCCGCAGCGGCTCGCATCGCTGCCCGAGACATTGTCTCACTCGTCTAATCGTACGTCTCGAGTGCATACGCCCTGTATGGCTCCGGTACGAGGCAACAGAGCAAACACGACAAACACGACAAGCAGAACGGCAGCAGACAAGGGGTGTGCATAGAACAGACGACCTTCCTTGCCGGTGGAACCCAGGCAGACAGCCTGGCACCAAATCCAGACCTCCACGTCGTATCGCTGCGGACGTCTGACAAGTTTCGGTGCCATGTTCAATCGCTGTATACTCCGTACCTTGCTGGAGTCGCCCTACACTTAGCAGCCGGACGCGCTATAGCCGACATCTGGCTTAGTGGGCTCGGCACTACAGCGCGGGTGAATTACAGGGACTTTAGGGACTTGCGGGCCTAACCGCATCATGCTCGATCACCTGATTGTTCTGCTGGACACCGGCATTTATCTCACACCCACAGCAAGGTCGTAAGATGCTTGTGATAAGACCAGCGACAGCAATGCACCTGGTGAGCTGTTTCGGCCCGCGTATCACTCGTACTCGTGGGAACAAGAAATTAGCCATTTGCTTTTCTCTGCTCTTATTTAAAAACGACCAGTTCGAATAAGACCACAGCACCACGGCCCTTGCAACGCCATTGCCTGAAACAGGGAGCATAGTTCGAGACTGTTCGGATTGTGAACGATTCGTGACCGTGTGTTGCTCTTTTTACCTTGCAGCACCATTACACCGAACTTTCGGCGTCGTCATCTACCCGCTTTGGCCAGAAAAGGACCGATCTGCTTGCATCTTCCGTCAAGCTCGTTGGCTCAACTGTCACGAGGTTTTCGGTTGGTGATACCTCCCCTTTCCGCAATGATGACCGGTTTTCTGGCCTTCCCATGCGTCTCTCACCGTCTTCATTCTACGACGTAGATTGTTTTTTACGGTCATAAGATTAGGTTACTCGTATGCTATTTCCCCATCTATGCGAGAATGGCCGCATCGCACACGCTACGACTGGACGACAACAGTATCCATGGGCAGCTGCCTCCGGACGTCCATGCTCGTTGCCGATCCATGCTACTCTGTACAAGAGACGTGTACGAGAACGGCGGGTCCGTGTGAGCCAGGCTCCTGATCCTTGAAGGCGGTGAAAGGCCGCGGTTAGAGCCCACCGACCTCAAGGCTGGCCCTCTCCTTCCGAGCACACGATACTCGCAGGAAGCCCAATTCCGCATCGTGCCCGACGCCCTCGTATACGCACGCATCGTCGCCGACGGGGCTGGTGCTTGTGCTCGCAGCCGCACTCACTGTGTATCGAAGGGCGAGCTTTCGTTTCCGGTACGGAGAGGCCGCTCTCTACAGAGCACGGAGTACGAGGACACACTGGCCCGGGCAGAGCAGCTTCACTCCGTTGTATCCAATCGGTCGGGACAGCCACGCCTTGGATCCACCCGACAAGGCCCCAGGAGGAGAAAATAAGGGGACGGATTGCTCTTGGCCGGGAACGTTTGGGTGGAACCCTGCCCCTTTTTTCTGGGACCTTGTCGCCAGAACAGCTGCCAGGATGCACGCATGTAAGATACGATACTCGTACTCCGTACATAGTAGGCTACAACGGCACGAGACAGACGTTGCTGGAAGAGTACGGGCAAGCAGGTATCTTACTATGTGCAAACAACCGCCGTACCACAGCGTATGTAGGGGTGCTCGCTTGCTTTCCGACGTCTTCATTCGCAGATCTCCTCCCCCTTCATCTGGACGCTAGCAAGGTTGCAGACTCCATCCAAAGGAGGACATGGCACGCTGCAAGCCCCAGAGGAGGCGACCGTTGCTGCCGGCAGCGATCCGGCTGTCCCGTCCACCTGTCCCTAGCCTCACGGAAGGCAAGAATTGCCAGTAGCGTTCATCGTACTTTGTACGAGCATGCAGCAGTTTCATCGGCGATCAAATATACCGGCTGTTTGATCCCTGGTGCGGAGTACTCGTACACAGTACGGAGTACTTACGATACATACATAGTAACGGACCAGGGCTCGGAAAGCGTTCCGCTTCCTGCAGCTCCACCCTGCCTTCTCGTGGCTCTGTTCTCGGCTTGGGTGACATGGCGCCTACCAAACGACTCGCTCACTAATTTCAATAGTAAATCCCTTTTCTGTTTGGAAACGACGCTGAAAGACACCTGGACGTCGTATTATTTACCGAGGGACAAAATGCCCCTCTCTTCTTTCGCTGTCCTGCACCTTCTGGCCGGTACGCCATGCCGGAAACAGCTCGCAGGCTTCACGGATAGAAAGCCGTTTATGCTAATTCCAGTTTTCTTAGTGTCTGTTTCCACCGAGTCGCTCCTTGCTCACACCCCTCCCCCTCACCCTTTTCTGGACACATGCCAGTAATTACGTACTCGTACTCAGTATCGTACTAGCATTACTGCTCTCAAGGCTCCCTGTCCTCTTCTGCTGTCCATGCGACGGATTCTTCATATTTAGGGGCTCTTTGGCCATATGACCGCCATAGCTGTTTTTTATTTGTAGCTTGCAATTTCATGTTGAGGACCCTGTGCTCCATAACGTTCTACTAATTGTCCACCCATTCGAATTGTTCTACGGTCGTTCCGGTCCCGCTCCCCATGGGCATCGAAGTGAGCTGTCACTTTGCTACTTTAGCTTCCCGCTTTCGCTTCGCCTTACCGCCAGAACGCGACGGAGTACTCCGTACGATATATGCCAGGTGTCAAAACAGCAGTCCCCGGAAAGGCGGCGGAGTATGCTCTCGTAGTATGATCATGTAATGAACATGGCAATACAAATCAAATCATGAAGATGCTGCCTGTATGTCTCCTGCCACCCTTTCTATTGTGGACTGTGGCTCGACCAGGACATGGACCTCGGCCTGGGCCTTGGCTTGCAAGGTATACCCCGGCAGATAGAGGGCGCATAAACCATCCCACGAAGCACTCCGGAGATGTCGGACACGCTTCAAGCCAGATACTACATTGGCTTTGTGACTGTTTGAAGAATCCCCATCGCAACAATGTGTCCATACGTGTCGGTATATGCAGGCGTACGCGTCCATGTTCGAGTACGGGTCGACTGAATGCGTGTACGGACAGCTTCACGGCAGATTCCTCGTCGGATGCTATGCACATCGCCACCACTGCAGCTTCGCTGGACACGTACGAGTATTTGCAAAATTGCCCTCGCCACATCTCGCGAGACGACGGCTACAGTGTGAAGTCACAGCGCACGCAGACGATTCTGAGCTGTCTGGCTTGGAGTTTCGGGTGGTTTGATGTGCAGCTGGCATTCTGCCTGTAGAGAGATCTGGGCCAGATGCATCGTAGGTGGCTGTGTTATGGACGTAACTATCAGCACTCGTAGTGTCGGTAAATGTAGCTGGACGGTGCAGTTGTTTCCATGGTACTGTTGTCACCGGAGACCTCTTTTGTCAAAGAAAGGTAGCAGATCGTGGGCAGATATGATCTAGAAAATACGCTTCTTTGGATGATCTACCGTAGCTGTAACGTTGATTACCAATCTTTTTCAGAGACATCTTGTGATCCGGAGCCAACAAAGACTGAAAAGGCCTTACTCGCATACGCGATGGAAGACGGTTTAGTGCCATATAACATAACATAGATTTTCTTCTCCTGTCTTCTTTAGACTTTTGAGCATCCATTCCCAGTCTGCGGAATATTGTAAGACTGGGCACGTGGATGTCCGGTGATTTAATAGTCTCCGCTACCAGTCTCGCATCTTTGGATAGTGACTCAGATGGCCGAAGCCGAAGCCGAAGCCTATTTGATACAAATATGTGATCCAAGTGCAACCTTTGTTCAGCCATGAGAGGGGCTAGAGGGTATGCTTTTGTCTTATAGCAGACACAGCAGTCATTTGTGTGCCGTCTTTCAGTTATACTACTCGAACTCATAAATCGTCAGTTCTCACAAAACTTTTATTTTCAGGAGCACACCTTGATATCCTATCCCCCAAAAGCTTATGTTCCCCGACAAGAAAACAATTGTGTGCTTCACAACAATTGTTCCAGCTCAATTGGTGTTGTGTATTAGATCTGCCTTTACGTATGTGTGAAATACAATACATAATATGCTGTTTTAGTTGGCAAATATTATCCCATAGATAAACTTAGTTTTTCTTTAAAGGCAACAAGTCATGCAAACACTATCTATATAAGACTAAAAGATTATAATATATTAAACTCCCCAGCTTATGACTGGAAGAGCTAAACTAATTATTTTTGTCTAGACAAAGATAGTCCAATCTTTAATACGAGTAGATTCTCATACCATGCTGGAGCGACAATTCAGCTCGATTCTTTACAATAAGATTTTCAACATATTTTGTTACTGTCTTAAAAGTGAACATTTCAATGACATCGCCCTTTTTACATCAGCAACAAATCTAGCAAGCATAACACTACGGCATTCCACAATGAGGCAGTAGCAATTGACAACATCTCAGGGAAAAGTGTAAGCCTAAAAAGAGGCCCTAACAGTTTCGAAATTCCTATGATGTAGGTAGAGCTGATCCAGCGGACTGGCAGACGGCCTTTGTGGTGAAATGGCTGGAAATCGGGATAATTATAGTGGGGCGCTCTGCGGCCAGCTGTCAGGCACCTTTGCCAAAGTGGGCGATCTTCCCCGCCAGAATCCAAAGCCACACGTATCGGCAACAACTCTACACGGCAACGTCGGCCATCAGCACACGCACACCATCCCGAGCAAGTCCCGTCTGCAGATTGCCCGCCATGTCTATCATCCAGCAGGTGTCGGATTCGTCGTTCAGCGATGCCTGGCGCACGATCAACATCGATGCCCTCGAGGAGGACAGCCCATACAACTTTGACACGTCCATCATGCGGCCGCCCGTGGCCGAGATCAGCGAGGCCGAGGTGCGTCAGCTGTCCAGCCAGGTGCGACAGCTGCTGCGTGCGGGCGACAACGACGGCGCCCTGCGCGGCTGTTTGGAGATGCCGGTCTATGCCGGCTCCGACGCGGCCAAGGAGGCGGCGATGCAGACGGTTGTCGAGGTGCTGCAGTCGATCAAGGCGAGCGAGATGAACCCGCTGTTGTCGCGGCTGTACGCGTCGGAGAACGGCAGCGAGCTGCTGGATGTGCTGATGAAGTACCTGTGCGTGTGTCTTTTTGGATGCCATTGGTGGGAGCCGGTGTGTATGGCACGGCCATTGCTGACCCCTTTACCCTACAGATACAAGGGCATGGCCTCTTCGGCGGCACCGGCTAGCAGCGGACCGCGCACTCCGACTCGCGGTATCACGCCGCAGCAGACGGGCTTCAGCCAGATGAGCGGACGACCGGGTGGTATGAACGATAACTCGGCCGGTGGCATGAGCGTGTTGCTCAGCTGGCACGAAAAGGTGGTGGAGGTGGCCGGGGTCGGAAGCATACAGCGCACGATGACCGACTGGCGGAGGGTGTGAAGAGACTACAGAGGATACGCGGATATTACAAAAAGCCACAGAGGGGAGAGGAGAAGCATTGCCGCCTTTTTGCTGTTATCTAGGAGAGGGGAGGAGGGGACGGTACTTTTGGCGCCGGGTTGCACTTGTTTCCAGGAGGTTAGCTATAGACAGGAGACGGATCCGCTGCTGCCTTGTATCTGCTGCGTTAATTTATCTGTGTCCCAATCTCTACACAGGCCGAGAAGGGCGATATATACGTATGGTTCGTTATATTCATTTTCATTTTCATTTTATTTCTTTATTATGTTGTTTCACCTTGACTATTTCTGCTCGAGAATGTCCTTGAGGTTGACCTGACCGCTGCCGCGAGCCAGCGGCTTCGGCTGGTTGTCAGACGGGTGCCAGCCGATCATGTAGATGATGCGAAAGGTGGCCGGGATAGAGCCATCAGGGTTGCCGTGCAGGGCGCGGTAGATGGCGTCACCGGCGAGCAGGACGTCGCGGCCGATGGGGCCCATCTCGCGACCGAGGATGGCGCTGCTCTCGCCCATAGCCTGCAGGTCGGCCATGAGGGCAAAGCTGTCGGGGTAGTCGACCACGATGTCCTCGACGTCGACTGTGAGCATGTTGAAGCCGGCGCGCTGCATGAGTCCGCCGACATCGCGCACGTCGGCCAGCGGCGACACGTGTGGCGACAGTCCGCCGCGGCGTTCCTGCTCGGCCAGCTGCAGCGACGTGCGCAGCTCAAAGAGCGAGTCGCCGCCGAGCATCGCGCCCAGAAACGGGCAGTCCGGCCGGAGCAGCCGGTTGATCTGCGTCAGAGCCCCCGGCAGGTCGTTGATCCAGTGCAAGCTCAGGCTGCTGAGCACGAGATCGTACGATCCCGGCACGAACGGAGCCGTGGCCGCGTTCTCGGCGCCCGGAATGCCCGAAGTGTCCGAGACGCTGATGTTGGCCCCGGCCGCCTCCTCCTCCTCGACGCTCATCACGTGACGCGACATCGACAGCGCCTTGTTAAACGGCAGCTCGACGTCGCGGAATAGCAGCGTTGGCGACGACTCGGCCGCCGTCAGATGGCCAATGTGCGTCGCCAGCGCCGGCGATGTCGGCTGTGCCGGGTCCGGATCGGGGTTCGGTCGCACCAGCGCCCGCGCAATGTTGCACGAGTTGGCCCCAAAGTCGAGGGCGCGGGGAAAGGTTCGCTTGATATCCAGAAGCCTCTCACACAGCCGGAAGGCCACCTCGTCCTTGAGGTAGTCGGTCTGTCGGCTCGTCTCGACGTCGGCGGCTGCTCGCTCCTTCTGGAGCCACTTGGCCCGCCGGCTAAAGACCTCAAATACGGGCTTCCCCCCTGCCTGTGATGCATAGCCACGACGTGCGCGCCGGCCTGTAGCTGCTGCCGGAAGCACGTCCCAATGGGTGGACAAACGGGCGCTGGTGGGTGTCATGCATGCTGGCCGGACTGGCCGTGTCCAAACCGTCGTGGCTGCATGGCGCAGAAGACGGAGCGTCCACATTCTAGGTGCGTTCTCCTCGTCCTGGAAAGAGAGGCGGGTCCCTATTCCATGACTGCTGTTGAAGCTGGTCGACAACAAGAGAGAGGATTGGAAAAGAATTGTCAGCCACACGCAGCACAGCCACACGACAGGGTGATTAGGGGCCACACCACCTAAAGGGTGAAAAGGAGGCGGCGCTAACGCCAAAAGAAGAAAGAAAAAAACGTGCAGCCAGCAGGACGGCAAGTCGCGGGGATCAGACCTCTGTTCAGGCGGCGAGAGACGCACTGCAGCTGTTTAGTTTAGTGCGTCGCTATTTACCGTCTCCTCGTCTGCTCTCTTCCTTACCGCCACCACCACACTGTGATTTTGCGACGGCAGAAAGCCACGCTGCCTGTTCGTGTCCAATCTGGCATTCTTTCCGACGACTTGTTCAAGCAATCGATCCGCTGGCCGTTTCTCCGCCCTGCTCATCTCCGATTTCTCGTCCCGACCGCTTTCTTTCGGAGCTCGACCTCCGCTCTTTCCGGCCGAACTTGGATGCTTGTGCGAGGCATCAACGGCTCCCACATGGAGTGATACGATCTCGGCAGACGTATCTGACCATTAAACCTTTCCCACACACACGCATACACTACCACCACCGCTGCAGCCATGTCGTCCTCGGCCGGCGGCTTCCTGGGCCGGTCGAGCACCAGCAACTCCAACATGCGCGGCCTGGTGCAGTTCATTGCCGACCTGCGGAATGCCCGGGCCCGCGAGCTGGAGGAGAAGCGCATCAACAAGGAGCTGGCCAACATCCGGCAGAAGTTCAAAGGTGGGCAACACTGTCTTACACTGCGTCTCTTTGGGAGCCGGATCTAACCGTGATTTCGCGTGCAGATGGCAATCTCAACGGATACCACAAGAAGAAATACGTGTGCAAGGTGAGGCGATCGGGCGGCCAGGATGGAAGGATTGAGAGCCACCAGTTTGCTGACACTGCGGGCGACAGCTTCTCTACATTTACATACTTGGCTGGAACGTCGACTTTGGCCACCTCGAGGCCGTCAATCTGATCTCGGCCAACAAGTATTCGGAAAAGCAGATTGGCTACCTGGCCATGACGCTCTTCCTGCACGAGAAGCACGAGCTGCTCCACCTGGTGGTCAACAGCATACGCAAAGATTTGCTCGACCACAACGAGCTGTTCAACTGCCTGGCCCTGCATGCCATTGCCAACATTGGCAGCCGTGAGATGGGCGAGGCCCTGAGCGGGGAGGTGCACCGGCTTCTGATCTCGCCGTGAGTTTTTTTTTTCTTTTCTTGGGTTTTTGTTGCCTTTTCCTCTGTATATTTTACCTTTCGTATTGACCGACATGCCCAGAACGTCCAAATCGTTTGTCAAGAAAAAGGCAGCACTCACTCTGCTGCGGCTGTACCGCAAGTTTCCCGACGTGATGCAGCCGCAATGGACGGAACGAATCATCTCGTTGCTGGACGACGTGGACCTCGGGGTGGCGCTGTCGGTGACGTCGCTGGTGATGGCGCTGGCGCAGGACAACCAGGAGCAGTACAAGGGGGCGTACGTCAAGGGGGCCGCGCGACTGAAGCGGATCGTAGTGGACGGCGAGTACACGGTGGACTACCTTTACTACAAGGTGCCGTGCCCGTGGATCCAGATCAAGTTGCTGCGGCTGCTGCAGTACTTCCCGCCGTCGGAGGACAGCCACGTGCGAGAGATGATCCGGGAGTCGCTGCAGAAGATCCTCAATCAGGCGATGGAGACGAACAAGAACGTGCAGCAGAACAACGCACAGAACGCGGTTCTGTTCGAGGCGATCAACCTGATCATCCACCTGGACACGGAGCAGGCGCTGATGCAGCAGATCTCGACGCGGCTAGGCAAGTTCATCCAGTCACGCGAGACGAACGTGCGGTACCTCGGACTGGAGGCGATGACGCACCTGGCGGCGCGGACAGACACGCTGGACCCGATCAAGCAGCACCAGGACATCATCGTGGGCTCGCTGCGGGACCGAGACATCAGCGTGCGGCGCAAGGGCCTAGACCTGCTGTACAGCATGTGCGACGGGACAAACGCACAGCAGATCGTGGGCGAGCTGCTGCACTACCTGCAGAACGCGGACTTTGCGATCCGCGAGGAGATGGTGCTGAAGATTGCGATCCTGACGGAGAAGTACGCGGCCGACGTGCAGTGGTACGTGGACATTACGCTGCGGCTGATCGCGATGGCAGGCGACCATGTGAGCGACGAGGTGTGGCAGCGGGTGACGCAGATTGTGACGAACAACGAGGAGCTGCAGGTGTACGCAGCCAAGAACAGCCTGATGTACGTGAAGCAGGACCACTGCCACGAGACGCTGGTGCGTATTGGGGCGTACATCCTGGGGGAGTTTGGGCACCTGATCGCGGAGGAGCGAGGGTGTAGTCCGATCGAGCAGTTCCTGGCGCTGCACGGCAAAGTGCCGGCATGTTCGGCGGGCACGCGGGCGATGATCTTGTCGTGCTTTGTCAAGTTTGTGAACCTGTTTCCGGAGATCAAGCCGCAGCTGGTGCAGGTGTTTGAGGTGTTCAGCCACGCGCTGGACTCGGAGCTGCAGCAGCGGGCGTGCGAGTACCTGGCACTGGTCAACCGGCAGACAGACGATCTGCTGCGGACGGTGCTGGACGAGATGCCACCGTTCCCAGAGCGGCAGTCGGCGCTGCTGTCGCGGCTGCACCAGAAGCACGCGAACACGAGCGACAAGCGGACATGGGTGTTGGGCGGTAAGGACGCCAACACGGACTCTACCGAGCTGGGCATGGTCAAGAACCCGGGTCTGAAGCGGGCCTTTAGCGTGAACGAGCAGGGCGGAAACGGGGGCAGCTTGAGCAGCAATGGGACGGGCAACGGGACCAGCAACGGAAACGCGACAGCGAGCAGCGGAAACGGAGCTGGAAGCGGCAACAGCAACGGCAACAGCACGCAGCAACAGCAGCACAAGGCAGCTCACGACCTGATGGGCATCGACATGCAGGCGATGCCAATAACAGCGGCCAAGGTGCCGAACCTGGCGAGTGCGGCACACCTGTCGCCGGGCTGGGAGCGAGGCTACAACCGGCTGCTGCTGCGAGCAGACGGCATCCTGTTTGAAGACGGCCAGCTGCAGGTGGGCGTGCGGTCGGAGTACCGGGGCCAGATGGCGTGTCTGATCCTGTACTTCAGCAACAAGACGCCGGCGACGGTGACGTCTTTCACGACGACGCTGGACCTGGACGCGAGCGAGAAGGGGCGGCTGACGTGGGATGTCAAGACGATGGCAGACGCCAGCATCGGATCCTCGGCGCAGACGCAACAGGTCGTCATGTTTGAGGCGCGACGAGTGTTTGAGAAGAGTCCGACGATCCGGATCAGCTACCTGGCCGGCGCGCTGCAGGCGATCACGCTGAAGCTGCCACTGACGGCGCACAAGTTCATGGACCCGACGCAACTGACCGGCGACGACTTCTTCAAGCGGTGGAAGCAGATCGGCGGCGCGCCTCGGGAGGCCCAGCAGATCTTTGGGCTGGAGGGTGGTGGTGGCGGCGGCCAGCGCGAGCTGACCGCGTCCTTTATCCGAAAGACGCTCGAGGGCTTCCGCTGGGGACTGCTGGACAATGTCGACCCGAACCAGAAGAACTTTGTGGGCGCCAGCGTGGTGCACACATCCGAAGGCGGCAAGTTTGGTTGTCTGATGCGGCTGGAGCCAAACTACACGACGCAGGTGGGTTTTTTTTTGGATTTTCTCTTTCTTTTCGTCTTTTTTTCCTTTTATTCCGACCGTTCTGACAAGCAGATGATCCGCTTCACCATCCGGGCCACCGACGAGTCTGTGCCACCGGTGATGCTCAAGCTGATGCAGAGCCGGCTGGCCCAAGGTGTATCGCCCTATACAGAGTCGGCACGCCAGCCGACCCAGCGAGACATCTCCGACATGTTTGGCAACGTCCTGGTGTCGCCCGACGACAGCCGCTAGGAAGCGGCCGCAGGGTGGCAGCAGGCGGAGGTGCAGGATGCAGTGGTAGTGGTGGCGATCGGAAATGGACAACCAGATGATGCAGACGGCAGGAATAGCCCACAGCCACAGTCACAGCCACAGTCACAGCCACAGCAGCCGTCCAGTCCGAGCTGCTTCTTGTAGCCGCATGCTTTATTTACACCTAGTTCACGTCTTTACATGTTTCCTAAGTCTGCCTTTATGTTTCTTTTTCGGCACCTTGGCACTTTGTCCCGTCCATCTATCTGGTCGGCATCGTTTGGGTTTCTCTTTTTGATATCGCATCATTGCCGGGGCTTTATCTGGTCATTTTAGCCTTTGTTACCACCCCGTTGGGAGAAGTATGCACGTTTCAGGCGTCTGCTGTTTTGAATGTCTGTCGTAGGATGTCTGTGCGTTGCTCCGATCCGCCTACACTGTCAGCTTTGCCTCTGCCTTGGGCGGCCGCAGTCCGAAGATGGTGCTGCCGACACGAACTTCGCCGCTGCCGGACGTGATGGCGCCGACAAAGTCGTCGCTCATGCCCATGCTGAGCTCGAGCGGTCCGGCCGCTGGCTGGTCCGTCGTGGACGTGGACATTGGCAGGGCCGCCTGCACGAGGTCGCGCTGTTCCCGGAGCGCGACAAAGTCGGGGTTCTCGATGCCGGCAGCGGCCGCGTCCGCGTCGGTGGCTCGACTGCGCGCGATGGCGCCGATCGTCATGAGGCCGAGCAGCCGCAGGTGCGGGCACTCGTCGACGATGGTGCGGCACAGCGCCACGGTGTCGTCGCCGGGCGCACAGCCCGACTTGCTCTCCTCGCCGGACGTGTTCACCTGGACGTGCACGTGGATGGGCGGCAGGACAGACGATGACGACGATGATGACAATGTCTGCTGCTCCCGGACAAAGGCGGCTCGAGCGGCTTCCAGCAGCTTGGCCTTCTTGGCCGAGTCGATGCTGGAGACGCACCACAAATTGGGGATGCGGGCGAGGCCCTTGCAGTGGCCTATCTCATGTCAGCATGAGAGGATGGGAAGAACAGAGGATGAGATGCTAAAAAGTAAAGAAGCGGAAGAAAAGAAAAGATCTCAATCTCACCCGACTGCAAGCCACCGATAAAGTGCCATTGGATGCTACGTGGCAGCAGTACCGCCTTGTCGCGCAGCTCCTGCGCATAGTTCTCGCCAAAATGCACCTGTTTGGCCGGGCCCTCGTGCAGGGCCACGATGTCGTTGGCCGGCTTGAGTTTGCTGACGGCGACGAGCCGGACGGGACTGAGACGTGAGCAAGCGAGCCGAGACTTGGACAGAGCGAGCGAGCTGAGAAGACGAGGGAAAGGAACTTACCGGCCCGCGGCTGCTGCAGCTATCCGCTCCTGCACGGCCTGGATGTTGGCGGCCAGGACGGCAGCTCGTGCAGGATCGACTCTCATGGCGGCGGCGTCGTCTTGGACACCCATCTCCAGTCTCTGGCTGGCGTGACGTTCTCTTTGCGGACGTTTGTCTGGCTTCTGGGTGATTTTCGCGTCAAGGCCTCGTCTCTTTCCTCATCTGCACACGAGCTGCTCCAAAAATATCGACATGTTGCTAAAGCAAAGACCATACAGTGCGTATACAGTGCATCTATACATATACACGGCTATCGTAGACACCAGCAAAGCTGCAGAGCCACATACTTCGTCTCTATTTCTCTACCCGAATGGGGCTGCCAGAACAGGCCGTGTCGCCAACGTTCCTATATGTACACAAAACTGCAAGACATGCTGAAGAGGACGCGAAGAGACCGTCTCAAAAAGAAGAAATGCAGAAACACACGGATAGTCAGCACACACATACCGCCACAAAAACTCCGCCATGCAAACCCATCCCATGGATGTCTTTTTTCAACTGCAGCATTGTCTGAGGAAAGCGACATTCGTATTCATACACCAGCAACTCCTTGGACCCGGCTTCCTGCCGGGCTTTTTTGGTCATTTGGCTGTGCCGGTCTTCGGCTTGTCAGCTTAGTTGTCAGCCAGCTTTGTCAGCCACGGTTGTCAGCCAGCTTGTCAGCTCGTCAGTCTGGCTTGTCAGCCTGTCAGCCAGCCGGGCAGCTCTCAAGCAGCCAGCTCTCAGCCTATCGGCTTGTCGACCTGTGGGCTAAGAGGACTCTTGGCCGGCCTGGCTGCCCGCCTTAGCGTCCGGAGTTCATCCTCGAGCTTCCGTCTCAGTGCCAGTTCGCTCTGTGATTACGTCAGCATAAACATCAAAACGCCATCCCATACAACTTCACAACACAACCACACCACAACAACTTACTCGTAGCTCCTCCTGGAATTTCTTCCGCTCTTCCTTCATCGTCGCCCGGAATTGGTCGCTCAGCAGGCTGGCTCCAGCCCGCGTGCCGCCGCCACCGCCGCCGCCATTGCTGACAACCTTGAGCCTCTCGACATCGAGCTGCTCCTTGAGCTCAGTCACCTCGACGTCCAGCTTCTCGCGCAATGCCCGCGCCTCAGCCTCGAGTGTCGCCCGTGCTGCCAACGCTTCGTCCAGCTGGCCCTCTAGGTCGACCTTTTCGCGCTCGGCTGCCACCGAGTCTCGCGTCAGGTCCTCGTACTCCTTCAACGTTCCGGCCAGCTCTTCCTTCAGGCCGGCTAGCTGCTCTTGCAGCGCCTCGTCTGCTGACGATTTGGCCAGCGCTGCCACGTCCGCCGCCCGTTGCCGCCGAGACCCATACGCCCCGTCCAGCTCTGCCTTGGCAATCGTCGCCTCCGTCTTCAGCTCCACCACCATGTCGTTGAGCCGCTCCAGCTCCTCTTCCTTGCCCTGCACCTCGCGTCTCGCCCGCTCTGCTGCCTCCTGTGCCTCCTGCAGCTGCAGCTGCAGCTGCCGTGTCGTCTCCTCAGCTTGCTGCACTGCCTTTTGCGACTGCTGCGACTGCTGGCCAAGGTCTGCCAGCTCTGTATGCTGGGCCTGCTGGGCCTGTTGGGCCGCCTGCAATGCCTGCTGTGCTTCCTGCGCCTGTTGGGCTGCCTGCTGCGATGCTAGCCGTGCTGCCTCTTGTGCTTGCTGGGCCTGCTGTTGGGCTTGCTCTGCCGCCTCTTTGGCTTCTGCTTCGGCCTTTCGTGCCGCCTGCTCTGCCCCGGCTGCCTCCTGCAGCTGTGTCGCGATCTCGGCCACGTCTGCCTGAGCTGCCGTCAATGCCTGTTGCAGCTCTGTGCCGCGAGCCTCCAGTGCTGCCACCCGGTTGTCTCGCTCGACTAGCTGCTCCTGCACACCCTCCGTCGCCGCTGATGCCTCAGTGTGCTCGAGGAGCTGCTGCTGCAACACGTTCAGGTCCGTCAGCGCCCGTGCCAGCTCGTCCTGTGCTGTCTCAGTCGCCTGCCGCGCCTCCTCGACCTGCATCTCCTTGTTGCGCAGCTCCTCATCCTTCTGTGCATCCGACTTGTTGTTGAGCTCCCGCTGCTGCTTGACCTGCCGCTTCAGCACCGACTTGTGTTCCCGCAGCTTCGTCGTTTGCTCGTGCAGCCACTGCACCTCTGCCGAAAACGCCTCCAGCGAGTACGGCTCGTCCACGCCCATCGGTGACTCGTCGCCCGATACGTCCTCGTCGCCGTCGTCTGCTACCATGCCTCGCTGCGCCTGTAACGCCTTTCGCTCTGCTCGCTGCCGCTGCAGCTCCACCAGCCCGGTCTGCATGATGTCCCAGAGTCCGCTCAGCACCGTGTTGATCCGCTCTGTCGATTCCTGCTCGGTCTGCCGAGTGACCGACGCATCTCCCGCCCGCCCCATTTCCGACTCCAGCACCGGTATAGCTCCCTGCAGCCAATTTATCTGCTCGTCGACACCCGCCTCCGCTCCTCCTTCCGAGTCTGTGCTGTAAATGGCCGGCACCGGAGCGAGGCTGCTGTCGTCATCGTCGCCGCCGCTCTTGACCGACAGCATCTGCTGAATCTGCCCGTTGATCGCGGCCATCTGCTCTTCGATCTGCTGGAACAGCGCCTCTGACTTGGTCAGTCTTGCGTTCGCTGACACCAGCCTCTCCCGTTCGCCCTCTATCGTCTGTAGAGTTTCGTCCAAGTACTGCAGCTGGTCGATCAGCCCAGCACCCGCCTTGCTGTCGCTCGCAGGCGGAGGCGTCTGGAACCCGTTGTACTTTTCCGGATCGAGCTGGATTACCACCTCGCGGAGCCGATCGTTAATGTGCCCCATCTGCTGCTCGGCGTTAGCCACCACCTGCTGCCGCTCGCTGCTCTCTGTCTGTAGTGCGTTCAGCTCCTGGCCCAGTGAGTCGTTGAACGCCTGCAGCTGCTCGCATTCCGTCTGCAGCCGCGTCGTCTCGTCACGCAGCTCCTTTGTCTCCTTGCGAACAGGCGACTTCTGCGGGATCTTGATCAGGTTTGTCGCCGACTGCTGGCTCAACTGCTGCTCCAGCCCAATCGGCAGGTACAGTCCGCGCTCGTCCAGGCCGTCTGGGATAGCATTCAAGTCCATGCTCTCCCGCCCGTTGGAATATGTGTACAGGCTCTCAGGGCTGCCCGGGATGCCGTTGATCGTGTGTGTGTTCGCCGGTGTCACCTGCCGCCTTGCTGTCGCCTTGTGCGTGAGCTGCAGGATCCCGGCCGTGTGCTGCAACAGCTGCCGCTGCGGCTCCATGATTCGTTTCTCCAGCGCGAACAGCTCTGACGCCAGCTCCTCGCATCGCCGCTCGCACGTGGCCCGTTCTGCCTCCGCCTCACGCACCGCCTCGCCCCCGCTGTCTCGGTTGCCCAGGATGCTGCGTCGCTTCCCCGGCGAGTACAGCTTAGTCATCGAGATGGCTGCATCACGGTACTTGGACTGGATCGCCAGGTTCGCCCGCGTCTGCTCGATGCGCTGTGTCAGCGACAGGACCTGCTTCTTCAGGCCGTCCACTTCCTCCTGCGACAAAATCTCCCACTCCCGGCTGTCGGCCAACGCCGTCTCCGTCAGCAGGTGCACTTGGATCGGGTCTTTCAGGTCCACTAGAGGCGAGCTCTGCGTTCGGTCGGCGTTCATCTAATACATGTCAGCAAGTGAAGAGACTGCGGCCGCAAACAAATAGCGCCGGCACCTCCTAGCCGTTCACTTACCGGGTTGTACTTTGGCCGCCGTGTCTCGAACCCATCCATGACCTCCTCTCTGTACCCGTTGACCATTGCCCGGGGACTCGGCTTGACGTCTCGAAACGGGGATAAAGGCGCGGGGTCCATGTCGTAGCTTCTCCTCGTTCCAGTTCCATTCATTGTGTGTGTCTGTGTATGCGTGTGTGTCTTTGCGTGTGTGTATGTGTGTATGTGCACATTCAGTGTCGTCGATGTTGTCTATGTCGTCGTATGTTGCTGCGTAAAGCGGATCCGAGATATCAGCTCAAGCACCTCTCGATGTCCCCCTCTTCGTCAAGGCATCATAGTCGCAAAATCGTATTCGCCAACCAGTTTTCGGCCTGTCCTTCTCGGGCTTTCTGGTTGCGTGCTGTCGCCTGATTCGCGCAAGGCGGGGGGAGACTGCGTATGGCTAGAGCTAGAGTTCAATGTTAAAGGAAAAAGCGTCGCGCCCGGAAAAGGAGAAGGCGGATCTGAGACGGTAGATCCAGGGGTGCTTGCGAGCCAATCGAAATCTGCAGCTGTGAGGAGGCAGGAGCGAATGTTAGGGAAGGAGCAAGGCTCCAACAAAAGAGGAGTCGAGTCTGGAGTGCTCGCAGAAAAGAAGGGATGGGACGCAACTATCGATTAAGGGGAACGCGTTCTGCTTTTCATGCAGGCTATCTTACGTGTGTCTTATTATTGTATACCCGTACCCGTTCTCCGTACTCCTTTTTTACGCGCTTCGTTACTAGCCAACGCCAGCTGATCCGCCTTGCGCTTCCTCAAGCTCCCAGACTAAGCGCTGCAGCTATTATTATTGCTGCAGACCCGTTTCGCTGGATTTGTGGGGCCGCCGCTTGCTACTTAGATGGCGTCCAGTGACTGCTAAGATACTATTATGTAGAACCTGCAGTGAGGCTTCTGTACCTACTCCGTAATAAGTATTGAATCTCGCTATATCCACACCACGGGCTTGCCGGGAGATCTTCCTGAAACCTCGCGTTTCTCTAACTGGGGCATTCCTTTCTCAGAAATGCGTCTAAGCCCCGTCTCACACACGACTCGTAATGAATCGTACAGATCATACGGAGTTATATACGGAGTAGAATTGTCTCCTCTTATGCTAGATTGTTGTAATACTGCTGATGTACGGAGTAATGACACACAAACGAGGCTGTGCATAGCCTGCTGAACTGTCTTACAGAGAACCCCCGAACCGGTCTAGGACCTGCTGTCCCATGTTCCGCCGTCTGCCCGCATCGCCCGACCCACCGTCGACTCCGCTAGAGGCGCCGGCAGCACCTGGCACCGTGTCCTCCTCTTCCAACCGTCTGCGCAGGCCTTCGAACTCCTCTCGGCGTTTGTACGGCCGCTCGCCCACCACCCAGCCGGGAATGCGCCACCGTGTTAGCCGGTCGGGCAACACGCCGTTGCGCCATGCGTGACCGACAATCCAGCCAACGCCTGCCGTCAACAGCGAGCCGGGCCACTGAAACAGTGCTAGTTGTGCAGCAAGGAAGTAGCGGTACGACTTGTCCGAAAAGGCCACGCCCACAAAGTCGTCAGTACTCTCGGGCGGCGGCTCGGCCGCCGACGAGAAAGCTATCCGATATGTGTACATGTGTGGCACTATCGAATAGTACTGGGCCAAGATTGCAAACACCACGGCTGTTGGGCCGGCCGGGATATAGTTGGCATGGCCGAGTGTTACGACCCTCAACACATAGGCCAAGACCGGTGGTATGACTGACGTAAGGAGGGTTGTCGTTGCGATAAAGGACTTGTCCCGGTTGTCGTCGTTAGCAACTTGTTGGCAGAAGAAAAGCTGGCAAACTGCAGAGAGGGGACGCCAACTCACCGCGTATTTCTTAGACCCCCACATGCGCTCAACGACGCGCATCTGGTAAAGTGTCATGCAGGCAAATAGCACCTCGGACGAGTTGGTGTAGCAGAGCTGGTACGTCAGCAGGCGCCATGTCTGGTGGTATCGCAGGATCTGTGGGTCGATCAATATGTAGAAATAGTGCTTGATGTCAAAGAGGCTCGCGCCTATCGACGCCGAGACGAGGCCCAAGACGAGGCTGCGCGTGACAGGGGCGTTTGTGAAGGACATGACATCAGCGGGTCAGGGCTAATGCGATGCGTATCAACGTTGACTCCTCCACCTGCCGTGTTGCCGTATTGCAAAGAAAGCAAAAGAAACAAGATTCGTCTATTCGTCGATTCGTCGCTTTTTTTTTTGTTCTATCTGGTCTCCTCAGCTTATTTCGCTCTCGTTTGCTCTCCCTCTTCCGGGCTTCCGGTGTCGGTGCCGAGTGGTTACTGCCTTCCTGTGCACCAGCTGCTTTCGGCTCTGTACCGTTTATCGCATGATAGCTGCTATATTTTCGGAAGTAGTGATGCACATGGACGCAGCTTTGCTTGCCCGTCGGCCTTTCAAAAGCTTTGTATAGCTTTGTAACGTGAGTCGCAGTTGCCACGATGCACTTATTCGTGAGGAAGGAGAGCTGCTCCACCGCGCCTCCAGCCCCCCCTCTTTAAATAATGGATCACGTCAGCAGCTCATTACCGCTGTGTAACTGTGGCTGGTCCTATCACAAGCCAAAATAACAAATTTGAACTGTCGTGGCCGCAAGTCCTCTGCTCACCACCACAACCATCAACACCGCTACCGCCCCCCATCATACCCTTGATGCGGACCCCAGACACCCAAGTCCGCTCCACGTCGTCCGCTCTCTGGACTTTCAACGAGCTTGCAGCCGATCCCATTCGACATGTCTGATCTCTACATTTCTCGCATTCGCAACTGGTTGCTCAGCTCGCCTCCGGCAGAATGGGCGTTGCAGCAGTTGCGAGAGCTTCTTATCGGAGCCTTGAGTCAAGGCCCCATTCCGCAGCATATTTCCTTTGAGATGGATGGCAACAGGCGTTACGCCAAGATGCACAAAATCGAGGCTATTGAGGGCCATCACCTCGGCTTTGAGGCCCTCGCTAAAGTACGTGCCATCTCATCTGTCTTACCAACAATACAAATCTAACACTATTTTTTCTCTTATGTAGGTCCTGGAAATATGCTACAAATGCGGTGTCAAGGTTGTCACTGTCTATGCCTTTAGCATCGAAAACTACCACCGACCTCAGTATGAAGTCGATGGCTTGATGGAGCTGGCCAAAGTCAAGCTGCAGCAGCTCATGCAGCACGGCGCTGTTTTGGATCGGTATGGGGTCAGTGTTCGTGTGCAGGGCCAGCGCGATCTCATTCGCGCCGACGTGTTGGAAGTAGTTCATCGCATAGTTGAAACGACAAAGCACAACGCCAGGTATGTTTTCTCTCTTTCCATATCGGCCTCTTGCCTGTTGCCGAAAGATCTCGCTGCTGACGTCATGCTACTCAGAGCGACCCTGAACATATGTTTCCCATACACCTCGCGGGAGGAAATCTCACAGTCCATCCGAAACACAGTCAGCGAATACTCGAGCCCGCCACGACCGCAGAACACACCCTTTTCGCAAGCTCGCATCAAGCAGACGATCCTATCCAAGCAGCTAGACCGACCTGAGCTCTTGTCTACTATTAGGGAAACTTCACCAGCCCCGTCTGTTTCGCGCTCTGAAGAAGCTGATGGATCAGTCTCGTCTTCGACCACTTTGCCACCCGACTCCCCGTCTCGGAACTCTGGCCCTGCAGACGTCACCATCTTGCCAAACCCCGAGGCAATCACTGCAGAGACAATCGATAGCCACATGTACATCACCGGAGACCCGCCGCTCGACATTTTCGTCCGGACGAGTGGCGTTGAGCGGCTGAGCGATTTCATGCTATGGCAATGCCACCAGAATACCGAAATATTTTTCCTCAAGTGTTTCTGGCCCGAGTTTGACCTGTACCATTTTCTTCCCGTCCTTGTTGAGTGGCAGCGCCGTCAAAAACAGAAGGCAGCAGACGAGAAGCCGCGCAAGCTTGTCAAACCGTGGTAGTCCGTTTCACAAACAATGACTTGGAAGACAATACTCGCAACCATGACAGATCGTCTCGCCAACAATTTCATTCCCTACCTTGCGTCCTATGTATATTTTTTACACCGAATATCGCCAACGTGCTCGCATGGCATCGAACCCTATTGCTCTTTTTCCATATGCATACAGTCATTTGTGTTTTTCTTTTCGCCAAATCAGCAGCTGCATGTGCTTTTCTTTTTCCTCATAATGGGTGGATCAAAACGGCGTTCTTTTCAACTATGCGACTCTATAACAAGCTGGTTTTATTTGTAGACATGCTAAAATAAGACGAGGCTGTGGTGGGGGAAGTTGCATATCGAACAAGTCAACTGCACCCGATGTATCTTTAGCACCTTTTACACGGTTTATCTACCTTATTTGCGACATGACATGAAGGGTTCGGCCTCCGGTACCACAAAATTCCGACACGTGGGTCCGCTTCGGCGGGCGATGGCTAGGATAGGTGCGTTTATTGAGCACCTATCGCATTTTGGTGGAGGATTAGATCCCACTGTTGCCGTGTCTCCTCTTCGCTTCTCCCCCATCTCAAGGAAATTTGCGCGTCTACAGTCGAGAGCCGTGGGAACAACGTCTACCCATGAATCTGCTCGCAGCTATGCTGTGATTCTGCAGGTCATTTGCGAACTACAATCACTCCCTCTCCCCTTTACTGGCTTCCACCGTCTTTCCTTGGCACCGTCGCGCTGAGAAGAAAAAAATATCTTTCTTGCGTACACCTTCTGTTAAACAGTCGTTCTGCCGATCCTCTCCCTTATTGCCTCTACCTCCTCCTTCGCTCCCAGGTCATTCTTTTTCTCATCCTTCCCTCACCGGTTTTCCGGTCTCCTGCTCCCCGACTCCTCTTTCTTTCTCAATCCGGCTCGGCTTACTGGTTCGACTTGTCGAACAGCCTCCTGCCGGTACAATGAAGACGGCAAAGCCTCCCACAGCTGCGCCCGAGACGATCCCTGCCCGGCGCTCGCAACCGGTGCGACAGACTAGGACGAATCCGCCGCGAACCTCGACTACGGCGAGTCGAAACCTCGGCCGCGACAGCGTTATCGGCAACGCGAGACACGAACAGCCCATCGACATTTTCCCCGGTATCACCCACTTCTCCGACACGATCACCGCCCTCCCCAAAGAGCTTGTCAAGCACTTCACTCTTTTGAAAGAGGTCGATGCCAAAATCCACGTTCCCCAACAGGCACTTTTTAAGCTGATCGACAATGCCCTTCGCTTGCCCACCCCCAACTCAACAAGATCGCCCTACGATGGCACCCCCGTTGTCACAGAGGCACCGGCTTCGGCTCCAATGACCGCCCATAATAGCACCAGTGGTGCCGACCTTCATGTTCATAGAGCCCACACGCTACCAGCCGTCCCCCAGGCAAGTCAAGGCCAGCTGCAGAACGTCGACGATGTTTTGGGCGAGCCGGCCTTCAATCGCAGCAACCTGCCACGAAGACAGCTCTTTCGCCAAGTCGCATTTGAGATAAAGGAGATGCTCGTGGCATTGGAAGAAAAGAACCATGTCATTTCCACAGCAAACGATGCTCTAAATAAGCAGCTCGCCCGGATCGACGATATCTGGCCACATCTGGAGCAAGAGTTCAGCGAGGAGGCGAAATGGGGCAGTGCGACGCATTGGGCCTACCCAGAAAATCGAGCGGCTCATCGCGCAACCAATAATGCACAGGCCGAAAGATCACGACGCGAGGGTGCCGCCAATCTGTCAGCTGCTGCGCAACAGATCGCCGAGGAAGCTGCAGCGCGCAGCGACGCGCGAAAACAGGCGGTGGCTGCCAGGCGAAGCCAGAAAAACAACCACCACCAGGACTCGGACGCTGACAGCTACAACCAGAAAGGAGACGCGAAGAAGGCATCGAGTTCGAAAACAAGAAAGCCTCTGCCTGAGCCGAACCCTGCCGTCGGTGTTGGACTGGGCATATCTGGTGCCACTGTGACACCTAGCGCAAATGGAACAACCAGCTCATCCTCACGACGGAGGAAGGTCGAAAAGCCAGCGTCTGCCCAGCCCATGGAACGGGCTCTCAGTGGTGTCTTTGGTGCGACTGGCGTTAACGGCAAAACGAGAACATCAAGTCCAAGGGAATCGCCAGCGCCCGATGGCGGTGCCAAGAAGCGCAAAGCTCTCCCTTCAGGAGGAAATCAAGCGAAGAAAACGTGCGTCTCCGTCTACCTCCGTTTTGTTCCTACTGTTACTAACCCACGCCGAATCGCACAGTCGCAATGGGACCTCGGCTGCTTCATCGCCCGTCATTGGCGCTTTTCCCGATATGAAATTTGCCCGTGGCTCGCCGGCTCTTGCGACTAGCATTCTCGGGAGTCCCTTGCCTGAAAGCATTGGCAGGTTTGACGACATAGTCAATACCATCAACGGCAGTCTTGGCATCAGTAGCACCACCATGAGACCGAGCACTATCAGTGACATAGGGAGCAGCAGTGCGGTCGTTGGTAGCAACAAAGCTATAGACGGTCTGAAAACTGCCACCAGCATTCCCGAACCCGACAGGAATGATGGTATCAAAGCCGCAGAGAACGTCGAAACCGGCCTAGGGTCCGAAGCTGGTGATAATAAGGTCGTTGCTGGCGCTAGCAAGACGCCCATCGCGGCCCCAAACAGCGGTACGACTTTGAAGAAGGTCGAAGAAGGCGAGGGCGCACTTGAGCAACCCGCATCCCAAAGTCTGCCAGATGCATTAGCGCCTGGTCGAAGCCTTGACCTGTTGCAATCGATTATCGGGAATGGACGGCAGCAGTCAACGCCTCTAGCATTACTAGTGGAGACTCAAGCGAACAACAGCGGTTCAATTCCTGCACAAGCCAAGGAAAAACAGGACGTTTCGATTGCACGCTCTGTCGCCGACAAGGCGGCGATGCCAGGAAAGGAGATAACAGCTCCGCCATCAGTGGCTGTAGGAGGAGCTTCTATCAGGGGTGAACCTTTCAAGGCAGAAGCAATCGACAGCCCACCGGCTAACGCACCACCGGCCAAAGTGGACGAACCGGTAGCTAAGAAAGAGTTGACGCCAAATGCGATATCAGTCCCGATCACTCAACCACAGCCAGTGACAACCAAGAGTGGGCGAGCTAGCAAACCTTCGACGCCTGCCCTAGGAACATTTCCTGAGACATCTCGGTCGCGGCCATCGCGTACGACAGAGAACGGAGGTACCGGTGGTAATAACAGCAGCACCAGCAGCACCAGCAGCAACGGGGCCGTCAAGCGCAGCCACAAGAAGGGTGCGTCGATATCGTCGCAGGCCCATGCGCATGCAGCCCTGGTTGCAAATCTTGTTGTCGAAGCAGCACACGGCAATGGCAATGGCTACCATAGCAGTGGTAGTGGCACAGGCACCAGACAGCAGCAACAACAGCGTCAGCACCAGGACGAGGATGAGGGAGATCCACTGTACTGCTACTGTCAGCAGATCAGCTTTGGTGAGATGATTGCGTGCGACGCCGATGACTGTGCGCGCGAGTGGTTCCATCTGGAATGTGTAGGGCTGCGTGTGGCGCCCAAAGCGAACGGTACGTGCCCTCGGGCTCTTCCCCTTTACTCATCCTCGACACGAGGGTATCGAGCTGACAACGTTGCAGTGAAATGGTATTGCGATGACTGCAAAAAGCGCCTCAAAGTTGGTGAGCGCAAGACTAATGGGCGGTGACGAAGAGCTGTGCTTGATACATACAGTTGATTGTAAGATACATCTTGAGAGCATTGGGCTGGTTTCTGCGGGGTTTTCCTCCCATGGTCTGTTTTCACAGCTCGGCATTGGATCTGTCACTCACCCATGCATTTGGGTTCAGCGTTTGTAATTTCCTCTTCGTCTCGGTATCGTCATCAATTTCAATGTGTCGTGTTATCAGAGGCCGATGTGTCTCGTCCGCAGAAGCTAGTGGTTTTCGGAAGTCATGTGAGGCGTACTTATTTTCGTTCATACAAAAGATACAGTGGACCTGGAAGCTCTCCTTTGCTTACCAATACGAAAGCAGCGCCATAAGCGTAGCGGCAACAGACATTGGCGGACTTGGCGACCAAGAAGACCAAACATGTGGCTATGTTCAGAACTTGGACGTCTGTTGGTTACACGCGCACGTGGTCTACGAAGCTTTGTTCTGATTTCGGTCACGGGGCTGGCCTTAAGCGGCGACCGTTTATACGAGCTGGCATCGAAATCCGACGGACTGCGGCGGAGATTGGGGACGAAACGCAGGAGATGGGCGAAAGCCTAAAGCCGAACGTTGGCGGCTTGCCTCGGCTGGCATGGTGCAATAGCTGGGACAGGAAAAGCACGCTTTGAGTGGTCCTCATTCGTGAGTCAGATTTCTCCAGTTATATCCATACGGCCCAGGAGTCACTGCCGTCGTACCAAGTGGCGAGATTCTTCCACTTTCCCTATTTTGTCGTCAAGTAAATAAACTTCCCCAGATTTTCAACCTGCAAGCGCAACCGATATCGCACATATTTGACACTTCTCCACCAAGCCTCCGTTGTCGCACACTAGACACTTATGTTTTTTACCTCCTTCCTTCTTGCCCAAAATGACAATGATCGGAGAAGGAGGTGGCAATGGCTGCAAGCGGTAACGGGGTTGCAGTATGACCGGTTTCCACTACTCGTACGTACAAGGATATACATTCGGTTTGAGCGGTTGCATTGCGCATCACTGCCAATGGTCCGAAATGAGGTGGCCGGAGGAGTGGGAGAAGGGGGAGAGGACGAGTGCAAATCACCAGACTTGCATGTTTGTGCGTCATTTCAGACCGCAAGAGCATCCCTACATCTTCCTGACGGACCAGCGTGCCGGTGAAGTAATTGTTAAATAACACAAACGGTATGACTGGTCAACAGGCGGCGGCTGGGGTAATAGAGCCTGGGCATGTGGTGCATACAGACAGTAGCTAAAACGCTAAAACACACATTCTATTAGCAAATCGCCGGCCAATCAGAGCACAGCATATGCAGTGGCCTTGTGCCCAAGTGACTGGAAACGCCCCCAAAAATGGCGCCTTGCCCGTCCGATTTTCATTACTTAATCGACTGGTGGCGAAGAGCGCCAGTGCCGGGGAAAGGAGTATGTGTGTACGAGTACGAGTAGTCCAAACAAGTACGTTGCCTCGAGCTATCCTTCTAGTTTTCCTTTTTTCCGCGCCCTGTACTTTGCCCCTTACCTCTTCTGCCCCTGGTCGCTTAGCATTCTTCTTCGCCTTGCTAATATTTTCGCTGTATTGTTTGTCACTCTGTATGTAACTGCGAGGCCAAGCTGCGAAACCGCTCTACACATGACTAGGATACTTTATTGTGGCGAAGACGGATGCGTACTGTTATAAAGGATCTGCCTCATCGAGCAACGTGCGTTTGCCCTCGTCGTCTAGCATCTTAAAGACAAACTTTCCCCCTTGTCCACTGTATACCCAACTCGTAAAGTACACCAAGGCTATCGTCATTTTATCTACAATACACACCACTCCTCCGTCTTCAATAACTTAGTCTTGGGCAGCTGATCACTATTCTTCGGTGTTTTCACTAAAACGGAAAGAGCGACACGCCATCCCGCCCAACCGTGACGTGTTGCCCTGTTTGGTGTCTGGCTGTTGTATAGCTCTTGTGCTCTTCGCACCATTTCCCCTTGTGCGCTCTCCTTCGCGCCTTCCCGCAGCCTCGTTGTCGCGGCTTGGGGGACCCACAACGGTAGAAAGAGAGGGGCGAGGGAAGCAGGGAGGAACGAACGAGTCTGATCACGGGGCGACTCTCTTACTGAACCATAAAAGCGAAAGGTCGAGAGGAAGAATACGAACCTTTGCACTTCCCCTCTTCTGCCTCTGCAACAAAGCAACCATCTTGTTACCTAAAAGTCCGGCTCGTTGACTAATAGAAAACACCTGTCTGGCTTTGTCGTTTGTGTGTCTGGGTCACTTATACCAGGCCGGATATCGTCACGTTCGCCTCGACTTCTGCCCTCTCCCTCTTGTCTTGTCTTAAAGGCCTGCACAACCCACATCCCACGATCCGATCACACCAATTTTATATCGACTCTGTGCAGCACCAGTTTGGATGAGCCAGTCCCGTCCGTCCACGCAACACTACCACCCACCAACCCAAGATTTGAACATAATGTCCAGGCTTCTTCAGAAGAGGGTGCCCTCGCCGCCCCTGGATTCGGGGCGACCATCCTTCTCGTCCATTCGCGAGCGTGATTGCGACTGTGCGCAGTCCTTCACGTCAACCAAGATCTCCTCGTATATTTCCCTAAACCAGCAAGGAAATGTTCAGAGGCGGCAGTCTGCCGACGAGATTGCAGTGCTTGATGACTCGTGCTCTGCTTCTCCTGCTCGTCCATCCTCCCCCAAAGTCAGCACTTCGTCACCATCTTCTTCTCCATTGGGGGCTCCTGCTTTTGACAGCTCAGTCACCTGGATAAGTGGGGGTGATCGCTACGACGAAGAGTCGCACAGCTGCATGAAAGGGCAAGACAGCCTACTTGATCTCAGCACCATGCAGCTGGACGATCCGAACATGAACATGGAAGTTTCTGGCCTTGATATGGAGGGTGGAGCTGATATGGCAAACACTGTGGACATGAGGCAGCCGCTGGAATTGCTGCCCGTCGAGCTTTTCCGTGAGTTCTGACTCAAATCACCCCTATCTTAAACGGTTCGATGCATGTTTTTTTCTGACCTTCACAGAGTTTGTTCTTGAACATCTTATTGTCGATATTCCACCAAATGGCATCGACCGCCGCAATGTCGATCTGGTGTCTCTTAATGTCACGTCGCGGTCCATCTATGGCAAGACCCTAGAGGCACTGTATCGGCGAGTCACCATCCCACATTCACGCATCTTTCAAAAGTTTCTAGCACAAATTGAGGCTTACCCCGTCCGCGGCACTTGGGTACACCGTCTTGACTTCTCCCATCTCAACCCCATCAGCCTCTTTTCATCTGTCAGCAAGCGCTACGCCGCCCGTAACCTCACGTCGGAGACGCTCCTTCGTTGTCTGGACCTCACACCCGAACTGCACGAGTTTCTCGCCCAGGACTACATTGACAGCGACTTGAGCGAGGACGTTCTTCGAAAGGTGTTCACTGGCCTGCCAAAGCTCAAAGCCCTCGACCTATGCGGCTCCTCGTCTATCTCGTTTCGAAACGCCTTCACCTCTCTCGTTGCTCGCCCACTACCGACTGGGGATTGGCCCGAATATCTTGGCATCGAAAGGCTTTCTTTACACAAATGTACCTCATTGACACCTGCTGTCTTTGATTTCTTGCTGCCGAAGCTTGGCAATCTTACTCATCTGGACGTGGCCGGAACCGGGATTACGGACGCGGCCCTCCACAGCATTCCTGCTACAGCTTGCCTAACGCATCTGAACCTGGCTAAGTGCTCACTACTTACCGCAGATTCTGTGATCGAATTCTTGGCACACCACCCCGCTGTGAATCACGAGCATGGTCTCGTTTTTTTGAGCTTGAGCTTCGACGCCTCTATTTCCGAGATTTTTGGCGAATCTGACGTTTCGCGGCTGCTCAATATCATGCCTGAGTCGCTGAAGTCGCTCAGCCTTAAGGGTAGCAAGATGAGCCAGTCCCACTTGCCTCAACTCCGGATACTTTCCAGACACCTGGAAGAGCTGGCCCTTGGCCGTGGCTTGACTCTTGGGGATGTCGGGGCCCTTGTGGTACCACCACAGTCCACTTCCGCGGATATTAGGGGCACCAGCGGTGACAAAGCCTGGGTCCAGCCTTCACTTCGATACATTGACTTGACGGACATGACCGCGGAAATCTTTGATCTGTCTTACCTCTATCTAGACAGCCGGCTCCTGGACCCTGTCACTGCGCCACTGGAAGTCATCGAGGTATCAGAGGACGTGTTCAAGCGTGTTTCCAAATCAATGGGCCCACTAAGCCGCATGGGCTGGCGCAGATCTGAGATTGGTGCTCGATCCTGGTTGGTTCGTGGAGGCGTTCCTAGTGGCAGCCGACCAGCCTTGGCTGTAGGCAGCTTTGCCATGGAAAACGGCCAGCGACCTTGGAAAATGGGTGCGCAGTCTTGGGGGATGCGCAAACTTCCTGTTGCCCATACTAAAGTTGGCGGCATGTATGGATCGTACATGTTTGGCAGAAAGTTATAGCATTGCTTCGAGAGTGTTTGAGGGTGATGCAGCGAGGTGTCTGTTTGTTTCTCTTTGCGCAGGGGGTTTCGCGAATTTGATCAGTCTGACTTTCGATTTTCGTATGCATAGCAGATACCAAGGACTCAGCGTTATATAGAGTACGAAATGAAGGCATTCACAAGATAGACTACGGAGTACGGAGTACCTCTTCCCAAAATTAGATGCAGACGTGCAGTTAGCCAATCGAATGAGGTTAGAAGAGGACGTGCTGAGGCTGGAGCGTGGCTGACGGTAATAAGTTAGTGCCTGAGGCAGTCAATGTTTCCATTCGAAAACTAGCGCGTTTGGATATCCCGCAGCCCAGGACAATTGGATTTTCAGATCCCTTCATAGCTTCCCCTTCTTCGCATCTTTCAAGCTCCGCCGTCACATCGGCGTCGTACCATTGATTTTATCGCCTTTCGACCCCACCGTGTACCGGGACCTCTGTGTGAGGCTCCTCTTAGAACACCGACATTATGGCGCCAGAAGGGCGGGACACGCCGTTCCGCTCGGCGGAAATGAGCATGGTGCAGCTCTACATCTCGAACGAAATTGGCCGTGAGATTGTCAACTCTCTCGGCGAGGTTGGCCTCGTGCAGTTCCGCGATGTAGGTTTCTTGAAACTCTGTGGATGACGCGACGTGGTATGATGACGGAAGACGGAGTTTTGATGCTGACCAAGGTAGCTGAACGATGGCGTCAGTGCTTTCCAGCGAGCCTTCACGCAGGAGATCCGACGTCTGGACAACGTGGAGCGACAGCTGCGTAGGTGAAGATGGAAAAATCCGCGTGGGTGGTAGATTGGCTGACGCCAGATTAGGTTACTTCGCGGCACAGATGGAAAAGGCCGGGGTGCCTCTGCGGAAGCTCGACTTGGACATGGAGACCCTGGCGGCACTGAGCACAGCCGAGATCGACGAGCTGGCCGAACGCAGCGAGAGCCTGGAGCACCGAATCTCTCAACTCAACGAGAGCTATGAGACGCTGAAGAAGCGCGAGGTGGAGCTGACGGAGTGGCGCTGGGTGCTCCGTGAGGCCGGGGGCTTCTTTGACCGAGCATACGGTAACGTGGAGGAGATCCGAGCGTCGACGGACGACGATGACGCGGACGACGACGCGCCTCTCCTGCATGACGTGGAACAGCAGGGTCAGGTGACGACGGCAAACGGCAACGGCAACGGCAACGGCACAGGCAGCGAGCCACAGCCGGCGTCGTTCTCGGGGATGAACATCGGGTTCGTGGCAGGCGTGATTGCCCGCGACCGTGTCGGAGCGTTTGAGCGGATTCTCTGGCGGACGCTGCGCGGCAACCTGTACATGAACCAGTCGGAGATCCCGGAGGCGCTGGTGGACCCGAGCACGAACGAGTCGGTGCACAAGAACGTGTTTGTGATCTTTGCGCACGGATCGGAGATTCTGGCTAAGATCCGCAAGATCTCGGAGTCGCTGGGGGCGGAGGTGTACAGCGTGGACGAGAACAGCGAGTTGCGACGGGACCAGATCCACGAGGTTAACGCGCGGCTGAGCGACGTGCAGAACGTGCTGCGCAACACGCAGACGACTCTGGACGCCGAGCTCGAGCAGATCGCGCGGTCGCTCTCGGCCTGGATGGTGCTCATCAGCAAGGAGAAGGCCGTGTACAACACGCTCAACATGTTCTCATACGACCGGGCTCGCCGCACGCTCATCGCCGAGGGCTGGTGTCCGACGCACGACTTGTCGTTGATCCGATCGACGCTGCAAGACGTGACGGACCGGGCTGGACTGGCGGTGCCGTCGATCATCCACGAGATCCGCACCAGCAAGACGCCGCCGACCTACCTCAAGACGAACAAATTTACCGAGGCTTTCCAGACGATTGTCAATGCCTACGGCACGGCCACGTACCAGGAGGTCAACCCGGCGCTGCCCGTCATCGTCACCTTTCCCTTTCTCTTCGCCGTCATGTTTGGCGACTTTGGACACGCAACGATCATGCTCTGCGCGGCGCTGGCCATGATTTACTGGGAGCGGCCGCTCAAGAAGGTGACGTTTGAGCTGTTCGCCATGGTGTACTACGGCCGCTACATTGCGCTGGTGATGGCGGCTTTTTCTGTCTTCACCGGCCTGATCTACAACGATGTGTTCTCCAAGTCGATGACGCTCTTTGACAGTGCCTGGGAGTGGGATGTGCCGGAGGACTTCCGTGACGGCATGACCGTCTCGGCGCGGCTCAAGGGCGACCACCGCTACCCCTTTGGCCTGGACTACATGTGGCACGGCACGGAGAACGACCTGCTCTTCAGCAACAGCTACAAGATGAAGATGAGCATCATCCTGGGTTGGGCGCACATGACGTACTCGCTGTGCTTTGCCTACGTCAACGCGCGCCACTTCAAGCGGCCGATCGATATCTGGGGCAACTTTGTGCCGGGCATGATCTTCTTCCAGGCCATCTTCGGGTACCTAGTCATCTGCATCATCTACAAGTGGACGGTCAACTGGCCGGCCATCGGCCAGCAGCCCCCCGGCCTGCTGAACATGCTGATCTACATGTTCCTGCAGCCGGGCACGCTAGACATGCGGCTGTACAAGGGCCAAGAGCACGTGCAAGTCTTTCTGCTGCTGCTAGCCATGGTCCAGGTGCCGATTCTGCTGTTCTTGAAGCCACTGTACCTGCGCTGGCAGCACAACCGGACGCAGGGCCACGGCTACCAGGGCATTGGTGAAGGCGCGCGCGTGAGTGCGCTGGACGACGACGACGAAACCACCGGCAATGACCATGCTGTCGTGGACGGCCGGCCCAGCCTGGGCAGCGATGGCGAGGCCGTGGGTATGCTGGCACAGGATCTCAACGAGGACGGCGAGCACGAGGAGTTTGAGTTTAGTGAGGTGATGATCCACCAGGTCATTCACACAATTGGTGAGTTTTGCTTTCTTCTTTTTCTTTTTCCGTTTTCATTTTTCTAACAATGCAGAATTCTGTCTCAACTGCGTCTCGCACACGGCTTCATACCTACGTCTGTGGGCTCTGTCGCTGGCTCACCAGCAGCTGAGTGCCGTGTTGTGGTCGATGACCCTAGGGCCGGCTCTGGCAATGCATGGCGTTGTGGGCGTGATTGCCATTGTCATCACGTTTGCCATGTTCTTCGTTCTTAGCATCATCATCTTAATCATCATGGAAGGTGTGTCGGCCATGCTGCACTCTCTGCGTCTTGCCTGGGTCGAGTCCTTTTCCAAGTTTGCCGAGTTTGGTGGCTGGCCGTTCCAGCCTTTCTCCTTCAAGCAACAGATGGAGGAATCGGAAGATCTGAAAGAGTACTTGGGCTGAAGGGGTTACTATTTCGAGTTTCACCATTGGTCTGCCCTTTTGTTTGTTCCTGTTTTTTGTTTCACTTTCATCCTTGTAGAAAACAGTTTCCTATATGGTTTGCCTTTTGTTTTCCCTGTAGCATAGTAGACATAATTTGGAAGAGATTTCTATTTTACTTGCGAGCAATAGTTGAAGCTGAAAGGTGTCTTGTCCCGCTGCGCTATCTTGTATTGACTAGAAATGGAGGCCTGATCATCCTTCGAGATGCCCTTTTGCCGAGAGACATCGGTGGTCACACCATTCAAGGCTAGGCCGCCCTCCATCACAAGGATGAGGTTGCATGCATTTGGGGGGCGCATGAGTAGCGTGCTGGCAGATATCGGCCGGTAACTCGACTGAGACATCCGTCAGGGGGTTGGTTATTTGGTTCTCTTTTTTCTTCTTTTTTTTTTTTTTTTTTGTTTGTTTTTGTACTCCGTATTATGTCTTCTTTCTTTTCTTTTGTTTCGTACTAAGCTGGGATTCCCCCCTTTTGGTCCTTCCCAGAACGCTGGGACTTGCCGTGCCTGAACTGCACAGTCCCCTACAAGCGGCAGGCGCTAGGCACGCGTGACACACACTCGCAATTTCATCGTGGTTTAATTACTGCCAGATATGGCGCAGCTTCCTCGTTTGCTGCTGCCAGTTGGTGTGCTATACAATAGCGCCCCTTGCCTGAAAGGGCAGACAGGATCCCACATAGAAGTAGCATGCAGTTGTACGAAGTACTCCGTACTTGTAGCAAGATAATACGAGTAGCAGTACTCTGTACTCGTTCAGAATAGTTATCGTGTCTGAGCGCAGACGCTGATCTCGCTCTTACAAACCCCTGCGTTAGCTGTCCCCTTGCAGCCTCGCTCCCACATTCCGCCCTGTGTGTTCGCCTGCTTCCCATTCAGACAAACAAACAGCCATGCGTCTGACGAGGCAATTATAGTAGGGATGCTCAGCAGTGTCACAGCTCCCAATGGGCTGTCCCCCTGGCCCAGACTGTGAGGGAATTATCACTATGCTGCAGCAGACTTGATTATTTGTAATAGGACGGCCCGGAGAGTCCGGCAACACACCCTCGTGTGCGTTGAGTGTTTCCAAATGCACACGCGTCATGCAAACGTCCTTGTCACTGCTACTCCTTCCACCAAGCGTGAGCGATTTCTTGTTCGGTACAGTGCAAACGATAAACGGCCAAGGCTTTGTAATTATTTCATGCGGTTCTATTCTGGTAGCGATTGATACCAAGTAATGCAGGTCTACTGTAATGCAGGTCTATTCTAATGACTCCAAAGCCCATTTTCCCAAATAATTAGGCACGGCTGCCAAGACATATATGATGCTCAAGGGGTATTCCAACGATAAAGCAAACCCAAAAAGGATCGCCATCCACGATCCCATGCTCCATGTCCCATGCCGGCTCCATGTTCAGAGCTAGTCTTTATTCTTGCCTCCAGGGCTTGAATGGCAAAACCTGCGTTCAGACAAGGAGAATGTCGCCTTCTTCCGTAGGCTGCCGTTCGTAGACAATGCTACCCCAGACTCGCCAATGGAGAATGCCGAGGTGTGCCAGGCGAGTGGCCATCTCCTCAACTCCGCCGTCCTCCCGAGGATCGACATCGCGAGTAGTCGGCGCCACTGGAACAATGGCGGGTGTGGCCTCTGTAGAACGGCCTGGTGTCGGGTGAATACGACCACCGGCAGCGACAACGAACAAGCCGACGCTAGGCATTGTCTTGTAGTCCCTCACACGACGTGCAAGTGCAGAGAGTAGCCGTCCCCGGAATGTATGCTCCACCTTCTTTTGCACATGAGAACCCGTGGCCATGGCCGCCTCGAGGCGCTGCTCTATCCGGTCCAACGACGTTTGCTGCTGATGCCGCGACTTTGAGAGAGCACGGTAGATCTCTACGGCCATCTTGGGTCCCAGATCACTCCATCGTTGCGCTGCTGGAACACCCGGCGTTGCCGTCTGGAGCAGTGCCACGAGCCGGGAGTACAAATCCCGGGATCGCAGACGGTCTTCTGCAAAGTCGGCAGCGAAATGCGGCGGCGTTGAGCCGCAGTTGGAAGGAGTGGCAGAGTTTCGGGGGGACGACGTGGTCGACCCAAAGGTACTGAAATCCAGGCTGGACGGGCGCGATGATGTCGGCGAAGCAGGGACGATAGATGATGGTGGAGTGTTGAAGTCGAAGACAGAGGCCGAAGACGTCACCCAGGATTCGCTTCCGATCTGTGAATTTCGCTGCAATACGTAAGCCGGAACCGCAAGAGCAGCCGGGCTGAAACGGGAAGCCGCCGCGCTGGATGAAGCAACACCGTCGGCCTCATCGTACACCTTCATGCAGATCTCCAAGTAGATGGCGTCCAGCATGTCGGAGCGCAGTTTGAGAAGACGCTCCTCGTCAAACAAGAAGGTGTTCGGGACCCTCTTGGCCTCGACAGACGGCAACAGAAGCTGGCATAGCCCTGTGAAGAATGTTGCCATCTCGCCAAAAGCTTGCCGATGCCGTATAGCGGGGCTTTCAAAGTCAACCTTTGCCTGCTCATACCACTGTTCGGCGCTGGAGACCGACATGCGACCATTCTCGACTCGTTTGCGGAAGAATCGCTGCTCAAAGTTCACCGTGTCCTCGATAAGCAGCGGCCGCAGACAGCGGATCTGATGGTTGGCCACATCAAGCTTCATGGCCTCGAGCACACTCAGCAAGCTGGATAGGCCTCGGACCAGCTCGTCCATGTCGTTTTCCCGGTTGCCGCGGCTAAGCTCCTTATACATCTCGTCCACCCAGTCATCCCGCATCGGAGCGCAGTGCAATTTCAGAACGGACGAGAGCCAAGCCGCGAGCTTTTCCAGATCGACGACGCCTCGGCTGAATTGCTGCATCAGCAAGGGCACATTAAGCCCTTCCTCCAGCAACTCGCGATCACGGGCTGGCACGAGTGTCTGGATGATGTCCTTGACGGCGTTGAGCAAGGCCGGTAATGACCACTCTTCGCCGTTGTCGTGAGCCTTGAGAAACTCATCACGGTTGGAGACGAACTGGACGAGTTCACCACGAAGGGTGTTCCAGAACTGCTGTGCTTTCTCCTGCTTTCTGCGGCCTTTTTCTCCGTCGAGATTCGGGCGGAAGTGTAGATCCGGGTCATAGTTGATATCGTGGCGAAGTTTAGGGTTGTGGATGATTTTGCCCACGTCTAGCTCGCTGAGTGTAGCTTTCGTCACGGGGGGTTCCAGCTTCTGCGAGTGCGCATCCTGCTGCCGTTGGTGGTAAGGATGCCATAAGTCAGGGTGTGCTGCTGACGAAGACTGTTGAGCCTGTCGTGATTGAGACGGGGACTGGTGTGCGTGCTGCTTACGCTGCTTCGACTTGATTTGTGTTGCCTGCTCTCGGTGGCTGTGCTGCTGTTGCGGTGGGATTTGTGGGTTCTGCTGCTGCTGTTCGGCAATTTGCTGCAATTGCTTCTGCTGCTCTTGCAGTTGTTCAGGCGATATCGGTTGGGGATGGAGTGTTGACTGTGATGGGTGCTGACTTGGCTGATATGCCATAGGCGGAGTCGCGGATCCAGCATCCGGGGGGCTTTGTGCTCTGTTTGCTGTTCCGGCAGATGACCGTGGATCTTGCTGTGATGCGACGCCGCCTGTGAAGTTGCCCACGACGACATTTTGTGGTGCTGGCGAGCTCCGAACTTCGGCAGCCGGCTCGACTGGGCCAGATTCGGTTTCTGTCTGTGCCCTAGCGCGACCCGACGCCAGAGTGCTGTCGACTCCACCACTGGTGCCTTGTTCGCTCATTCTGAGTTCAGTTGAGGCTGTTGAGATGAAAGGGCAATGTTCCCGAATCTTCAAATGTCCCCCTTTCCTTGGTTAGAAAAGGCAAGATAAAAGGCAAGCTCTCCTAGGGTGATGGCGGATAGAATAGATGCTGAAAGGAGGAGATAAATATGTGACAGAAAGGATGCTAGGGTACTGGTTAGCAGACTGCCATATGTGTTTTCTTCGAGCCACGGCCGATGAGGAAAGAAAGTGGGAATTGGTGGCAATGTAAGTAGACAGCGGGGGCCAAAGGCAGAGACAAAAGAGGGCGAGCCGCGCTGTATAATAAGCGCAAACGCAGGGTATGACTTGTGTGCCGGTGAGTGAGGGAAGTGGATGACGAAGGATTGGCAAGCAGGCGGCCAGCATTCACGAGGTCAAACGCCCCAATATTGGCGGGTGTGCACGACGAGCAAGCTGGCTTCGGGTTCTGGGTCTGCCGATGCGACCAGCGAGGCGGACAATAGCAGGGTGCTTTGTCCAAAGCACTGTCTAGATGGCTGTCCAGAACACCGGTGGCGGCCGCTTTGGGGTGGGGACAGAGAAGGGGGCGGCGGAAGGACAAAGGAGAATGGGAATGTACGGGGAGAACAACAGGACTTGAAGCCAAGCAGTCAAATCAACGGGGAGTGAGACAAACCTTTTTGCAAGCTTCTGGGGGGCCGGCTTGGTTCCGGAGAGACAGATCGAATCGGGAGAGCTCACTGGAATGAAGCAGAGGATATGTGGGATAGAAATGTTGTGCAACCCCGATTATTTGGCGGAGGTGTCGATCTCGATAGCAGCCGGGGCGAAAGATCATGAAGCTCGAGGCCTGCTATGTAGCGAATCCTAAGCAGTCCAGAGTGTGATGTCTGCGGGAACGTACGCGAGCGGTGCTTTGGCGAGAGGTGTGTGTCGTGAAGGACAGGAGAGAGGGCGGTTTGAAAAGAGGAGCTTCCAGGGGGGCGTGAAAGAGACCGTGAGTCTAAATGCGTACGAGCATAGGTAGAAGGTAGGTTGGCTGATGATCCTGAGGACGAGGCGACTTCAGGATGGTCGAGATTGCTCAAGGGGACGATCCAAATATGGTTCGTATCTCTGTAAGGCGTAGAAGGTAGAAAGGGTGGTCAAAGGACGAGAGGGGGGGCTTCAATTTATTAAGGAGCTGCAAAAGAAAAAGGCTAAACTGAAGACAAAAAGGGTATGAGGGCCAAAGAGAGATTAGACAAAAAGAGAGTTTGGAAAGCTCCGCCAGGAAGGCACGAACATACTATGTAGAGGACGAAGCCAAAAGAAGAAGAAGAATAAAATAGGGGCAAGCTGTACAGTAAGTGTAGTGATACATGCACCCCTTCCAGACAAAGCACCCCCATCCCCACTCATAACGCATGTATGCGGTACCTCTTTGCCCATAGGCAACACCACTACTCGGTACAGAGTACCATGCCATACACGCGCCCACCCCACCATGACTTTTGTGCTTTGGCCTAAAGAAGACTGCATGTACCCCCTACCGTGTAGCGCCTTGGTCCCTGTCGCCCCTGGCCCATGTCCCAGTTCCTTGGGCTACCACGGTCTACGGAAAGGCTGCAAGACGTATAATTGCAATTTTACGATCGCGCGCGTGCCTGCAGGGAGGCATGTGCTCGTATGAAGGTAATGTGTTGCGCTGCTACCACTGCGATCACTGCTACTACTATCACCGCCGCTATCATTACCACTACCAGCACCACCACTACGGCCACCACTGCAGCATTGCCTCAGTACGGAGCACAAGTACACGCAACTAGCCGTGTTCTTTGTCCCGGCCGGGACGCCGTCCTATTCCGATCTAATAGAATCTGCAAAAATGATACCACCCCCCTAAAATGACGGAGAATGCCTCCAACAGCCAGAAAGGACAGCCTAGCGCCAACAATCACCTGAAGCGGATGCGGAAGACGGAGGAAAACGTGGAAGGCAGAGACGAGCAAGGGGGCTGAGGGCCCACGGACGTGTTCTTTTCCTTTCCTGTCGCCTCGTCCGCCTGGTCGGGTCCCTGTCCCGTCCGTCCGATGCAGGAACAGGCCAAATTAGCAGCCAAATGTAATATCGCACAGCAAGATACAGCGAGCAGCCAACACAGCCGGCTACTGTAGCGGGTCCGGCTTTGGTCTGGCTGATAAGATATCGTATCTTACATATTGCATCTACAGTCCGTTCCGTACTATGTACATTGTACTCGCACAAGAACGGTGGGCTGTCCGAGCTGAAACCCATGTGCAGACGGAGTGCGGCCTCTGCCCGTCGACCGGCCAATCGATTGTCTCGCGACGCAATAGAGAGCCGAGCCATCGATTTGTCTGGGCCGCTCGCTGCGCACAGCCTTGGTTCGATCGTGCACAGTCGCTTCCTGATCTCTCGCTCGTGCTCTGTATCTTGCGACGTCGTATGTACTCCATACTCCATACGAGCACTCGGCCTCTCGGCGCCAGCCAGCCGTTTACCATTCCCGTCCCCGCCTGCCTCTCTTCCTCTCGCCCGTCGTGTGATCGGCATCAGCTACATACTGTAGTACGAGTACGGAGTACATAGTAAGAGCCCGACTTCAGCTTTCACCTCCCGTCCTTGGCCATGAGAACACGTTTTTCTGATTGCCACCCCGGCCCAGGCCATCCACTTCTCCCCTTCGCTAATCACGACCACATGGCAAATTCGACTCCGGCCCACCAGACGAGTAATCCCTGCTAGCGTCACTGGTGCCGATGAGTGCTGGGATTTTACGAAACGGAGACGCTAGTCGTGTAAATTGCGATCGCGAGAGAAGGGGGGAAAATCTGTGGGTTCCAAATGAATTCGGGTCAAATTACTCGTAGAAAATGCAACGATGCCTCTTCTCCCCCCCCGCCCCGGCCCCGGTTTCCAGGGAGCGATGTATCTCAAAACATGATGCTACGCGAAAACGCCGCTGTAGAAAAGACGGGGTTTTCTGTACTATGTATCAGTCTCTGTTCTCTTCCCTCCCTGGGTGGACTTTCATGGATTCGTACTATGTACTCCGTACTCCGTCTGAAACTGATCATTCGAGGCCCCTACGGAGTACATCGAATGCAGAAGGAACAAAGAGAGAAGCAGAAAAAAAGAGGACCCCGACAATCCCTTTGCATTTGCCGGGCAAAATTGCCGGCAGAAAGAGCAATCGCATATTCTACAGAGTAGTATCTTACGTACGTTCGGCAAGAGTCTTCCGTTTTAGGCAAGTAAAGGCATTCAGAATGCAAACGCCTGGCCATACATAGTAATCGCGCCGAAATACAGCGAGGGAGGTAGAAAGAAAAAGAAAGAGTTGGCCGGCGGCATGTCTATGTCTGCCTGCCGCAAACTGCCAGCCGTTGACTGCTCGGCCGAGCCCCAGAGGCAAGGAGAATCTTCGGAGAGCTAAGACTGCGGCCGCAGCTACGGGGGGGAGGGGGGGTATTCCAAATCTAGCAAAATCCAAGCGCTAGAATGGAAGCAGCCATTGTCTCCCAGCATCTTCGGTACTCGTTGCTCGCACTTCTCCTAGTCGGTATGTGGCCCGCCAAAGTCCATCCATCAGCCGGAGAAGCCGCTAAATACGAGGCGGAGAAGCGCGAGGGCCTGCTAGTACAGGCTCTGACTACAGTATCTTACATAGTAAGATACGTAGTGCTGCTGAACTGAAACTTTGCCTATGAAAGAGGGCTCCAAGCCAAAAATAAGGATTTAAAAAAAAAACATACTATGTGTACAAGATTGGGCAAGTAGAAGAAGCCACAATTAGCTGCGAGCTCGGCATTTCCGTGAGCAAAACACTTTCGTAATACTGGTTGTCACATGCCAGCTACTTTGCACATAGGCCTCCGCTCTGCTTCCTTTGTCATGTCGGTCACTCCGTCGCCGTGTCCATCCCAGCTGCCCATGGTACAGCAACTCATACAGGCACACCCACGGCACAGCTTTGTCATGCCCTTGCCCTTTCATTCTCAGCGTAGCGTTGCGCTTGCCGTGCAGCACGTAAGAAACGTTGCCACAGCAAGACAGCGTCGCCTGCGACCGGATCGAGGCGTGTGGCGAGGACAAAGGGGAAGGACGCGAGGTCACGGCGACGCGTAGCAGATACGCAAGATAGGCAAATAGCCGTTGTCGCCGACGCCTCTGCCGATTACGAATGGACACGCTGGAGGCCAATGTCAGAGTCTCACGGCATGTGGCCACAGCAGACAAAGCAAAACAATGACTTGATGCGCCAAGCCACCCTAGACTCGTCTGCTTTGTCCTGCCTGCTGCGATAAGGTGCCACGGAGCAGAGGAAGCAGAGGAAGCAGGAAGCAGGAAGCAGGAAGCAGAAGATCCGACGTGGCCGCCTGGACACATGCGAGTGCAATGCAGCCAGCATACGGCCTTGATACAAGCACGACCACGACGCTCGGCCGCTGTCCAGCCGAGCTGGGACACCAGTTTCTGCGACATATCTTACCCTCCCTGCGAAATGGGGATCATCCACAATGGAGCCTGCATATCGCACACACTACTCGTATGTGGTACTCGCTCGCCGTGCTCATAGCATCCAGAAAGCGTCATGTGTGCAGAGCATGACGGTAGATGTCTGCACATGTCGTAATGGCTGCAGGCCTCATTTCCGAGCAGACTGTCTGGCTGCACACAAAGGAAACGACGCTGTCCGACGTAAGATACAACGCAGGGCCTCGTCCTCCCCAGTCTCGACGTTCCGTCTGCTCATTTCAACAGCACCCGATGTTCTGCAAGGAAGCGCTCGAGAGCCTGGCAACCACGAAAAGGCCTTTCCCGGTCCCGTAGCCACAAGTGGACTCAGATCACGTCGGATCGGCAAATCTGGACTTTGTTTTTCTTTCCGTTTCGGGGCGACTTGTTTTTTCTCTCGACACCCACAACCCGCAATCCTGCGCCTCCCTTTCCGCAACAAGTGGAGAGGTAGGGGTGGTTGCTATGTATCTTACTCCGTATGCCTTGTGTCGCCTGCACGAAGCAGCCGAGATACAGACAAAACCCAATGCTCCGTACCTGTCGGCGCCCCATCGTCGAAGATGCCTCCTCGCTTTACCGCCTGAGCCCTGCTCTCGTTTGGCTGGGAAGTGTCTGCAAGGATTCAGACCGCCCTCTTCAGCAGCCCGTATGAGACGTCATGCGGAGTTGGACCGTCGCTAATTAATGGGGCACCTCTCTGCTGTCTCGACGCAGAACCCTGAACACGCATGACGTTGAGAAACAAGATCTGAGCATCTGCCAATACTATGTAAGCACCTGTTCTTGGGTTCCTATTATCGTGGGTTTTTTCGGGCTGCTGCCGTTGCTGCTGCTGCCGCTGCTGCTGCTGTTGTTGTTTACATGGTATATTGAGCTGGCAGATATCCACAACCGGCCCAAACGGACAAATAGGGAAAACAGAGCTGGTATCGACAACAAAATTGGCGTACTGCTTATTCGGGACGTGGAATACGCTACACGGAGCATGCCACTTGGATGCAGCCAATCGCTTGCTTTTATTTTCTCGGCATCTTCCTGTCGGCAGAGCATCTTGCTCCTTGGTCGCTGTCCATTTGCCTAGTAGCTGTAGCTTCACGCATGCCAAGGAAGCCCTGATACTACCGCACGACGATGCATCACGAGACTGGATAGTACAGTAGCGCGGTCCATAATATCGTTGCCTGGCTCAAACGTTGCGCCTTGTTTCTTTGCTGCACACCGCATGCTTGATCCATTTAAATACAGCTCTCTCCAGGATCATCCCCCATATCCTATGCCCAACCACTGCAATATCCTGCATGCGTTTTTTACCTCGCTTCGCCGCTTGCAAAGGCCAGTATTTGCAGGAGCGGTGTGTGAGAAGCTACGAGGAGACCTTTCCTGCTGCCACGAAGCTTTGCCTTGCATGGCCCCATTGCAGCTGCCGACCAGTGGAAGAAACGAAATACGATCCATAGGTAGAGCACAGCGGACACATGGTAAGCAGTACTTTGTAGGATGGCAAGTACGTCCTGGATTCCTTTTGCATCACAGGTCCTACGTGTCGGGGTTCACAGCGAAGAACTGAGGCTGGGACGCTGATTTGTTGGCAAAGGGCCCTTCATCCCGGCCCGAAAACGGCAGAGTCAACAAGGTAAAGAAGAAAGTTACTAGGCGATTGTAGATGCTGAGACATCTCTCTCTGTCTCTCCCTTGATGCCTTGCTGCTCGCATTCTATGCGCGGATCTCCTGCCCGTTTCCTTTTTCGACGGCCGTCGTCGGGTGCATCCTACGGAGTACTGTTTCAGACATGGGTCACACTCCGCATACTCTCTCCTACGTCGGCGACGGCATCGGCAGCAATGTCATCGACAGGGGAGGCATTGGCCGCCCTGTTCGTCCTTTGTCTTCCTTTATTCAGCACGATTAGTGGTCAGGCAGTAGCAGACAGCACCTGACAAAGTACCCCATATCTTCACATCTTTTGCGACGAAAAAGCTGTCCCTCGTAGCAGCGATCGGGATATCGCGGCTCTTCGTCCCATCCTTCTCTCGGCTGGCTCCAGTGCGATTTGCCGTGTCCGGCGGCCGATGCGTCCAGACTAATCGGACAGGAGACCCTCTCTTGGCCCTAATTCGGCGCCGTTCACTTGGATAACAATGTAAATTGCTAGAGCATGGGGTTCCTGTCTTTCATTTCGGACGTCTGAGGCCTGGGCCATCGCCTCAGCCGACCTCTTCTTTCATATGTCCTGCCCGGGTTTCGAAACGATATCTCCCTGTTTCTTCTTTGTCTACTTTATCAGATCAAGTATCTTAAGATATGTAACAAACGAGCTCAGAGCCAGACGCACCACGACACAATGCGGCACCCCCCTCTTTCCTACCCCTTCTGTTATTAACCCTGGTTCTTGTATCCTTGTTGTTTCCCCGATGCTGTGGAAGGATGCACGTCTCCCATACGGCCAACCGACTGTATCCCAAAGTATCTTATCATATTTACACGTTACATAGTATGGCAGGATGCAATGCTGCCTTGGCAAAGACGTTCGTATTTAGATTATGCCAGTGCAAGACGTGTATAATGCCTCTGCAGCTAGTAGCGTAGCTACGACATCGTTAGTCCCGGAAAATGCCAAATTGACAGACATTTCCCCTCGCGCCTTGGCTCTCCTCCCTTGCTCGTCTGGTTCTTCGAGAGTACGGAGTAGACATGGTGATAAGCGGCAGCCTAGGCCGGAGCCCGAGCACATTCGTATACGACCGAAAATTACACATCATATGATAGGAGGATTATCTGGTCACCTGAGACAGCCAGGTCGGAAACTTACGATAATGGCATACCCAGAAGAGCGGACAGACAGGGTCGGATTTCGTAATTTTAATCCCGATAAGGAATGCGTATTGAATCTTCAAGGCCTCCTTGCCTCACGTCCGAGACGTGGACGGAACGTAATAACCGAAATGAAATGCTTTGATGTGAGGGATGGTAGGCGTGAGCTGGACCTCAGCATGTTGCAGACTCTCCCACCAGGTCTGCTCATGTCCACCTTCCCCGGACTGTCGTCGACGCACTCTATTGTCCCTTAATACGATGTGTCCATATGCAATTCTATTATGGCGTGACTAGAGTCGGTCGAGAGCAACTCCGCCTTGCAGTGCATAATCATCCAAGGGCATGGAATTGCCCTTTTCCCGTCCCCGTACTGTGTATTCCGTATTCACATGTCATTGCTGTATTTTGTATAAGGTACATACATGGTATCGGAAACGCGTCTTGATCACCCTCTCTAAAAGCAAGTATAAAGACGACTGCTGCCGTCGTGGCCGAACGCCGCATTCGCCATTGTCCCGAAATGATGTCAAGTAAAGGAGAATTATATGAATTAGAGTGCATGGCTCGCAGTGCGGCCTATCGTGGTCATGATCGTGGCTGGCGAGCCAGTTTAGTTGCCGACAAACACCGAGATCTGCCCGGAAGCTGGTCAGCACTTTATCCATAGCTTTGCAATGTGTGCATGCGCATATGGGCACACGTAGGCCACGACGCGGCGATGTAGAGAGGGGAAGGGACGACATACCGCCATCAGCACGCAGCAGAGACTGATGTAGGGGCTGAGCCGTTCCCCTATCCGCGCGCCCTTCCAGAAGACGCCCATCGGACTGTCGAACTGTCAGCATTGAGTCAAAGCCGTAGACTAAACGGAGGTTACCTACCCTTGCTTGCGGTTGTCTAGCAGCGCAGGAAACATCTGGTGGACGTATGTGCTGGTGCAGATAAGGAGGAGGAGGACTAGGAGGAGAGACTGGAAATTGAACAGGGCCGACTGCAGGAGTTAGCTGGGAGCTGCCAGAGACTGCGTTCACCACGAGGGTAGAAGGAGAGGAGCATACCATGATGGTGATTGGCAAGGGACAATAAAGCGACGCGAGCTGGATCGTGAACCGGTTCAGGTTGAGTTTCGTGACGCTTCTGTTTCGTAACACGTTTTCGGTTCTGCTTCGCGTAGCCGACCAAAAAGCACACGTGATTGGCCAGACGATTCTAGTCTCTAACTTCTAGGCCGCTAATTGCAGCCATGTGACTTCCTGCTTTCTAGGTGCTCCGGTCTCACCAGATCTCTCTTCACTCGTAACGAAACACTACAAACGGCGTAGATAAGTGGCCCGGTCAGTTGCAATTGCAATTTGCTGCTTTCTGCTGGCGAGGCAATGGCCAGCAAGGTTCACGAGTTCTCACCGGGCCGGATCAACTGGCTTCCGTCCAAGGCTCCCCTGTTCGCTGCGATTTTAGCGCAGGCAATCGTGGGGAACTTCCTCCAGACAAACGCAACGCGCACGCCGGCTCTGCCTTGTCATTCTTTCGCCCGCTTGGCTCTCACATCTGAAGGGACGCGCTGTGGTCAGACCTGACCATAATACACCGGGCCAGGCTTGGCAATCGTGCGGGCAGACAGCCACATTGAGCGAGGATGGAGCCTCGTGCGCGGGCCGGCAAAAATGTCGGCAAGATGAACTTTGGCTACGGCGAGCGTGCGTTTCCGGCCTGGCCTTGCATTGAATGCGGCCTGTAGCTGACGTGTCTTTACAGTGCGCCAGCTCCTCTACGGCTGCGGCGACGTCCGCGAACCGCTGCCCGACACGATGCGGCTGCTTGACGAGATCGCCACCGACTTCATACAGGGCCTGTCGTTTGAGGCAGCGCGCGTTGCTCACTATGCGGGCCGGCAGAAGATCAAATACGAGGATTTTGAGTTTGCGCTCCGGCGCAACCCGCTCTTCCTCGGCAAGGTGCGCGAGATGTTTGAGATGAGCAAGGAGGTCAAGGACGCGCGCAAGATGCCGGGCATCGGCGAGGGCAACCTGGGCAAGGCAGATGTCAACGAGCTGGCCAAGCTGGGTGGTATCGGGGAGGATGCGACGCGAGAGGCAGGTGTTCGAGGCGCGACCGACGGCGACGGTGGCGGTGCGGACGGCCAGGGCAGCACGGTGGCCGTGCCACAGAAGCGCAAGTACAACAAGACGGGCGAGTCCAAGAAGAAGAAGAAGGCCAAGTTGGCGGCGCTGGCAGCTGCAGGAAAGGGAGCCGACGGCGGCCTCTTCGGCAACGGGGCAGCAGATGCTGATCCAACTGGCGGGGCGGCCGCTTCTGCTTCTGCTTCTGCTCCTGCTTCTGCTGTTGCTTCTGTGGGCGGCGGTGATGCTGTCGATGGCCGGGGCAGCGTGGCGCCAGCTTCGGCCGTGGGCGCAGACGAAGGAGACGACTTGGCCGATCTGGACGACGACATCGATGCCGAGCTGAGATGAGCAGATGACGATGGTATGCATTGGAACGTGGAATTGGCAGCGTGGCGTCATGGACTCTGGGCACGGGCATAAGGCCTGTATATTGCATTGCATTTTAATTGCATACGTCTCTATTTGATTGATAATTTCGCGGCTGTCTAGCTGGTGGTCCAGAGGTGTCTGTCAGACATCAACGCCTGTCACGTAGAATCGTCCGTCACTTTTAATGCAGTCACGCGTCGAGCGACCTTATCAGCGATATCGGGTACATCGGGAGGGGGGGGCTTGGCTGCAGTTGCCAAACTCGGAGTCCAGTATGGTGTCGATTGAGCAGCGAAAAAAGCACCATATGTCATTAGCTAATGAGGGAAGAGGCAAGAAAATACTATCCGTCGGCTCGGCCGGTGTGCAACCCCTCCCTCTTCGACTCGTCCGTCGAGTACTGCCTTCATGTTGGCTGGCCTATATTGTGGAGTTGCGGTGCTAACGGAAAAGTGATGCTGGGTTTTAGAACTCGCATGTCTTGGTAATCTTCCCTCTTGATTCGTGCTCATTACCGTTTTTGCCTCCCATTCTCGCCGCCTTGTGCGCTGTCCTTGATTTCTGGGCCATCTGCTTCGTTTCAAGGCTGGTGATATTGTAGGTACAAAACCAGAGGTTCATACCGAATTGACCGGCCATTATGTCGCCGTATCTCCCGGTCCCTCAGACGCCTAGCGCCAAGACGAGGCTCGAAAACGAAATCAGCGAGATCAGCCTCGTTTCTGGCCAGACGACACCACAGCACACGCCGATCAGGAGTCGATCACCCGCCGTATCTGCGGCTCTCGCAGGCGACGATGCTACCATTGATGGCGGCTTTGCCAAGCACAGCCGAAAGACTGCGTCCTCACCACATCCACCGCGACAACTGGAACGACTCGATGTCTTCCACCGGATTTCCATCGGCTCCCTGTCCGACGCCTATGGCCCGATGGCTACCCAGCCGTTCCGGATACTTTCACCGGGTCCGGAGGCTCTAATGCGACCACGATCCCCGACAGCACCGACCGGCCGACTCCAGCGGCTGTGGCTGGACTATCGAGCCGTCATCTATGTCTTTCTCGCCCAGCTGTTCGGCGCCCTGATGAACCTGTGCGCCCGCCTGCTCGAGTTGGACGATCACCACCCCATGCAACCCCTGCAGCTGCTCTTTGCCCGGATGAGCGTCACCACCGTCGTCTGCAGCATCTACATGTACCGGACCGGCGTGCCGCACTTCCCGCTGGGCCCGCCGAGCGTGCGCTGGCATCTGGTGGTGCGTGGTCTGGCCGGCTTCTGCGGCATCTTCTCCATGTGGTACTCCATGATGTACTTGCCGCTGGCTGAGGCCACCGTCATCACCTTTTTGGTGCCCAGCATGTCAGGCTACTTCTGCCATCTCCTTTTGCACGAACCCTTTACGCGCAAGGAACAGATCGGGTCCGGCATTGCTCTCCTGGGCGTCATCCTGATCGCGCGTCCGGTCTCTCTCTTTCCCTCGTCCGCGCCCGAGATTGGCCCCGTCGCAGCCCTGCTCGCCAACAGTACTGGGGCGGCATCGACGGCTGCTGCCTTGCTCTCTGAGCATACTGCTTCCGTTGTCGCCGTGGCCACCGGGGCTGACGCTCTCGGCCCTGCAGCCACCAATATCACGACCGGCATCGAGGACCACGCTCCGTTCGGCAGCAACATCTCGACCGTTCAGCGCTTGATCGCCGTCGGCGTCGCGCTTTTCGGCGTCACTGGTAGCTCGTGTGCCTTTACGGCCATCCGTGCCATTGGCACGCGCGCCCATCCGCTCATCTCCGTCAACTACTTCTCGACTGCCGGCACGCTGGTATCGACGGCCGTGCTGGTTCTGGCCCCGATCATAGGCTTTGGACAGCCAGAGTTGCACTTTGGCATGCCGAACTCGCTGCGCCAATGGGCCTTGCTGTTTGTCACCTGTGTCTGCGGCTTCCTCACGCAGCTGTGCATCACCAAGGGACTGGGCTTGGAGCGGTCCAATCGTGCCAGCGCCATGATCTACACCAATATGCTTTTTGCAGCCGGCTTTGACCGCTTTGTTTTTGGCAATCAGATGGGCATCATTAGCCTCGGAGGCTGTGGACTCATCATCGGAAGCGCCCTATGGGTTGCCCTTTCCAAAAGGCCGACCCCCGACATACGGCCCGGGACTGTAAACGATGTCGAGATCGGCCATGCCAATTTGAGGGTGCCCGAGATCGACGTCACTCGAAGTGCCTTGGTCGCCAACCCGACTGCAGAGAGCATTCCGATGCTGGCAGCTATCGACAGCGAAGACGAGGAGGACAACCGTACAGGACTTGCCTCCCACGTGGGGTCTAGATCAACATGATATTGATTATATGGAAGCATTTAGCGTGATGGCAAATAAACGAAATGGTATTGTCTCTTGACAGATATGACGGATTGGGCAAAAGGCCGTAAAAACTTTCACGTGACAGCGACAGCTATGTGCTATCGATAAGGAAGCGCGGCCGCCAAAAAATCGGATGGCGCGCCGCCGGTTGTCTCCCTTCCAAAAACGGCCTGTTTGCAATTCAGACTTGCTTGACCACCTGCTCCATCGACCGCCGTTCCACGCCTGCGTCGAACCCGATTGTCCAATCCCAGACGACAAAGCACAATAAGCTGCAGCCGAGCAGTCGATGAACCGTTGCAGTCGCACAGATTGAGCTACGAAGCGAGGAGCCAACCGCCAAAATGGTGCAGATCAGCGAGGTGAAGAGCAGCAACCGAGAGCATCGGACGTCGGCACACACACACATCAAGGGCCTCGGTCTCAAGCCCGATGGAACAGCCGAGCGGCAGGCGTCCGGCTTTGTCGGCCAGGCGACGGCACGAGAGGTGAGAAGCGGGAGGCGTGTGTAGATTTTGGGATTTTGGGCATTCGGTCCAGCTGCTGACAAGCTGCTCGCAGGCTGCCGGTGTTGTAGTCGACCTGATCCGGGCGCACAAGATGGCCGGGCGCGGCGTACTGCTGGCGGGCGGACCGGGCACGGGCAAGACGGCCCTGGCACTGGCGATCAGCCAGGAGCTGGGAACGAAGATTCCGTTCTGCCCGATCGTGGGCAGCGAGATCTACTCGACGGAGGTGAAGAAGACAGAGATGCTGATGGAGAACTTCCGGCGGGCGATCGGGCTCAAGGTGCGGGAGACTAAGGAGGTGTACGAGGGCGAGGTGACGGAGCTGACGCCGGAAGAGGCGGAGAACCCGCTGGGCGGCTACGGCAAGACGATCAGCACGCTGCTGATCGGGCTGAAGAGCGCCAAGGGCCAGAAGAAGCTGCGGCTGGACCCCAGCATCTACGAGGCGATCCAGAAGGAGCGCGTGACGGTGGGTGACGTGATCTACATCGAGGCGAACACGGGGGCATGCAAGCGGGTCGGCCGATCGGACGCCTACGCAACCGAGTTCGACCTCGAGGCCGAGGAATACGTGCCGATCCCCAAGGGCGAGGTGCACAAGAAGAAGGAGATCGTGCAGGACGTGACGCTGCATGACCTCGACGTGGCCAACGCGCGGCCGCAGGGCGGCCAGGACATCATGTCCATGATGGGCCAGCTGATGAAGCCCAAGATGACCGAGATCACCGACAAGCTGCGCGCTGAGATCAACAAGGTCGTCAGCAAGTACATCGACCAGGGTGTGGCCGAGCTGGTGCCTGGTGTGCTCTTCATCGACGAGGCCCATATGCTCGACGTCGAGTGCTTCACCTATCTCAACCGCGCCCTCGAGTCGTCCATCTCGCCCATCGTCGTGCTGGCCTCGAACCGCGGCATCACCACCATTCGTGGCACCGATGACCTGGTCGCTGCCCACGGCGTTCCGCCCGACTTTCTCGCCCGCATGCTCATCATCCCCACCCACGCCTACGATGGCGACGAGATCAAGCGAATCGTGCGCATCCGCGCCACCACCGAGGGCGTCGCCGTCAGTGAGGCCGCCATTGACCGCATTGCCGAACATGGCGTGCGCATCAGCCTGCGGTACTGCCTGCAGCTTCTGGCACCTGCCAGGTATGCAATTTCTTTTTCTTTTCTCTCTTTCCCTTCTCCCACTAACAAGTACAGCATCCTGGCCCGGATTGCCGGGCGCAAGGAGATCGACATCAAGGACGTGGCCGAGTGCGAGGAGCTCTTCCTAGACGCACGGCGAAGTGCGGCGCTCCTGGCCAGCGAAAACGGCAAGGATTTCCTGCCATAGAGCAGAGCGACAGGCTACAGGCATCGACATGCCAGGAAGCCCCACAATTTGGCGAGACAGCTCATTTCCAGCTTTGTCTCTTCCGTGGCTTGAGACGACCATCGGTGGTCCAGCTGAAGACTTGGCCGACAAGAACGACAAAGAGGAATGGCGGCCCAGAAGAGCAGACAGGGAGGGGCAAGAAGGAGGATGGGAGACGCAACAGACTTGTCAGATCTCGGAAGAGGGACAGCAGGGCCGCATGGAGAATCTGGTGGGGACAGCTTATTGGTTTTGATTTCTTTGCTCTTCTCTGCTTAATGGCTGCATTTGTCTTTCTCTCCTTATTTCGAAAAGTGGGTTGCTTTCAGCATTCAGAGCACGGGAGCAACAGATAAATGACAGCCGAGACAGGAGATCCGGACGCAGGCAGACATGGACTGGAAAGAAAAGAACAGTCTGGTGCCAGAAGCCCGGCATCAGACTGTCCGCCTCGTCTTTCGTTGGCTGCCTATACCCGCCGTGACCCTGCATCTCTCTCTTTAGGGTTCGTTTTCTGTCTCAACCTCGTGTCTGACTACGGCTCGACGTTTGCTGCTCCTCTTGGTTGGGAGTTCTGTTTACCGGGGGAATCCCATGTCTTGGATTGCATGCATGAGAAACACTTGCCTCCCCTGAATGCCCTTGCCAATCGATCAGATGACCCAAGCGTTTTGTGATTTCGCTCGCGTCACACTGAGTCGTGATGGTTTGTCGGTTGGGTCACGTGACAATATACTGCATCGTAGACACGTCCAACGAGCCAAACGCCAAAATAGCCCGCATCTGATGGCGGGTGGGCTGCCAGAAATGGCGCCCGATACTACTCCAGGAGCAGGTTAACAAAGCATCGAGAGACAGCGGAATTCGTGGAAGAAATGGATGGCCCTCAGCGATGGCACCGCCATGAGCTCATCGGCTATCGAAACAGGCAGCAGCAGCAAGTCGGCCAACATACATTGTCTTTGTTGCCGTTGGCGCAAGCTGCAAGTGCTACGAGCCCAAGGGCCTAATCAGTTTCCGGCACCTTGGTCCGGTTTGTTGTTCGCGTACGGTCCAATCACGATGCCCAGCCTTGCCGTGCAGCGCCAGAACAGCAGGCCAGGTGAGAAAGAGGCAAGTAAGGGAGGACGTTGCGTGGGATCGTGCCAGCACTGCCCGATACACGGCCATTGTCTGCCGCAAATGGCAAATGGCAAAAAGCAGCTGCAACGGTCTGACACCATGGTCGTTGGGAGTGTGTATATGTGTGCGCGTGAAAACAAGCCTGCCGGAGCAATGGCAGCCTCCCTTGGACATGGGACTGCGTCCGTGTCCCCTCCATGTTGGACGGAAACGGCAAGTTGACATGGAACGACGAAGAGCAGACGCCACGATGGCACACAACAGCATGCACCGCTCTTGTTCGCGATGGACGAAGGCGGCAGCAAAGAGGTCAAAGAAAATGATATAGTCGCTAGCACAAACACGCGGTAGGTAAGCGGAGGCCAGCCGTAGCAAATGAATATCCGAAATGGCTTCTGTGGGCAGAGACCGTTTTTCGTCAGTCGCTCTCCCAACAGCGTCTTTCCTCCGGTGCAGCTTTATTTCTTTTTCGTCTCACTCTCTCTTTTAGCCTATCTGCCTTTTTTTTTCTTTCTTTTTCCCGGCTTCCCTGTCAATAATTCGCATCAAAGGCAGGGGTTCGTTCAGCATTGAGAAGCAGTACCAATAGCAACAGCCAAAAAAGGAGAATGATGGGAGGGTTGTAGGCCACCCTCCCTTTCGTCTATTTTTTTCCTACATGGTGTCTTCCCATTCATCAGCCCCAGCAGCTGTTGAGATGGCCTTTTGGGTCTTGACACGTTGTTTTGACTGGTCCCCGGAAGGGGAAGTGAGTTCCGGACAAGCTATACCCTTTTTTGGGGGGAACAGCAGCAAGGAGGCCATTCTGCCTACCATTTCTATGTGACAGCTTGCATAAAGACAAAAAGAAGCGAGGCTTGCTACAAACATAGTCATACCAACACACCCCCCCCTCCCCTTTCTTAAATATTGTAGGATGCAAACACACTTCTGCCTTCGTCCCAGGATATCTCACAAAGGAACAATACCTCAGAGAGAACTAGCTTCCAACTGAGGGCAATTCATTCCACTGCGTAGCTTCCCTGCCATTCTGCTTCTCTGCCAGCCCTCAGTTCGAGCAATAAGATCACCCACACCGTCGATTTTGCCTCATTCTCTTCGTTTCATCTTGCTCTTTTACAAATCCCACCTGTCATAAACAAAATCATCAGAAGCCAGTCCACCTAAACGGCTTCTGTCCAACCAGGTCGATCGGTTTCAGTTCTTGCTGTCACTTCTCTCATATCCATATATTGAATCCTTTTCTTTTACCCCCCTCCTCTTCACGACGCATTCAGCTTCGTTCTGGCCATACGCCGTTCTCCAACTTCCTTACATGTCATCTCTCGCACAGAAATATATATTATTACAAGACTGACGCTCTTTCATTTCATGACCCACCCCTTCGCGGACCAAACGCTCTCCAAGCCGACCCAAACGCCCTGCCTCTCCGGTTCCGTTGTGGGACCTGACTCTGCTTCCCCCTCTCGCTCTCTTCTCTGTTCCTCTTGGCCTCTCTGCCTCTCTGCCTCTTTGCCTCTTTGCCTCTTTGACTCTTTCTCCCTGTTTATTGGGAAAGCCTTTTTGTTGCGTCACTATATAACTTCTCCTTTTATATCTGGCTGTCGTTTTCTCTTTCATCTTTCTAACCCTGTCATCGCCTTTCTTCTCTATTATTGTCTTTCTCTTGCAGTCTCACCTCCGTTCGGCAGCATTGCTTTCCTGCACCTATTCTTGTTTTTACCCTCCCCTTACCGTTACAATACGTCGTCGTTTTACTATCGCTTCTGTCTTGCACTACTTCTTGACCTTTGCCAGTTTCTGTTGTTGACATCGCACCCTCTTATACATGGCCATGTCGTCTTTGAAGGATGGCAGCAGAAGTGCACTTGGGAGGGACGGTCCCCGATGCCTTCCACCTCCGCGTCACTCCACGGATAGAAGCGCTGGAACCAGGAACGGTGACGGCAGGGATTCAGGTGGCGAGGATCGACATTCAATCACGGTAGCAACATCTCGTTGCCTCCGTCTTCCACTATCTACTGCCAGCTTTCCCCTAATGCCGTCACCTAGTCATCGTTCGACATCTGTCATGTTGCCACCACCTCTCCTGAAAGGTGTTGATGGGTACGAGAAAAGCGAGAGCGGAAATACACCTAAACTGGACAGTTCACCCCGCCTGAGAAAAAAGAGGCCAGCTCCACCTCATCCTCTCTTGGATGTGGAAAGTGTGCATAGCGACATGAGCGACTCTGATGAAGACGAATCCGAGAACATGGCCGATGGAGACGTTCGCAGGGGCATCTCGGCGCTGGAGACTCTTGACCCGCCAAGCATGTCGAATGGCGACTTCATCTGCCTCTGTACGCCGGCTCCCAAGATCCCTCGACCCCGAAATGGTAAGCATCTTGAGCTCTCCGTATTCCGTTGAACTTTGTGCTAAAGAAGGGTAAAACCCCCCAGCTTTTATCCTGTTTCGGCAGCACTATCAGGCACATGTCGTGGCAGAGAATCCGGGCCTTACAAACCCAGACATATCCAAGATCATCGGTAAAATGTGGCAGAAGCAGCCGAAAGACATCAAGGATGAGTGGAAAAACCTTGCCGACAAAGAGAAAGCACGGCATCGTATCCAGTACCCAGACTACCGCTATCAGCCCAGGCGTGTTGGCAAAGGTGCATCTGCAAATGGCCGATCGGGCATAGCGGGCGTTTATGGGAGCGAAGGAGCAGGCGGCAACAGCGTTGCAAACGGCGAGCTCGACCCTAGCCGCTGTCCTAAATGTGGAGGACGGTACATTGCCACGCCTCGCACGCCTTCATTATCGCGGTATGCGCTGGTATCAGCAAAGATGCAAGGAACACCGACGTCTGCCATTGCCATGTTCGACACGAGTAAAGGCAAGAGCAACAGCACAGCAGGTGCCATACACACAACGTCTGCGAGCTTTGAGTCCGAGCGGAACTACCGCCATGGACTTTCCAGTCCTGGGCCGTCCCAGTATTCGTCCGTGTTTGACAGAAATTACCAGCGAGAGTCGGGTCGTCGGCCGCTACCACAACATGGCCGTTTTGGTGTCAGTCCTGGTCCCGGTGCTGGAGTTGGTTCTGGTCCTGGTGCGGCTGCTGGATATATTGACGACATTCCTCCTGAACACAAACGGAGACGCTATGAGATGCCGGCGGCTTCGCCTGCACATCCGGCCAGGGAAACCGGGTTCGTCTCGTACCGACCGGCACCTCATCAACACTACACCGGCAACCCTCCACCGATGACACCCACGTCTGCCCCCTTGCCCTCGTATCACCGGCCCCCGCAAACATGGATGGATCTTCCACCACCGACACCGCCCAGGCTTGCCACAAGAAGCCAGATCAATGGGTTTGATGCAAGAAGCGATAATCCCACGTCAGAGGCGACCCGTAATGGAGGCCGGCTGCCTGCCCAGTACAGGTCTTCGTCCATGTCGTCATATCCTTCAACGTTGGCCCACCATCCGGCATCTCAGATCCAGCGCACACCGGTCGACAGCAAGTTTTCGCTGTCTGCTGTAAGGCGGCCCGGAGATGTGACATCTGGACGGGAATATGCTCCGCAGTTGGCACGTCTCCCACCACCCGGAACCTCATATGGCTATTATCACCTGGCAGAAAGCGCCGACAATACTACCCAACCGCCTACCACACCTATGACAGGGTTGTCAATGGCGACAGCCACTCCTCGGTCTGCTTCGGTGGTTGATCCGCAAACAGATGCCAGTGGCGCTGCTGGTAGACAGCAGCAGACCCGGTCTGGCATTGCAGATGATTCCCTGAAGCTTCCCCCACTGCAAACATATATGCTTCCAAAGGCACAGTCACCGCCCAGGTCCGATTCGAGCAATGGTGACGGCGGTGGCGAAAGCAAGAGCGCTATCACGAGAAGCCAGTCTACCATCCAGCCAGGCTCTTCTGTCGACGTCAAGATGGCGTCAGACAGCGTTTGTAACAGTGCTGGGAGTAGCGGTTTGCAAGACCTGCGCTCATTTGCCATTGCCCCAATACCCATGGCAAGAGATGGGAACACGGACAGGGACAACCAGTCGAGTGGTATCTGGGCCATGGTGATGAGCGTGCCCTATCTGAACAAGCTGGAGGTTCTGCGACGCACCAGCCCACCACAGACAGGGTTGTCGAAGCGAGGCCCAATCATCGCCGTTGAAGGCTGCAATGAGGCACTGATTGCGGAGGTCGGCTTGATTGTCGAAAAGGCCTTGGTGCAAAGCGGGGAGTGTGCTGTTGGGGTGTGGTCCACGCTGGCAGACAGGGGACAGGACAGGCCCAGCAGCAGAGGGGGCGACTGTGCCGAGGAGAATTATGACGACCAGTACAGCGGCTCTGAGGCCCTGTCATCCTATCACAACTTCATCGTGTCCTGGCACAGAAAGTCGCAGGAGATCATCCAGCACATCAAGACCACAGAAAAGCTTGCCTTGGCGCCGACACCGTCAGCTTCCTCAAGTGCCACCCCGCAGCCCGAGGAAAGAAAGGGCACAGGTGCCGTTGTTTCCGCGTTGGCAGACAGGGCAATAACTCCCCCGGCTCCACCATCACCTGCATCGCCGGCTTCGGCGACTGCCACACCGTCGCCCGGCCATTCTCCCCACCCGCAGAAAACACAGCCGCCGTCAGCAACAGCGGCCCGCCTGCCGGTCGCACTCATCACCGGCGGCTATAGCCTTTCCATCTCGGACCACTATGCCACATCTGTGCCCATCGAGGACGGCTTTCCGCCCATCGGCCACTGGGAATGGATGGCAACGCTGTGGCGAGGTACAGCTGGCCCCGACCTGGTGATATATGCCGACTCTAAGCCGGCGTTGAAGCCAATGGACAGTGTGGTCAATCTTCACGCGCAAGAGGGCGTCATGGTTTTCCACGTGCCATCAAAACCGTATGTCGGGAGCCAGGACAGCGCCAACAACAAGCTGGTTGACGACAAATCGAGCAGACGCCTGGCTTTCGAGGTGATGGAATGGGTGCGTACTGCCGGCTTCTGCGAGGATTGAAGTCAGGAGCGATGGCTGTGGGAATAGAAACGGAAAGCTGAGAGAAATACGAAGTGAAAGACGGAAAAGGGTTGAGGGAACACTTCCCAGGTATACTATGGTGTTGTACCGACGCTTGGGGAAGGAGCGTTCCTGCAAAGCAGGAAGGAGGAAGTATTGGCGGGCCTTCTGCACTTGTATTTTGTCGATTGCTGCTTTGTTGGTGCAGTTCCGCTGTCTATTATCTACACTCGTTTCTTGCCCGGCCAACAACATATCAGATAAACCCCCGCTGTTTTGTTTGTGCACATTGGCAGAGGTGTGGGATTGGTAACAAATTGCATAGCTTGACTACTTCACATGCGCAAAACAGGACCGACGACCAGGTAGAGGACGCAAGAGGCAACCACCGACAAATGCAGCATAATACGACTACCGAATCTCAAAAAGAGCGTCAAGACCTCCTGTTGATTGCTGGAAGCTCGCTGTGCATCTCGTCAACATATCCACCCCTTCACACTTCGTATCGTACACCCACCAGACTCGTCGTGCCGATTAGCCCTCCCATGTGTCTTGCTGGCTCAAGAAGTGGTGATATCTGGCTTAGGTGGGGTGGGCTTGGGCGGGTCAGGCGTCGGCGGGCCGTCTTGAATTGCCATCATCGCCATAGAAAGATGGCAGGAACGCATGTTGAGCGAATGAACGAGAAGTTGTCCCTGGATGGGAGGCAGCAGATGCTGAGATGGTGCAGCGCAGTAAAACACTCCCTGTGTGCGAGTGTTGGAAGGCAGAGGTAGCTTTGGGCGATTTGATAGAGAAACAAATGGTAATCAGAGTTATGGGTCACTTTCGATCCTGGACGGGAGCGGGCAACGCCAGCTTAGAGGATCAGAGAAGGACAGAAGGAGAGAGGGTGGACGAGAGTGGGAGCGACTCCATATATGACATCGGTCCTCAGGCGTGCTCCTACGCTTTACGTCAAGCAGGCACTGGGAGTCCGTCTGCAATTGTAAGCCTCCCCCCACGCCTGGCTGCCGGCGTCAATGGGTTGTAAATGAGAGGAGATCGGTATATGTACGAGTGCATTTACTCCGTAGTTCCCCAAATGTTTTGTCCCAAGAGGGGCGAAAACGAACGGAACGACAGCTCATCACGCCCTTCCCTAACATGGTGCATGAATGACGGGAGCCAATGCTGGCTGTTTGGGCCGCCGACCGGCCCGCTTATCCCTGTGATAGAGATGGCCTGACAGGGGTGGCTGCTAATACAACGTGGACGTCATGGGACATCGCGAGACCGATGGGCGTCAGTGCCACAATGGTGCACGTGGCAGTCGTCTCTACCTCCTAGTCCTCCTGGGATTGTCCTCAGCTTTTCCTGGCGTGGTTCGATCGGCAAACAGGCAACTTGAGTGAGTCAAATGAGTGGGCTTTGATGCCACCAGGAGTAAGATACATCGCATGTACACAGAGAGAGACTTCAAGGCACTACTGGCATAAACCCAACTCCTGCCTCGTACATGGCCTGTAGAGTATCTTACCAGTCCTCTCGTCTGCGTACCGAATTCCCCCACAGGGTGACTGTACGACGTGCGTGTACGAGCATATACTCGCACACCGCGTATCGCCAACCGAGAAGATGGAAGCTCCTTCCTGGTAAGTACTGGTACGCATACGCGTATCCTGCGACGAGAACGGAGCCCGAGGGGACGGCTGAGCCATCACGGGTTAGTCTCCCGACAGCTGTAGCGATCGCGGCACCTTATCGGGACTTGTGGGAATAGTACTTTCGAGTATGTAGTATGCAGTCTATTCTCCTGCCTGCCACGCCTGTCTCTGCCGTCTTTATTCTGATCCAACCACGACGTCCGGAGGCAAGCCAGCTGGCACTCTCTCGGCCTCTTGCCAGAATGCGACATTGATAACAACACCGAAAAGCGGCAGCGGATAGAGCGGGAAGAGGGAGATACGGCAAGAGGCGCACGGAAACGCGGACAGAACAGGACGGGCAAGATAACGGGAAGAGGCATGTTGCTGGGTCCCAGGCGCTACCCACTCAGCTCCATCTATGGTTTGCCACCAAGGCTGCGTCTTCATCTGTCTGTCGGCGCGTGACGTCGTACTGCGGCAGCTCGACTTGCCCTGTGCTTTTTTTTTCCTCCGCTCCTAACGAGGACGAGCAATCGGCACGGACCGGGTGCTCAATGTGGGAGAATGTGCAGAGCCAGCTGAGAGAGAGAAAGAGAGAGAGAGAGTGCAGATATTCGTAGACGGCAAAAGAGGCAGAGCGTCGCCGAGCTTCGGACAACAGTAGCTGCTGCAGAAGGGAAGAACGAAAGCATGTTGCCTGTCTGTCTCTGTCTGTCCGAGTGTCCACCCGCTACAAATACTCGTGAGATACATGCTCTCTTCGCATGAACACACGCCCCTCCCCCCCACTCATCAAAGGCCCAACGGATTGGGTATTTAGACTGACTCTTTGACCGGCCTCTTTGCCCTCGAGTTCTGCTACGTAGTATCTCTCGGTGGCCGTACGAGTACGAGGAAGAGGCCTGGGCGACTGCATCTTCTGCGTCTGTGCTCCTTCCTATCATACCCCAGATTCACACCTCTTCGTGAGCAGCCTCCCCTACCATCCGACGCCCTGTGCCTCGCGTAGCCCTGGCTCTCGGAACGACGACAGGCATGAACTTGGTCTTTGTGTGTCAACCCCTTGTAGCCCATCTCACGTGCTATTCCTAATTTGTTGCCACACCTCCTTTCTTTCTCGGCCGCGCATTACCCTCTGTCGGTCCTTCTTCTCCGGCAAGCCAAAATCAAATGAACATCTGCTGTCGCGAGCACGGCCCCTCCTGGTTGCTTAGTCATCATATTCGGAGGACAAATGCTGCAGTCTGCAGGTACGACGTACGGAGGGAAGCAAGACATTCTGCTCTGCATCCCGGCAGGTTTTGTAGCCGAGGCCAGGCAAGTATGTCAAGCAGGCGGCTACTCCACACTTGCCATACAAGCCCACCAGCTTCCCCATTTTTTTACTCTTTCTCCTACGAGTGCCCGTACTCGTATTTCGACCCGAGGTACAGAAGCAGGTGACTTTTTACGTCATCCTTGCTGCTGCGGTCTGCGAGGCACTAACACACCACTAAGCTCCACCTAGCCCCCGCGTTTAACGGGGGCCTATCTTCACCAAGGAAGTTTGCCTGGAGGCGCGTCCGCAGGCCATACAACTAGCACCCGAAGCTGGCAGAAATGGAGAGAGAACCAGCACACTAGCACAATAAGTACATGGAAGGAGCAAGCAGCCGTCTGCCGAGAAGAGGAGCAACGAATCGGCTTAGAGGGAATGCCAAACGGGAGGAGAATCAGGAGGAAAATCAGGAGGGCAATCAGGCGAGCTTAGAGCTAAGCCGAGAGGCAGGCGACAGAGACGAATGATATGTCGGCTAACCATGGCATTCGGCACTTGGCACTAGGCTCCAGGAACAGAAACAGATCTGCCATATATAAAAGCAACAGACTGCTCATTTCCGTTTTCTGCTAGCACTGCCGTTTCCGTTGTTTGTCTCACTTGAAGCTACTCCCCAAGACAAAGACTCGACAGAGGAACGATCCGTAGACGACCCAAAGCCACCCAAAGAACCTCAACCCCAAGTCCGACATCTCCAGTTTCAACCTCATCCGATCGTCATGGCTCCCCTCAAGCCGCACTGGAAGCAGCCGTCCCACCCGGACATCCAGGAGGTTCTCGTCGCCGCCGACGGCGACAATGCCTTCACCACCAAGAGCATCTCCCGCATAGAGCTGCCGCCCTTTGCGCTATTTGCCCGCCTGTCCTCTCCGCCGTGCACGCCAGCCGCTGCGCCGACCTATGCCACCGTCCAGGTCTCCCGTGACCGGCACATCAACCTCAACAGCGATCTGCTGTACATCAACCACTCGTGCGAGCCGTCTTTGGTGGGGTCCCTCTCCCCTTTCCCTCTGCTCTTCCCGCTGATCCGTCTTCCCCGCTTCTCGTCTCGCTTCCTGACACGCCCATCCAGATCTTTGATACCGCAGGTCGGGCCGTCTGGGTAGGCCCCAAGGGCCTTCGCCCGGGCGATGAGCTCACCTTCTTCTACCCCTCCACGGAGTGGGACATGGCCCAGCCGTTCTCCTGCTTCTGCGGCACTGCCACCTGCCGCGGCCAGATCAGCGGCGCCCGCTCCATGCGGCGTGATCAGCTGGCCGGCCTGTGGCTGAACGCCCACATCTGGGACTTGCTCGGAGAGCAGGCAGGCGACCACCAAGAAAAGAGTGCAACCGTCTCGGCCTCGCCCACCGAGCTGGCCCTCGAGGAGATTCTGGCCAAGACCGAGGAGACGCTTCGCAAGGCCGACGAGGCTGCAGAGACCGCCCGCTTCGCACTGGCCACGTACCGTCACAGCGGTAACGCAAACGGAACAAACGGCACAAACGGCCACCATTATGGCGGAGCCGCCGACGACATCACCACCGCCAAAGGAGCGACTCGACGCGGACCGACGTCACGTGAGCTCAGCGGCGAAATGGGCGGTGATACTGTACGCACGTAAAAAGGGGGAACAGGCGACGGAGGAGGGTGAGGGAAGGTGCGATATGGCGAGGGCGGAAGGTGTCGTTCTTGGTCCAACCCAATATTCTAGTTTTCTTTTCGGATCCAACATCCGACCAACTCCAAGACCACGTTTTCATATACACCACGTTGCCAGCGTGAACTTTAGTCACGTCCATTGATCTCTACGGCGCGGAGAGCAAATGATAACGCCAGAAGGGAACCGACCGAGTATAAAAAAAGACAGTCTCGTCTGTACATTGCCCCAAACTCCCAAGCCATGCTCGCCGTATCAATAGAGCATTTATATAGCTGATCCCCCCAAAAACAATATGTAAAAGAATAGCACAAACTAGTGCAATAACGAGGGAAAGCACAAAGTACCCAAACGATAGCCGATAAGGGTAGATGAGAGAAGCCAAGCAAACCCCAGGACCAGCACCAGCCAGCCATTAGTAGCCCCAGAAGTGGCCGTCCCGTCGACCCTTCTCGCTACCGACGCCGCCGGCGTACTTGGCTTCTTCCTTTTCCCATGCCGTCCGCTCCGCATCGGCTCGTGCCAAATACGCCCGCGCAAACTTCCAAGCCTCCATGTCGCCAATGTTCCATGCCTCTACCGCATCGCGGATCGACTTACTCTTCTGGTCCTTGCTATCAGTCATCTGCTTCGCTTTGGCCAGCAGGTCACGCTCTATCACCAGCCTTTCCGGCGTCGCAATCGGCCCATCGTCCTTGTCGTGCTTTGGGGGCGGCAGCCGCTCCGGACCCGGCACAGGCGTCTGTGATTCACCCTTATCCAGGCCCTCCCCCAGCCTTGGCACTACAAAGCCGAATCGCCAGTCGACGTCCTCCGGCACCGGCTGCTCGGCTGCAAACCACAGCGTATGTGCTCGTGCGTATTGGCCAGCCACAGCCTCCTTAAACCGCAGCACGCGCCGCGCCGAGGATACTCCGGTACCCAGCAGCTCCTTCGTGATGTCGAACAGCCACACATCCCGCTGAGACTTGCGTCGCACCCACTTCACGTCGAGAGACCCCTGCTTGTGGGCCACTGACTGGTATGTGTATGGGTGTGGTACCGTGCCGATCGTGAACAGCGTCGACACGTTGCGGTATGTTGGCGGTGTATGCACAGGCATCGGCGACTTGGCCACGCACGGGTTGCATGTGAGGAAGTTCGGTGGGCATGACGACTCCAACGGCGTTGCCGAACACTGGACCAGGCGATTGGCCAGCCCCAAGGCCGGCTCCACGATCTGGGTCATGTATTCGGACTTTGGCTTGAGGACCGCAATGCCGCTTGAGAACGTGTTTTGCCAGGTGACGTGCAAATGTGAGTTGATCAGCTGGTTCAGCTTGAGCATGCCTTCTCCCCAGTTCTGCGAGATGGAGTCGCCCACTTTGGTGTACTTCATGGCGACAGTTTGTGCTTCGTAGAAAGCGAGAGAAGTAGGAGTCGAGTCAACTCTGAAGGGAAAATCTTTTGTTGGCTGTTTGTAGTCGTCCTCAACAGTCTTCAACTTCGGTGACTCTGCCTTTGGTGTGTCCACCTTTACAGGTTCAACGATGGCCCGGGCTGCATGTTGGACCGGTGCGGCTGCACCAGCTGCTGCAATCGGAACTGCAGCGACCGGGGCTGCAGCGACTGGCACCGCTGCTCCTGCGGCTGCTGCTGCTGCTGGCGGCGCTGCTGCTGCTGGCACTCCTGCTGCTGGCACTGCTGCTGCGGGCACTCCTGCTGCGGGCACTGCTGGCACTGGTGCCGCTGCTCCTACTGGTGCCGCCACGGCGGCTGGAGCTGCTGCCCCGGCCAACGCTGCTGCTCCAGCTGGTGCAGCCGCCACAGCTGGTGCCACTGCCTCAGCAGCTGCAACAGGAGCTACCTTTACGGCGGGAATCGCCTCGAGGAAGCTCTCGGAGTTGACGAGCAGAGGGTTGTCCAGGACCAGCTTGATAGCGCCAGCAATGTCCGCCTTAGAGCCGGCAAAGAGTCCATTGCCAAACCCCTCCCAGCGCGTCAGGATCGGGTATTCCCCCCGGCGCAAGAACGTGAGCAGAGCGTCATCTCGTGCACCCATGGGCAGCACGAGGTACTGCGCCAGCAGGCCGCCTCCCATGTTCTCCCAAGCCAGCCAGCGCATAATGTCTGCCTTGGCCGCGGGGGTGACCTTGAGGTGTTGAAGCTGCTCGTAACGCGGGTTGTTGATCGCCTCGCCCGAGCTGAGGATGATCGGACGGAAACCTTGTGCCCACCAAGCCCGACGCCAGGTGAGCAGCAGGGCGCTCTCGGCATCCCTCTTGGCCTTGTCGCGCTCGAGGGTGGCGTCGTAGTAACAATAGATCGGCGGACGCTCAGGCAGTGGGGGCAGCAGCGCGCGATCCTCGTCAAGGGTGTAGCTCGAGGAAAACGGCGTCGTGAGCCACGACCAGTGGGACGACCAGGACGAGCCCTTGTGCGACTCGCTGTCGAGACTTGGTGGTGCGTGTGATTTGGGACGGAACGGATGCAGCGCGCTGGACCATGCGTTGGATTGTCCCCCGAATTGCGGAAGGGAAAACTTGTGATCGGCAAACTTGGACAGGCTGGGACCAGTCGGTACTGCACTCGGGAGAGTGAAGATGACAGAGAAGACGGCAAAAATAAAGACGGCTGTTAGCAGGACGGTTATTCGTCGCGTCGTAATGGGCGGCAGTAGCCGCCCGAAGAGAACGTATTGCTTCGGCATCGCTGCGCCGTCTGGGCGCCGGTGTCTTATTATATCAGGGGGAGCAAGAGAAAGGAAATGTATGGTCAGATCCGATGAAGAAGAGGAAAAAGAATGTTTGGTAGGTGCGTCAATTCATGTCTCAGGAATGACTCTGTTGGTTCACTCGGTGCACGGCAGGCAAAACGACAAGCCGAACATGCCTTTGGGCTGTGATTCCGCGCGTTGAGAAGGGAAAGTGTTCACAGCTGCTGGAGAGCATCCTATGCGCGTCGGCCAGGGGTAGCGGCCCAAGTATCTCCACGTGATAGATCACGGGTCGTTCATGGACTGTCTTTATCAGAAGAAGCAAAGCTAACCCAATCTGACCAAGTGAGGGCTACAAAGTGGGTACCGAGTTTTCACACACACAAAATTTCTATTCCACGAAATTTCAACTTGTAGTTGGATTCTTTTTTTTTCCCTCCTCCATCTTGCAGCGACCACGACAGCATCCTTTCCAGCCATCACGCCGCCGCCCAGCAAAACCGACACAATGGCCAAGACCAACAAGAGTATGCGATAATCCCTGGCTTCCTTCTAGCTGTGCCGTCCTGCGCTCTCCCAATGCTGACTCCCGCAGACCTTCACTCCTCCCGGAGCAAGTCGCGCAAGGCGCACTTCACGGCGCCGTCCAGCGTCCGCCGCACCATCATGAGCGCCCCCCTGAGCAAGGAGCTGCGCGAGAAGTACAACGTAAGTCTTATCGCCTCGCTTGGGGATCTGCTTGCCAATGCGGAACGCAAATGCTGACGGATTTTGCATTCATAGGTCCGCAGCATCCCCATCCGCAAGGACGACGAGGTCACCATTGTTCGCGGCTCCAACAAGGACAAGGAGGGCAAGGTCACCTCGGTCTACCGCCTGAAGTACGTCATCCACATCGACCGTGTGTCTCGCGAGAAGGCCAACGGCCAGAGCGTGCCGCTGGGCATCCACCCCAGCAACGTCGTCATCACGAAGCTCAAGCTCGACAAGGACCGGGAGAGCATTCTGGCCCGGTCCAAGGCTGGCCGTGAGCAGCGCATCAAGGCCAAGGTCACCGCCTAAACGAATAGAAAAATCGAATTCCGGATGAACGAAAAAAAAACGTGAAAAAGGGCGTGCAATCGCCGGCTTCAGCCTTCTTCCTGATCTCCGACCTTTCCACGATTCCCTACCGCAAACCTCCTATACATACCCTCCTACAACGCGGCAATACGACCTCCGCTGAGTCTGTGTTCCTCTCCGAACATTCTTTTGTCTATTTTCATGGCGTCCATGGTAGGATCTGGGTGGCAGGAAAAAGATCCTTTTCGAGCAAACCATATGAAGAAAAGGAAAGCAAAGGAACAACAAAGAAGAGACAAACCTTTTTCTTGCTCAATGGCCATTTCACGTGCAACCAACAAGTGGAAAATTGCGTGAAATGCTCCATGGGAGGTCCTCCCGAAGATGTTTCCCACATTTCCTTTCCCCCATTCCTCTGGCTTTGGCAAAGCCACCCTCTCCCCTTTTCTACCTACGCCAACATCGTACAAAAACTGCGTAACCCGCATGTTGCAGCTGTGATGCGCCATGCAGATCCAAGTAAGTCAACAACCGCTAGATATCACCACGTTAACCACTTCCCATTGGTTTTCGAGGTAAACGACTAGCGAAGAGCAACCCGGCGTGAGGTTAAAAAATCGTACGCTCTTGCCTGCAGACTGTTAATGAAGGGGGCAACCTCGGTGACATTGTCATTCTGTGGGCGAGGAACATCCATGTAAAGCACAGCGGTGCGGACCGTAGTGAACATCGATGCAACTTGAGCTTTTTGAAGTTTAATGCAACAGAGCTCATGTTCAAGTCTACATAGTAATATTCAAGGCATCTGGTCAAATAACGAAAAAAAAAAAAAGGCTGTCCCTCCCATTTTACCGTTTGCTTCATCACAATGGTGCTTATTTGCATCGGATGCCCCCCAAACCACAATCTTAGAACATCTTTTGTTCATCCCCCTTGAGAAGTATGTTGCGATGGCCAAAACAGTAGCGTGTATTCGCTAGTTAATAATGTGCGGTATCACACCTCAGTGATCATTGCATTGAAAGCAACATGAAAGATGTGCGGAGAGCGATGAAGCCTATGGTTATCAGATGCCATTACTAAGTAAGGATATCAAAACACGCAAGAAAAGATAGTTTGTTGATAATGCGAGTCCCAAGTTGTTTGGGCCCTGCGGCAATGGTGCGTAGAGCTGTTGTGAATAATACCGAACGTATAAGAAGTTGCCAGAATGCGAGGCCGGCCTTAGAATGCAACTGCTATGGCCGCTTTATTGCGAATCCCAGTGCACTGGAAGGGCCGATGTTTGTTTGTTTCCCAAAGTGACGACATTTCGAAATTTTTGCTCCAAGGAAGTTGGGCCAACATCATCCGGTGGAGGTCGGTTCTCTCCAATCTTTCTCGACGGTGTGAGAAATACACTGCCTTCGTCCGACTTGATTGGAGATGGCTGGCCAGATGCATTAGGCGACGGGGCAATTGGACTCAGCGACGCAGCTAGCAGGCTCTCATAACCCGAGGAATACTGAGGCAAAATTCCTTGGGCCGTAGCCGATGAAAAAGAGCCAGGCAAGACGTCACTATTGCCCGAAATGTTTCTTCTTAGCATGTTGGGTAGAACGGTCGCTCTGTATATAGACCACTTGTTAGAAGCCAGAAAGCCGTTGCACTTTCGGAAAGAAACCTTACTTTGCTTGACCATCCACGTTCTTGCTATCTGAAGCACAATGGTTGGCGCCGACCGTCTTTGAGCAGCCGTCTTGCCGTAGAGATCTGTCCGTATTTTCCTCCTTGGGGCGTTTCTGAAAGACAGTTGGGTCAACAAATGCCACATAGGTGCTTGTGGGTGGGTTTTCTTACCAAAGTCACCTTGACACCCTTCCGCGATCTCACCACAAAGCCGGGTGTCAATAGATGGTGGGACTCGGGGTTCTTTGGAAAGGCCTCGAAGCCATAGTCAACCTCAGGGACTCCAATGGGAATGCTTCGACCTGGAACGCTGCATACACCATCGTCGTCGGGTATATCTCGCGTTGTAGCCGGAGGGTAGAAGTCCTTTCCATCAAATTTTGGAAGCCCCTCGCGAATGAACTGCGGTGCCTTGCCCCAGTAGAGGTAGCGAGCTCGAGTTTCATCATCATTTAGTTCCCTCTCGTAAACAAAATCGCTGCCTCGTGCGCTCCGAACATCCATGCCTGCTGGAAGCATACCGACGAGGTAGGGTCTCCCCAGCTTGGTCTGCTTCTCTGCTGGAAGAGAGGAGGAATAATTATTCTGGTCAGCGCTCGTGCGGCACTCTGCAGTTCGAGAATTAACTGTTGGGCTATCTTGTTGATAGATGTATTGAGGGCCATTGCTACCAAGATTTCGCGCATTCATAACGCAGTCTCTTCCACTGGACATGGCAGTTCGCGGCTCAAAAGGCGGAGCAAGAGCTGCACCAGTAGGGAGCGTAGATTTTTTGATAGGATCTGCAAACTGAACAGGGTGTTCGACTGGGTCGAAACTGAAGCACGCCTCGTTTCTCCTCCTGGATAAATTTGGAGGCTGCTGGCTACCACTGTCAGATCTCCTGGTACTACTGGACACTTGCCTCGAACTGGCCCCAGTATTGTATGTCTTGTCTGAGCTTTGAGAGGCTTGACGTGACGCTTCGTCAGTCCTGCTGTCTTTCCTGGGATAGTGAAGTTCCTCGAACAAAAGCTGGCTTTTGTTAAGGCTTTCAAATTTATCAATCTGAGACTGGAGCATGTCGATCGTCCTCTCCATTTCCTTCTCGTCGATCTGGTGCTTGTTGTAGTGGAGCTGGTCTTCATGATACTTCAATGAGTTACGGAGTAAATCAATCTGTTTTCTGCTGATGTCGCTCGGGCGGATCGACGAGATAGGGGGAGCCGACGGAGGGCGTATGCTTCCAGATGATGGCACCCGCGATGTAGCATCAACTCTCTGTGGTGCGCCGGTCAAGTTCATCGTTGACGGTGGCAGATGTGTAGGTCCCTGGAACGCGTGGTAGCTCATAGTAGCGGGAAACATGTGGCTCATGGAGGGATTGATCATTGCATTCGGAAAGGCGGCAATAGGAAACCCGGAATGGCCAATGAATCCGGGTGGCATGTATTGAGATTGGGAGCTTGAAGAAACAGGCTGAGGAAAGGCAGCTGCTGGAAAAGGGTACATGACCTGGCCATTGATCATAAACGGCTTCATGTGGTCAAACTGATCGGCTGTCACCTTCTCGGCCGTTTTTTCAGCAGCAGTTGTCTTTGCCTCAGACAGCTCATTCTCTTCTGCGTCACCTTCCGCATTCCCCTGAGAGGATTTGAAAGCGTTTGTTTGCGAGGTACGTATAGCGGTTCCCGAAGTGGCCGAGTGCTGGGGAAAATGAAGGCCTCCAGAGAGGCCGACCCCCAGAGGAAAGGGCATCATGGGTATCTGTGAAATAGAAGCAGGGTATTGAGGGTAGAAGTGTTGAGGCGGAACTGCAAACATGGGGATTGTCGGAGGATGGGAAGTTGTTGGAAAAGCGCCGTCAGGCTGGTGAGTCTGTTGACGAACAGGTTGACTGTTGGAGCTTTGGCTACCGCTTTCGGTTTTATCCTTGACGCGTTTCGACATTGGTGATGCACCTCGGGTATTGGGAACGATTCGCCCGCCAGCCGTAACACGAACGTGAGTAGGGGACACTACAGCTTTGTAAAATCGTTGGAACCCTTCGCTATGTTGAGCGTTGAGCCCTGTGGGTGCGGACAGTGGTTCAGCGGAGGTGGCTGCTTCCGAGTCTGTTCTGCCACGATATTTTCATTCCACTTCTGCAGGAAGACTGCCCATAGTCCCCCGACGCGGCTGATGGCGCAAAGAGCCTGTGTCGTCTGATGTGGCCGAGACGTCAAGTTTTCCCCTCACAGATGCAGCGTGATGAGAGGGCTGTGGGCGATGCTTGTAGCCACGACCAGGTATACGGGCTTCGTTTGCCATCGATCGATTAATTTGATTATGGACTCGAGCAGTTAGGAAAGCATAAACCTGAGCTGGAAGTAGGATAATTACCTTGATCACGGCCCTTCAGAGGTGCATCAGGCATTGTCATAGCTATTCCGTGTCCACGCAAGTCTAGAAGTTCTTCTATCGAATACGTGCGCGAGGACATGGCTGCAAGTATATCGACGAAGGCAAAAATGAAAGAGGTCCGGTGGGTATCCTGACTTTGCCAATGGAAAAGGGTCGGAACGGTGTCACCTTTTGAAGGTCGGGGCGGTATACAAGACAGAACAAAGCAAGTCAGCTGGCTGAGCGTGACGAGATGGGATTCCTGTTTGGTTAGTCTCTGAGCTTCTAACTGTGATAAGACAAACTTTTGAACAGAACAGCAATCTGCCCGGATTGTAAAGGCAGTGTCGGAGCCGGCAGAGATGGCGACCGATTTGCAGTGCTTGCTGCATTTTAGATAGTGTTTAATAGCAACACAGCAAGGAGCAGTCAACTCGAGATCATAAAATTGAAGCTCAAAAAGCCTGTCCACAAGGGTTTTGGCGCGCTTGCTATAGGTCGTGAATGACATTGGGAAGGGTAGCAGTAAGTCTGCAGGTTGACAGGATGTCTGGTTATGGACAAAATGGTGGCATACTATACTTTCGACAGCTTAATCGTATATTATTATGCCCCCACATTAGAGTAACAGGAGGTCGAAAGAGCCGAGACGGAGGAAATGACAAGGTGGAGGGTGAGCTCAGTTCCATCATTCGCAACCTCAATTATTCCAGATTCCAATTGCAATCACCGGACCGGTACTTGGGATGACGATAGGGAGAGGGGGGGAGGGGGGTGCTTTGGTGATAGTGCCCTTACCGCTTGACGAAGAGTGCAGGAGTAGACAAGATAACTGCCGAGACTGATTTCTTCAGAGCTCGAACGAGGTGGACGAGAAGATCACAGCCGGTGGGAGAGCAAGCTGGTTGCCTTGGCTAGTTTTTTTTCTTTGGCTGATCGATGACAGGAGGAAATAAACAGTGCGACCGATATGCATATGCGGCCTTCGTGTCAAAAAGTTCCAAGAAAAGAGGCAGTAAAAAGAAGCAAGCGAATCAAAGGAGGTTGGCAAGAGATGGACACGTCCGGAGGTATGAAGGAGGGAGTTTGGAAGATGGATGGGAGGATAAAGAGGGAGGAAAGAAGAAGTGCGAAGATTCATATTGAGCCACCTGAAGGTGGAGAAGACGGCAAAAAAATACACCCAGATTGTTCCTTCCTTTGAAGGCACATACAGGATAGCGAACGCATTGGGCGTGTGAGACTACGTAAGAGGAAAGAGGGTCTATTCACCGAAAAGAAAGAGAAAGAACAGGAAGTAAGAGGGTCTTTCAAGGATCGTTCTAGATACAAGAATATTGAAGAAATAACGAAAAGCCGAGTCACGCCTGGCTTGTATTCAAGAAAGGAAACAAATCCCGGGGTTTCTCTACGCGCAAACTGCAACACCTTGACAGATGCTTTATGGAAAGTAGGATGTGACCACCTTCCATGTAGGAGCAAAGTGTCATACTGAAACACGCGGCTTCCTCATTTCATAATTGATCAATGAAGTAATTAGTTTGTACTTTACTAGTGAACTGCGTCCAAACACTGAGGTTTCCACCAGGTTCTGCCCTTTCTGAAGCTGATGAGGTTGAGCTTCGATGTCCCTGATAAAGCGGAGACACGTGATAGTTAGTGGAAAACGGCTACTACGGCGAGGATCTCCCACGGAGCCAACAGCCAATAGTGAGAAAGACTGTGGGGAATTTGGCAGTTAGCTAGGTTTGGGCTAACGCGTGCAGCTCGTTGAGAGGTTACTCCTTTTCTACGACAACAGAGCGACAGCAGCTTGCACCGACGACCGCAGACACGCAAGGCTACGGCTTAGATTTCGACCGGAAGCCACAGGGGGCAGAGCCGAGTGCATTGCAAAGTTTGAGGTCTGACTTCTGTGAACGTTCTTCGGCAGAACCCATGTCCGGCACATCTCCAGCTACGCGTCCGGGATTTTAGGCACAGATTCGATGGAGGTCGCCGTTGGGCAGGTGATCCTGCTTGGCGATGGCCGGCGAGGCACGATCCGGTTTGTCGGGCAGACGCTCTTTGCGCCGGGCGACTGGGTGGGCGTGGAGCTGGAGACGACGACGGGCAAGAACAATGGCAGCGTGCAGGGCGAGCGATATTTCGACTGTGCAATGGGCCGGGGCATGTTTCTGCGTCCGAGTGCGGTAACGATTGTGGCGGTAGCGTCTGATGCGGATGACGACGACGAAGGGACAGACGACGCCCACGAGGGCGAAGAGACACAGACAGCCGTGCAAGTACCCAAATCGGTATCGGCAGCACGGCACTCGTCGGTAGGCTCGGCAGGCGGTGGCCGGAGGACGGCAACGGGAAACCGGCCAAGCGGCGTGTTTGCGTCAGGGCCGGGCAGCCGAACAAGCGGAATTGGGGCGGATGCTGGACTGGCCAGGCGGATGAGCATGAACGCGCCCAGTCCCAGCCCGCGGCCACGATCTCGGCCGACGAGCATTACGAGGGTGTGTATTTCGTAGAGCGTGCCTTGTGCTCCCGATTGCACCACGAGCCTCTTGACTGACTGGCTTCACTTGCGCGGATCAGCAGGCATCACCGACAAAACAATTGGGCACAGCCCCACCGTCTCGTACGACGACTCCTTCCAATGCCGGCCCCGGCCGTCCTCCGTCGACCAGCATCAGCCGGGCCGGCCGGGTATCGATGGGGACGTCGCGTACGTCGATGGGTCCACCGTCAGTGCCGACGTCACGAGCAGCCACACGCACATCGATGGCGCCAACGGCAGGGACGGCTACGCCGCGGTCGGTAAGCGGGACACCAGGCCGCATGACGAGTGGTAGGGCAAGCGGGCTGGGAGGAGCTATGGGAGGAACTGTGGGAGCAGCACATCCCAGGATGCGAAGCTCGAGCCGAGCAGCATCGGGCGAATTCGGTGGCGAGAGCAGCGGCGGCGGGGTGGTGGCTCGTGCGGCTCAGGTACGCAGAGCACGGACGAGTATGGACGGGCGGATCACGTCTCCGCCGAAGAGCAGCGACGAAGAGGTGCTGTCCCCGCAGCCTCGGAGCCCGGTGCGGACGCGGGCAGCGGCGCTGGAGAAGCTCACAGGGTCTGGGGCGGGAGCAACGCCACGGCACCGAGCGGCGGCACCGGTCGGAGGATCGACGGCGGGAGCGACAGGGTCACCGGCATCAGCATCAGCATCAGCAGCAGCAGCAGTAGCAGCAGCAGGGACGGGACGGCCTACGACGACAAACGCGGCAGCCCACCGGGAGGTGGAGGACCTGAAGGCGAAGCTGCGGGTGCTGGAGCGGAAGCGACTGGAAGACCGGGATAAGCTTAAGCAGCTGGACAAGCTGCAGGCGGACTGCGACAAGTACCAGGGAATCATCCAGAAGATCCAGGCCAAGTACCAGCCGCAGCAGCAGGAGAACGCGGAGCTGCGGCGGCAGCTGAAGGAGGCGGAGACGCGGATGGAATCGATCGAGACGCTGCAGGCGGACCACGACACGGCGATGGAGCTGTCGACGCTGGACCGGGAGATGGCAGAGGAGACGGCAGAAGTATACAAGGCGGAGCTGGACGCGGTGAAGCTGAAGAACGAAGAGCTGGAGGTGGAGATGGAGGAGCTGCGGCTGGAGAACGCGGAGATGTCGGAGGGGATGACGGCGGAGGAGAAGGCGAGTGCGGGATGGCTGCAGATGGAACGCAACAACGAGCGGCTGCGGTCGGCGCTGCTGCGACTACGAGATATGACACAACAGCAGGAGTCGGAGCTGCAGGACCAGATCAAAGGACTGGAGGAGGAGGTGACGGAGCTTTCGGGGATCAAGGCGCGACAGGCAGCGACGGCGGCACGACTGGAACAGAGCGAGGCGGCGGTGGAGGACCTGCGACAGCAGCTGGACGCGGCACAGGCGGCGGACGACATGATGATGGAACTAACGGAGCGCAACATGAGCCAAGCGGAACAGATGGAGGAGCTGAAGGCAGTAATCTCGGATCTGGAGAGCCTGAAGGAGATCAACGACGAGCTGGAGATCAATCACGTACAGAACGAGCGGGAGCTGCAGGAGGAGATCGACTTCAAGGCAGCAGTGATACAGGAGCAGGCACGACGGGCGGCACAACAGGAGGAGGCACTGGAGGACATGGAGTACGCGCTCTCACGCTTCCGGCAGATGGTGACGGGGCTGCAGAGCGACCTAGAGGACATGCGGGCGTCTCACGCGGTGACGGAAAACGAGTCAGAGCAGCTGAGCAGCAAGTCGCGGGCGATGATGGACCTGAACCTGAAGCTGCAGCTGTCGGCGGCGAAGGCGCAGGTGAAGACGATCGACCTAGAGCTGCGGCGGATGGAGGCGCAGGAGGCAGAGCAGCACCTGGCGATTGTGCGGCTGTTCTTGCCGGAGACGTATGTGGAGACAGACGGCAAGGCCGTGCTGGCACTGCTGCGATTCCGGCGGCTGGCCTTCAAGGCGGAGCTGGTCGGAGGATTTGTGCGAGAGCGGATCGGCCAACAAGGAGGAGGAGGGGAAGCAGCAGGCCGAGAAGACGACGTGTTGGCGGGCTGCGAAGTGGTGGACAAGCTGACGTGGGTGGCGGCCATGTGCACGCGATTTGCGGGAGCGATGGGACGGTGCTCGACAGAGCGATTCGGCCGGTTTGAAGGGGCTCTGTTTGAGCTGGAGCCGGTGGAGCGAGCGCTGAACGGATGGATCGACGGGCTGCGACGAGACGAGCTGAAGGAGCAGACGTGCGCGGCGGAGCTGCAGCGAACAATGGCGTTGCTGTCACACCTGGCGTCGGTGCACATGGAAGAGGGCCAAGGACAGCAGCAGGAAGACGTGGCGGAAGGGATGCACATGCGAGCAGTTCTGGTGCAGAGCCATCTGGAGACAGCAGCAGCGACGTTGCACGTGACCAGGGGAATGGTGCAGCGAGCAGTGCCTCCACGGGGAAGCGAAGACGAGGCGGCGCAGGAATTTGCGCAGCGGGCGGAGGCAGCGATTGCACAGACACGCAGTGCCAAGGTGGTAGCAGGCAAGATGGTACGGGCGTTGGAAGAGCTGCAGACGCGATCGCTGGCGCTGGAGCCGGAGATGGCAGAGGCGTTTGCGCAGTGCGAAGCAGCAGCAGGCGAGTTGGCGACTCTGGCCCGAAAGACAGGCGAGGCCGTGATGGAGGTGGTGACGAGGGAAGGGGGACATCGACGAGACGAGACAGGCGAACAGCAACACGACGACGAGGAGCAACACGACAGCAGCGGGCCAACATACGGAGACATGCAGAAGGTAGTGGCAGCAGCCGAAGGCGAGACAGCATCGGATTCGGGCGAGCTGTTTGGCGGCTACATCGGGCGGCTGCGGGCAGTGGCGACACAGGTGGCCGAGCTGGCCGGACTGTCAAGCGACCTGTCACAGACGGTGGAGTTTGAGCGAGCAGCAGCGCCATGGGTAGTGCGCAGTCAGGAGATGAGGGCGCCGAAGACGGTGGCAGTGGATGCAGAGGAAGAGCTGCGGCGGCTGCGCGAGGAGCACGCAGAGGCACGACGGATGATTGCACGACGCGACAACGACCTGGGGACGGCGCAGCTGAAGATCGAGACGCTGGAGAGCAAGATGCGCGATGCGCAGCACAAGGCAGCCGTGATGGCCGAGCTGGAGCGCACGGTAGCGGCCGAACAGGCATTTGGGCGCCAGCTCAAGGAGGATGTGCAGAAGCAGGACCGCGAGCTGAAGGCGCTGGAGGCGGAGCGAGACCGGTGGCGAAAGATGGCGAGCGAGGTCCGGCTGCTGGGAGGAGGAGAAGGAGAGGAGGAGGAGGAAGGAATGGAAGGAATGGAGGGACTCGAAGGAGGCGAAGGACTCGAGCGAGACATTGGTCACGGCCACCGCGCCAACACGCGGCTCACGCAGCGCAACAAGGAGCGTGCAGCGGCGACGGCGCGCGAGATGGACGGTCTACGCCACGAGATCGCCGGGCTGCAGGCGGCCGTCCGGTTTCTGCGTGAGGATAGCCGGCGTGCCCGCATGGCCGAACAGCCGGTATATGGCTGGCTGGCCGAGCCACTTTCATCACGTGGTGGCGCCACAAGCACAGCCACACGCACAGCCACAAAGGCGGCTCGTCGTGCGCGCGTCGCTGCCGAGGCCCGCGACGTTCTCGGCGAGCTCGTCCGCATGGCTGCCGATGCGCGGGTCTACGATCTCGAGGCTGAGCTGCCCGAAGACCGGCTCGCGTGGCGGCCTGCCCACACGTCGCCCGGCTACCAGGCCGCCCGCATGGCCGAGGACTACGCGGCGTGGCGCGCCTGGGAGGCGGCTGTCGTGCGCAAGGCGCAGGACGTGCTTCTGGAAGGAGGCGGCAGTCGTCATAATGCACAGGCACAGACGCCGGACGAGAGGACGGCGCGGCGGCTGGCCCACAGAGCAGCCACGGTGCGGCTGCAGCAAACACGGCTGCCGGCGGGCGAGGTCGACAAGACCGACGCAGACGGTCAAGTCCGGATTGCCAGCTGCTAAGGCAAACGAGCGAAGCGATACAAAGAGAGAGAAACGAGACGAAACGAGCGAAGCGAGGAAAAAAAGAAAGGGAACGTGTTAGATTAGTCAGCATATACCCGAAATGAAGAACACGTGACATTGCTATGATGAAAGATTGTGATACTCCTTATTACAGGCAACCCTATGACCGGCCCTTGCCCTTTCTCGTCTTCTTGGTGGTGGTGGGCGGCACGGGGGGTTCAGCGCCGCCAGAGAGGGCCTGCATGGCGCGCTGCATATCAGGCATGCCCGCGCCCATGCCGCCGAGGCCCCCCATGCCGGCCATGCCGGCCAGACCGGCCGGGCCACCCGATGGGCCACCGGGGCTGCCGGCGCCCTGCATTTCCTTGATGACGTCCTGAAAGAGGTTTTCGGAGACGCCGCCGCCGGTCATGGCGGGGCTGAGGTAAGGGACGAGGGGACCCATCTTCCAGCCGCGCGGCACGGCCGGTCGAGGGTAAGGCTGGCCGCGAGGGGGTGGTGGAGGGGCGCCACGGACCTGTTCACGCAGGCCGGCGCTGTCGTCGGTGGTGGGATGCGCGGCAAGGTGGCGGGCGACAAGAAGATAGAGATGGTGCTTGTTGTGGACGGTGGCGGTGGCGCTGGCGAGGTCGACCCGAACACGTCCCGGGTTGGCCCAGTCCTTCGGATGCGTCTTGGTCGGCTCAAAGACGGTGCGCAGACCCAAGTTGGCACAGGCCGTGACGATCTCACGAGCCAGCGGATTGGCCACGGCCAGTGCCCGACCAACGCGTCGACCCTCGGCTCGCGAACGCGCGCTGTCAAAATACACCGGATACAACGCCGCAAAACTGCCGTACGACGGCGGCGGTCCGTCGCCCAAAACTCGCTGCGCTGCCGCTGCTGCTGCGGCAGAGGCACGTGACGGCTGCGGTGGCTGTCTTTGTGTCTGTGTCTGCGTTGGCTTCGGCTGCTGCGTCTGGCTGCGTGGCTCTACCGCCCGCAGAATGTCGCCTTCGTCAAAGTCGTCAATGTCGCCCTCGGACGGGTCCGAGTACCCTTCGTCGCTGTCCTCGACCTCTTCGATGCGTGGGTGCGCCATGACTGAAATGTGCTGCTTGCTTGGCGGAGACTGTGAAAGAGACAGATCCTATCACTCTGTACTTCGTACACACAAATCCATTTGGTTTTTCCGTGGGTTTGGCGGGGCAATTTCAATGCCAGCTCCAGCTCACGGCTGGTCCCACTATTCTAAAGCTGTCGCACAGCCTCGCACGCCAACACAAGGCTGTCTCTCTCTCTCTTTCTTCCAATATATTCAATTCTTTCGCCCCAAGAACTAGACTTGCAATCTGAATCTCTCCCTACACTCATCCCGTCTTCCACTATACAGGTAATGACCGTCTTTCCTATCGCCCCCTATATAACTTAATTCTCGTAAGTGACTGTCTGCCACGCTTAATAAGCAGCCTGTCTGGCTGCTCGATCGGTTCGTCTTAAAGTCGGTTTAATCGCGGCTGCTGTAGCTGCGAAACTTTGTATGAGGCGGATGCTCGTGTTCCTCAAACTTGCAGTAAGGGTGCATGCAGTAACCGTCTTGCACGCTCGGACACTGTATTGTGAGCATAAAAGCAACAAAGACAAGGGTTGGGGCAACAAGACAGAAACATACGTGATGCCCGTAGATGCAGTCGTCCACATCGCAGTCCTGGCCGCTGGTACACGGGCTGACACGGCTCATGTACGTCAGCGCCGCCACCTCGTCAGCCGACGGCTTGGTCGGGTGCACGTACGGACAGCTGTCGCCCTTGGGACACCACCGCAGCAGCACAAACTTGTTGCACAGCTTGTGTGGTCGCATCCGCACCGACTCCACCACCGCCATGCTGTATGTAATCGGCGAGTCCAGCCCACGCGGCCCCGGATTCCACTGCGCCTGTGCCTGTCGTTTGGCTGCCATTGCCGTCGCCGCTGCTGCTGCCTCGCGCTGCTGCAGCTGCTTCGCTGTCTGCGACGGGAACACCAGCTTCGGTGGCGGCGATGCCTTGGGTGTCGCCGTCGTCCTGGTCGTGTAAGAAGGCGGCACTGTTGTCGGAATTGTAGCCGGTGCCGGTGGTGTCGATTGCGGTGTCGCCTGGGCTGCCGACGAAGACGACGAACTGTCCCGTCGGCCTTGCTCGACCGATACTGCAGCTGCGGCTGCCGGTCTCTGCACGCTCGTAGCCACCGTTCGCTCTATCGCTACCAGCTTCTCATTATGGAAGACCGTGGCGGTCAGCTTGTGGATCGCCACCTTGGCCGCCACCAGCTCTGGCACCGTCGGCGAGCCTTCCAGGATGACGATCCGGTCGCGCGTCTGGCCCACGCTGATAATCTCGTCGAGGAACGGCGCATAGCCCGAGTCGTGCGATATGCCCAGCGCCAACATCTTGCAGTTGGGGTTCTTAAGATGCCAGCTTGCAGCTCCTGCAAGTGTTAGATGGGTATAAGTCACACGGCCGAACGGTCACACCATGCTTGCCTCTAATTTTGGAGTCGGCCCTCTCCTTGCCGTAACCGACGTCGATAAAGTCAAACGAGGCCTTTGTCTGCGTAAATCCCTGTGTAAAGTCCCGCATCAGGTCCGTGCTGGCCAGCCAGCCCGCCCGCCGCATCGCGCCCGCCAGCCCGGCCAGATTTGCGTACACCGTGGCCACCACCTCAATATTGTCGGGCTGGTCGTTGATATTTCGCTTGGCTACCGACGCAATGGCCGCACGCAGCGCCGAGGCCGCCTTCTTGCCGCCCTCGATGCCTTGCTTGATAAATTCTTCTTTGAACTGGCCGGGTTAGAACAAGAGAGAGAGGCCTCGACCAACACGCCGGAAAGACCGGGACCACGTACCAATAAACCGTCACCGTCTATCAATATGCTCACGTAAGGGTTGCTGTTCTGGACCGTGTCAGCTGCTGCTCACAGTCGTGTGGGCGTCGCCAGCCGTTCGCACCTTTAATATATCATTGCTCTTCTGCAGCTCTTCGATGGCTACATCGCGCAGTCGGAGTTCCTCCTGGAGGTCGCGCCGTGACTTGGTGGCATGCTTCAGGTCGAGCTCGGCATCGTGCAGATCTTTGCGCAGCTGGCTCTCCTCCATCATAAATGACGCCTCGCGCCGCTTGCAGTAAGTGATCAAGTCCTAGGCAGCAGACAGGTGAGCAGGTGGGGGAGAAACAGCAGGGCAGGTCGTCGACATGAGTCGACGGCAGACAGGCCGTGCAGGCGCACAAGCACGCAGGCAGCCGACGGAAAGGGGGGCACAAGGCTGTATACCTCGATGAGGCTGCTACTGTTGTCATTGTAGTACCGTAGCATGGCAAATCGCTCATCAAAATCGATGGCTTTGACTGGTAGACGCTCCATGGTCGCGGCGTCGTCTTGAGCAGGCGATGCTATGGCGACCAGACTAAAAAACTAAAACAGAAATCGAGACTAGGTCCGTCTTTTCCTTCATTCGCAGCTCTGAAAAGCGCAGTGGGAAGCCGGGTTGGGTTTCGTAAAGTGTGCCTTGGGCACAGTGGAGAAAAGAGGAAAACAGGAACGGCCAGTTTGGTACGGAGTAAAGAGGACAGAGGCGGATAATGTGACGTAGGAGAGAACGAGGGAGAGATGGGGAAGCCGGAATTGGATCATCTTACGATGAAAACGCCCTTCTGCATTTACATACGTCTGGTCCTGTTCGATTGTGATAAAAGGGCAGGGAGCCGGAAAGGGAAAGAGGGGTAGGGAATGGGCAGCGGGCGAGCAGCGTGGCGGGAAGGAACAGTGAGGAGGAATTTCTCCATGCTCACCACTGCTGCACAATGTCGGGCATGTCAGAAAATGCGCCTGGCGAGCAACGCCAGATCCGGCTTAGCGGAGTCGGGCTGCCGTTAGGCTTCCTGCCAAGCCACAGCGAAGCCCCACTGAACGAGATTCAATATGTTCGTCTTTGTTATACACTATCCAGACCGGCCTTTTGCGTAACATTCTGACAATCAACGCCTGTAACCGAGAGTCGCTCCTTTCTTCCTTTCATTTTATTTCCTTCTTTTCTTCCTGTTTTCCGTAACCGCTCAGTCCCGTGTCCTAAAAGGGCGTGTAGATGTTGAGCAGTCCCCAGATGCTATTGCTCGCAAAGTCGCCCTCAAACTGCCACGGCACTGCTGTCCCGTCAATGGATGTTGCCGCCGCCGCCGCCGCTGCTTCTAGATCATCACCGCCGCCACCGCCATCGCCATCGCCATCGCCATCGCCATCGCCATCGCCATCGCCATCGCCATCGCCATCGCCCCCGACACCCGCTGGCTCCACCGAAACGACGTTCTGGCCGTTCTCGCCGCCCAGAGACCCTGCCCACGTCGGCATGGCGGTCGTGCCATCGCTGACGCCCATCAGGATGTTGTATGTCAGGTCGCCGGTCGGGCAGATCGGCTGGAACGACGTCCAGTCGAAGCCGTCGGGGAAGATCGTGTCCAGGTCAAAGGGCGCGAGCGTGCTGCTGTCTGCGATGGCTGTGTCTTGTAGTGCTGGATCCAGGAGCGTTTGTGGTTGTGGTGGTGGTGCTGCTGCTGCTTCGGCGGCCGCCATGGCTGCGCCAAACACGTCCGTGGCCACGCTGGCCGCGCTGGACGGACCCGAGACCGACGAGAACGCACCGGGCGTCGGCTCGCTGCTAGACGATGAAGAAGCCGAGGGCGAGGGGCCGGTGACGACGTCTTCCCTGGTCATGGCCGCCGTTCCGCCCAGCAGCGGCGTCCCCTCGTCCTGGAGGCTGGGATCGATGTTGCTGAGCGTCAGCAGGTCGATAGACGTGGCATTGTTGCTGTTGCTGCCATTTGTCATGTCGGCTGCGCTGCCACCGTTTGGTGCGCTGCAGCTGCTGCTGCCGCCGCCTTCTAGAAAGCGGATCCCTAGCGTCTTGCGCAGCCGCAGGTAGATGGCCTGCAGGACGCCGAGGGCCGAGCGAGCCAGGCTGAAGTGGTCGGCCATCAGCTCGAAGCGCTCGACGGACCAGCGGAAGTGCTGGATGGTGGCTGGGATTAGTTCTGGGTGCTCGCGTGGGAAGAGGATGTAGATGGAGGCCAGCAGGACCAGCGAGTCGAAGGTGCCGAAGAAGAGCGAGAACATGCGGTATTGTTGCGGCCGCAGCGTGGCAAAGTGCACGCGCTGGACCTGCAGCATGGCCAGACAGGCGTGCAGGCCCTCGGTCCGACTGCGGGCCCGCGTGAAGACGTAGTGGCGGTGCAGCGCGATCAGGTTGAATACGGTCACCTGCGGCAGGGCCACGCGCACGGCCGGCAGCCAGTGGCACTCGGGCAGCCCGTCAAAGCGTCGGTCCGGGTTCTCGAGCCGGAAGTACGGCGGCATGGCCGCCTGCAACTGCACGAGCTCGTCGTGCAGCGCGTCCACGGCCCCAAAGTCACGTGGCACTGGGCCGTCTTTTTCCAGTGCCAGGATCGCCCGCAGCGGCTCGATCGCCTGGAAGGCCCAGATGGCTCGTGTCAGCGGCGTCGGCGCGTCGTCCTCACCGCGTGGCTGCACCGGCATCGTTGCCCGCTCTGCCTGTGATGTTGGCAGCACGCAGTCCACCGGCAGCACCGGTCTGTCCGACAGGTCCACCGTCGTCGGCCGTCCCAGCACCACGCCCATGTGCACGTCCCAGCTGACCAGCGTCATCCACGTCCGTCGTCGGCTCTGGATCTCCCACTCGTTCGCCAGCACTGCCTCGGCCGTCTGTGTCCATGGCTTTGGGTCCAGGCTGGTGCGGTGCAGCCCAATCTCCTGTGCGTCCCGGATGGCGCTCCCGATCGCGTGCCATGCCTCCGTGATCAGGGCCACGTACTTGAGGAAGGCGGCCCGCAGAAAGGCTGCCATCACCGTCGTCAGTGACATCTGCCGCTTGCCCAGCAGTGCTAGGATTGCGTTGCCCGCCTCGCTGTAGTCCATCGCCAGGCTGTCCAGCGTCGTGTTGCCGGGGTGCTTGATCGGGTCGAAGAAGCCGTCCGGGTCGTCGGCTGGCAGCACCAGCAGCCCGACGGCCAGCACCTGGAAGAGCAGGGCCGGGAACGCCCGCAGGTCGGCCGACAGCTGGTGTGGCGGCTGCAGCGTGCCGAACGGACCTGTTGCTCCGTCGCTCCAGTCGGCCAGCCGCTGGAGAAAGACGTCCTCGTCGAGTGCGTAGTAGTGCCAGTTGAAATCGTGAAAATACACCTCCACGAGCCGGTCGATGTACTGTCGGGGGGGCAGCTCGCGGATGAGCGACCGATACCGGTCTGTTACGGCGTAGGGGTCGCCAGTCTGGGAGTGACTGTGGTTGTGATTGTGCGGATGAGCGTGAGGCTGGCTGAGGGCCTGTTCCTGCGGCTGTTGTGACTGCAGATACTGCTGTTCAGCCAGAGCGGCTGCCTCGGCTGTCGTCGTCGTCACGATGCCACCGCCGCCGTCCTCGATCAGGCCCGAGAGCCGATCGAGGTCGCTGCCTCGGCTGTCGATGCCACCAATGCCGCCAATGCTGCCGATGCCGCTGATGCTGACAAGGCCGTCCAGGCCGTCCAGGCTTCCAATGCTGCCACTGCCGCTGCCGCTGCCACTGCCGCTCCGACGTCCGTGTCCGTGGCCGTCGATCTTGCGCAGGAAGCCGAGCGTGTTGTCGGCCGTGTGGGCATAGCCGAAGCCGGCTGCCTTGACCGGAAGGCTGCCTCCTTCCTGCAGTGAGCGGCCGTACGTGGCCGCCTCAATTACGCGCATGTGGTGGCGCTCGTGCGACATTGCCGTCGTCTCGTAGTGACAGCTCGTCTCCATCTTGCGGTCTACGCACGCCCGGCACGGCTGGTTGCGGTCACACTTCTGCTTTCGCCGGTGACATTCGGCGCATGAGACCACCCGCCGCTTGCGCTTTCGTGGCGGTCCCAATCCGCCGTCACCTGCTGCTGGTGGTGACATCGACATCGACATCGACGCTGCTGCTGCCGCTGCTGCGTGCTCGTCCTCGGTCCCGGCGCTCTCGGCCGCGCTTGAGCGGCGCTTCACCGCGCGCGCAGTCATTCTGTCGTCTGCTCAGACTGTGTTCTTCTGTTCTGTCTCTTCTCCTGCTATCTTTCTCTGCTTCCGAGGCAATTCGGGGTAGCGTCGGCTTATGGCGTCACGCAGAGCTCCGTTGCCGCAGCTGGGCCTGTCGTGCTTGTCGTCCCTGTCGTCTCGGCGTCGTCTCGTCGCCTCAATCGTCGTCGGTGAGCATGGAATGCTGTGAAAAAAAGAGAAAATCACAGCCAGAGCAACGCAAAGGTGGCTCAGTTTCAACGACAGAAACCTGGCGGGGAAAGTGCCAGTCACCAGTTGCTGTTACTAATTAGACAAATGCAAAAAAAGGAAGCAGCAACCCCACCCTCCCGGTTTTGCAAGCTCGTTTTGCAACTCCTCCCTCTTCCCCCCCCCCCCCCCCCTGGCTGGATCTTAGCGCCCTTATCTCCGGAGGGGCCCGCATTCTTTGACGCCTTGGCTGCTGGCACTTTGCAGCCTCGCCAGCTTACAACAAAGCCGACAGAACGATGCACTGTCCGTCTGTCTTCTGGTGACTGGACGAGAAAAGAGAATAGTCCAATGTTCAACATGGCCATGGTATAGAAAAAAAACATGATAGAAAAACGTGAGCAGACCCTTGCTTTTGTTTGTTCGCTATTTCCCAGAGTATGCCGCCTGCCTCCTACTTCTCCGTGTTCTCCGCGCTTCCCGTGCTTCCAGTGCTCCCGTGCTCCTGTGCTCCTGTGCTCTCCGCCTGTCGCTTTCTATCCTCGTGCTCAGTCCTCCTTCAGCCGCGCCAGATACGCCTTCCAGGCCCTCCGCCGGTACCGTTCCGCCTCCGACGGCGGGTCGGCCGCGTTGACGATGCCGCGGCCAACAATGACAATGTCTGAGCCGCAGACGCCGACCAGCTTAGCCGGCGTGTTGTACTGCTGGCCGAGTCCATCGCCGGCCAGCGTACTGGCTGTGTTGTCGGCCGCCCGCTCCTCCTCGGGCGACGGCAACTTGCAACCCGGCGTCAGGTGTATGAACGTGTCGTCTGGCAGCACGTTGAGGTTCTGCTGCGCGATGAAGCCGGCCACGAAGCCGGTGTGCGCCCGTGCCGCTTCCACGCAGGCCTGCGTGTACGCCGGCGTCATCAGGTTGCCCTTGGACGACATCTGGGCCAACAAGAGGATCCCGCGTTCCAGCGGCGCCTCCTCGAGGCCATCGTACACCGAGCTGTCGTTGTGTGCTACCTCCATGCTGCTCTCGGCCGGTCCGTCCTCCGGTATGCTGATGTTGTTCATGTTGCAGCCGCATCCGGATGCCGACGAGGTCGAGCCGCGGCCGCCGCGACCACAGCCGCCGCTCAGGCTGTTGCTCGAGCTGTTGTTGTTCTCGCGCGGAAGCCGCGGCGACTCGACCGGCTCAAAGTGCTGCGTCACGGCCGTCGTGATCGATACGATGCTGCTCTTGCGTCCGTCCATCGCCCGGCCGTGTTCCGGCAGCGGTGGGAAGGTGTGCTCGCCGTCCAGCTGCGAGAGCGAATCGCTGTCGCCGTGAAAGCCTGTAATATCGCCGCTCCCGCTGCCGTTGCCGCTGTTGCCGGCGTCCTCGTAGCTCTCCAGTACCGGCGTGCCGACCGTCACGGACGTCTTGACCTCGTAGTGGATGCGCTCGCGCCAGTGGGCGGCTGCGTCAGCCAGCGCCGTCACCGCGGCGGCACCGGCGTCCATGTTGACCGTCACCAGGTGCGCCCACTCGATGATGCGTGCCGTGCCGGCCGTGTACTGCTGCTGCGCCGTCTTGCCAATGTCGGCAAACTTGCGGTCCTCAAACAGGAGGAAGCCGTGCTTGCGGCCCAGTGCGGCCAGCTGCGCGCCCGTGCCTGTCTGCGGGTTGTAGTCCCAGCCTGAGACGATGTCGTAGTGGGTCTTGAGCACGACGATCGACGGGCCCACACGGTCGGCCAGCAGGAGCAGCTCGCGGGCTGTAGACACGTCGGCGCTGAGGCAGAGGTTGGATGCCTTGGCCACCATCAGCCGGTAGAGATAGGCCGTCAGTGGGTGGGCGGCGGTGTCGGCCCGCTGGCCAAAGGGCGTCGAGAAGGATGCGTGTTGGGCGGCCATTGGGCTGACGACGACGAAGCAGAGCGGTAAGGGAGGGAAGAGGAGGACGAGGAGAACGACGACGACAGGGAGAATAAACAACGACAACAGAGAGAGGATGAGCAGGCACGGGGTATATGAACAACAGACGAAGAGTCCAGGAGGTGGAGAAGACAGGAAAAAGGATGGGGTAATAATATTGGGCTCAGAAAAAGGAACGCAACGGCAGATAGACGTCAGAGGAGAGGGGAGTCCTCTGAAGGTGGACAGATTTTTTTTGCTTCCCACCAGACGGGCGGACGATAGCGCACAAGACTGCACGAGTAGAGTATAGCGCCGCGGAGGGTAAAAATGGAGAAGAGACCGAAGGGGAAAGCGTGGCGTATTTTATATGCTTAAGAGTGCAGGAAGGAGGCCGAGGGGAAAGAAAAAGAGTGAAGACAGGAACGAGGACGATGGGAGAGTCTGTCTATGGGGGAGAGCCAGACGAGAGATGACAGATGACAGGCGAGAGATGACAGACGAAAGAGAGAACAGACGAGAGGAGACAGGAGGACCGAAGATCGGGTGAAAGCCAACGGCCTGGCCGAGAACAGAAGGGGCGGTCAGAATTCATGGGCTTACCTACTCGTATTCCAATGTATCCAAAGACAGCAGAGACAGGTCTCTCCGGTGTGTAATGCCAAACACTGGAGTATGTAAGCGCTTCACACCGGTTGGCACATGTCTCAGCGCTGCAGCCAGCCACCACGGCCGCCAGCCAGACAGGCACAGGCTGCCGCCGACACGTCGGGGAGCGAGCCGACAAGACAAGAAGCAGCACCCAACAGCCGTTCCCAGACCTCTTGCCGCACTGACCATTTTTTTCTCAGCAAGTGGGGGGGCTATTGGGTGGGCCCAAGCACGCTAGGACGCTGGCTAACATGCCCCCAAGGGTCCCGACGGTGCGGTAGTATCCAGTGCGACGACGCTATTGGGCTGACCCGATCGTGTAGACAGACGAGGCGTCCGGGTACGGAGTACGAGGAGGACTACAAAGTACGAGGGGCTGCGCGTAGGGACTACAAATAGGGACTACACAGTACCAATAAGGACTGCGACACGCATAGCGGCCGGCGGGCTTCGCTCGCAGAATCGGCCAGCGGACAGATACGGCACTCGTTCACAGCAGACGCCCCTGATCGGCGGCGGAACGGCCTCCCGTCGACCAGGCAAAAGGGAGAGAATTAAAAGAGGACAGCACAGGGGTCTGCAGCAGGAGTGGACACGCCGTGTGCTGGATGGACTCGTACTCGTCGTAGCGGCCGAGCCCGATGTCGCCTGCTGAACGCTGCACTGCACCATGTTCGATTAGTGTATTATTCTTATTCCCGCCTTGTGCATCGGCGTACCGATGACTAATCAATCAAATTTGACCAAGAGCACGTGACTAGCTGCGCCACGGCAAGCCACGCACTGCACCTGGCTAGCGCAACCGGCCGATCCGCCTTGGCCATCATCACCATACTCGTACTGCTGACCACGCTCTGCTGTCTTTCCGTCTGGCAATGGCCACTTATCTCTCTGCCTAATCTGTGTCCGTCTCTCTCGCCATCGCATCTCCCCCTCCCCCTCCTGTACCGTCCTCGATCCTTCCCTCTCTCTCTCCTTCTGACCGTTTTGGTGGATGCTCTTTTTTGTGCCTTTATCCTGTGCCCTTTTTTCGCTGTCTCCTCCTTTTTGCCTCGTCTCTTCCCCACCCCCCTTTTTTTTCTCCTGACCATCCTCATCCCCTTTGCGATCCCGCTTCGTATCCAAGACAGTCCTGACTTCGGTTTTGGCGCATCCGACCCTCTGCATTCGATCTTGCTCCTCCACCGGACGGGGCACCCGACTTTCTACTCCTACCTTGTCTCTAATACCCCCCCCCTCCTCTACACCCCCTCTCAACATCATGTCGGGCGCACGAACACGAAAACAGGCAGCTGCTGCAGCAGCTGCTGCTGCTACCGCTGATGGTGCAGAGCCGCCAAAGACCAATGGCCACCTCACCACGACGGCCAAGGACGAGGACGACTACCCACACGAGAACATCTTTGTCTTCTGGCCCAACATCATCGGTAGGTCGATGTCGCAGACAGACGGATCTGTCTCGTGCCCCGCTAATCGCCTTGAATCGTAGGCTATTCCCGCATCGTCCTCGCTCTGTCCTCGCTCTACTATATGCCGCTTCACCCGCGCACCTGCTCGCTGCTGTACAGTGTCTCGTGTCTGCTCGACGCCCTCGACGGCTATGCGGCGCGCTACTTTGAGCAGTCGACTCGGTTCGGCGCCGTGCTCGACATGGTGACCGATCGATGCACCACGGCGTGTCTGTTGGTCTTTCTGTCGACGGCGTTTCCGCGTTGGGCCATCGTGTTTCAGGGCCTCATTTCGCTGGATCTGGCCAGCCACTACGTCCACATGTACGCGACCTTGGCCATGGGTGGTGCTGAGACGAGTCACAAGTCTGTCGACCGATCGCGCAGCTGGTTGTTGAACTTGTATTATACGAACAAGGTGGGTTATCTTCTCTCTCCACTCCTCACCCCTCTCTCCTCTCCTCCCACTAACCTCACAGACCGTCCTTTTCCTCTTCTGCGCCCTCAACGAACTCTTCTTCATCGCGCTCTACCTCCTGTCGTTCTCGTCGCCGATCCTATCGCCTTCGCTGCTCAAGCCGGTGGCCGACCCGTCGACCTTTGACACCGGCGTCCAGGTCAACTCGTCGCTGTTGCGGCAGATCTTTGCCAACCCGCACAGCGCGGCCGCCCTGGAGATGGCCCGCGCCAACAAGATGGACTCGTTCTGGCCCTGGGTCCTGGCTGGCATCAGCTTCCCCATCATGGCCGGTAAACAGCTGCTCAATGTCGTCCAGCTGGTCAAAGCGTCCCGCTGGTTGGCCGAGGGCGACGTCGCCGCCCGCAGAGCTGCCGGCCTGCCGCGGCGCACAGCCAAGACAACGAAGACCAAGAAGACCAACTAAGAGGCCGAACGACGCCTCTCCCAACCATCCCACCGCCTTTCTATTCGTTCTGTTCCTCATCGGCCTTGGGACGGCCTCGCGTACTACTCTTAATCTCCTTCCCGTATGATATATTGCATAGCATGAGTACATTCTCCTCGCTTTGGGGGTGGACTCGGTTCGTTTCCCCAGTCTGCTTTTGTCTTTCATTTCATTTGTCTCGACGGTCGGCTCTATGACAGGCCGTAGTCTGATCGTTCTACCATGTTCTCTTGAAGAAAAGAATGTCACCGTCATGGGTTAGCCCAGCTTCTTATTTTGTTTACTCTTTGTGCGTGTGTGTGTAGATGTGTGTGCAGGTTAGATGTGGTCTACATTTGGGATTGTATGCGCTTGCAAGGGGCAAGGAGCAAAGGTTGTAACGTGTAAAGGCTTTCTTTGTAGAAAATTGTGAGACAGGGTCCTAAGATCAGTCCTCGGGCGTCCAGTTCCAGCGGCGGGCCGTGAAGAGAGTGCGAGCCATGCGATCAGCAGCAATGTTGCCCTCGAGGCGGAGGCGTTGGTCGCCGGCGACGGCACGGGTGAAGCGGAAGACGCGGCGACGGTCGGCAGCGGAGGGGGCGAAGAGGGGACCGGAGCCGTTGTCGTTGTCAAAGTCTTCGTCGTTGCCGTCGCTGGTGTCGAGGGTCTGGTCGGCCTCCCACGAGGGGCCAGAGGTGGAGTTGGGGCCACGTCTCGCAGCCGGAGCGGCACGCCAATCCTGGCGGCGGACGGCGACAGCGCCAGCAGTCAGCATGGCCTGGATGTACTCGAGGATGGGCAGCATGCGGGTGCGGAGGCCACAGTTGACGTGATCGCGGTCCAGCTGGTAGGCCGGACACTGTCGGAGGGCAGCCAAGATGTGGTAGACGTCGACGGAGCCGAGGCTGGTGGCGGAGGACGGAGACAGGCCGGACGACGGGCCAAAGACGCGCAGATGCAGCAGGTCGCGCTGACACAGGAAGCGGACCATCTCGCCGAGCTGAAACGAGTCGCAGGCAGCGCTAGAGCCGTAGCCCATCTTGCACTCGCGGCGGCCGCGCGAGGTGTAGAGGCCGAGAAAGTGGCGCGGCACCGAGGCGATGCAGCGGACGATGCAGGCGCGACGGAAGCGGAGCTCGGCCTCGAGACCGTCGGGGAGATCCCACCAGGCGGGCAGAGGAGCAGAACGGCTGCTGTCGTCTTCATCGTCATCGTCGTCGTCGTCGTCGTCGTCTGTATTGTCCCATTGCTGGGATCCGTAGAGGATGAGCTCGCGGGTCCCACGGTCAAAGTGGACTGGCTGGTCAAGCACCCAGGCCACAAAGATCTTTTGGCGAATGGCCTCCTCGTTGGCCAGGCCGGGAGGGTTCTTGCTTTCGCTGCCTCCCTCTGCCCGGATCACCGGCTGAGGGAAACGCACGCGCAGGCTGCGCACATGAGCAGCGACGGTGGCGGCACAGTCGAAGCGGTCGGCCTGCAGGGCGAGGACGGCCAGCTGGCGCAATGATGGCGGCGTCTTGGCGGACCAGCAAGAGCCGGGTAGGGTGTGATCCGGTTTGGTGGTGGTTGTGGTTGTGGCGGCCGTCTTTGCTCTCACGGGCGTCTTGGCTTTCGGAACAGTTTTGACTGATCTGGGCAGCGGTTTTGCCTTTGTCTCTGGGCCCTCCGTCTTTGTCCCCGTTTTGGGGGTTTCCGGAAGACCATGCAACATGCGCAGCAGCTCCTCAAAGACGACCTCTCGGCCGATCGACCGGCTGCCCTCGTCGTCGTCGTCGATGCGTACCCATGGCAGCCGGACAGGCTCGACGTCCGCGGCCGCGACGCCGTCCAGCGCCAGAGCAGCCAGGGCCGCCTCGACAGCGCGGGCTTCCTGGAAGCGCGTGTCGCCCAGCAGGTTGGCAAAATAGCGCGAGCGGGTGCGGAGGACGGCGGCGTCGACACGAAAAGCAACACGAAGATGGCGCTGCAGCGGCTGGCTCTGCTGCAGGCGGCGGTCTGCACGAACGGCCCGCAGCGTCGCCGTCGATGTCTCAAAGACCACGTCCAGCACAACGTCACCACGCGGCGCAATCGTCACCACGCGGACGGCGGAAGGGGCACCAGTCCCCTCGGCGGGCTCGTCGTCCATCGCGTCAACAGCTGGCCGGGCCAGTGACTGAGCATCGGGAAAAAAAAGAAAGCGGGAAGCACGAGGGGCAGCAAAAAGATGTCCAACAGTCGAAAGTATGGACTCCGTAATACTACTTTGTATGTCCAGGCAACATATCGTGTTATGCAACTATGCGTGGTGGGACTAGCTCAGAGCTCTCCTCCCCCGCCCCACCCCAGCTTCCAGCTCAGACCTCTGCTATGTGCATATTTGGCCGGACTCGTTTTAAACGCCGTCTCTGCGTGCTCCGTACTCCGTACTCCTGCTGCACAACATCGAGGCATGCCGACAGCGGCGACGATCCTGCCAAAACACAGCGCATCTCCGGCCGAGTCGTCCCGTCCACCAGTCGTCGTCATCCCGCCGCGTCCGTCGTCCGGGCCCTGCTTGCTCTGCACCTGTCGAATCGCCCCGAGCAGTTCGTCGGACAATACGCCGTGTTGAGCTGGAGCTAGTTTGAAGCTGCGGTGTTTTTCGCCTTCGGACCTCTCGCTGGTCCGGTCGTGCTTCCGATCCGTCCGTCTCTTGCTGTTCGGCCGATCACGTTAGCGGGCACCGTCTCGTCGACATCCTTTTCTATTCTTACACATCCCCCCCACACATGACACCATCGCTCTCTCGCTGTCTGCCTCGAGCAGCAGCGACATCGCCACAGACGCCGCATGTGGCCCTGCTCGACGCCTTTGCCGGTTACGTGTCGTCGTTGCTGGTCCACGACGGCCGACGATCGCGGCAGCGCCGTCTCTTCCACACGTACTTTGTGACGCATCTGCCGTCGTCGTCGCTGCATCCGGATTCGCGGCTGCCGGTATCTGGACCGGTGTCCGGATCGGTCCCGACTGTCACATCACCAACCGTCAAGGCCACATTGACGACGCCGGCCGTCACCCGCGATCTTACCGTCGCCCGCATCCCGCTGCGCTCGGCCAAGCACCACTTTGGCGTCGCCTCGGCCCGCGGCCAGCGGCCCTACAACGAGGACACCTTCCAGGCCGGCACCATCGATATACCAGCATTTGCCAAGCGTGCACCCATCTCGCTCGTCCGCTCGGCCGTGGCCGACAGCCGCAGCTCCGGCGAGGGCCTCACGGCCGATAGCGCCTCGGGCGACCCGCAGATCTTTTATTTTGCCATCTTTGACGGCCATGGCGGCCAGGAATGCTCCGACTTTTTGCGCGATGAATTGCCCGCCTACATCGAGGCGGCCGCGGCTGACTTCTCCCTGACGAGCAGCCTGCGACGGGACCGCAAGGGACAGGCTACCCGACAGATCGCCAAGACTGCCAAGACAGACACAGACACGGCCGAGCCCAAGGCTATCCGGCTGCAGCGGGAACTCCTGCAGGAATACCGCGACACTGTGGGCGGCTACTTTCGGCGATTCCGGCCGCCAAGCTTTGACGAGAGCACAGCACCTCGAAGAGCTTCCACCACTTCGACCACCACCTCTTCTCCCCCCTCTATCGACTCCGTTCTCACGTACGCCTTCCTCCGTGCCGACCTCGACTTTGTCACCGAGCAGGCCCGCAAGCCCGACCCCGACGATCCGCGTGTCGCCGACTTTCCCGTCAACCAGGACGAGGTCTTTGGCGCGCCACATCACCGCGTCCCGCCGTCTGGCAACGGCATCGCCGGCAGTCCGCTGCGCTTCAAGGGCGGCTCGACTGCCTCCGTCGCCCTCATTTCTACACCCACCGCTGCCCCCTTCTGGCACCCCGCCTCACGTGCTGGCCTGCTCATCGCCCATGTCGGCGACACGCGCGTCCTCCTCTGCGAGACCGCCACCGGCCTCGCCCGCCCTCTCACCCGCGACCATCACCCCTCGTCGCCCGTCGAGGCCCGCCGCCTCACCCGCTTCGCTGAAACCCTCGTGACTGACTCCTTTGGCGAGGAACGCATCTCGGGTCTCGCCAACAGCCGCGCCTTTGGCGATATGCAGTCCAAACGTATCGGCGTCTCTGCCGAGCCTGAACTCTCTCCCGTCGATATCGCCCCCGCTCAGTACGCCTTCCTCGTCCTCGTCTCCGACGGCGTCTCCGGCACCCTCGGCGATCAGGAAATCGTCGACCTCGTCAAGGACGCCCGAACCCCCGATCAGGCCGCTCGCGCCGTCGTCGACTTCGCCACTGAGGTCTCCCGTGACGGTGACAATGCTACCTGCCTCGTCGTCCGCCTCGGTGGCTGGGAACGGCGAAGCGAAGGCGGCCTCGGATCCCTCGGAACAAAGGAGATTCGCGATGCCCGCCTGGCTGAGGCCCAGGATCCACGGAGAAAGAGACGGTAGATGGGGACCAAATCGGGGCTCTTAGATTAGTCATAAGTACATCACGTGACTATTGTACATACATCTATCTTATACGCAGAATAGCATCGCGAAATCAGCTCTTCCTTCGCGTTTCTCCCTCAATACCGCGGCGGTCCCCATCCCTGAGGAGGTGGTGCGCCATACGGCGGCATCGGCGGTGGACCTCCGTAGCCGAAGCCAGGTGGCACTGGTGGTGGCGGTCCGTTGCCGCCCCAAGGAGGTGGTCCCCCGTAAAAGTTGCCGTAGCCCTGCTGCTGCTGCTGCTGCGGTCCGCCATAATAGCCTTGCTGCTGGTAGGAAGGGCCTGGTCCTCCTGGAGGTCCGGGAGGCCCGAGAGGGCCACTGCCGCCACCTGTCTCGTATCCTCTGCCTCCACCATATCCACCATATCCACCGCCTCCAGCTGCTCCATATCCACCTCCGACTGGCCCTCCAGAGCCGTATCCGCCTTGCTGAACCCCTCCGGAGTTATATCCCTGGCTGCCCCCTCCTGACCCATACTCCCCTCCACCACCTCCACCACCTCCATAACCTCCGCCGTAGCCCCCTCCTCCTCCCCCACTAGCACGGTAACTGCCGGATGGGCTTGCAGGAGATCCATATGATGTCTGCGCTGCCTGTGGCCGAAGATATGAGTCGGCTGCTCCTCCCGTCAGCCGCGTCGACGAGTACTGTCCACCGTTGCCGCCGCTGCTGCCGCTGCCATTGTAGCCACCAACACCGCCATGGCTGTATCCATACGAAGGCGAAGAAGATGAAGACGCCTGGTTGGGCGCCGGTGATGTCGACATGTAGTTGTCCGACATGTTGCCCGATCGCCCGTCCATCGCGTCGAGGTCGCGCGACTTGAACTGCGAAAAGATCGTGTTTGCCATCTGGCTGTTGCTCATGTTGCCCATGTTGCCCAGGTTTCCCAGCGTGCTCTGCCACCCACCACCGCCGCCGTGTGAGTGTCCGCCTGCGTGAGAGTGCCCGCCAACAGCGCTGCCGCTTCCACCTCCGCTGACCCCGTTCACAATGTGGTTCTTGCCCGTCTTGACCGACTGCGACGACAGCAGGTGGTTGAGCTCGTGCTGGCGCGGGTACTCGCCCACCCACCGCCGCACCGTCTCAAACATCTGCTGCTGGATCGGGATCCGATCGTCACGTATTGCTGGGTGGTGAAACGCTCGGATGATGTCGTTGGCCACCTCGTCTACCGGTACATTCGGGTTGTCCCACGCATAAAGGATCCGTCTGTGAACCCCGTTAGCAACCACACACACCGGCATCAGCACATTGACAACGCGCACTTACGGAACTGCGTACTGAAGCACCGTCGCAGCCACCCGGCCGGCACACGAGTTGAGCACGTTGGTAAAGTGGTCCTTGGACAGCATCGAGTGCGTCGGGTCGGTGCACTGCGCGTCCGTCCACGGCTCCAGCTGCGTGTTTGCACTCGCACTGATCACCCCCGACGACCCGTCCTTCAGCACCTTGGTGCACTGGTTGATGATCGGCCGTATGAATGGCGCGAGGAGGCCTAGCACAAACGCTGACAGCCTCTCGCTGATCTTCTCGATCAGCGATTCTAGCCCCGGGATCTTGGAGATCGTGTTGTTGATCGACCTGACTATCTTGTCGCGGAACTCCAGGATCGGGTAGATCTTGCGCGCCGTCGACACCGGGTCGAAGTTGGTGCTCATGCCCGGCACCTGGTTCACGTTGCCGGCCGCCCGCGTGTTCTCTTCCTCCTGTGCTGCCGCCATCGACTGCAGCCGGCTGGCCTCAGCCACAAATCCGCCTCCGACGCCCGGCAGCTGCGAGATGAGCGACATAAAGTCACCCCGGTCCCCTGACGACGACCCAAACAGACCTCGGGTGCCGTTGCCACCGCCACTCAGACTTCCTGACCGATTCAGCTGCTCGGCGTTCTTAAGGGCAATGTCCACTTCGTCCACCTCCGACTGTGTGAAGTGGTCGTTTGCTTCACTGCGTGCTGGTCAGCGTCTGAATAAAACGGAAAGATGCGATGGCCACCTACCCGATAACCGAGTGCAGGAAGTCGACGCCGCCAAATGTGCCTGTCACAATGGGATATACCCGTCTGCCCCGCAAGTTGATCTGCGAGTTGACACCGCAGTGCGGAAACACCTCGCTGTAGCCCATCTCGATGAGAGCCAACTCGCAATAGTTGCTATGAGCACTGAAATCCTCCATGCAGTGCAGAGACTGGCCGAGACACCGCAGAGCCTCACAGAGATCAGCCTCTTTTCCCGATGCTTGGCCGTGCAGATACGTGCGGCCAAAGTGGATGCTCCGGGCAAAGCTGAAGCGGAGGTAGCCCGCACTGGTGGCCCAGCCGCCCCGCTCGTTGGCAATGTAGTTCTTCATGCCCGTGTCCGGATCGATGGCCAGCTCCTGCGGGTCGATGGGTCCGCGGAGACGCGAGTCATACTGGCGCGCATCCTCGCCGTCCGCATAACCCTTGGGGTTGTCAATGTGCTCTTCGGGACGGTAGCAGCCAAGGCGTTCCTCGGTCACCTCAAACTCCTCCGTGGCATAGCCGAAGGCAAGAAATGACAGCACCCAGACAAGAATGCGGATCGTCGCTCCATTGACGCCCTTGAGGCTGCCAACATCGACGGCCTGCGAGTAGTCACGAAGCCAGTTGCCAAAATACGTCCGCTGCACGAGCATCGTCGTCCATTTCTTGCCGTGGAGGAAGGCGATGGTCTTGAGCATGTCCTCAATGTCTGGAAAGCATACAAATATCAGCCACGAAACAAACTATTAGGACGATGACGAAACATACCTCCATGTCTCCAATTGTGGCCTTCGACCTGCGCAATGGAGGGAATGTTGCCAGCTCCAAAGGCTGCAGCCCTGCCGGGCATAAAGGTCAGGACGAGGACGAGGATGAGCAGCGAGCTCCAGCCAGCTTTGATAGACGCCATGACGGCCGTCGTTGCGATGTTGAGAGTTTGCGAAATCAAAATTTTGATCGATGGATGACGAGCGAGATGAGAGAGACAATGAGGGGCAAGCTGTTGGAAACCCCGCGTGCTCAAAGGCCGATCTACCAACAATCTCGGCGACAGCCAGACGGACAAAGAAAAAGGGGTAGCGAAAGCAGATGAGGCGCGTTGGAGAGATCTGGTGGGAAATCAGTAAACCGGAGATGGCGGCCTCTTTTTTGTTTATTTTTTGCCGCAGCTGACTGCCCCGAGAGAAGGATCAATCCAATCGCCTGGCGTCTGTGTGGCTGAGAGGAGGGGCAGGATTCAGCTGCCTGCTGGGGTCGCGATCGCCAAGACGAAGCCAGAGCCGCAAAGGTGGTGGCTAAACGTCTAGTCGCAGGACTTAGATTTTCTTGGAATTTCAGGACGGGAGCAGCAGCCTGCAATTGTGGCTCCTCGGGACATCGCCAGCTTTGCAGACTGGCACTTTTTCGTCTCAGCGTTCTTTGCCGTCTTGTGACTTCGCGTGTTCGCGTGTTCGCGCCTTCCTGCCTTCGTGCCTTTCGCTGCAGGCAGCCGCGGCCGGTCGCACCTTCATCCAAGAGGCACCCTCACCGACGAGGGGTTCGACCAATGAAGGACGGCCATTTCTTGCCCCAAATAACCATAAATCGACATGCGGCCGCCTAGACAAGCCGGGATCGCTGAAAGCCCCCTCTGCCGCTTGCTGCAAGATAGCTCAATCTGGGATCTCACTCAGACAGCCACGACCCGACCTGTCGAGGTGCAAGTCATGACGATGCACATGCTGTCCTACGACATATATCGTTGCATGCGCAAGTGATGAGCTCCGAACCTCCCGGGATTCGGCCTCTGCTGCAGCAGCCAGAAACGGAATGAATGCTACAGAAGGCCGACTGCCGACCCGTGCTCATTGCAGGGCATGGCCTGGCCGTTCACCCAGGCAGCGACGCAGTGGTACAGTGGTGGATTGGTGGATTGCCTCTACGGAGTACGGAGTATACCGTGCAGAGCTGCAGAGAACGCACAGGGGTGAAGCCCGACCCGGGTTCACGACGCAGCCCCGCTGTGTGATTATGTTAAGACAAGTCTCCTCCTGCCTTGTAGTAAGCACGATGCTATGTACTAGTCGTATGTATAATACGTTGTCGGGCAGCCCACAGCCTTCTTCCATTTTGCTCGACTCTCTGCCCAACGCTCGTCAACGGCCAAAGGCTCCTCTCGCCCTACGACGCTGCAACAATGAGCGCCCAAGCAGTGGGACGTCTGTTCTACCGACTACCTGCTGCTGTTGCTGCACGCACATCGCTGGGGAACACAGCAAAGAGCCGAAAACGAACTAGTGTCGGCGCATGCACTCCTGTGTCGGCCGTCTGCAGCTATGCGCTGGTCGGCACGGCCACAACTACGGAGTACGGAGTACAGCAAGACAAGACTGAGTGCAGACCAGGTGGGGCGACAGGATGGCCCTGTGTTTCTGGCAACGTGGGCAAAGAGGCCATAGGCGCTTTGTTTACAAAGCTTGCATCCCACACTTATGCAGGGAGCAGCATTGACAATGGCAACGTGGAGTCGGCACTGTTCCGTGGCGAAAAAGCTCTCCCCAGTTTTTGTTGACCGCATCTGCTGGTACTATGTACGCGCAAAAAGGACGGCCAGTTGGCAGTACCCTCTACATTGTACGGAGTACGGGTACGAGCACATTCTGTGGTCTGTAATTCTCCTGTTTGAGAATGCTCTTCAGAGGCCCTCTGAACCCACCCGTTTCGTTGAGCAGCTGCGGGTCCTGGAAGAAGCGGTGTGTAGGGTCAGAGGCAAAAGCGAGAGGTCGGGATCTGGCTTTTTTTTTTTTTGGTCCGGTTGTCTAGGTGGAGGGGAAGGGTAAAAAAAAATCTACGACTTACGGAGTACGTCGTAAGCAAATCGTTGCGGAGTGCTCGTAGCGAGCTCCTTCTACTAGTAACGAAAGCCGGACTTTAAATAAGACCAGCCGCCAGCGACCGGTGCTGGCTAGCGATAAAAGTAAGTATGCTGGTCCTGGTCGTCCTCGGTCAAGTGTCGAAACGGGACGAACCATGCCTCTAGACCTGAATGCGGCTTGCGTGGGCGACAGACGCGGAGCCAAGGGTATATCAAGAGATAGTACGGAGCACGGAGAACGGGGAAGTCCAGACACTCTGTCGTCGTCAAATGGAGACCAGCTTTGCTCTTTTTCACAAGCTATACGAGGCAGAGAAAAGGGAAGCTCCAAACAGGCGACATGCAGGCCCCTTTCACACGGGCAGCACTCTAGAAGTGGACTGAAGCCAGATACGAGAACGGCCTGCTCCTCCGGTGTGGTTTTGCCCCTCCCCCTCCTTTTTACTACTATGTATGTACGACGTATGTCCTTTTCTGCCTCTCTTCACCCCTGCATATCTACCTGTGATCGTCACATCCGTCATCTTTTTTTCTACAACGGCCAGCCCAGGGAGCAGGGAAAGCCATCTTCTTGCCAAGCCCATCAACCTCCTCGCCCTGTTCTTCTGCCTCGAAGGGTCGTGCTTTTACTCACTCTTGTCGGCCTAGTGTAGGCGTTCGCCACGTATCTTATCTTACGTGCTAGCCTTTTTGCACAATACGCCACCGTTTACGGAGTAACTGGTTGGTATTCCGTATTCCGCACTCCAATTGTGCGTACTATCTTACTACGACGTAAGATACCCTAAACTAGATCGGAAGACGAGGTCGAGAATAGCCTCGGGTTGCCTGCGAACAGCCGGAGCACTGAGTGCTGCCATTGACCCTGTACAGAGTGCTCGCAGACACGCACTTGTATCAGCGCCCATAGCTCAACTCCCCGGCCCGTCATTCGGCTTCATCTGTTCTCCTGCGAGCTGGTGAAACACTAGGGCGGCCGTGATTTTCCTTGCAGCACCTCCCCTTGAACTTGCGGTGGATCTTCTGGAAGCCTTTCCGTAACTGGTCTCCTCAGCGGACTCGATGTGCAGATTCTTTGCAGGTATCGCGCGCTCAATTACGAGCAAACAAGAAAAAAGCTGGAGACGTTCATCCTCTTGACCTAATAGTATCTTACTATGTAGTGATGGCCTCTCCGCGAGTAATTGCGCTAACATATCTCCGGTTGGCGAGTACGAGTCGAGTACATATCTTACATAGTAGGGAAATGTAACCCCCTCTTTTGACTTGACAGCTACTTACTGCGTACGAGTGCTTGTTGATTGGATGGCCCCTGCGCCGGTGGCGGATCGTCGCTGTCAAAAGACGCTTACAGCTCTTGTTTTCGAGTTGGGCGCCTGGCGGCCCTTCCATTGGCAGTCGGACAGCGCAGTGGCCGTACCCGCACCGAGCCATTGGACATAAGCAAAGGTGCGATGGATGTGTGAACTGGTCAGATGGGAGCTGTTCAGGCGTGTGGTGGTGTGGGCAGAACTTTAGCCCTGTGGGCGGGACCTTGGAGCTGAGAATTACAGGTGAAGAGAGGCGGGCGGTGGGCACTGGCACGAGCACTGAGCACTGGCACTGAGCACTGGCACTGAGCACTGGCACGAGCACTGAGCACTGGCACTGAGCACTGGCACGAGCACTGAGCACTGGCACTCAGCACTGGCACTAGCACTGGGCACCGATGGGCAAGTGCTTTGTGGTGAATGCGTGTTTGTGACATGGCCGCACTGTTTCACCATTATGGCCGCGTTGGACATGCAGTTGCATCACATGGCGCCAGAGCGAAGGCGACGCCGAGAATACGAGTGAAAGCTTGGATGCGGACGAGTGTTGGCGCCCCAGCCCACTGTAATCAGATCCTCCCCTCCGCATCGAAGAGGGCAAAAATCGCTATGGATTTATATCCTTTGATTGAATAATTCCCCCAAAATAGATAAAACCCAAGACGGGTGGACGGCGGCACTTTCGCCGGTCGTCTGAGATGGAGACTGCTCCCGTATGTGCTGCAACCTCGTCTCTCTGCTCGTAGCCGTCCCATGCCGCTGTGCCGGAAGCAATCCCGGGCGGACTGGGGCGCATGTCTGCTGTCAAGCAGCTACTATGTACATGCTCCGTACTACGACGTATCTTACGCATCCAAAGCCCATCAGCTCTTTCTTGCGTATAGCGCAAATCGCCGCCCTCACGCCAGCTGCCAAGCTGCTCTTGCTTTGCTGTCCGAACACGTCGTCAGACGCTCTCTACAAGAGGCAACGCGGCTGAGACTTGGGAGCCTGCCGGCGCACAATCCCATTTGCACAACCGCGGGCTGCTTATCTGCACAATTCCTACCCGTCGTCCAGGCCCCGATTTGCAGGCGCAGCACAGGAATACCCCTGTCGTTGAGATCGGGCCTGCACAATGTGCGATGAACCGAGGAGGAGCCAAAAAGGGAAGCAGCACTGCTATAATGAAGAAGCTGAGGAAGCTGGAGAAGCTGGAGAAGCTGAAGAAGTTCCCAATAGGGCTATCTCGCTCTCGACACTCGAGATGCGGACTACTTGATTGGTAGGACGCACGGCAAATCGCTGCGAATCGCAACAAGGACCGCTGGAGCCGCCCACTGCTGGACTGCATTCGTTGTCGCTTGTCCATGATTGGGCCGTTATCGAGTTGGCTGGCCCGATGGTGTGCTGTAGTCCTGCCTAGTCTATTCTGCCGTCCCTGTATTCGAGTACTTACAAGGGGTCCACCAACCCCAAGGTCTATGAAGCCCAGTACCAGGAAAGCGCGACCCCTGACTTGCTGCCGCTCCCCCCCAAAAAAACCACCAAAACCTCTCCGCCTCCTTCACCACCCCCCCCCCCCTCCCTCCCACTGCTTCTGACCTTTCCCTTCCTCTCCCCTTCTACGTCCCCACGCTCCTTTTTTCCTTTTTTGGATTTTGTGCACTCCTCTCTTTCTGTGTGCTGTGTTGTCTGTTACTTATTTTCCCTCTTGTATCTCGCTTGTGTATTCCAATAACTCTCTGGTTTGCTGTTCCCTTCTCTAGGAGCGGCAATCTGTACCATATATTTGTTCTATAAGGTATGTCTCCTGTCGTCGATGGCCATGACCGGCTGGCACTTCCCCCCCTCTCCCTACCTCGTCTCTGTTCTTCTGTTCTTCTGCTCTGCTGTCTACCGACGCCGGCGCCGTTTGCTGGGCGTATGTTCTGCGGCTCTCTCCTCCTGCAGCACCAAAATCTGCGGAATCCTGCTTGTCTTGGTGGTGATGCTTTCGCTTTGGTGCGAGACCGGCAGGCTGGCGGCCCGGCGGAGACTTGCGAGAGGTTGCTTCCTTGACGATCAGCAAAGGCCAAATGTGACAGCGGCGATTGGCCGAGCCAAGCGACAGAAGAGGATAGGAGGGGGGAAGGGGAAAAAAATCGAAACAGCCCGATATACCGACCGCATTGCTCTCCGATCTGCCCAGCCCAACGTTGCTGACCTGCTGTGCTTACCTATAGTATAATTGTTCTCGAATCCTCCTGCGATTCGAACGTGTACGAAGAGTTACGATACGTTTTTGTAACAAAAAAAATACGGGACGATACGAACGACTGCGAAAAGAGCGAGAGAAGAGACGAAAACAGGACACCTCGACCAAGAAGTGAAGGAAACACACCAGACGAGGCGAAAAGGACCCCTTTCAGACGACCAAGAACGCATACGAAGGAGTGAAAAAGAAACAACTTGTGAAAATGGACGAGATGCGTTTTCGCACCCAGCAGTCGTCTCGGAACGACACCTCAATGGGCTCTTTTGCCTCCCCCCCCCGAAACGGCTCCCGCATGCCGCAGCCTTCCGATTCCCGCTCCTCTCTGCCTCGCCGGTTTACAGCCGATTCGGGGCGTGTACCAACATTGTCCAATAATACAAACCAGCAGCGAGCCCCAGAGCCGCAAGATCTTTCCGCCACGACGGTTTGTGCCCCTCCTTTCCTCGACCTCCACCCCCACATGCCCTATCCTACATACCACCGAAATGGAGGCTGACAGGCTGGTATAGGCATTGCACAAGGTTCAACTGGTATGTATACCAGGACAGGAATCATGCCGCTTGTATGCTGCAAATATATTTTCCTAGGCTGACTCTCTTTGCTCCCAGTTGGAGAAGAAGCGGTTAGAATACGAGAAGCTCCGCGAGCAGAAGCGGCGCTTCGAGGCCGAAATGCAGAAGCTGGACCAACAGCAGCGGCGTGAGGAGCAGGAGCTCGCTGCCATGCAGGAGGACTTGGGCCGCATCGGTGCTTCTGGCGGTATGGCCCCCGGCCACCAATCCGAGCCCACCACGCCGCCGGAATACCGCGAATCCGCGTCCGGCTTCCCATCCATGTTCTCGCGACCAAACCGCTACTCCACTTCGAGCCTGACCTCGCCACCAGGTCTCCTCTTCAACCGTCCGACACGTTCTGGCTCTCAGATTGCCTCTCCTCAGTCTGGCATCATTCAGCCGTCACAGCAGCGGATCGCCTTTGATGACCAGCTTCCCTCTCGCTCTGTTCCCGGATCGCGGCGCAATAGCGACGAAGACGAAAAGGAAGAGGCTGTCCGCCAGGACCCTACGAGCCACCGCTCTACCAATGCGTAAGTCTAATCAACACGTGCCGCTAGTGTTCTACTATCTCCTTCGCTTGACTTTGATTTCGGCCTGCTTTGCATGGGAAGAGAAGCCTTTACCATTGTATGGCCTGGGTTACATGGCTTTCAAGGCTGTGGCTGCAAGTGTAGTCAACTTGCTTTCCGTACTGTGGGCATTGGGCAGTGTCTTCTCAGCCTTTGTGCCATTATCAAGCATATGGCAGAAGCTGGTGTTTTTTTTTTCATTCAAACTCGCCATCAACATCGGATCACTTTGCACATCACCACGTCTTTGCATCCCTCCGTCTATTGGAAGGGAGGGTGACTACCTCGGCTTGACCCACTCATACCTATTGTCTCTGGACTTATGACTTCCCAAACCCTACAGCTTCATAGCTGCTTACTCCTTACCCTATTCACATATCGTCTGGCCTCCATTGAGCATTCTTCTTCAATTGATTCAATGCACTGGCCCTGATTTCAGGGTCTACGCTCTCACATTTCTAGAAGTATATTAGATTGCTTCGTCTTTATTTTCTTTGCTTTACCGTTTTCATCACTTCTACTTCGTTTTCTGCCCTCCACACAGCCGCATCCTTTCTTCCTTTCCTGCATCTCTTCTATCAACCGTACCACCATCTATCTTGAAGGCTTCTACAGAGCCCATTGCCGTCAAAACGTCGTTTCCATCCGTCCTGGACATCTGTCCAAGCTATTCATCACCCCTGTTCAATTTCCGTCTTTTGCCTTGTTCTTTTGTCCATTGAGCAAATTTCTCAGCTCCCGTTCAAAATGCTTCAACGGCCGTCGACTCCCAATGGCAATTTGCCTGCTGACTCTCCATACAGCCTCAACCGGTACAGTATGCCTGTGACGAGATCTAGATCGGGCTTTTACGACTTCTCCTCTCTTGACCAGACGAACACCACACGCTTCCTGTTTGGCGAGGACGAGGACCACAGCAATGTTGAGGGAAAGCTCTACCAATCCAACAAACCGAAGCCTGTTGCGCTTGATGAGAACTTTCCCACTCTCACACGCCGCGAGGGTCAGCCCCACATGGTATGTTTTGTGTGCTTTTTTTACAATTTTTTTCTCAATTGAGTTGCTGGATTGTCTCAAACCCACTTCACGTTGCTTTCACTTGTTCAGTCCCAGTCCTTCCTTTCATAAGATAAGGGAGACAAGGTAGTCCAATTTACTGACAGGTGCCAAACATCAGCTCTCGGCTTCCTCTGCAGCGCTTGACCTGGCTTTGGCACAAATGGCCAACACTGAAACTGTTAACGCCAACGACTGGGTTGGTGTTAGCCGCCACCGCACTCAGCCAAGCCTGTCTGGGCTGAGTTCATCTCAGCGTAACAGTTCCATAACTGTCACATCCGGCCCGTCCAACCCATCAGATTCCACCACTGCCAGTGGTCGCCCTTCGTCAATCCGGCACTCATTTGACATGAAGTACTATACGGACAATGTGTCTGAAGTCTCTGCTTCGATTATGTCTTCACCCACAAGCCATATCCTCGCGACGCCACCCAAGCTGCAGTCGTCTTACTCTGCAAACGACGTTTCGACCATCAAGACAACTCCCGGCTCTAATGTCTCGTCGAACACGAACAACCATGCTCAGCAGTACCTGCACAACCACAATGCTAGCCTTGGCCGCATCCCGGCTGGTGCCATGCACAACCGCCACAGCCGGGAGCTGTCTAGTGGCGACCTCAATGGTTCTATGGTCGCTCGTGAGTTTGCTTCCATTGGGTCGGCTCTGCATGCCAACGCAGCACCCTTTGGCTCTGGCACTATGACTCCCAACGGAATGCCTCAAAGCTCATCTTCCATCCCAGCTGCAACTCTGGCAGCAGCAGCAACCGCAGCCGCCGCTGCCGCCTCGTCTGGTTCCGCGACGACGTTACCCCCCACCACAGCCGGCAATCAGTACATGGCTGGATACTATGGCGCCCCCAATTATGCCGTACAGGCCAACGGCGTAGCACCCATTCCTGGACCTTCACCATACGGCGGTCCCAACGGGTTGCAAGCTCTCACACAAACGATGCAGGCTATGTCGATGAACGGAGCCGGGCCTATGTATCAACCTCAGGGCTACAATGGCTACCCATCCCTTTACGGCATGCCAGGAGCCCAGCCCCAGATTCGAGACAGCCAGGCCCGTGTCATACAGAGTCGCCGACAGGTGGACAACGAAGGTGAGTCTTTTCCTCTGCTTATTCGTGCATCTATGCCTACATGGGCCGCCAAATCACGTACTGACTGTTCATATATAGCCATGAACCGTTACAACAACACTCCTCTTGAGGCAGTGGGCGGAACGATCTACGAGCTATGCAAGGATCAGCATGGATGCCGGTACCTACAGAAGCAGCTGGAAAACCGCAATCCTGAGCAGGTTCATATGATCTGGCTTGAAACGAACCAGCATGTGGTCGAGTTGATGACCGACCCCTTTGGCAACTACCTCTGTCAGAAGCTGCTCGAGTACTGCAACGATGACGAGCGCACCGTCCTGATCCAAAATGCAGCCCAGGACATGGTGCGCATTGCGCTCAACCAGCATGGCACGCGTGCTCTTCAGAAGATGATCGAATTTATCTCGACCGAGGCTCAGGTTCAGATCATTATCGAGGCTCTTCGCCACTGCGTGGTCGATCTTATCAAGGATCTGAACGGCAATCACGTTATCCAGAAATGTCTCAACAAGCTCACCCCCGCCAATGCGCAGTTCATTTTTGATGCCGTTGGTGGCGCTTGCGTTGAAGTCGGCACTCACCGTCACGGCTGCTGTGTCCTGCAGCGATGCATTGACCATGCTTCAGGGGATCAGAAGGTCTGGCTCATCCAGCGCATCACGGAAGAAGCAGTGACTCTCATTCAGGACCCGTACGGAAACTACGTCGTCCAGTACATCATTGATCTGAACGATCTCAACTTTACTGAGCCGCTAGTCGCCCGTTTCCGTGGCCGCATCTGCTCACTTTCACGACACAAGTTCAGTTCCAACGTGGTCGAAAAATGTCTCCGCTGTTCCCTGGAACCTTCTAGGGATATGATCGTCGAGGAGGTCCTGAACTCCGGAGAGGTCGAACGCCTTGTGCGTGATTCGTATGCGAATTACGTTGTCCAGACCGCCCTTGAGTACGCCACGCCGTACATGAAGGCTCGCCTGGTCGATTCGATTCGCCCATTCCTGGCTCAGATTCGGTCGACACCGCATGGCCGTCGCATCCAGGCCAAGATCCAGGCCTACGACTCGCGCAGTGGCCAGTCTAGTGGACACATCACTCCGGCGGACTCGTCTCAGGGTCAGATCCCGCTTCACACCAGCCACAGTCGCAGCGGCAGCACATCGATGATGGTGCCGACATCAGTCTTTTCCACAAACGGGCTAAATGGCATCACACACCGTGCTGGAGTCAACGGTGTTGCTGGGCCGGCCGCTACAGGAAATCCCTCTGGTCAGGTCAACATTCTTGGTGGGTCCCAGGGCCGTTCGATGCCCCAATACGCCCCGCCGCAGTTTGCGCGCTCGACCATGCCAGTCAGCGGAGTGCCCACGACTGTTGCGATGATGCCTTCCATGGTGCCCGTCAGCATGGCGCCGAACATGGCTGCTGGCCTTCCGGGCATGCCCGGGCCTGGAATGGGCCTCATGAACGAGAATGGTGAGACCGCATGGCTATAGGATGGCGCGTGGTTCCCCGTCCCTCTGCAGTACAACGTCATGATGCGCTGAAGAGCTTGGCCCTTCACTGGGCTCGCCTCTTTCGTATTACCACCAAAGAGACCGGTCTTCCAGTTGAATGTTGGGGGTCTCGCTTCTCACTGCTGTGCTCCAAGACGACACGGCTGACAACAACTAGCCAACGACGTTACCTCTGCTTTCTTTATTTGAATGCGATATCGCCTCTGGACAATGCCTCTCCCAGTCGAAAACGAGACTGGAAGTCTCTTTACTGTTGTCTTTGTCTGTCTCGGGCTTAGTGTGTTTGTCTACCATTCGCTTCCTCACGGGATATCCGCCTAGCAATGGTGGAGTTCGTTCAGGCATGGGATTATCTAGTTTCGAGTGGGCACTATTTGTGATCTATTTTTCCTCCCACGTTCATCTCGCCGACATTCAGCATTTGTTTTTATAAAGGAAGTTCTCTTGTCTTGTTTATCAGTCGGTTCTGTTGTTTATTTGCCTCTTCTTTTCTACTGCGGCTCGGAAATCAGTCGGGTCTTCTAGCCGTGAGAATGAACAACTGCAGCGCTCAGCTGGTCCTTTTTACTCGACGCAACGACTGACGATGATGCACGACCATCCCGATTTCTACGGCTTCCACCTCACGCGTGTGCGGATTTACAAAGTACGATTTCGATGCCTGTCATGTCTTTCGATTTTTCTGCTCGCTTATCGCTTACGGCTTCTTTGTGGGATCCATGTCGATGTGTCTGATGTCACAGGCGTCCGCTTGCCACGAGGCCATATTTCTACCGTGTTGCGCACCCTCGTTATGGGAATTGCAGTGTTCGGGAGACAACGAGCCTTGGAGCTCAAATCGGTCGTCTATATACGCATGAAATGACACGTCGGTAGAACCGACCCTGTTTTCTGTTGGGAAAGCTGGGTTCGGGCATATGGCCAACCAACTTGTTATAGCTGCGCGTCCTTGTTTTTTCACATTCTCATGTTGCCGGTTTGCTATTTTTCACTCTTGTGTTTTATTTTTTCGCCTGCGGCAGCACCTTGAAGCTTTGTATATGGAATATGGCCGTTTCAGCATCTTGCATTTCTCTAGCCTGGGATTTTTTTGACGTCCCAATCTTCGTTCCCAACCTTTTCATGGTACGCAACAATGGAGAATGACGAAAAGGTGACAGACGCGTGGTATCTACAGGAAGATTTCCAGGTCAAGACAGAAAGAACAGACGAGACATCATTCTTGAGATAGTTGTTAGTTAGATTCGAATTACGTTTTCTCCATATTCTACTTTTAGTAGCCGTGATTAGACTATGAGGTCAGGATTGGACCAGTAATAATAGCATCAATAGTTTCTCACATCACGAGAGCCAATGGAACTTTTGTGATTTGAACAATATCATCTGACATTTTGATATTCCGTGCTTAATGTCCTCTTTTTGTTTTTACGCCAAAATCGTTATCTGCTCTACCCGCATGACCACGTGATTATGTTGGCCTTGAAAACAGACGTGAGCAGAGCCAACACACGTTGAAGAAAGCAGTTTCGACCCAGAGCCCCCCCAAAATTCTCCGAAGACGACCACCACAGGCAGCCGTCTGGTTCATCTCCTTCTCCCCATCTACCGGTAGCGCCACAGGGACAGAGTGTTGTGGCGCTTCCAAGTCTTGCGACGGCCAGCACGGGTCTTGTTGAACTTGTGACCCTTGTTGAGGCCGCGAGACTTCTTGCCGGTGGCGGTAAGGCCACGCGACTCGCGGTGCTTGTGCACCGGGTTGACGATCCAGTTGATGCGAGGATCGCGGCGAATTGCGGCGTGGTTGGGGTCGACGAGAATGACCTCGTAGTACTTGTACGTGGAGTCCTGGTTGACCCAGTACGAGTTCAGGACGCGCAGGTTACCGCAGCGGCGGCCAACACGCTCCTCGGCGGTGGACTTGAGCGAGCGCTGGTACTTGAGCTGGTTCACACCCTGGTTGGTAGGCTTGCCTGTGGAGAGAGGAGAGAAGGTGAGCAAGCGATCGGGCGAGACGGTGGGGGAACATCAATCGTTAACCTACCGAAAGTGGCACCCTTGGCAACCGGCTTCTTGCGGCCACCGCGGCGAACGCGCGCGCGGTAGATGACATAGCCCTGCTTGGCCTTGTATCCGAGGCGGCGGGCCTTGTCGGGGCGCGACGGGCGGGAAGCGCGGTGGATGACGTTCAGCTGGCGGTACTATTCACAAAAAACACTCTCAGCACAAAAGTTCTTGATCAACGAGTGTTTGTGATGGACGGCGTCGTGGAGGAGCAGGGAGAGCCAGGGAGAAAGAAGACCCGAGCGAGGATGAAAGGCAGGTCGCACAGAAAAGCTGGCAAAAACTTTTCTCTTTGGTTCTGTCTTTTTCCCCTCACTTCAAGTTTTATCTTCCTGGTCCTCGATGCACTCCAACGACACTCGGCCTCTGCCATTCGTCTTCGGGTATTGTTCTTCGGATTGAAAATTCGGTTCAACGTACTTCCCAGCAGCGGACACGGAGGAGGAAACGCAGCACATCCGACTGCTTGCGCTTCTGGAGCTCTTCGACGTACTTGAGGGCACCCATCGTGACTACAGAATTGATGCGGATGGTGAGCAAGATACAAGACAAGACCAGACAGTCAAAGAATGTTGCGACAAGATGATGCAAGACACAGAAGCCGAATCAGCTGTTGGGGAGGGGGGAGCACAAACCTAAGTTCTCTGAAATGAACAGTGATGGTAATTGTTTGAACAGAGGATGCAAAACGAGAACCCAAAAGTCTCGACACGAAGAGGAGCCGCCACAATTTTCTTAGTTGCCAATTTTTTGGCCGTTTTTTTTCTGGCCAAAGTGCGGTCAGCCCTAATCGTACTGCACTAGTCCTGAAGAAGAAGATAATGACTAATATTATTAATAGCCACCGCGATAAGTATTTTCCATTTCCGTCAATTCAAATCGCAAGTTTTTGTCGGCAAAAACAAGGAACATGTATCGTGTGACGCATCACGTGATGACTCTCTAAAGGTCCATATGCGGATGTTTTGGATAACAACCTGTTGCCTTCAAAACTCGAGCAACGTACAGAGTAAAAACACTTGATGGGGCTTCCGCTCTGACACGGTACTTGTAGTCGCCTTGAATTATTATGCTACTCACCAGTGACGAGTACGTTACCGAGAAGAAAAAGGCAGGTCTAATTCCTAAAGAGATTTCCGCTCCAACGAGTCCTGGCGCGAGATATTGCTGAAGGAGGCAAAGTAGGAGTAGACTGCACCAAAGAAAGCAACATTCTGACACAAGGCTAGCCTGTTTAGGAAGTTATTTCAACTACTACCGCGTATCTTCCAGTTATCTCCTGGGCTATGTATCTTGATAGAGATTTAGATAAAGACGGCCGCCTTAGTTGTCTAAACGGGAACTCTCCGGATGTCTGCTACCGAATCAAGTTGGTAATTCAGACGATAGAAGCGGCTTAACTTGCATATAGCCGACACCCAGCACTCATCTAGCGCGATGGCAGCTGTCCTCTGCCCATAGCCTCGAAGTACTCACCATGGCTCCGAAACGTGTTCTTTGCGGCTACGGCATTGACGTCGATGCCGTGGCGAACTGGGTATATATGCGCATTTGACAGAGCTTTGCTGCCCTTGACAGGCTGCATGCATACTGACGGTGAAGGGAGCCTGCCAGATCAACACCTGTGACGGTTCAAAGCAAACCCGCACAAACGTCTCGCGCGGTATCTATGGAGCGACGGTGGGCATCGACCGGCTGCTGAAGCTGTTTGGCAAGTACAGCATCAAGGCAGCTGGTTTATGCCGGCACACAGCATCGAGTCGTTTCTGGCCCAGCTGACCAAGGTGCGAGATGCCGGCCATGAGATCGGCCTGCACGGCTACACGCACGAGTATCCGTCGGACCTGAGCGAGGTGCAGCAGCGTGACGTGCTGGAGAAGTCGATCAAGGTGATGACCCGCTTCTGTGGCGGCAAGAAGCCGGTGGGATACACGGCGCCCGCCTGGGCGACGAGCAAGGAGCTCATCCCACATCTCGAGGAATACGGCATTATCTACGATCATTCCTTCATGCACCACGACTTCCAGATGTATTTCTGCCCCGACAGCAGCCACGACTGGGTCGAGACCAACTGTGCTCACGATGCCTCCACCTGGATGCGGCCCATGTCCAAGGTGAAGCCGTCGCAGGTGGTCGAGATCCCGGCCAACTGGCACCTGGACGACTGGCCGCCCTTGCAGCCGATCCTCGGCAAGCCCAGCCACGAATACATCGATACCGAGGTCATCTTTAGCCTCTAGAAGCAGCAGTTTGACTTTGCCTACCTTGAATACGACCAGTTCATCTTTCCCATCTCCATCCGTACGTGCTCTCGAGTCCTGCAGGGTGGACTGTCTCGTTGCGTGAGAACTGTAAGGCTGACCAGCGACATGCGTCATCGCAGACCCCCAGATCAGCGGGAAGCCCCACGTGGTCCTGCTGCACGAGCAGATGATCAAGTATATCAACTCGTTCGAGGGCGTCGAGTGGATGACCATGGCTGAGATGGCGCAGGAGTTCCTGCAGGGGAGAATTACTGGCGCCGCCGTCGAGGGCGGAGTAGACCTGTGAACGCTAGGCGGCCTGCTGTTGGGCTTTTTGTGCCAATTTTAGTCTGTCTCCGGGAAAAACTTCCAATCAGGACAGGACGCGATCCGGCGAGCTGAAATCCTGCGAGATAGTTCTAGCCTACACTAGCCTCAAGCGAGAGTAGTCGAATCCTTCGATAAAGGCTTCAGGAAGAGGAGTAAAAGTAGACACGCAGAAGACCGGGAATCTGTCTACCCGATTACGGGTATATTTTACGTCTAGTCACATCCTTCGTGCGTGGAAATTGTCTTTAAATGAGCATAACCTGGCGATGGTAATCTAGATACCTGTCTTCGCGACATCAAGCCTTTACACGATCCTACGACGGACGCCTACAACGCGCTGAGCACTTCCCTGCATTGCCTCTTCAACCAAAATCATGGCCAGGACAATATATGGGCCGACTTTGGCCTGTACGGCTACTGTACATGGGCACCCTATGAAATTGACAACAGCTCTATACTAAACCGATATTGGTAAGCAGTGATGAACGCGGTCCTGATCACGATGCGGTTATCAGTTTTTTCATGCTGCTGTTGTGGACTCTCTGACCGACCTCCAGCTCTTCATTTGAGGTTGGATACGATCCGGTCACAATTCTCAATTACGCCACAAGCGAGCCCCGTGATCTTTTCTCTGCGTCCGAAGCCAATCGCTTGAGGGTGCTTGCAAAGCCTCTGATCATCCACCTTATAGCCGCGGTCTTCGCTTGGGTGACACTGGCGACCGTAATTCTCTACATCAGGATCGGAACCCGTTCCGAGCTCATAGGCACCCTCCTCACATGCATTCTGACAATAATCGGGCTTGGTCTGGACACGGCATTGTTTGTCCCTATGAAGCACGCCATTTCTTCCTACGCCGATTATTCTGGCCTTTCTCATGCCTACTGGCTAGTCGTTGCCTCGGCTATAAGCACAGTGCTCGCCCTCATGCTTGTTGCGTATGAGCATTTTTCCATGCGAAGTTACGAACGCAATACAGTGACATATCGCAAAGTCGAGGAAGGCATTGCACCGGTTGAGATTTCTTTGGAGCCTCGAAAGAATTGGTAGATACTTGTTTGACACAAAAAAGGCTATGATGAAGACAGCGTCAGTTGTGCAAAATAAGACACTGGCACGAGATAGCACCAATCTAATGGTTTTGAAAACGTTGAAACTTGAGCCGCCAATAATACTGATTAGTGAGCCTGAAAATGCTATAAAAATTAATGGGACCAACACTGACACGCCGACAGCTCCTCCGAGAGCATCCAGGTCCGTGAGAAGTCCGCGAATTGACCGCCCGGACTTCTGTATAAACAGAAGTGGCGACATGGTCCAGACGCCTAGGACGGTGATGGCGATAAGTACAATGGACTGGCTCCAGAAAATCCGAGGCCACCAGGCTAGGGAGATTATGCCGCCGAAGACGAAGCCGGTAATAGCGCCAAAGGTAATGCTCTTACGCTTAGTCGAGTAGGACCGCCCAACGAGGGCGACGACTTTGGGCATCGTCATTACTAGGCCGATGCCCTCTTAGACTCGATATTCTATGCATGAAACGTGGGAAGAAATGACGGTGAGGTCAGCGACCAAAGACCATAAGCAGTACCACATAATACCGAGGTGAGAAGAATTTGGTGGCCGACTTCGTTTGCCAACTGCCCGCCAATAAGGATAACGGTGCCGATGGTTAGGCTATAGTTGGAGGTCAGCCAGGAAAGCTGGCCCAGTTTTGTGATGCCAGAGCACTCTCCGGATCACACCGACGGTAGCCAAGGTGCTTCCGAGGCCGACATGATTCGTGAACATGGCCGTGAAGACTGTTCTAAGAAAGAGTGCCTACCGCGACATTGAAAGGCTTTCTCCTGGATAGATATTTGTGTCTGGGTTATGTTGCTTGGCGAACTTAACATCTACGGACTTTCGTGTCAGCAAAACATCAATTCGACCAGAGCCCAATCGTCGGTTACTAACTAGACGGCTGTAGTCGTGAGGGGGCCGGAGGCGGTATCTCCTCCTCGACCTTTTCTGGAATATTGTATTTATACGATGCCTGTACGATCGATCGGCGGTGTCGTCGCACGGTTGAAAGTAGGTAAAATGGGTACAGAAGATTCCTTAAAGAGCTCATCTAAGTGTAAATTTGGAGTTGCCTACTGAGAAGCCTTAGAAAGATATTGGTAGCGTTTTCTATTGAGATTATATAGCTGAAGCTACATCCATTTGTAACAGAGAGTTCTCCTTCTACGGAATTTGACTAATGATCTCAACCACTTAAAGTGGCTGACCATAATGAGCAGAACCTATCTGGAATCATAGTTCCAATCAACAAAGGGACTTTCATGATTTTTCTGACGATATCGTTCTGACGATATCACAGAGACTATCAAGATTTCGCACAGAAATGTACGCGTATCAGATAGGTTTGTGTCTCTATGCTTGGGATCTCTAGGCTGATTTCAGATGATCAAAATCACGTGGTTTAGAGATCAGTTCACCTTAATTTGACCATCGGAACTCTCAGCAGTAAATACTGATCTCCGGAGACGTGGCCGCTATTGATTGAAACGATTAGGGTCGGCATACACTAATAAGTACCCCCGATCGAGGATTTTTCGACTTTGTACACTTTCATGAAGAAGCTTACATTCCCCCGATAGCCACCTTGGCTTACTCGTTGACGAATAAAACTGCTTGCTTCCAATGTAGATTTAGGCCAATTTGGGTCTAAACCAAAGCGAGTCCAGTGAACGCGCTACTGTGACCACCTAGAAAAGCATCTAAAGATGAAATCGGCTGAGAACCCGGTGTCAAGACAGAGGCTGAGTATGATACTATGTAAGAAGTAAGAAAGCTGCAGCAGGATCTTGCCAATTAGTTTCGTTTGCTTTTGTGATTTTCTTTTTAAAGCGGGTCTAGGAAACACGTATAGTTGACTGGCGGCTCCGCGGAGTTCGGAGCTAGAAAATCGACATCGCTATAGCTCCAGCTCCTGCCGTTGTGCTAAGATACCTTTTCTGACAAGAAGCACAGAAGTAAGCGTTCTAGATGGACATCATAGATTAGATAAAACGGACGAGCAGGATAAAGATACGAGATACTAGTCCCCTCCAGGGCTGTCGCGCAGTTCTGAAAGACGCCCCATACATTCTTCGTATAGGCCTGCGAAACATGTCGATTAAGGGAGCAAAAGTGTGATGAGAAACGACCCACATGCTTTCACTGCTCGATCTACAGCAGTGATTGCATATTGCGCGAAGATATGCAGAGTCGGTATGGGTCGTCTTCAAGATGCCACAAGCAAGTAATTTGCCGTTGTGCAGGTATACTGACTCCCGAGTTCAGGAACACGGCGAAGCCCAACAGAGGCGGACCGTCTGCGAAGCAGACTATTGCAGGTCGAGCACAACTGAAAGCAGTCTAGGCACAGGTGGACGAGTTGAAGGGCGCGTGTGTGCCGTCGTTGGCCAAGCAAAAAGGCAGCCAGCAGCCTTCTCAGCTATCCGAAACTGTCCCATTGATCGACAGTTATCTCGTAACGTAGAACACTGTGATTCCGCTTTTCGTCCGAGAAAACTTCAAGCAGACGTTTATGCATGGTACGAATGTCCGGCGGGATACGGAGTCGACGTGTGGGCATTGATAAACGTGGTGCTGGCAATGGAACTGCAGCGGTCTGAGCACGGCAAGCTCGGCGATGTCGTCCTGCAGCGGTGCATCGAGGAAGCGCAGTCGGCCGTAGGCAGCCTGATAGCGTAGGACCTGGGTTTCACGGCATCCAGGCTGTGCTGGGACTAGTAATGCTGTCCCAAGGCTGGATCTGCGGCCAACGGCAGTCTTGGCAGCAGTAGCCTTACAGCTAGCCTACAAGCTAAAGCTACACATCCGTGAAGATGCAGCCCCTGGATCCGTAGCTGAGGCGGATGGCGAGCCGAGTGTTCTGGATCACGTACACCCTCGGCAGAGAGATCGGCATCCGCACCGGCGATCCGTACCTGCTAAACAAAGGAAGCCTTGATGTCGATCCTCCCGATGGCTCGTATTATGATGGATGTGAGCTCAGCCACGAGCTGAGCACCGGTAGCGATCCGGCCTTTGACTGGGTTTCCGGTCGGATAGCGCTGGCCAACATCCAGGGCACGATAAATGAACTGGTTGTGTCGTTCTAGGCAAAAAGTCCTCGGAGGTAGCCAGGATGGCAAATTCTAGCCTCTCGACGACATACTGCAGCACTGGCTCGTGGCGATCTCCGAGGAACGCCACCCTCAGCACTATTTGCTGCAGGAAAACGTTCAACGGCGAGACTTTTTCTGCTGCTTTTCGCCTCATTCTTGTTTTCGCTCTTCGTCACTCATGGCGTCTTGCTGCACAACGACACATGAATGGACTAACTGACAGCATACAGCAGTAGTTACATCACTGCCTACCATGACTCTACCTATAGCATTTCGCAACTCCCGTTTCCGGTATATTTTGCTGCAAGTGGTGCGAGATTGCATGGCCAAGTTCCGTCTCGTCGACAGATCCGAGATAAGGCTCTTGGGTAAAATCTGTCCCCCACCCAAAGCGAATCGTATTGCACGCCACTCACATCCGTTAGTGCTATGCGGTGTGCTTATGTTTCATCGTCATGGTGGCTGGTGAGCTGGATGTTTCGCGAGACCGTAGCGTTGACACCTTACTAGACGATCCGTTGCAGGAAGAAGGACTGCATTCACGAGGAGACCAGGGACGAGAGGTTTAAGCGGCTCTACGGAGTGCCTTGCCTGTTTAGGACTGATCTTCCGGATACAGGAGTGGCGCCGCAGTGACGAACCTGATCAGCAGCAGGGGTCCCTCTATTTCTCGGTCACATACATGTAAGCGTCGGGATCAGCCTCTTGAAAAAGCCACTGATTTTCGTGGCAAGCAATATCATATGGTCTGACGTAACGATAACAAAATAACACACAATCCAAGCACGTCAACTCTGGCTAGCTACTTGGGCACAACCTGTCTGAGATCGCGCAGAACACTGGCCGTGCGAAGGATCCGCTCCAGAAGCTCTCTATACTCCCATCCGAGGGCTTCGGCAGCCAGGAGCGTGAGGCAGGCCTGGTCATCTCTACCAGGACGCCCGGGGCCTGTCATATTCTGTAGAAGATGCATGAGCGAGGGCTATGACGAAAGAGGGAGACTATACAACTGCCGATGCAGACAGACGTACCGGCTTTGTGTTGACGTCCAAGAGGGCAAACTTGGACGAGGCAGCATCACGATGACGACGGGCATCCACGCGGATGGGTGCAGTGGTGCCCAAGGCACGAGCAACGGCCTCGCACTCGCGCATGAGCGCGCGGTAGAGCGGATCCTTGTCGCTGTCGGAAACGGCGCGCGAGTTGGTCGACACGGCCACAGACCCGTTGGAGGGCGCGATGCCGTCTTCATGGTCGAACCGGGTGACCACGGGCAGTGCCCAATAGTCAGTCTTGCCGGCGACCGCGGGCGGCATGACCGTCACCGTGACCTCCTCGCCGGCGAGGAACTGCTCGATGAGAACATGCATGGTCTCGCTCTGCAGTTCGCGCACGTGGTCCTGCAGCTCGTCGGCCGTGTGGCACACCTTGACGCCATAGCTGCCACGGCCGCGCGCTGGCTTACCCACAACGGAATAGGCGATGCCCGGCAGCTCGTGCACGGCTGCTGGGTCTGTCGTAGCCGACAACGACCACGAGCGCGGCAGCGTGAAGCCGCCGAGGCCGCGCAGCAGCCTGTTGATGTAGTCCTTGTCATCGTAGCGCTCGACGGCTAGCGGGCCCTGACCGATTACCCGGACGCGGTCCTGGTACGCCCCGATGGCCGCCGATGTCTGCAGAGGGTGCGATGCAAACAGCACCGTGTTGGCCCACACGTGCGTTGCTCCTCGGCTCAGTGCCTCCAGGATGCCCTCTTCCGTGTCCGGAAAGGCCCAACCGTGATGGTCAGCCGGATCTGGATCGTCACGGGGCGTCACCACGTCAATGCCCTCGCTGCCCTGAAGGGCAAAGGCAATGTCGGCACCTGAGTCTTGGTAGCCTGTGTGTGTTAGTCTGCAGTCTGTAGCCTAGAGATGTGGCGTCTCGACATACCACCAGGCTTCATCGGCTTCTTCTCCCCATTGATGATCGGAGGCTCCAGCGCTTGGTACAGGACCGCAACGCGAACAGGACCATCTGCAAGCAAAGGCATGGCTGGAAACTGTATACAGAGTCTGAAAAGGTATGAAGATGGGAAAATGTATAAAGAAAGCCTGGACTATATGGCCGCCGGGGGTCTTGAACGTTTTGCCGTCTTGCTGTCTTAGGGATCCGTTTCTCTTTGTCCCAAAGTTTCAACGTCTCCTCGAGAGAAAGTTGTCGACTTTTTATACCCAGAAGACAGAGAGACTGTCGGAAGTGATCGGCGAGGCAGTGCCTCTGAACGGAGCTTCGTTCTTGATTTTCCATTCCTGATGCTCACATTGTGGTCCATGTACGTTATCTTTGCTAACGTAGATCGAGTACTTTTTGATTCTCGAAAGTACAAGTAACACACACACACGATCTTCTACATCTTCTGCGTATCTGTTTTTCCATAATCTGAACGACGTGATGTGATTGTGTATCTGCAGCCTTTCACATGAAGTGCGATCTGCACCGATTATTTTAGCGGCAAATGAGCCCAGGCCAACCCAACATGTTTTGTCTGCCGGTGCTGCCGGTTCCCAACCTGCATAATTATCCTTCTGTAAACAAGAGGGAGGGCGTGGGGATTGAGGCTGCCCACTGCAAGCAATAGCACAGCACGGTTGCATATGCTCATAACTGGAAGCTTTGATAACAAGGGATGCCGGATTTACAGCGAAAGCTTAAAGAACAGCAACTTACGGAAGCTCATCCTTCGCATCAGCGCACCTTCTCGTTTCTAACTAGGTTGTATTTCGTCTTTCCACTTCGCGTTCTTTCTTCGCCCTCCCTTCAGACACACGAGTGTGCTTCTATATCACATACATTCCTCTTTGGGAAATCCCGACAGCTGTTCGAGCTAGACTGCAGGCTAAGACGGCGACGGCGTGCTTGGCAGCTTACCCATCTCCCACGGCCTTTTCAGCCACGTGCTTCTGACAATATGGACCATCTTAGACAGAAGTGGGACAAGTCACCATGGCGCAGTTGGCTAGCGCGTAGGTCTCATTAATCCTGAGGTCGAGAGTTCGAGCCTCTCTGGTGACATTTTTTTGCCGGTTTCTTGCATCTTCACCTACCTTGCCCCAACTGGCTAGCTTTTGGAAGTCCGGACGGCACTGCAGAAGCACTTGGCGGAACATCAGATGATGGTCGTTAGGCGATTCGGGCGAACAGAGGGAGCGTCCAGTTATACGCTCCCATAAAAGCTTCAGATCAGGGGTCCTACTGAAAGTTGCTGGCTTATTCTGTAATGGAGACAGCACAAAACTGGCCTCTTCCAACTGCACTCAAGCGTGATAGCTTCTGTAGTAAGTAATTGTGATTAAAAGCTATTGCCTCAAGGGCGTGTTTCTCGTTTTGTGAAGATTCTGTCTGCGCTGGTATGACATCTGGTCTATTCGCCGGGAATCGTTCGTTCACTTCGTGGATAGTGCCCTATCTTCCTCGTTTCTCTCACTAGCCATGTAAAGGTCCGGCCAGGGAACAGACCACCTACATCGTCACGCGGACAGAGGAAACCGATCTGGTGCTTGCACTCCACACTCACCGATTCTGCTCTATTCGTGTTGTGTTGACTATTGTAGCACACCGACATGGAGTACTGCCAGGGTCCAATATTCAGCCTCACCTTTCGACACGTATTTTATGTCTATTATGCAATGGATCCCCTCGACGCTGCAAGTATTCCTAGAGGTCAAGCGCGGACCGATGCTCTAGAACAATGAGCGGCTTGGCTGCTTTCAAAGGGATTCATTTCTTTTATATGGTAACACAAAGGACTAGATGCATCAATACTCAGGCTTCCTGTGACGGCGAAAATCCAAGCAAATTCGTGTGATCAGATCAGGTCCCATAGCCGCTACAAGTTCTGCCACCTTGGACTTGAAACTGGTGCCATCCAGCACAGTGCCCTCTGACCAGACAACCAGAAACCTAATAGGAAATATGTCTGAGTGCATATTCGTCTGGATGGGAATTTCGCCCAGTGCAAGACCAGCCACAGTATCTAGAGGTGGAAGGCCTGGCATGTTGCTCATGAACAGCGGGTGATCGGATTCGGATTCGTCACTTGCGCTGTCTTGGCCATCCTCATAATCCAGATCGTCGCTAGTTTTGTCGTTACTATTGCAGTCGTCCTGTCTATCACCTCCGGCTGCCTTCCGATATGCCGTGGTATATTCACTGGCTGGACGGCCATTTTTTCCACCACAGCCTGCTCGACGCCGCTCTCTTGATAGACTGACATACGGGAATTTGTCAAAAAGGGCCAAGGATTCCTTGTCGAGCAGATCCCAATCCAGGGTTTCCGGATCCAGTACATACTGCGGTGCGTAATCGATCTTGTATCGCATTTTCGGGCAGCTGTGAATGTAAAAGCCAGAATACCACCACCGGTAGCCATGCTCACGAGCCAGGGCAATCTCTCTCAAGGCGCCCAGTTTTCCCGGGTTGTGCTGATGTATGGACTCATGATACAGAAAGTAAACCGCGCTCAGGGAATTAGGTAGCAGATCCAGAACTCCAATTGCGACCAGCCTTCCATCTAGACGGTAGCACTGGTGGAAGGAACCCAACTCCCGCGTGTGACCACTGCTGTCTGTCAAAGTCTCGCGGCGAAGTGGCGAGTTGCAAAGGAAAGAGGCAAACCCCTGACGCGTAATTTTCGACGGTGGCTCCTTGTGAACAATGCGCTGATAGTTCTCATACACAAGGTACTTTTCTTCCGTGAAAGTGTCAGGCTCCAGGGTTACCTCGAAGCGATGGTCTGGCATAGTGGACTCGGCCAGGGGACTTGTGTGGTCATCGGCATGCTCTTTCGGTACCTTCTCCGCCTGTTGTGCTTGCCCTTTTGAAACTAGTTGGCGTAAAGACAAAGGTGGGAGTCTGTTAATCTCCGCCTCGTGGATACGCTCAGCTAGGTCGAAGATCGTCTCCCGCCGCTTTGCTTCTTCCTTTGACCGAGGACAGAGCCGGGCCGCCTCTTTGGCATAGGCGTCGCCAATAACATAGCGGGTGAATCGATTGACAGCCTGGCGCTGGTCCCGGGTGGCCTGAAAGCTAGTTGAGTCGAGTCGAAGCGTATAGTGAGGACAGCACATATTCTTCTGGTTAGGACGGTAGAGAAGTGTCCCGGAACGCCTCCAACAGCGGTCGATCAGAGTCTGATAGAGGCTTGGGCTCAGAGAGTGGGATGAAGCATAGTACGAGAAACCTGCAGCGGACAGACCGATGATAAGATCAGACCAAATACCTACACGGCATCGAGGCTACAGGCACGAATATGGGATCACCGAGGCAGAAACCCCAACAAAGACCCAGGCAGCTTAGGCAAAAAGACGCCTAGAAGAAAGAGGGCAGCTTACGTTTATGGGGAGTTCCGTCCTTCTTTTCGCCATGACAGTAACCACATTGGTTAGAGTTGGAGTATCCTATGTGAGAATGTTAACGGATCAGGCATAATCGTTGTTACGCATACAACAAAGACACAACCATTGCTGAGGTTGGACAAAATGACAATACGGCTCGAAGCGTTTATTGGTTGTTTGGGATAAGTAAGCCTACGGTAAACCGCAAACGTGCAGGCTTCAGAAGGAGGATAAAGCCAGAAAGACAAAGCCAGAAAGGTGAGCGAACAGAATGGCAAGACGCAACATGCGCAGACATATATCTTCAAGTAAAGCGCAGGCTCTCACTTGCGCTCATGGCGAAGGCCGCCACCTGGGAGCAAGCCCAGCATAAACGAGCAGGGAGTAGTACAGCACGCGTGCATTTCAGCGCAAGTGTAATAACTGACCTCATCTCATGACTGACAGGTGAGGGAAAACGGGAGAGACAAACGAGACAAGAAGCTCCGAAGTGACGGGGACATGCGGACACGATGGTGGGGGTAAAGAAAGAGTGGAACGGCCAACGGATGGAGCCGATTAGGGCACGGGGATGGATGGTTGGATGAGAGCAGCCGCCACGACAGAAGATGAGGGAGATTTGGCAGAGAAAAGAATAGTAATGATGCAAACAAAGCAGTAAAACTCACCAATGGGCGTAATGTACGACCACCCGTCTTCAGGGGGCTGGGTGTAGATGCCGTCCATGACAGAGGCTGATTTCCGCACTCGTACTATGTATGCTGGTTTGGTAGGGAAAACAAGCTGTCGTGCAAGGCTGGGTAGCAACGAGAAAGACAAAGCCACCGGGTCCGCGTTTTCCAGGGCTGTGGGGACGGTGGAGAGGACCCTAGGTAATACTGGTAGCAAGACGATTTAGAAGAAGAATGGCCGTTTCAGTAACTAGCCCGGGCTAGCAGCTGTGTACGAGTATGATCGGGCAGTTGAACAGCTGGACTGTGTCGACAGGGCGGACGAGGCGTTGCGGATGGCGCGGACAGGAGCTGGGGGGGCAAAATGATGAGAACGGGTATTTTGAGCACTTGGATAGCTGGGAGATGATCTTAAAGGACGGAGATGGCGGCAACGAACCGCGAAGCGCAGCTGATAAATGACGAGTGCGATGAAACGCCACAAAGCAAGAAGGGCGGGCTGGACTGGTCTCGAGAGCTGGCTGGTTGGCTCTGTTGCCTGGTTGCGGGGTGTGTGTGCGTGATAGAAGCACACGAAGGATCGAGGTAGTTGGGAGATGATGGTGAAAGTATGCAGTACCTGATGCGGTTGAGACTGCCTGTCTTCAGGCCAGAACAGGCGGGCGGTAAGCCAATTGTCCAACCGAAGGCGGGTTCCACATGACCTGACGACATGGTCACAGTGCTGATCTGCAAGGCACACATTATGCTGACCTTTGTCCCAGGTACCCCTCCTCTAGTAGTATTGCACTTGCACGTGCTTTCTCCAGTCACTTCTCAACCCCTCCAAAGCGACCTAGCCCGGTTTTCTCGGCTGCTCCTTCTTCTCGTTCGATGTACCCCACGTAAGTGGCGGCAGGTGTGTCCCAGCACTTGCCCGTCCACCTCACTCACACCTACAGCGTCGTATGCACCTTTGTGTTGCAGGGAAGAGAATGCCAAACCGAACGAGAATTCGAAATTAAATTAACAAAAAGCAAAGACGAATAAAACCAATAGGACTAAAATAGGGAGAGCTGAGCCCAGAAACGATAAAATAAAACAGAGGTAACCCGTATTATACATAGCTCAGGGAAGGCGATTAGCTGCCACCACGCCCACCCACCGCCCAGCGAAGCTTTGCCTAAACTACTCATAGCTCCCCTTTTCATCTTTTTTCCTGGCCCTTGCTCTCCTTCGTCTCCTCTGCCTCTAAATGCACTCTAACAGATACATATATCGGTCTAATCTTGTCGCCGCCCGGCATTGTCCCTCGCGTGCTTCCTTTGCAATGGCACGAGACTTCTGTCCATCACCATCCCGGTTCTCCGGCTCGGAGTCAATCTCGTCTTTGTAGCAAACTTCCTCATCGCCATCTTCGTCGGCATAGTCACCTTTGCTGTCCCCACTGCTTTTCTCGCCTCAGCTCACGCACACGACACTCTTCAATCGCCCTTCTTCCCCGGATCAATTGGACCCTAGACCGTGCCATCCCCCTTTCCCTGCCCTATTGTCCACACCCTTTCTACCTGCCTCTCCATATTCGCAGTCACCGCCCTGCTCTTGTCTTCTAATAATCGCCTTTCGCCTTCGCCCCTACGCTAGACATTACGCGGGACCTGTCATCAGCTCCAACGGACAACTTCACTAAAGCGCCCTGTTGCGGTACTTAGCTTTCCGCCCCTTTTCCCTACAACATTACCACAGAAAGCAGACTTCTCTCTCTTCTCGGAGTCATCTCTCTTTCCGAGACCATCGTTCACCCGACGCTCCATAATACGCATTTTTTCCTATCTGCGTTCCAGGCCCTAGCCTTCTTCGCCCTAGTCCCTATTCGAGCTTCGCCAAAATTCTATTTTCGCCTCCCCTCAATTCCGTGGGCTTCTCGTCTCTAACCCACTTAGCTGCTGCGAAAGCTCCGATCTCCGCACAGCACGTCCGCTCACCGTGCTCTTTGTTGTCGGCTCTGCTGGCACAGAACACACTCGCACTGCTAATCAGCCGATTCCGCCCCTATATCCGTCTCTGTGTTCGAATAGAAAGCTTTTGATCGCGAGACCATACAAGCGGCAACTCAGCCACTCACGCGACCAATCACAGGAGTGCATTTCGAGATTTTGCGATAGCTTCCCTCCAAGCGCAAAGCTCGACATCCGCTCGACTACTCTTCCGGACAATCCACATATTCTTCCAGCAGTCCAGACCGCCCAAGCTTGGGGGCCTGTTCGAAAGGTGCCACAGGAGACGGCCTGCAACATTGCTCTCGTTTTAGCACTTCTCCCGCGAAAATCGGCGTCGGTCACGGGCGGAGAATAAGTACGAGGGCCGTAGCAGTGCGAGCAATAAGCTCCCCGCGGCCTGACAGGACCGTCATTTGCAACGCAACCGCGATACCATCACATTCCTTTAAAATGGCAGCTAGCACAGACACCTCAAGTCGGCCGATGGAGTCGAGAACGGGGCGTTTAAATCAAAGTATGTGCCTTTTTTAATCTCGTGTGGAGTTCCGCGACTGTAGCACAAATGACTGACATTTTCTTCTCTCTCGTCGTAGGATACAATTCCAAAGGAGAACGGCTTGTTGCTGGGGTGGTTCCGCTTACCGAAGACAAGAATTACGTGATGCTGATACGGTCAACGCGGAGAAAAGGTTGGGTATTGCCCAAGGGTGGCTGGGAGACGGACGAGGAATGCCAGGCTGCTGCACAGCGGGAAGCCTGGGAAGAGGCAGGAATTCTGGTACAGATTGATTTCGATCTCGGAGACATTGTCGAGACTCGCCCACCAAAGGCACCTTCGAAAACCAAGACACGCGAGAAAGCCCTCTACCGCTTTTACGAGGCCACAGTAACCAGCGAAGAAAATGACTGGCCGGAAAAGAGCAAGCGCCAAAGACAGTGGATGACCTTTGAGGTTGCCTACGACGCACTCAAGGAACGCCCAGAACTCCAAGAAGCTTTGAATCGGTCGACCATGAAGCGGTGAAGGCGAGCATCTGTCGACTTGACCTTCACATGCACACATCTATCATGATGGCCACCTTGGCCGCCCATAACCGAATGGGCGGACCCAAACCCGGCCGGGCCTACAGGGCTTTCCCCATCAAAACTACAAGCCGCTTCTCGATGATATGCAGTGAAATGCCGTTGCTTTCCGTCCTTACATGGATGTGGTATCATAGGCCGACACTCGTTTTGTTTCTATTGCTCCTTTTAATTTACTGCTCTCGCAGTCATCTGGAAGGGAACGACAAAATGGCATATAGAGCATTTGCATCTGGGTCGTGGACCAGTTTTTATCACTTCTGCTTTTAAAAGAGGATTATTTGATATACACACCTGAAGCAACCCGTCTGATTACAATCCATTCTGACAGGCGCAACTCAGGTTTGGTGGTGTGGCGAAAAGACATTGGGAGAGGTGTTCTGGGGCTTTTGATACGCGTCTCTCTTTATGCTTATATCAAAAATAACAACTTTGTGCATACGATAGGGGAGTTTTGTTTGGACAGGGCTTTCACATAGAGGACAACCACCAAAACAAGAGCATGGGGGGCTTTATCGGGGAAGAGAGAACCATTACCCAAAGGGTAACGATCAAGTGCTCACTTAATGAATCATATCTGACAGTTAGAATACGTCTGGTTTTGGATTTATGACTGATAACTTACGACGATGTAGATTACTGCATTTACAGAGACACTGGAACTAAAATTTAGACACTGGGTTCTATCATATCCCAGTCAGTTCACCAAAGAAGAAAATCGCCTGCTAAAGTGCGCTAAAGAGCGGAAAAACAAGCCGGTGCATCGTAGAAGCAACCACAATCTATTGCAGGCCACCACGGATCTTTTGCAGCTGACTGATGAAGCCGTAGCCAGAGGCGTATCCTCTGTTGATGGCAGCCGCAGCAGGCGAGGATGATCTAGTGTTGGAATCCTGAGAGGTCGATGTAGCCGTAGACGAGCCCCCTTTTGCTGTCCCTCCTGTTCCTGAGTCTCCGCCTCCTGATGATGGTGCTGCTGCCGCTGTTTCCGCCGCTGCTGCTGCCGCCGCTTGTTCTTTTGCCAGCCTCTCGCGCTCCAGCTGCTTCTGCCGGTCGTCGACCATGCGCTGCAGACCGTCGACGAACTTGACCCGCGCCTTTTCCTCGGCCGTCCCCGCCCACACCTGACACAGTGCCCGCAGAGCGGCCACGCGGGCGGCTGCCTCTTCGATCCCCTTTTTGCCGCCGTCGCTGCTGTCGCTGCCACTGCTGCCGGCCTCTAGCAGCCGCGCCACCTCGTCCCGCCGCATCTTGAGCACCTGCTGGCCCTTCTCTTCGAGTGACGTCGGCGTTGTTGGCGCTGTCGAGCCCGATCGTTCCCTGGCGTTCCGGCCGCCATCCTGGCCGACAGTCGAGGTCTCTGGCCCGGACACAGACAAAAAGGACGCGCTGACCGACATGGCTGACGGCGGCATGACGAATTCCATGGCGTCGCCAAAGGTGCGGATCACCGTGTCTAGGCGGCTGCGCACCTGGGCCAGCATGCGGAGCTGGGCCAGAGCCGGAGGGGGAGCTGACGGATCGTGGTTTTCGTTTCTGTCTCCGTCGGGGGCAGTGCTGGCAGCAGGTGCTGCTGAATCCCCCTCGCCTGTCGGCGACGCCCCGCCGCCGATGGCGGGGAACTCCTGGCCGACTTCCTCCAGCACGTCGGCCAGGCCAATGGTCTCGCCGCGCAGCAGCTCTACCTCGTAGGCCATGCGGCTGCCGCTGCGCAGAATGTCGTCGGTCAGCTGCGAGAGCACGGCGGTCAGGCGGGTGGTGTGGGCGGCCAGCTGCGACAGACACGTCTGGGCAGCAGCAGCCTGGTCTGAGGTTGTTGTTGTTGTCGTCGTCGTCGTTGTCGTCGTTGTGGCTGGTGCACCCCGTCCTCTGCTCGACGTTGCCCCCGCTCCCAGCGTCGCGTTCCAGTAGGCGGCCGGGTCAAAGCCATTCTGCAGGAATTCCTGCAGAAAGGGATCGGAAACATGAGCAGACGTCGGCAGAGCTGGTGCAGCCGCTGCTTGTGATCCCTTGGCCTTGGCCCTTTGCTGCAGCGTCAGCGCGTGGCCTCCGGCGGACGCTGTGCTGTTCTGGCGGCGCACGCTCGCCATGGTGTTCTCTCGTATCCGCCTCCCCTTGTCTCCGTGCGTGCTCCAATGGCTCTTCTTCTGGTGCTTCCTGTCTGTTGTCCCCCTCCTTTTGGTCGGTTTGAGATCGCTTCTTTTGTGCGGCAGATCGTCGTCGTTTGCTGGCGGCGGAAAAGTGACGTTGTCAATTGCCCCAAAAGCTAAGTCCCAGCTTAAGTGGGTCGATTCAGCCGCTACGCTCCTTCCCATTGGCGAGTCACTGGCAACTTCACTTCCTCCAGCTGAAATGGCGAGCTTCTTCTTTCTCACATCACCTAATTAGCCAGCTCAGTCAGTCATAATGATGCATCGATTGAATTTCTGTTTGATTCTCTCATGGGCCATGTGCTCGCAAGTCTCCACCACATGTGTGTGGCCGCTTGTGCACTCCGCTGCTAAGTATCAGCCAATCAGGTGGAAGTCTCCTTTGGTTCGGACCCAGATGCGCAGCCTCACTTCGTACTGCGTTCGCGCTGCTCTCATTCATGTTGTCTAAAGCCATACTGTCTTTTGTATACCTACTTTGCATTACGTATGCAGGCTAAGATTCAGCGATTAGATCCCGCCGAAACGTCCTATTCACCATGTATCTCGTGATACTTTTATTCACCTCGCTGGATTCGGCTTTCTTCCCTGTTGTGCTGATGTGTCTTCGTTCTTGCTATTGTTTCATGCCTTTGAATCGAACTCGTTAGGCCTTCCTAGCACGGACGGCCCTTCATCGCATGATTGTCACCATGTGTTCCACGATCACAAGCAGACGACGAGTTACTAGGTCGGCAACAAAAGCAAGAGTATTGGAAGCCCAAAGAAAGTTCTCTGTCGCCCTATACGATCTACAGGAATTCGTCCAGCGCAGCGAGAATACCAATATCAAGGCAGTAACGAAAGGCAAGGCGGACGGCGAGCTGATTATTTCCTATGCTCACAAGAGGCTACAAGATGGCTTGACCATTAGAGTTCAGTGCAAAGGTATGAAACTCCAGAAACTGCGTTACTTACTTTCTGCCCTGAGGCATCCGCGATTGTGAACCGTCTAACGCGACGCAGATGTGGATACTGATGACCGAAGCGCTTCAATTACAGTTGATAACGACAATCCACCTCCCATATTCCAGTCGGCACTAGAAAAGATCGCATTGCGCCCGCCAGATTGGAGCCTCTGTGATTTGGCTTCAAAGATCGAAGACTCGCTTGACAAGGCCGTCCTGAGAAGAGCTCATGGCTGTTCGAATCGGGATGTGTATTATGTCAACGAGAGTGACAGCGAATACGATAGCAATGCCAGCCACAGCAGTGGAGATGGGTCCAATACCGATGATGACATGGCTTACAGCTCGGACGAGTCTGTTACAGATGTCAACTATCTCGGCAAGCCAAAATCAAGCCTTGTTAAAAGGCACGTTCGACGTCTACTCAAGCGTCGGATCTCTCATGATCTGCAGCAAGTAGAGAGTGCAGGCTATGCGTTTGAAATCTTGCGAGGAACAGCCGACGGCTCGGATGACCTTCTGATCAGCATCTCCACCGCCGTGACAAAGCTGGGCTTCAGTCCAGCTGAGATTCTGGCCTGGGGTCTCAGCACATCGGCGTACATCGTTTTTCTGATTCGAGTGTCAGGCCCGTATACGCCATTTGAGTCACTCTTGCAAGACCGTCGCAAGCAATCCAGCGTGTCTTTTCGCTTGGGCCAGTGCACAGAGCCCGTGCCAAGCGTCGGTGAAGCCGCTTTCATATTCGGACAGCGCGACACAGTCCTTTCCACACCCTTCCAGTATGCAAACCTTACAATCTCGAAGAATCTACAGAATCATATGGAAGCCTTCTTCTGGCAGATTGCCCAAATCAAAGAGGACTGCAACGGTACATGGGAGGAGGCTTACGGACTGTTCTTGCAAAGCGACCTGGACAAGAAGAGAAAATACTCCGGCTCTGCATCCTACGACTCCCTCAAGATGGCCCGTCGTAGCTTCCCTCTGGTCGCAATGCAGTTTTCTCTTGACCAGCTTGAGCGCTGCAGGAAGTACTGCCCGATCTGCCACCAACCACTCGCTGAAGGCTTCCAAGCAGTTCGGCCTACTGTGTGTTTGAAACCGACGTGTCGTTTTCAGTGCGCAACCATTGGTCTAGGCCCCAGCGTGGAGCATGAAATCCTGTTTCGGCCAGGAGTGGTGGATCTGCTCGTGAGCCTCTTTTATGCCTCCCTGCATTCAGGCTCTCGTAGATGCTCGCCTGCATTAGAGGAACTAATGTTTCCATTGAGTGCAGGGTTCTCTGGTACGTATTTGTGGACAGAGCTTCGTGGGCCGCAGCTCGAAATGGCAGAGATGGCCTCGCTGAAATCGCTACAAGTTGGTCAGCTGGTTTTCATTCGTATGCGGCCCAGCCATTTTGCTGAACATCCGCGTCGTCCCGTGCATCCAGATCCTTGGGGGGAAATCCGACTGGCAATTTGCCCGGACTCCTTGAACTACTCGAACCACTCGAACTACTCAAAGCGCTCGTTTACGCAAGAAGTTATTTATTCTGCCGTGATCAAATCGATAAATCCTGGCCTTATGCTGGTCACGTTTGAGGCCAAAAGCTTCCCTTTCCCTCCTCACGAAACACTCCGAGCAGAAATACATATTCAGGACTTAAATATCTATTTCCCGGTCTTGGTTTCCAAGGCCCGAATGCTACGCCACATAATGGACAGCTTTCCTCCTGTCTCGCAGCTTAGGAGTCACTTGCAGGATCATCCCCAGGACGACATTGAATCTGTACCTGGTGTGACACCTCTGGCGGCTAGCATGCTCCGCTGGATCATGGCCACGAATCAATCGTGCATCATGGAAATGCCTTGGGACCACCGGCTGAAACTTGGGATTAGCGGCTCAGGATGGACCCAATTCTGCTTGCTGCAAGCCCCCCCGAATGAGGAGGCCCGGTTTGGGAAAGCACGTGCGAAGACGGCAATGAAGAGCAACTCTGGCGAGCCATTTTCCAGATACCCAAGCATATTTGGCTGGCACGGCAGCCCTATACAGCACTGGCATAGCATTCTGCGAACAGGCCTTGACTACAACATCGCGACTCACGGAAGGTCGTATGGAGACGGAGTGTACTTCAGTGATGATTTCAGCTGCAGCTACAGCTATTCTTCAAACACCAGAAATGATCCGATCTTCTGGCCCAGCTCGGGGCTGCGTGTGCAGTCGGTACTCAGCCTCAACGAGATCCTCAATGCGCCCACCCAGTTTGTCAATTCTGAGCCACACTACGTCCTGGATAAGCCAGCCTGGCACATATGTCGGTTTTTGTTTGTCCGGCGTTCCGGCAAAGCGGCAGAGGGCATTGGCTCTCATCTACGGACGGTAGAAAAGGGCAATACTCTCGGCACGGGATTGCCACGATGGTCCAAGTCTCCAGCTTTTGTCGTCCAAGATCCCCATCACAACGCCTTTATAGCCAAAATTCCAACGAGAACGTATCTGGATATTCCGGTTATCTGCCCCCTGAAAAGTAACAGAACTGACATCAAGTCTACTGAAAAGTTGGAGGATGCTCGCAACATTTCCGCAAAAAAGCGGCGAAAAATATGACGTCAATGAAAGAAACATTCTGCGGTCGAAGCATAGTGGTTATATACTCGCGACTATCCAATATCTACCAGAACTTGTAAGGAATGTATTGAAGCCCATCGAAAGCTTTCTTGAAAGGTGCCTGGGATGAGATAGCTTCCTGGAACTTTCGTTGTACTCGTAGATGGGCCTGTTCTCCCAACCGCTGTAGTGACTTGCGGCTGCAAACGTCTCCGTAACATAGCAGGCGCTCTAGCATAACAAGCGACTTTTTAGTATTGTAATTATATTCTAGACACAACAAGACTTTTGCTATAAAAAAACATTACTTAATCCTATTGTCTTACAAGAGCAAGACTGCTGTTAACAAAGCCTGTGCAGTGTTGCACTGTGCCGACAAGAAACATACGGTGCCATTTTCGGCCGGCATTTCTGTCGGAAGTGCCGGATTAGTTTGCCGCTGGGCCGGTGACGTGCCGACTAGCTGTAGCGCCAAATTTTTGTGGCGCTGTCAGTCCACATTCAGGCAGAGCCGTTGGTTCTCCGTACTTGCATCCGATGTAGGGTCCAGGGATGAGCATGGAATCCAACCACTAGACGACGGTCTCTGCTATGCTTCCAGGCTGAGGACTGGCGCTGCTTCTGCATCATAGGAGGTGCCAAAGGCGCGCGCGAGTGCAGCAGAGGCGTCGTGCACGACCTTTTTGCCGGTTTGGTGGATTCTAGGCTCAGTTAGTGGGTCGCCTGTCTTTACTCCGTATTTGCGGCATAGAGAGAGCTAAGGGGGGGCTACTCACCCAGCCAGAATGAGCATTGAGTGCGTGCCGCCCGGATAGGTCTGGACATCGACGGGCACACCGGCCACGCGCAGCTTCTCGGCAAAGTCGGTGGCCTCTGGGGCCAACAGATCGCATCCGGCAATGGCGAGGAACGTCGGCGGACTGCGGGCCAGGAGCTCGTTGGGTGCAAAACACGGCGACGCGGTCCATTCGGCGGTCTGCTTCTGCGCGTCGCCAACAAAGTACTTGTTCCGGTACCACTGCATCCGGGTGGGCGTGAGCCAGGGCGAGTGTTGGGAGGCGGCCCATGCAGATTCGACAGTGGCCGTGTTGTCGATGACGGGGCAGATGAGCATCTGAAAGCAGGGCTTGACCGTGGTGGCATAAGCGGCATCGGCCGCCTTGAGGCCGACGATAGAGGCGAGGCCGCCACCACTGGAGGAGAAAGAAGCAATTAGCTGGCGTGGACAGACGAGAGCACAGAAGAATAAGGCAGAACACCTACGCCGACAGTCCGCCCAGAGCAACCTTGGACTGGTCGAGATGCAGCTGCTCGATCGTATCGGCCGAAAGGACCCATTCCAGGCCGGCATACGAGTCGTCGGCAGCGGTCGGGTAGACGTGCTCGGGTGCATGTCGGTAGTTGATGGAGATGACGACGCAATGTATGTCTGTCCGAGGAGTCAGCAACGAGAAGATGCTCTTGGAGAAGAAGAGGGGATGAGAGCTCGTACGCTTGCAGATGTGCGTCAGGAAGCCATTCTCGCTGGCGAGACCTCCGACCACCCAACCACCGCCATGAAACCAGACAAAGATGGGCCAGCCCTGCGGCGGTGGTGTGCCGGAAGGTGTGAAGATGCGTGCCTGGACCTCGCCGTCGACGCCGAGGGGACGGTCCTCGACGGAGCCGACGTCGGACAGCTTCTGGCCGCCATGGGCCATGGGTGACGGGGCAGAGCGCGAGTCGGCAGTCCACGGCAGCGTCTCGGACCGTGGAACGTACCGGAGCACGTCTTCGTGCAGCTGGATGTAGTCGGGGTCCAGCCTTGCGCGCACGTCTGGGTGCAGCGGCTGGTAAACCGGACGGCCGGCAGCTGAGGTCGCCTGGGCTGTCTCCATGGCTGGTGCAAGGTGTGTGTGGGTGTGGCGGAGAGGCTGTAGAATGGACAACAGAAGAAGGGAGGGAGAAAACAAACGTGCATGTGTTGGAAGCTGTAAAGGAAGTTGACAAGAGTCCCCGTTCTGCAGTCATCGGCCAGATCAGATTGGTGGGCCCGCGCTGAAGAATAGCCTGTAAAAAAGGGAATGGGTGTCTGCCGGTGGCTGATAACACCTGCCGGCCGGGGAGATAAGAACTGCCACCCACTAAGGTTTAGTGTACCTCAGAAGGACTCGGTCGGAGGCATAATAGTAAATAGTAAGAAAAAAAGTCAAAAAGTCAAAAACGTACAGCAGCGGGTATTCGCTGGTCGTCACCGACCCAACTACTAATCCGCCGATTACTGGTTTAACTAGGGGAGAGCGGACGGGATCCCGTGCTTTCCAGTATCTATGGCCGTACGTGATATGGAAAGCTGTAAAATAGAAATATAGTGCCATTGTGGGTTGCCGCCACAAGTTGAACTTCGTGGTTGACACTGCCTGTATTTATACCCCCTTCCCTAACGCACGAAGGCCCTCGGCACTTATGCTGTCGATGTTCAAGGCCCCTACCATCTTTCTCTCGTTCTGCGTACTTAAGACCAACTCGGAGCCGGTACCATCGAGGTATTTGTAGTCATCAGGCGGAACTCCCGCGTTGAGATCCTTCCAATATTGTCGTATATAATTGACATTTCCTTGCGTCGATGGTGCCGCAGGAATATAGACTACGCTAGAAGGACAGGTACCGTTGTGTGTCGTCTCGACCGCATGACACATCTACACGGTTAGCGCTTTCTAAACACAAAAATACAGGAGGACAAGCAGGATGCGTACGTCTGCGTGCCACCAGACAGTGTCGCCGGGGTGGACCACGGGAATGCTGACGAGGGTCTCCTCTAGGCGGAGATGAGGGTGACTCGCGGGGCTTAGCAGCTGTGAGTCCCATCGGTATGTTCCAGGGAACCATGTCGTCTCGCTATCAATCTCCCACTTCTCCGGGTCGCGCCTGTCTCCGTCTTCGGGTGCTTTGAAAAAGGGACGCAGAATCATGTAAGCCGTCGCTGTCTTGATGTCAGGCAGCACCATCAAGCCCCCCTCCCCGGGCGCACACGTGGTCAGAGCCGTCAAGCCCTGGAATCCTCTGAGCACGCTGCTATTCGCCCCGCTGGGGAACATGCCCGGGTTCGCATTCTTCCGGTGTGTCAGGTCGAACGGGTCGTAATCCTCCGGCCGTCCGGACAAGATCTTCTCGTACGTTTTGCGGTACTCCACATCGGCCCATCGGGACAGAGACCCCGCGTCAATATGAGGCCCCAATCCGAGAAAGTCCTGGCCGGGTTGGCGAATCCGCAGAGCATCCGGGTACAAGATCGGGTCGGTCTGCGCTATCTGTGTTTCCCTCGAGGCCGTCGGGTCCGTGAAGAGCGAGTTGAGAAGCCGCTGGAGCCGCAGCTGGTTGGGGTGTGTTCGCATCTTCAGCTGGACCGGCGACGAGTACAGATGGTAGATGGCAACGCTCTTCGCCGGCCACCCAGTGATCGTGTCCTTATTGCTGACCACAAAGTCCTTGAGGTCTCCGAAATGCTGCGTTGCCTCCTCCTCGGGCAGCACGTTGCGAACGATGAATGTCCCGGTACTTTTCATCTGCTTCAGGATCTCTTCGTTCTGCGGCGAGACGACATCCTCAAACGGGAAGACTGGCACGAATGCGCTTCCCCGGGCAGCAATTGCACCGGTCACGCGGTTGAGGGTGTTGCATGTCTTGACCCACGCATCCTTGAGCGCTTCGACTCCATACTCTGCTATGATGGCTGCTTTGAGGTCGCTCTGGAACGTGTCACTAGGATCGATGTCCTTTGGGGTGAACGAGGGCCACCCGGTAGGCCAGGAGGAGACTTTTGCCGGCATTGTGAAGCCGTGTTTCGTAGAAACAACTATGATCGCGAATTTGGCCTTTTCCTCGTGCTTTACTTGTCTTCTGGCTTATCGCTTCGCCCCGCCAATTTGTGATTTTTAGAAGGATCGGCAGACATCATGTTGTTATCACCGTCGGATCTCTACTCTTAATAGCCTAAAGCTTATCACAAGCCGAAACTCGAATAGGGTTGGTTCGCCAAGACGGAAAACTGTCAAGCGGCTTTTCGTATTCTTATCTTCGTTCAAGCTTCTCGGTCCGTGCGGCACGTCCGTTTATATTTGTCGGGGGATAAATATCATATCTACCCTCACAAGTCGTTGCTCTAGTCTTAGGCAGATGCAAGCGCCTTGCTGTATGTCATTTACTTTTACACGACTAGATTGGATGTCGTGTAAAGTTGCTACTGTAGTAGTATAACATGTATAGCTTCAGGCGTAACGGCGTATACAGTAAGCTTGAAGGTAGTAGAAACGGACAAAGGTTTTGGCAAGTATCAAAGCCCAAGTTCTTTAGAACTTGCGTAGGGTTACAGTGGTATAGTGACGAAGATCCAGACTGTCTTATCGGTGTGATATAGTGCAGGTAACAAAACAGGCATAGTAGAAATACAGAGGAGGGCCGTTGTAGTAGAGGCAACATAAGTCTTCCGGTATCCTATCTCCCCTATCTTTGGAACAAGCCGACATTGTGCTAAAGTTTGACTGAATCCCATCTGCCGCCTGACTGGCTGCAAGTAAGGAGTGCTGCACCGTAAACATGTGGTTATTGATTGGTCCAACCGGCTCAGAAAATGCGGCAACAGTCTTTTGTGAGCACCGAGGGATACGGTTTTATGGACGGATAAGACCCTTTTAGGCAAAGAGGAGCGGACGCAGAACGAGCCTATGTGTCCAATATACTTCCATGATAAGGACTGAGACTGGCGAGCGAAAAGGGAATAAAACGGCTCATTGGGCACGCGCGGTTGCCCCAAACTGCCATTCACATAAAATCTTAGCCACGTCTCCTCACCAGACCGCTCAGTCAAGCTCTCACCAAACCCAGTCCGCCCTGCCAAGATGTCGGACTCCAAAGACGCACAAGCACCCTCGATCCACTCGGTCAGAATATCGGACTCTGTCCCAGTAGCAACAAGAGCCCGCCAGTATGTCGGCCGCTTCGTGCCCAAGAGCCCGGTGACTAACAACGTGGTTTTCTTCCTCCTGGCTACCTTCCAGGCCTGCCAGAATGGGTATGACGCTTCCATGATGAATGCTCTAAATATTCTGCCTTCATACACGGATTATTTCGTCCTAGACACTGCCACCCTTTCCCTCAACACTGCATCCGTTTGGGTTGGGGGAATCGTGGCGGGCTTCTTTTCCGGCCAGCTATGTGACCGGGTAGGCCGCAAGCAAACGATGCTCTGGTCCGCCGTCCTGTGCATAATTGGCGCCATCATCCAGACGGCGGCCCATAACGTCGGCATGTTTGTTGCTGCAAGAATAATCATTGGCCTTGCATGTGGTATAGCCGGCGTTGGTGCCTCGACCTTTCTCGCCGAAACGGTGGCCATCACCTGGCGATCATACGTGCTTGGTTTTTTCTGGGACGCTGTAAGTGTTCAAGAGCATGTTCTGGGGCTATATCTAACACCGGGATGCCCAGTGGTTTATCGGATCCTTGGTCTCCGCAGGAATCACGTACGGAACAAAGGCAATTGAGAGTACCTGGGCCTGGCGCATCCCCTCACTCCTGCAAATTGTCCCTTCGCTTCTGTGCATCCTGATCCTGCCGTTCGTTCCGGAATCGCCGCGTTGGCTAGCCTACCAGAACCGCCCAGAAGAGGCCCTCGAAGCTTTGGCTGTAGTGCACGCGTGGGGTGACAAAGAAGACCAGGTTGTTGTGACTGAGTACAGAGAAATCGTAGAGACGATCGAGTTTGAAAAGATCTCCGGTTCAGTCTCGCCTCTGGAGACAATCCGCACGCCAGGCAACCGGAGGCGGTTGATGCTCTGCCTGAGCGTTGCTATTTTCTCCATGACAATGGGAAACAACATCGTCACTTATTACCTTGGCACCATGCTGGACGAAGCTGGCGTCACGGATTACAATACTCAGCTCCAGGTCAATATCATCATGTCTGCATGGTCTCTGGTTTGCGCCCTGGCCGGAACTGCTTTTGCGGAGAAGCTCGGCCGCAAATGGCTGGTCATTATCAGTACCGGTACTGCAACTGTCTTCCTCTTTCTGACAGGCGCGTTCTCCGATCTGTACGGCGATGGTACAAACAAATCCGGCTCATATGCAGCTATAGCAATGATGTTCCTCTTTATGGGATGCTACTCATTTGGCTGGACACCACTGGTAAAGCTTTCTGCTAGCAGTTGATTTTCAGCTTCGTGAACTCTGCTGACCTTTGCAGACGATGCTATACCCAGTCGAGATTCTCAATTACTCCACAAGAGCGACGGGAATGGCAATGTATACATTCTGGGCAAACGGCATCGGATTGATGATTACATTCGCTTTCCCATACTCTTTTGATGCCATTGGATGGAAGACTTATATGATCAACGCAACATTCAACGCCTTTACTCTAGCGTTCGTAAGCTATTTCTGGGTTGAAACAAAGGGAAGATCTCTAGAGGAGATTGATATTCTTATGGATGGAGAGAAGCACGCCGATGTTCCAGATGTCCTAAACGTTAAAGCCGGTAAAGCTATAGTTTAAGCTTTTCAGACTTTGTGCAAGAACTTTGGCTTACAAGACTTTTCAAAAAATATTAGCTAAAAGGAATATGCGAATTTTAGTTATTTACTACTTATAACACATTTTTATCTGAAAGAAAGACGTAGAAAGTAGTTAGGGGTAAACCTTTAAAAGCCAATCCCAAGAACCCTCCAAAAAACAAAAAACGTACAGCAGCGGGTATTCGCTGGTCGTCACCGACCCAACTACTAATCCGCCGATTACTGGTTTAACTAAGGGAGAGCGGACGGGATCCCGTGCTTTCCAGTATCTATGGCCGTACGTACAAGTTTCAGTTGCGTTCACGCATATATGTTCTAGAAGACACCGTCCATTACGAGTGTAAGAAATCAGACGAATATACATGGCCCTAGATAGTGCGCGTTCTCTGGCACGAGGCACTGGGGATGCGTATCTCGACGTCGGATACCGTGGCTAGGACACGGTTCCTGCTGTGCGCGGCCGATCTATGGACTCGGGGAATATATACAAGTCCTGCGGAATACAAGTCCTGCGGAATACAAGTATTATCGTTGGCTTTAATAGTGCCAAACAGTCTGGTGGGTCTCGTTGCCAGGAATGTATCTCCGATGTTGTCAATCGACAAAAGAGAAAGCGAGTTGCTTGCAGCCTAGCTGAAATTAATCAGGTCTACAGGACTACATCTTAGCATGAGTGCCTACTCAAACTCTCGCTATCATGACTCTTGTTGGGCTAGTTGTCGTGGTCAGATAGAAGTGCAAAAAGTATCAAAATCAAAAATAACTCGACCCCCCTGGGACTCGAACCCAGAATCTTTGCCAGCTGTGTTCAAGAACCGGAAAGCAACGCCTTACCATTAGGCCAAGGGGCCCGTTTGATGATGTTTCTTCACCTGTCAGAAGCTAACAGAACAGGACGGAAAACTCGTACACTAGGCAAACTTGAGTTCGCTACGCGAGTGACTCAAACAATGAAGTGGACCTCGCCAATTATGGATTTCTCCTGTCAGCACTATCAGTATTTTCAGGGCCTAAAAATGGCCATACCGTTTTTTGAAGACTGACACTCGGCTGAGTGGCTGCGACATATAGCTGCAAATATGACGATGCGTCAGAGATAGTAGGAGCGTGGCCGTATTAGGAAGGTGCCCCCAGGAGGCCAACTTCTGACTCAGCTTTGCATCGCCATATTGTCTATGCGATACGACATAAGCTTGTTGATTGAACTGACTCACTATACACGAGAATGCTGTAGGCCTTTGATTTTGTCGACACAATCGTAGAAGCGTAGAAGCGTATAAACGGTAGACGACGCCGCTGTTTGACCCCTCCATCAAGATTTTCATTCAGCTCGTAGTTAATTCTCTACTCTCAATTGTGCAAACGCGCACATTTGCAGATCCAAACTGTCTCATAGAGCAGCCCAGCACGATGATCCTCAATCAGTTTGCCCGACCGGCCCACGAGATTCTCACGCCCCGGCTCGTCCTCCGGACGCCAACCTTTGCAGACGTCGATGCCCACTACTGCCACAACTCCACGCCCGAGAATTTCCCGTTTGACGTGCGCGACACGGAGCTGACGCCCGAGAAGGCGCGCAGCGAGATAGAGCGAATCATCGACAAAACGGCGGCTGGCCGAGCCGCTTTGTTGTTTTTTGCCCTGCGCGACACGGGCGAGCTCATCGGCCACGGTGGCTACAACGTCTTCCAACTTCTCGACCCGGCCGTCTATTTGGGGATTGAGAATAAACAGGACGAAATGTCAGCTGACTCAGCCGATACCACCACAAATATCGCATTAGCACAAAAGCAGTACCTCGCGGACATTGGCATCATGCTGGACCACAAGCACTGGCGCAAGGGCTTCGGCCTGGAGACGCTCAGCGCAATGGTTGAGTATGCGCAAACCGAGCTGGGATGCGGTCTCTTCCGCATCGAGACGGACCTTGCCAACGAGCCCTGGCGGGCGTTGATGCGGGCCGCCGGATTGGGTGCTTGCGAGAGCATGCACAAGGCGACGTACGACAAAGACCTCGACGTCTGGGTCTGGAAGTTTGATACCACTCATTGGGCACAAGCCAAGGAGACGATCAAGGCAGCAGGGAAGTGGCCACTTTGAGAAAGTATGGTACTTTGACGGCGTTGATATCCGTACTATAGCATTTGTGATGCGGATCAACCATATGTGTGGTTAAACCTGGGATTTCTATAGAAGAGCAAATACGGGACTGCTTCTTGATCATGGAAAATATGAAAAAGATATGGACCTAAGTGAGCTACCAAATAACAGAAACAGTATAAGCCTATAGTTGTCTGCTCAGCACCACTGACAGTTTTCCAGCGTGGAAGAAAACTCGTTCCAGACAGCACAAACGTATACTGGTGTGTGCCTTCAGTGGGTCCCCTGGAACGCTCAGACCTCTTGGCAGAAAGAAGTTGAACTTTGTGACTTCGACCAAGTCCCCGCGGTCAAATGCTATAGCAGACCCATTGTTGGAACGGGATGCGGCTCCATCGTCGTGAGAAATGTGGTTATCCGACCGACGTCCCATTAACCCCACCGCTTCGCCCACTCGCCTGCGAACGTTGGTTCTTGCTGAAACCAAGGCGCGTAATCCATGCCGGTCCATCCTATGGTTCTCTGCTACGTTCTGTACTTCCCCGCGTCTTCGTCTTGTCACTCGAAACGAGGCAAATCAGCATGCCATAATGGAACTCTGTCTATACAAGGGCGCTGTACTAGCATGTAGACATGTTGATTTCACCTCTTGTGTGATCGGACTCTATCTATCGGATGCAGAACTGTTACTAATAGAAACATGACATCGACACGACGGCCTTTCTCTCGGCCTGCGAGGCAGCTGGGTATTGCAGGCCTGTCTCTGCCACGATAACGAACGATGATGGTCCGGTCCCGATTAGCCCAGTCTTGCACCGCTTCCATCCGAGAGAGCCGATACCACCGGCAGGTGGCGAGTTGCGGGCTGGTCTCGGCCTGTGCCGTATAGGGACACTGCCAAGTGTCGTCCTGCTCATCTCATCCCAAAAGCCAGTGGCGGCTCCAGTTTCCTCTTGCAGTTTCCTCTTTCGGGACCGAGCCCGATAGCTTCCCGGTTGGGCATAAGCTTGATGGCGGTCAGCCAGGCTAGCGGCCGCCCGCTGTCGTCTTATGCTTGCTTTGTGGGCACAGATCCACGCTGGCGAAATGCCGTGTTCCTGGCTCCTGCGCTCACTGGCTCAGGCCTTGTCGATCCTGTCAGGGGCCACCACGATAAGCTTTGTCGCTAGCAGGGCCGCTAGCACCGTTACGGCAACTCGATGTAGGACGTCACGGCAGTCGGATGTGGACGAATGAGGCAGTTGCATGGCAGCTGTGATGGACTATATAAGCGGCATCAAGTAACGTTCTTGTCTTGGCTCTGACCTGTCACCAAGCTCTTCCGTCTCCAGCCTGCTGTCTGCTGTCTCTCCTGTCTGCCCAGCCCCCTCTACCATGCATTCTTCTGCCGTCCTTCTCGGCCTCGGCGCCACCCTGCAGGGTGCCCACGCCTGGGGCTCTCTTGGCCACGCCACGGTTGCCTATGTGGCGCAGGATTTCGTGACTGCCGACACCAAGGCGTGGGCGCAGGGCGTGCTCTCGGACACGTCGACGTCGTACCTGGCCAGCATCGCGTCGTGGGCGGACTCGTACCGGGCCACGGCTGCGGGCAAGTGGTCGGCGCCCTTCCACTTCATCGACGCTGAGGACAGCCCGCCGTCGAGCTGTGGTGTCAACTACGACCGCGATTGCGGCAGCACCGGCTGCTCGATCAGCGCGATTGCCAACTACACGCGTCGTGTCAGCAGCAGCTCGCTCTCGGCGGCCAACGTCGACCAGGCCCTCAAGTTCCTGGTCCACCTCGTGGGCGACATCACGCAGCCGCTGCACGACGAATCGCTCGAGCGGGGCGGCAACGAGATCACGACCACCTTTGACGGCTACTCCTCCGACAACCTGCACGCCGACTGGGACACGTACATCCCGGAGAAGCTGACGGGTGGCAGCAGTCTCGCCGTCGCCCGCACCTGGGCCACCAACCTGACGACGGCCATCAAGACCGGCAGCTACAAGAGCGCCAAGGCTTCCTGGATCGACGGTGATGACATCACCGACGCCATCACCACTGCCACCCGCTGGGCTTCCGATGCCAACGCCTACGTCTGCACCGTCGTCATGCCCGACGGCGTTGCTGCCCTGCAGTCGGGCGACCTCTACCCGACCTACTACGACAGTGTCGTGCCCACCGTCGAGCTGCAGATCGCCAAGGGTGGCTACCGCCTCGCCAACTGGCTCAACAAGATCTACGAAGCCGACATCGCCACCAAGCGCCGCCGCTCCGCCGAGCCCGTGGCCATGGCCCAGCCCCAGCCTGATCTCAGCGGCGCCGACCTGCTGCCGCCTCCCCGTGCCCTCAGCAAGGCCAAGCTCGCACGCGCTGCTATGAGCGGCGAGTGCTGCACCCATGCGCACTGAGCACTGCGCACTGGGTGGCTTGCCGAAAGAACGTACCGGAGTATTCATTGTACATAGTTTATCTGCTTCTAGGACCGTACGATTGGTGATTTTGACAGCTACGATGGGAACGAGATGATAGAATATTCTGAGAAATGACAGCCAATATACCAAAGTTGATTTTCGTCACTGAGAACATTTGTAATCCCCAGCGTGCCTCACAGCCACAGAGCAGCTGTTAGCCATCTAGAAACAGATCCGAATCCTCTCTCGATATCCCAGTTCCATCAGCTTCACGAGGTCCACGTTGTGCCGCTATTTGCAAGATCTACCGCATCCCGCGTCTCTGTCACTACCTTTGCCGTCATTTTGTTGGGCAGGGGATCATCCAGATCCCCATATGGGCATATGCCGTCCCCATACAAGAATTCATTCGTCGATGCATCCGCCCACGTCGACTGTCCCAGCCGCCGGCTGCCGTTATTATCGGTCAGCTTGAATATAGCCACGCTGGGTCGTTCGGCTGCCGGCCGCTCGCGCCATCCCAGCGTATCACGCATCGCGTACAGCAGTCCGCGCCAGTTGTCTTCCGCGTCGACAAATTCTAGCTCGCCTAGGATGATGCGCCGCACAGTCCTGGGCAGAGACGCCAGAAGTGCGATCACATCGGTCTTTGTGACCCAGAAGCCATACAACCGAAGCGTATCTAAGCGCGGCCAGCACTTTGCGACACCAGGTGGGAAGATTGTTTTCAACGGCACGTGATGCGCCAGGTCTATACTGGCCATGTTAGCCAGCAAGTTTGTGCCCAACGTCAGGCTCTCGAGCATCGGCCCAATGGCTGCTAATGCGCTCTGCAGGCGTCTGCTGCGAAACGCCTGCCAGTCTCGATGTCTTTGGTCGTCGACGGCCAGCGATAGGTGGAAGTGACGCAAGTCTAGTCGACGAAGACTTGTGACCAGGCTGTCGTATGTCGGACACAGCTCTTCTTCAAACATCCGGGAGTTGATGCCTACGTCGTAGATATCATCTTGAAGCGAGAGGTCTGTGATCCGGCACGGTGTTTTGTCGCCTTCTTGTCTGCAAGCGACAGCTTTTGCCAGCTGTGAAAGACAGATTCGCACTCCACGCCACGGCCAAGGATTAGCGTACGGCGCGCTGTCGAAACCGGCGTTGATGCTATGATCGCCGCTCTCTTCATTCTCAATCCAGCCACGGGGAAGCGGGTAGTTAAACCCCCTGGGAAGCGCCCGAATCGCCGGCGTTTCGTACAGTGGGAAGCCAATCGTGCGCCCGTGTACCACCGCTGTCACCTGGATTCTTCGCAGAGACTTAAATCGCCGTAGTCCGTAGGCAAAGGCAGCCGCGTCGGATCCCGTCGAAATCACGCGTAGTTGCTTTTCGCGCCAACGCCGAAAATACGCCCACGATTCTGTCACGGGCAACATCGCGGCAATCAACTCTTCCGCCTGGCGTCGGTTCTGCTTGTAATGCTCCCTTAGGCATCTCTTGTTGTACTCACAGCTCCTAAAAAACCAGCCAGGATAGCTGTCCTCTCTAATCGCGTATGTCGCCGTATCGTCTCTCCTCTCTTCCTCTAGGCCGTTTGGCAAAGGGGCATCGTCCCAGATGATCTCCGTGATTCCTCTGCGGAAGCATTCGTGGTCTGCAATCTTGCGGAAAACGTCAATATCCTGCGGGCTGGCCGATAGAAACACCCGGCTTAGCCGCAGCGCGGTCCTCGACCAAGCTGCCCGATCTACCAGCCTCAACGACTTGATGTCCCGGTTAGGTAAGAAAGAACACGTCAGGAACCACAACTCCAAGGGGAGATCTGCAAGAGTAGTCTTTCCAGAAGGAAGTGGATCCATCGCAGTGATAATGGCGCGTGCCGTAAACCTTACGGAGTACGCAAGGCAAGATACAAAGTAAGATAGTTTCAGTACGACGTACGAAGTTTTACCTGAGCCTGATACTTTGCAACTGTGCGGCACAGGCCGCTTACCCCACCTAGTCCTCCGTACGTAGTACAGGGTTTTTAAATGCAAAGCTCAGAGGTACGGAGTACTCCGCCCAACAATATTGCCAAAGAACCAATCCTGACGATATGTCCCATGAACCCTCTTCAGTTCTCGCTTACTAATCGGGTTGTCGGCCATATTATGCAAACCGGCTCCAGCTTCAGGACGGCAAGCACGTTCGATTGGCGGTTGCCAGAAAGGGCCATATCAACGGGTAGATGGCGATATCGAAACGCAACTTTAAATAGCTGAAAGGCGAGCCCAGACGTTGTGGTGTCGATCTGATATCCCGGCTTGATACGAACGTTGCGGATCAGCCCTCCTTGCGAGCACCGATGGCGTTAGTGATAAGCTGGAATAGCGGTCCCATGCTCGACTCTATCGGCCGTGTGTGTGATTGCCAGTCTCACAGACTCAGCCAATGGCTTGGAAGAGACCTTGGTCTGCACCAGACAGATGCAGTTGTAGCATGCCACAAAGCAGTTGTTCCTTGCAACCGTACCTCTACCGAGCCCTCCTGCTCTCACAGAGCCGGTACCGTGACGTGGTCCCATCTTTGGAATTGAAGAGCAAGTACACAATGCATTCGAGGTCGCCTTCTTCTTCCTCTGCACTGGCCGTCAGCTGTTGCTCACACGGACTCATGCTGGGACCCGATTTCCGTGATGCGGATAACAGCAAAACGAGGCCGTTCGTCTTCATAAAGTCAATGTCTCAACATAAGATGTTACTTTGGGCAGTGCCATCCATGCGATGCATGGCAATGATGCTCGGCCTGCCAATGCTTAACGAAGTGATAGGCTAGGACAGACCACTGTGATCCCTGTCAATGACAAGTGTGGGGCAAGCTTTCATATGCTTTAAGGTATGCAATCGGATGTTTACTCCGTATGCATAGACGTGGAATAAATAGCAACTCTTGCGCCTCGCTTTCCGCAATCTTCGCAGTCTACCTGCCTAAAGAGGACTCAAAAAATGGCTAGCAGGCCAGCTAATCATGCGACCTGTCGCATATCCATTTGTCTACGGAGTATTATTCACCTAAATTTACCGTCGCAGAGCACAGGCGCTCTGGTATTTTCATAGGTGCATTATGCCATGCTGAACTCGCTAATGCGCTTCGTAGATGATATTCGCATGCAGCTAGGCCTGGACAGCCTTACAACAGCTTTTCAATATTTCGTGGTGAGGCTTTGGTAGTTGGCTGCAACGAGTGGTGTTCTTTTGTTACAAACCGCCAACTCGGCTTGCAGGCGCATTCGACCCAAAGTTAAGAGTGGGAAGGGCATCGTAATCCCACACGTGTTTTCGCCAAACATTTGACAGCTTGCGACGTCAATCGGCAGTCTTTCGGAGAATTGGAGATGCCCGAAACATTGAAACACATGGCCCGGATTGTCATGGCGTTTCTGGCGATTGCTGGCGCGTGTATGTAGATACTCCGTATTTTGAGGATCGTTCTCTGGTTACAGAAACGAAGGTTGACTGCACCATGTCAAATCCGGCCTGCTCTTCGTCCTTATACGACGTAGCATGAAGATCGTACCAGCACTCGTGCTTGTCGGTCCTGCGCAAGACGGAACAGAAGCTCCTGTCATAGTGTGGCCAAAGCTTAACATGAACAAATAGCACGTGCTGCCATCTAGAGCACGAGCGATATGCACCGTCGGTGCTTGGAAGCTCTGATCTGGCAGCTATTTCACCACCAATGTTCCTCCCTAGCAGCTGTATAAATGTCGCACACATATTAAGCTTCAATGCTCCTCAAAATAGGCAGCAGCGCTGGGGGCTTGCGTTTCTACCGGCAGTGGATGCCAAGAAAATGCTACCCAAACAGGCGACTTCACCGTCCGATTATCATTCGTCTTGCCACCGCGGGCTCGTATTGCAGACAGCCCACGTGGGGACAAACATGAGCTTCTATACGGACACGAGCAACAGCAGCGGCTGTGCCAGAGTTACTGCCTGGAAGCTTGGCGGACGGCGAGCAGAACGCATGAACGGCAAAGCGTGGCCACGACCCCCGCCGGTGGAGCAGCCAGGGTAGATTGCTAACGGAGATGCCTGCTACAACAGGCTAGCGAGCAGCCCAGCTCGCACGATTCGACACTATTGGTGTGGAGAAAGGCCAGCCTCCAGGGTTGTTTTCAGTTTTCTAGCTGTCACCGGCCGCAAACCGGTAACTTTACCGCCATCGATTGGGAACGAGGCAATGGGGGGAAAGAGGTACAAAAGCAGGGCGATGTGCCGTCTGGAAGGCAGACCAGAATCCAGCCAGCATTCTTCAAACAGGATAAGCAATCGTTTCGCTCCATCGACACCATGGCATCGCTCTGCTCCCTCTTCGTGGCCGCGCTCGCAGGCACGGCAGCAGCCGCCACGACCGGCTCGTTCAACGTGCTGTCGATGAACGTAGCCGGCCTGCCGGCAATTCTGCAGAACAACGACGAGACGGGCGACAAGAAGACAAACGCCGGGACGATCGGGACCGACTTTGCCAAGTACGGCTACAACGTGATCCACGTGCAGGAGGACTTCAACTACCACGCGTACATCTACGCGGCCGACAACCACAAGTACCGCACAGCGACGTCGGGCGGCGCTGCCATCGGGTCGGGGCTCAACACGCTGGCCAGCTTTGACTGGGTCGACTTTACGCGCGTCAAGTGGAACACGTGCTCGGACGCGTCCAGCAACGACTGCGAGACGCCCAAGGGCTTCACCTTTATGCGCGTCATCATCGACGCCGACAGCGGCGTCTTTGCCGACTTCTACAACCTGCACGCAGATGCCGGCACCGAGACGGGCGACGAGACGGCACGTACTGCCAATCTCGAGCAGGTGGCCGCCTACATCGACACCTGGAGCGTCGGCAATGCCGTGCTCGTCTTTGGCGACACCAACAGCCGCTACACCCGTGCTGCCGACAACATCACCGTCTTTGCTCGCCAGAACGGCCTGACCGACGCCTGGGTCCAGCTCGAGCGTGCCGGCGTGAACCCGACCGTGGAGACGCTCTGTGACAACCCGACGACGTCGAACACCTGCGAGACCGTCGACAAGGTCTTTTACCGCGGCAATGCCGTCGTCGATCTCAAAGCCACCTACTTCAACTACGAGAGCAAGAAGTTCCTCCAGGCCAACGGCAGCGTTCTCACCGACCACAACCCCATCACCGTCTCGTTCGACTGGACTCTGTCCAACAGCCTGCGCCAGTCCTCCTTCTGGGGCGGCCCGCACGGCAGCTGGTTCTCCGACCTGCCTACTCTCAAGAGCCGCATCGCTGCCGGCAAGGTGCCCAAGCCCTCCGTTTTGTCCTTTTCCGGCGCCTCCCGCCTCGATTCCGTCGGCCTCACCCTCACCGACGGCACCGTCTTCTCCCACGGCGGTACCGGTGGCACGGCCGCCTCACTGACCCTCGGCGCTACTGAGTACTGGGTCTCGGCCGAGCTCTGCCAGGGCGAGAAGAACAGCGAGACGCGCGCCTTTTACATCAAGGCCACCACCAGCTCCGGCAAAACTCTGACGGCCGGCACCGCTACGTCTGACTGTGCTACCTTTACCGCCCCGACTGGCTGGCAGATTGTCGGCTTCGTCGGCCAGGATGGTGACGAGGTGGACCAGCTGGCCTTTGTGTATGGAAAGAAGTGAAGGCGATGATTTGATTAGTAACGGATTAGTAAGCATTACTCATTACTTGTATATATACACAATTTTGGACCGACAACTCTCGGGCCTCCGTGATTCTACGACGAGATATATCCAGAGTTGTCAGCGCAGCTAAAGGCACCACCAATAAGACCATCTGCATAAGCCTCTTTCAAGGACATAGCCACGCCGTAGCTAGACAGAGTCAGTTTCGAGCTATAGCAAGCCGTCAGAGGGCAACACTTACATTCCGCCAACCAACATGAAAACGCCCACGAGAGCGACGACGATGTGGAAGGCATACTTGCTCTTCTCCACGGCCGAGCCGCTCCGGTAGCCCTTGAAGTCATACATCCACAGCATGACCGGGAAGGTGAGGCTGAAAGGCGCGAAGCACAGGGCACTGGCCAGGCTGAGAAGATAGTTGAGGATGGGAACAGCCTCAGCAATGACGAAGCCGACGATACCGAGGGAGAGGTTGCAGCCCAGCCAGACGGACCAGTGGACGACCGTGTTAGTTTGGAGATGGACCGAGTTGCGCAAGATACGCACAAACATGTACTTTGCAGCGACGTGTTGATAGATGCCGACTCCGATGACGAGGCCGGGAAGGGCGATGCCGTAGCAGAGCTTCTTGAAGAGCGTGCCGGCGCTGCCAAAGACGGGGGTCGTGAGCCAGACGCCGCACCAGCGGTAGATGACGAGCGAGAAGGTCAGGTACATGGCGCCGATCAGCACGCTGGCCACGAGGGCGGCCTTGCGGTAGTCCTGCGGCCGTCTCATCTCCGAGATGACGGGCAGGTACATGGACGAGCCGCTGCCGCTGATGAAGATGTTGGAACTCGCCATGATGCCGGCCACGAAGCCGGGTGAGGCCACGGCCACGTAACCGAGATCGTAGTCGCCCGTCTGGGGCGCCGCAGCCGGTCGATTCTGCTGCGTCACGGCGACGACAAAGATGAAGACGGAGATGAAAAAGGTCGAGAAGCCGAACCAGGTCAGCCAGCTGAGCCGGGAGAATGTCCGGACGGACGAGAAGAGCGTGATCAGCACCGAAGCCACAAAGCCGAACCAGACCGTGCAGGCGCCGTGGTCCGAGAGCGCGTTGAAGGCCGTCGAGACCGACACGATGCCACCAGCCGAGATCAGTACCTGCGCCACGATAATCTGGAACCCGACCAGCTCCTTGCCAAACTGGCCCCAGATGTGGCCACACATGTCGGCGAGTGCTGCTCGATGTTAGCTCTTTCCTTCCTCTTTCCTCCCTCTCACGTACTGTGACATTCCGGATGTCTGTCGCGGAACTCTCCCAGGATCAAGGCGGTGTCTGTTCTCGTCCATCAGTAAGCAGAACGTGCATCCTCTATAAACTCTATAGAGAACCGATGCCACGAACAGGTGTTAAGGATCTCCCATCCGACAATGGACAGAGATCCGCCGACGGCCCCGAGCGTCGACAGAGATCCGGGCACGCTCAGGATGCTCATGGCGAACTGGATCTTGAGGAAGACGACGGTGGCGCTCTGCCAGCTGACCGTACGGAAATTGACCCCGTCGGCCGAGTCCTTGAACACTTCGTGCGACGTCTCGGCCTCGCCCTTGAGGCTGGGCGCGTTGCTGCCCACCATCATGTTGGGCTCGATACTGTCAGACACCGTCTCCGGCCGTCCTTTCTCGAGTGTTGCCATGGTCGCGTTCAGAAACGGCAGTAAGAAGCAACATGCAACCGGCCAGGAGCCCTGTGCGTGGGGCGGAAGTCTGCCGCGAATATATAGGCCGACAGCACCTTGGCACCCCAACAGCGGCCGGCCGAACTGGTACTAGGTGACCGCAATCGGCGGCTATCATAGCGGTATCTCGTCGTCAGGACCAGCCACCGTCAGGCCGCACAGTCCGAATTCGCACGGTCCGGACACCGTCATCGGCCATGCAGCAAGAGATAGCAGGTCAGTAGTCCCAGGCCCGAAGAGGCATAACATGTCCCAGTCTTAACTCATTACCGCCTGGTAGCAGGCCCGTAGAAGTGGCCTCTCTCGCTCAGGCCCTCTCTTTATGTGCCGTACTCCGTACCCCGTGCAACTAATTAGAGTGTTAAGCCCACAGATAGGAGCATGACATCGCGTCAGATTTTAGAGGCCGCTTGCCACGAGCAACTACCCCTGTCAAGACGGCTACAGAGAGACGGCAGACATCCAGCCGCGAATATCGTGTCTTCTCTGCCAGGGTGGGGGCGGAGAATTATTCCACTCTCCACAAGCCCTTTTCTTAAGCTGGCAATGCCACTGATAGGTCTCGAGCACACGGTTGGGTCCTGCCCACACATCAGGCATGTGTAGATGTGCCGGGCGGTCAGTCAAGATCGAGCTCGAGTTCGTTCTCTCGGACAGTATTTTTAGAAAAAGGCGGTCAGCTGATAAACATTATCTCATTATCTATCTCTATGCAAAACAAGTCCAGCGTAAGCAGGCAGGAGCTGTTTCGAAACTACGGGTATATGCTTTTTAGCTTTCTTTCTATGCGTCTATAAAACCAAAATGAACAGCTCCTAGCCGTGTTCCCAAGATAATGAAAAGCAGACCAGTTGATGGAGAAAAAAACAGAGTCAGTGACATTGGTGGGCAAAGACAGCTGCTGTTCTGGCACATTGGCCGAAAGAAAAGGGCCAAAGACCCGTCACAAGCCTTTATGGTCACGGACACGCGTCTCGGCCTTCTTCTTAATGGATCTTTTAAGATCACTAAGATCGAGTACAAGAGCTTTGCCTTTTGCCAACAGAAGCAAACACGTCCTCACCCTTTCCGCCCACAATACCGACTCTTCTTTTCTCCAGGTGTCTGGTTTCTCTAAACGCCGATGTATGTGTTCTGAGTGTATAAGCCAGTTCCCAGAATGGGTTGTGCGTTTAATAAAAAAAGAATGCCTGGGCATGGCAAACACGGCAGCCTCTAATATGCCGACTTTCCTTTCCAATGATTCGGGAACAATGGCCCGTCCTCCTCCCTCTCCCCTCCCAATGGAGCAAAAAGGGTGAATGACGGCACACGCCCAAATTCCGAGCAGATCGCCAGCTCAAAGGCACAATGCACATGCACAACAAAAGGAAAAACACACAATAAAATAAGCATGATAGCAAGAGCAAGAACGCCTAGTTGTGCTGAAAGAGGACAGAAATAGACTCGCCGTGGTGGACGCGGCGGATGGCTTCTGCGAATATCGGTGCAATGTCCAAGACGTCCAGCTTGGAGCAGAGCGCGCGGTGCTGGGTCTGCGGAACAGAGTTTGTCGAGACGATCTTGTCAATCACCGAGGCGTTGATGCGCGCGATGGCGTCACCGTTGAGGATGCCATGCGTGAGCAGCGCGTAACAGTACGTGGCGCCCTCGCGTTTCAACAGCTTGGCCGCTCGTGTTATCGTGTTCGCCGTGTCGGCCAAGTCGTCGACGAGAATGCACACGCGTCCAGTCACATTGCCCACGAGCATCATGGTCGAGCTCTGGCGGTCAGTGATCTTGATCGGTCGCCGCTCCTAAACAAGAGCAAGGTTAGCAAGGGTCGGCATCAGGCGCAGGAAACACAATCGCCACGCACCTTGTGGATGAGGGCAAAATCCATGCCAAGGCTGTCAGCAATGGCCGTGGCACGCTTGGCGCCTCCGGCGTCCGGGCTGACAATGACAGCGTCCCGGTAGTCCGGGATCTGCTGTTGGATATACCGCTGCAGCAGCGACTTGCTGTACAGGTTGTCGACGGGAACGTCGAAAAAGCCCTGGTACTGCGGATCGTGGAGGTCCATGGTGATGATGTGGTTTGCGCCGGCACACGTCAGCAGGTTGGCCACGAGGATGCCGGCCTGGGCAACCCATTGCTTGTAGCCAGGCTTCGCCTGAAACTGGCTGACGGTAGCGTAATTGTCATAGTCGTGTGTAGTGAAGGGCGGCACAGCCGCAGCTTGCGACGACGAGACGGAGCCGGTGTGGCTGCGCGAGGAAGAGCCGGCGGCGGTGCCGTTTTCGCTGTGCCCATTAATGGCGAGAGCCGTGGTGAGATCGGACTGGGCCGTGAGCGTTGCACTGACCGGTACGTTGGGGCCGGGAGTCGCAGGCACACTCTTGGCTGCGATCGGCTTGTTGTACGGTATATCGGGCTGACGGGAGTAGGGGAAGAGCGGGAGCACGGCGACGATCCGTCTGGCAGAGCCTGTCTTGCAGGCCGAGATCATGATGCAGAGGTCGATGAAGTGGTCGTTGACGTCACCACCGCAAGACTGGATGATGTAGACATCCTTGCCACGGACCGAGTCCTTGATCTCGCAGCGGCTCTCGCCGACTTCGAAGCGAGAGAGAGTGCGGGCACACGGCGGAATGCCCAGGATGTTGCACACGCTCTCGACCAGGTTCGGGTGAGAGTTCCCGCCGAGGACGACGATGTTGCGAACCATTTTTGCGCAGCCAATGCAGGAGCAGCCCAACCGAGGTCTTGTTTCAGAGGCAGACGTGGACTGAGTCGGAGAGAGGAGAGCGAGGAAGCGCCTAGGCTTTCGAGTTGTGCGTCAACACACACGGATCGACGAGGTCGCAAAGAACGTGTTCGAGCGAGGAAAATTGTGCGCAGGCACTCTGATGCCGCAGCGTGTGGGGGTGGCCTTGCTTCGATCCTTTTCGGAGAAAGAGTTCGGGTGTGGCCGATATCGTTTAGTAGAGGCAGAAAAAAAAATTGTGGCACATTTTTCTTGTCGGTAATCAAGGCGGTCAGGACCGAGGATACGCAATCGCCCAAGCAAAACCAGGCCCAGAACGTCGGAGGAAAGCGAATAGGAACGGTGGAATGCCAATGGGACCAGGGCTTCGTCCACGAGACGAGAAGAGAATAAAGCGAAGGAAAAATGGGGGAAAGGATGAATAATGACCGGAGGTAATTAGTACACGAAAATAGACAGGCAGGCGGGCAATGGGAGAAAAAAAAAAGTAAGGCCCGCAGAGGCTAAAGAGGGACACAGACACAGTATTGTTGGCTGTAATTACGGAGTAGTTGAAGGACAGGGAGGTGGCAACTGGGGGTGACGCTAAAGGACAAGTCCCAATAGCGCTACTAGGGGCTGGAGAAGAGAGAAGTCACCGCTCTCGACGAAGCAAAAGAGCACAACAGCCTCGGAAGGAGAGACGGAGCAGAGAGGCAGAGCAGCTACGGGAAGGCGGTGACGAGGTGCTAACAAAGGGATGGTCTTTTTTTGGGTCCCTGTCCTTATCCCAGTAATAGTGCTACCTCCTCTTCGTGGGGTCAAAGGCCAGAAGCCAGAGGCCATCCGGGAGATGACGGGATGCTAGAGGCAAATAGATGCTGGAGGCAGTTGCGAGGCTCTCCTCCTCCACCTTTGCTACCATGTCAGTAGGCCGAAAGGCGGTGGGGCTGGATCAAAAGCTGTAGCGGGGCATATGGTGTCTGTCCAAGTCCTGATTGGTCAGCATTGTCATCTCTTTCTTTTTTTTCTTTTTTTTGATTGTCTGCAACACGACTGCAGACTGGAGTTGCATCTACGCATCTGCAACACGCACGCCCACATCCACGATGAAGGTCCTCGAGGCACAAAACGCCATTCTGACCAACTATGAGGTCTGTCACTTCCTCGCGAAGCGGAGCGAGCGGCAGGGCCGCGAAAAGCACGGCCGTCGCCGCGGTGCCAACAACAATTTCGAGACGCTCGTGCAGGAGGTACGTCGACAAGACGTCTAGTCTGCCTGTGCGCTGATGCTGATGCTGCTCTCTCTGTCAGGTCCTCCAATATCTCCGGGCGCCTCCGGGTCCGCTGAGTCAGCAACCAACGCAGTACAGCGCCGAGGCGATCGGCCGCGTGGTGGAGCGGCTGCGTGGCTACGACCTGGCCAAGGGCGAGCTGGTGATGCTCATCAACATGCGGCCGCAGACGCCGGCACAGCTGCACGCGTGCATCGAGGAGGTTGAGGGGCGGTTGAGCGAGGACCAGCAGTCGGAGGTGCTCGACGTCGTGGCCGAGGTGCTGGGTCAGTTCCCGGTGCAGGACGAGGCCGACGAGGCTGACGATCCGACTGCTTGAGAACCTGCGCTCTGCTCTCTCTACATCACCCGACAGGTGCCCTCGCTCTGGCCGCCCTCGGGCGTGGTCGTGCCGGCGGCCCGGCGACAGACGTCCTCCAGCACCTCGGCCATGAGGGTGCCGGTGGCGGCTGAACACTCGAGGTACATGTCTGCGCGCATCTGCTGGGCGATGGCGTAGGCCTCCTGTGGGTAGACCACGCCGGCCGGGTCGTCCTCGCGCCTCAGGTCGCGCTTGAGGCCCAGCACCAGGATGGGCAGCGAGTCGCTGTGCGCAAAGACGGTGCGAATCTCCTTGATCCACTGGTCGTTTTTTTGGTCCGGTTCAGCAGGGCGAGAGGAAATGGATGGAGGAGAGAGAGAGAGAGAGAGTGAGAGAGAAATGGCCTACCAGGCTCGCAAGGCTCGCAAGGCTTGGCCGGCTGCTGATGTCAAAGCACATGATGATCATGTCGGGACGCAGACAGCGCCAGTTCTCGGGGCTGGCCGTGTCGGAGAACTCAAGGCGGAGGGTGACAAGGCACGTTCGCAGGTCGAGCACAAACGGCTGGTCGCCATCCCGGAGAAGCGGTGGCGCGGACTTGTCGCTAGCCAGGCCGCTCTCACGTCGGAGCAAGCTCAGTCGGCTGGAGGGGCAAGATAACGTTAGCACGAGCAGCTGGTGGATAAGTCCGGACTGTTACGGCAGACGAACGATAAGAAGGTCGACTTGCCGACGCCATCGTCTCCGAGCAAAAGGATGGAAACTGTCTGGAGGTCGGCCATTGATGCTGTGCGCGCAGTTGTGCGGATAGGAGATAGTTGAGCATTCACTTCAGTCCATATTATGCAGGAATTGAGTGACGAGTACAGGTCGATATTGCAGCAGAGTTTGGGCGGGAGATACCGCCATTTATACGATTTGTAGGGCACAGCACGCTAGGCCAATCGCTAAGAAGGGCGCTGTAAGGACAGCGTCTCTGATTCGGCGGCCAGACGACACTGGTGGCACTGCGACAAAAGAAAAAAAGAAGAAAAAATCCGGATTCTCCGTGGCGGCTGCACATCAACAGCGCACGACCCTATTTCACGACGGAAAGCCGGCAAGTGCAGAGGGATGAATTGCTAGAAGCGACCATTCTTCCGGCGTCGAACAAAGCAGCAGCCGAGAGCACATGACGACAGTCGCATGAAGACATTGCGTCTGCAGCTGGTGTTGAGCATAGCAGCAGTAGCAGCCGCAAGACGAGGCGTGTCAGCCTGTCTGCGTCCCTATCCGTCCATCTCGCGCCCCTCTCCTCTCCGTCCTCATCTTCTTCCACAGCGCCGCAGCATGGCGGACTACAGCCGCTGGACCAAGGAGGCGCTCGTGCGGCGGGTGCAGCAGCTCGAGCAGGACGTGGCCAAGGCCAGACAGCGGCCGGCAGCCGCAGACACGACCACCTCGACCGCCACAGCCACGCCCAAGGCCAAGAAGAGCATGGACCCGTCGCGGTATGCCAGCCGGTTCATCGCGCTGAAGCTGGCGTACCTGGGCAAGCGGTACGGCGGGTTCGAGTACCAGCCGTCGGGGGCGCTGCCGACGATCGAGGAAGAGCTGTGGAAGGCACTGACAAAGGCGTGTCTGGTGTTTCCGGCACCAGGCGCATCGGCCGATGAGGTCGACCTGGTGCGGTGCGAGTACAGCAAGTGCGGCCGGACGGACAGAGGTGTGAGCGCGTTTGGTCAGGTGGTGGCGTTGCGGGTGCGCAGCAACAAGAGAGCGGTGGTGACTGAAAGCGACGACGCCGATGTTGTTGATGCTGCTGCTGCTGCTGCTGCTGCTGCTCTCAACGACGTCACCGGATCCGATCCGACCGGTGAGATTCAGTACGCAAAGGTGCTCAACCGGCTGCTGCCGCCCGACATTCGCGTTCTGGCCTGGTGTGCAACACCGCCGGCCGACTTCTCGGCGCGGTTCTCGTGCCGCGAGCGACAGTACCGCTACTTCTTCACCCAGCCGGCCTACTTCACCGAGGATGGCAGCCGGCCAGGGCCAACCTCCTCGGCTGGCTCGGCCTCTCAGCCTCCCGACGGCTGGCTCGACATTGACGCCATGCGTGACGCGGCCACCCGCTTCGTCGGCCTGCATGACTTTCGCAACTTTTGCAAGGTCGACCCCAGCAAGCAGATCACCAACTTTGAGCGGCGCATCTTTGCGGCCGGCATCACCGAGGTGGCCGACGTGCACTCATCGCTGCGCTGTCTCTCCTCTTCCGCCTCTTCCGTCTCGTTCCCCCGCGTCTACTCCTTTGACGTACGCGGGTCTGCCTTCCTCTGGCACCAGATTCGCCACATGGTGGCCGTGCTCTTCCTCGTCGGCCAGGGTCGCGAGCCGGCCGACGTGGTCTCGCAGCTGCTCGGCGTCGCCGCACAGCCTGGCCGGCCCAACTATCCCATGGCTGACGAGACCCCGCTCGTGCTCTGGGACTGCATCTTCCCGCCCCTCGGCCTCCCCGGCGTCGACGACAGCGTCGACAGTCCCACTGCCGGCAACTGGTCCGACAGCCTGCAATGGCTCTACGTCGGCCACGCCGACAACGATGACGCCGGTGAGCCGCCCAGCCGCATGTTTATCGACGGCCTTTGGCGCGGCTGGCGCACCGCCAAGATGGACGAGATCCTGGCTAACCGGCTGCTCGACCTTGTCACGGCCGGACCCGTGACCGTGGCAGAGAGCAGCCACACAACCACCAGCCACACAACCACTCGCATCGCCTGTCCTGGCCCGCCCGGTAACAAAAGTCACGTGTTTGAAGGTGGCGACGGCCCCCGGCTGGCCGGCATCTATGTGCCACTGCTCAAGCGGCCGCGCCTGGCTGCTCCCGACGACGTCAACGACCGCTATGCGCGTCAGAAGGGCTTCGACAGCGCCGACGCCATGCGGCAGACCGGCAACTGGCGTGCCGCCATCAAGGCCCGCAAGGAGGAGGCCAAGGCCGACGAGGCCATGACAGCAGAGTGAGATATAGGGTGCAATAGAAAATAAAATAAAAATAAATTGCAAAATAGGAAGCGTCAAGACCAGAGCCCGCACTCAGCTCTTCTGTCCGTCCGGCTCGTACAGACAGACTCGTGCTTCTCGCCAGACCGTCCGCACAATGTCCAGGCCGGGCAGCAGTTGCGGAAACACGACCACGACATGGTCCTCGTCGTCGCCGTCGGCCGTCTGCGCGCGGTCGCCGCCTCTTCTGTCGGCGTTGTCGCCCATCTTGGACCTGTTCTGGGACGAAGGAGCAGCGCTGTCGGCATAGTGCTCGCCGTCACCATCGGCTCCGCCGCCGCCACCGCTACCATCGGCACACCATCCCATCGTGCCGGCCGTGCCGCCGACGACGGCGACGAGGTAGTAGCGCACCTCGAAGCCGAGAAAGGCCTCGTTGACGAGCAGGTCCTGCAGCTTGGCCGTCGGAATGAAGCGCGTCGCCGCCGCCGGGCTGGGCTCGTAGTCGTCGCCGCCGAGAGAAGCAGCCCACGGGGCGTGTTCTGTCAGCCCATTCATCCATCCAGCCGATCCGCCTGATCCGCCTGCTGCCACCACCGCCTGCAGCAGCGCCCACGGCGACGTCAGCGTCCACCACGCCAGCCCCAGGGCCGACGCTAGCTCGCCCACGTACGTGGCGCCTGTCGAACGCGTCTGGATGCCGAGGCCGCGCAGCACCAGCAGCGACTCGGACGTGTGCACGCGCGCCACGCTGGCCCAGGCCGCCACAGCACACAGCGGCAGCAGCAGCCAGGCCGGCGTCGAGGCTGCCGCCGCCGCAAGCAGACCGACGAGTGCGTCGACGCTGTGCTTCGTTGTCGTCGTCGTCGTCGTCGTCAATCCACCCCTTCCCCCCAGACATGGCTGCGATCGCCCCCAGCCCCAGACGGCGACGGCCACTCCTGCCGCCAACAGCAGACGCAGCACCACCACCGCCACACACATCGCCCAGCCCGTCCAGCCCGTCCGCCGTGGCTGCGTCGTCACCGTAAATTCGACCGTCGTCGGCGACGGCCGCCGGATCTCCAGGTGCGGCGTGCTAAACGCCATGGCCAACGGACGGTCTCTTCGCCCTTCGCTCTCCAGTCGTCTCGGTCGCGCTTCAATAATCGGGACGCATCAATCGCTTTCGTGTCTACCGGGCTTTCTTCGCGCAACCCATCTGAGCTGGCGACAATGCGAATTCAATTGGCACAGAGCTCGTTGAGCCAACCGTGTTGCTTTGGACTTTAGACCTTGTTGGCTAACCTGACGCTAGAAGCAGTGCCCCACTTGTATAGGGGACCCTATATAATACTACTAAGACGCAATTTTCTCATGGCTGTAATGGTCTAAGGGGGACGACTCTTGCAATTCTCAATTTCCTTTGCTCCATGTCCGGCCTTGTGTTGGGTCAATACGTCGCCCAGTGCGAACGCCGCGGTGGCCGCCCACTCGCACGGGTAACCTGTGATGCTGGTAATTTGTGGCCCTAAGCAATCGGGGATGATACTTCAGGGAGGCTTCACTCTGCAGAGACATCCTCACCGTCGCGTGGCGGACTGGATTACGATCGTACTTGAGTTGGAACGGGGTTTGAGATGAGGAAGTCAACTTCCATTTTTGTCTTTTTGTCTTCCCTTTTCCTTTGCACACTGTACTGCTCCCCAAACCCGCACACGTTCGAATCGACCTGTGACCCACGTTTCTTGTTTTTTTTTTGGTGCTTTCCGCCCACATGCTTGTAATTTTTCATACTGAAATTCAATTGACTAAATGAAATGTCCGGATTCTGAAGCCGACGAAGAGAACCGTGAGGCAACCATATTTAAATGTAGGAAAATCAGCAACCAAACCCGACTATGGACTTCTTTTTTTGTTATGATTATGGTATCTCCATCTCCCTTGATTCACCAGTCTCTCTTTCCATTTCAGAGCTGTACAATTTTCCCATCACGATCATAAATCCAATTTGGCTCGTTAAAGTTTGCATGAACGAAAAAAAGAACAAAAAAGAACGAAAATAGGGGGGCAGCGAAGAGAAGGATTAAGCAAAATGTGCGATAGTAAAAGGGACCTTGGCCTATTCCAGAGAGCGAAATCATTGAAACCAACGCAACAAAAGTAGGCCGGCGACATGAAGATGCATAGCCGTTTAGTGGGATGTAGACGCGTCTCAACGCCGGTCGCCATGCAGGGAAGAAGTGAAGGAAAGCATGATAAGTCGTCAGTACGGAGGGGAAGAAGGCGGAAAGCGGGATAAAGAAATAGAGAGGCTCCTGCAGCGCACAATCCATTCAGATCATCTCGCTCTGATGAAGTCCGGTACGGTACTGCTGCTGAGATTGCGGAGGGCTGTTGCGGATGACGTAGTTTGGCGGTGGCAGCACGCTCTCGTACGGCACATAGGCCATCTCCGGCTGGCGGCTGCTTGCGGGGTTGTGGATGCTCTCGTATGGAGCAAAGCCGGCCTCGGGTGACTTTGTGCGAGAGGCCGCCGACAAGTTGTTGCGGCCGCGGCTGCCAGAGCGCATGCGATCGGTGGCGCGTGAGAAGCGGCCAGCGATAGAGTTATCAGTGCTGCTGCGACCACGGCGGTGTCCGTTACGAGACTGCGTCCCGCTGCCTTCCATGCCTTCCGGTGCCATCGGTGGTGCAGGTGGCGGCGGCGGAATCGATCCTGAGTGATGCGTCTGGGGCGGGGGAGACATGGTGAAGATCGGTCGAACCTCGCCATCGTCCATCACCACCTCGATCGTGCCAGAAGTGTTTCCGCCATACACCACATGTGGGTTTTGGCTCACGCCAAAGGGAAGTGGTGCCGGAGGTGGCGGTGGCGGCATGGCCAGATGGGCGAGTTCCTTCAACATTGGTGGTCGCTCTGGTAGTGGTATCGCGTCATCCAGCGACGGTCGTCGGCCGTGCAACGCTTTCTCGTCATGGGCGGATTTCGTAATGACGAGCTCCGGCACACGGCCCATCTTCCGCGGAGAAGAAAGCTCCACGGGAGGCGCCGACATCGATCGAGGAATAGCAGAACGGCTGGGCGGCTGGTACACTGTCGACGGCAGCAGAGTCAGAGTCTCTTCCTTAGCCGGGGCCGGTGTAGGGACCGGCGTGTTGTCTGCAGTCTCGGCACGTTTCGGCGCGCTCTCCTTGGGCGAGTTGTGTTCGGATGCAGGCGGCGACCGTTGATACGTGTAGTTGGTTGGGATGGGCGGCACGCTCGGTACTCCTCCAGCACCAGACTCCCTGACAAGCCGCATAGCCTTTGGTGTCGCTGGAAGCCCAATGTTTTGGCCACGGGACGCATACATGCTGTATGTGCTCGTACGGGTTGTCGTCTTGGACTGCTGAGCAGACGGGTCGGTTGACTGGCTACGCATCGGGAGATCCATGGGGGCCATGAACCTGTCGGGCATGTTCAGCTCGAACATTTCAGGCACACGTGGCTGTTGCTGCTGCTGCTGCTGCTGCTGTTGTAAAAAAACCCCAGATGCCGGGGACAACATATCAGGGTGCATGACTGGCGGCACCAGTGGTCGCCGGACAAGCGACTTGCGCCGTTCTTCCAGCTCCCGAGCGGCTGCTGCTTTGCGCAGGGCACGTTCATCCATCGACAGCTGCTTGAGGTCGCCCATGCTGCCCTTGTTGGATGCTGACGACGACGCACGTCTGCGGCCACTGTCCTCGGAGAGATTGGGCGTGTGGCCTCTGTCGATGCCGATGCCAATGCCTGCAGCCACTGCGATAGCCGAAGGGGCCGGCGGTGGGCCGGGCAGACCCCGCTCTTTCCGGGATGCAGGTGGTGCCGGTGTGGACGTTCCGGTGGCAGCAACTGCTGCATCGGCCGTGGGTGTCGGCCGGCGACGGCTGCGCGATCTGTCTCGTGCCCGAAGAGACCCCGGCGAGGCCTCACGACGGCTCCGGCTGGAGCTACGCTCCCGGTTTGAGTTGGCCCTGTCGCGGCTGCGGAACTTCTCCTGTTCATCAACAGCCTTCTTGTAGTCGTCATCGTCCTCGGAGTTGTAGTAGGCAGCTGCGTTGCTCGAGAACGGCAGCGGAGACGACGGCGACCGCACAGCAGAGCCAGAGCGATTGTTCAGCCGGCCACGCCCGACATCCAGTGTCAGTGCCAGCGGCTTGCGCTCAGGACTCTTTGCACGACTGCCGGCAGTGCGCCCACGGCTCGAAGTACGGCTCGTGGGACGTGACTTGGACGAAGGCCGGGAGACGTGCTGCACTGGCGTTGCTGACTTCGTGAGCGTGAGTCCAGCAATCTCCACACCTGCACCAGTCGCCGGCTGTTCGTCCCTGCCAAACATCCTCGGCGCACCCAAGTTGAGCAGGTCCTCTGGCGACATCGGTACCGGCGAACTCGGCGACCGCTTGCCGCTGTTCTTCGAGCCGGCATAGCCCCGCGATCCGGACCAGCTGCGGTCATCGGCTGCCGGTATCTCACGACCATGTGTTGACGGAGTTGGCGTCGGTGCGCCAGAGGTGTCCGTGCCAGTGCTCGCAGAGGGTCGACGGCGCCGGCTCGCCTCACGAGACCGCTGACGCTGACGCTCCTTGCTGCTGGGGCGCGCCCGCGACTTGGCCGCTTCCAGGCTGTTGATATAGTCGTCCAGAGTCCTGCCCGTGTTCAGGGCTTCTCCGTTGCGCAGGCGGTAGCTCCGTGCTCCGTGAGTAGCGCTCGAGTTGGATGTGATAGAGCTGCTCACAGAGGCAGGACCACGCCGTCTAGTTGGCCACCGGTAACGGCTCGACGACGTGATAGACTGCTCTGGTGACGTAGCCGCTGCCGCTGCCGCTGCTGCTGCCGCTGCCACTGCCGCACCGTTCTTGGGGTCAATCTGGAGATCAACGCCATGTGGGATGCGGTTTCGAGGTCCGTTTCGGCTGGTACGGCCTTCCATCAACATCACCAGAGACGCAGGCGAAGGTGACGGCGGCGGTTGCTCCTTCCGGCTGCACAGCGGGCTCGATGTCGAAGCTCTCTGTAGCATCATTCCAACCATGTAGTTGGCACCACTGCTGGCATTGTCGAGATGAAGGTCGTCAGAAGCCATTGCCTTGGGAGAGACAGAGCGTGCGTGCAGCTTCTCGACCCCCTCTACTGGACGTGTTGGAGGCTCCAACTCGGCGGTTACACCCTTGAGAAGATCTCGAGTGAGAAGCGCGTCAGCCGGTGCCTCGCCAATGGATGGCAGGCGCTGTCTGGAAAAGCCCCCACCGCCAGGGCGCGCAGAATTGGGCGTGTTGAAGGTGCTACGCTGCGACGGGCGCAGGAAAGCTGTAGTCACTCCGTTGTTGCTGCCGGCAGCCGGCGAGATGGCCGAATCCATGATCGGGGTTACACCTGCAGCAATGGGTGTGGCCCCATCATCTTCCTGACCGGAGAAGAACCTGGCCTTTGCGGCATTGTCTTCGCCAAAGTTGGTGATCAGCCGCAGCGCCGAAGACTTTGCAATGCTTCGCTGTGGACCACGCATCACACTCGGCGGAGACAGCGGCGGGCTCAGCACCTCTGGCAACGTCGCCTGGATAGAAGGGAAGTTCATCTGCGCAGCCGAAGGCGATGTCCACGGCTCTGTCGACTCTTTTTCGGTACAGGCAAAGCTAGGTGCAGCAGTTAGTATTGTGTTCAGATGGGACAGAGCACTGCGAAACGAAAATGCGCCTCACCATCGAATAGCCAGCTCCTTCTGGCCGTTCTTGATAGCCCATTCGCCCCATTTCTTGACCAGGTGAGACTGGCGCTCCCAAACAGAGGGGTAGAAGAGACAGGCTACAATGAGAGCCTCCATGTATTTGTGGTGCGAGCCGTAGATCTCGATCGCATCGTTAAAGTCACCCATGCCAATCATGATCGTGGCTGCCGCATGTAGATCACCACTCTCCAGCAGACGCTGCGTGTATGCACGCCCCAGCTTGTGCTGGCTAGCCTGGCCTCCGATGCCACTGAGCGCGAGTAGCATCCAGTCAGATGACGTCATCGTCTCCGAGCTCGTCGACATTATATCGGCATCCATGTCGCCGAGCCACTTCGCAAGCAGGATGCGGTTTGCAGATCCAGCAGGATGACGGCTCAGCTCATCTCGCACAAGATCCTCAATATCCCGTGGCCAGCCAAAGACGGTAGTCAGCATTTGGCATCGAAGATCGTCATTGGTGAGTCGAGAGTTGCTGATGTTTGGTGGCATTCGGTATGGGACATCGCTCAGCCGGCTGCGTGTGAATTTGAAAAGATCATGCACCTTGGCATCGTCTGGGCTGCGCGGAATCTCGTTGCGCAGCCGCGATGGCCGTGCCATGCCACCTCGATTACTAGTCGCAGACAAGGCAGACGATGTTCCGGTAGTCACACTGTAGGAAACCGACTGGCGCTGCCGATGGTGCTGTTGCTGTTGTGGGTACCCCTGAAAAGCAACTGACTTGAGCGACGAGCCCACAGACAGATAGGTGTTCTCCGATTGGCCACGTGATACATTGGACACCGACTCTTGATAGCGGCCGGGAGTGCGACTGCTATGGCCAGATCTTGACGACTGGCTAGAGATTTGGCTGCGTGAGGATGTTCGGCTGGCCGTCCGGGTTATTTCTGAGTCGACATCGACCGCCTGTGAAGAGTGCATCATGCGTGTAAAGGGCGACATGTGGTCTTCATCGCTCTCAGATACTCCACCGTCCAGATGAATAGAAATCTCAGACTCGGACGTGTTGGCCGCCGAAGTGCTCGCGGCTGCCTCAGAAGATGAGGCGTCTGCGGCAGCTGCTGCGGCCGCCACCTTGTCCTGCTCTTCTATTGAGACAGGCGGCGACGGTGGGAGCAGGTTTGCCGGGTGCTGGACATCTGCCACCAGGACCGACGGGGCATTCAGGTCGTATTGCTGAACCGTGTTGTTGGCACCCAGTGTGAAGAGACTCGCACCAGGCCCATACACGCTTAGACCTCTGACATTCTCCAAGGTAGGAATGCTGTCGTATGTGACGTGCTTTGTCCGAACATCCCAAGACAGTGTCTCGCTAATGCTCCGGTCAGTCTCTTGGCCGAATTGTGACTGCAGGATACAGGCTTACCCTTCTGAGAATTGAATAATACGGCCGTTCTTCGACCAGCCCATCCAGTTTGCCCCAGGCGCAAAATTCTCTGTGCGCCGCAATATGCGCACAACCTTTGCAGGGTCTGCACTTTGATGTGCTTTGGCTACACTCCATACACGAAGGTCGCCGTCGTACGTCTGCACAGCCAGCATGTCGGACCTTTGCCTGGACGACGACGCGTGCCAGGCTAGTCCTACAATTGGTGACGGCCCTCGGGAGGTGGACAGGTTATGTAGAATAGTAAATCTCGGTTGTAGGTTGCAAACCAGAAGTGAGCCATTTTGGTACCTTGAAGATGTCAGTATCATGGAGCCCCCTTTGTCAGTGGTTAGACAATGTATTTCTTACCCTATAGCAAAAGTCCGGCAGTCAGTCGCTGGTGCTAGCGCCGTAACGGCTATCTGATGTATTGTTCGGAACGAGATGTGCTCCGACGTTTCTGGCTCAAACAGGATGATTGTGCCCGAATCGTTGCCTACATGTCGTTAGCAACGAACACAACTTTCGTCATATGCACCTTCCTGATTCACACTCACCAAAAGCAACGGTTCCGTTTCGCATCCATGAAACAGCTGTCAGGTTGCTGAACGAAGCAAACCGCGCCACTTCAGTACCAGACATGATATCCCACACAATGGCATTTTGGCTAGCATCATAGCTGACAACAAGACGGCCAGCGCCACGCTCGCTCATGTTGTCGACGGAAAGTAATTGAACTTCATCGGCGTGGCCAGAAAACCGGCGCTCAATTGTGAGTGTGTCATGGTGGCAGCAGACGATGGAGTTGCCTTGGGCATACAAGAACATGCCAGCCGTTGAGGCACATGGTTCGAAATGGCGGACCATGGTGGCTATTGTTGTGGATGGCATAGCGTAGTCTTGCTGGGGAGTATTCCTCTCTCTTGCAGACAAGGAGGATCCAGAGACGGATCGCTGCCTGGTCAATTGACCAGAGGCAGACATGGTGATGGCTAGTATATACAGAGATGTTGGTATAAGCTGCTAGTATCGTCCAGCGGTACAGAGGTAGGCCAGCGTATGTTAGCCACGATTCTGACAAAAGGGAACGAGAATAAGGCCAAAGACTGTGAGAAATGGGAGGGAGGTGTGGGTGTTATCAACAAGAACAAATAGATGCCCCATATGCTCATCCCGGGATAGCCGCCACGCAGTCTAAAGCTAGACTCGTAGAGAGCACAAGAACAGAGGAGACAAGGGGGGAGGGACAGTCTCACACAAACAGGCACGCAGCATATAGGCACACGCAAAGGTCCACATACCGTAAAGGGAAGCCAGGGAAGTAATAAGATATGGAGACTCTGCAGCGCTTCACAGAGTGAGCGGTGAAACTACAGGTCGTCGGATCCACCTCCCCGGTCGTCACATGGGACAAGATGCTGGTGGCCGTCTCCGGGCAGGGGAACAGGTGGATGGTGTACCCCTCTTATGCAAGCTCTTTAGGAGAAGAAAGATAGAGACGAGAAGGTGTGATTCGAGGGTACAGAAAGTGTGATAGTTTGGCTGGGGGCGAAATGGGGCTGATGACTGCCGTGCGCCTCGTGTTATCTGGTAGGTCCGATATGTGCGCAGTTCTTTACAACTGGCAGCGTGGTTTGGAGATGTCTCGGTGAGTGTGTGATGCACAGCCTGTCGTTCGGTCGACCCTTTCGGCAATCGTTGCTGTCGTCGGCGGACACGGACACGGCCGACCTTGACCTGCTATCGAAGTCTTCGGATACCGTTGTCGAGGTGTGCGGTGTCCGAGAGCGAAGGTGGCAGACAATCGGAGGGACGGAGAGGGAGGGTAGGACAAAAAGGACGGAAGAAAAATAGAGAGGCCGGGAAGTTGAAGACTTGAGAGACGCGGGAGCGGCAAAGTATAAAAGAAGTCCAGGTACGCGCGCGAGGTAGGTGAACCAGGGGGGGGGGGGCCACAAAAAGAGATGAGGGAAGAGAAGTGAACGACCGATGGGTACACACCACTCCAGACAGTAGGGCAAGTCGAGGCTTAGGTATGGGCGTGAGCGTGGGCGTGCTGCCGATTTGATATGTTTTGTCTATGCCGTTATGCTGCTGGAGTTTTGCTTAAGCGGCAACGGAACCGCAACGAGACTAAGGTAACGTGCCCAGATGCAGAAGCTATGTTGCGTATCAGTGAAGCAGGCGATGTGGGTATGCTCGGCGCTTGTTTCTGCAGCCTCTTCTCTCGCATGCAGAGCCGAGGGCCAGGTGGAGGATGCAGGAGAAAGGGAGGACAAGAAGAGAAGGAAAAGAGGAGAAGAGAGAAAGGGAAGGGTAGAGCAGCAGCAGGCACGGTGAGAGACGGGAGGCGGATCTCTGGTTGAGTCGAAAGGGTGTGCGATAGGAGGGACGAAATAAGAGAGCGGCTAACAGAGGAAAAACGGCTGTAGCAGCCGGGGGGAGAAGAAGAGACTAGCAGTTCGTGTGTAGAGACGATGTAAAAGATGGGGGGGAGCCAGGACCAGCGCCGGCATGTAGAAACAGTGTGGCAGGAGAGCTGGACGAATCAAGACAACCCATCAACCAGCTCAGAAGCCGTATGAAATTGGAGCTTCTTCGTTGAGAGCCCGGCTAGACTAGCCTGTAGGAAGAGGCAGCAGGTCGGAAGGGCTTTTGAGTACTCCGTAGGAGAAAAAGGCAGAGCATGCTTGCATGAAGGAGGAGGAAGCGGAGACGGTCCGGCGGGTGATGGGCAGACTGAAGCAGGGATTCGGGGGGGGAACGACAGGGGATTGGAGGGCGAGGAAGTGATGAGAGAGGTCAGGGCTATAGCAGATGCGTTTATTTGCAACAGTAGATATGGGCTTCATTGGCTCAAGCCCAACCGGCCGGTGAGAGGTGGCAGGGAAAGAGCGACAGGGGTGGACAGTGATCGTACTCGTAGCATGGCCAGGGAAGGAACGCCTTACAGCGAGCAGGCAAGCACGGGATTGGCCATTGGGTCTCAAAGGTACGGCGTAGCGGCTCTGGGGGTAGTGGCTACGGAGTACATACATAGTATCTGCACTGGACAAGAGGGTGAAGAAATAAAATGATAAAAGAATACAGACTATGTAGAAAAGGCACAAGGAGTGCAGTAGCAGATACGCCTGGTTGGCAGAGGACCGGCGCGTGCGAAGATGTCACACTGGGAGAGAAGGGGGGGCGGCCGGACGTGAATGGACGTCCTTTCTGCGAGTTGTATGCACGTTCCCCATGTCCAAATTGCCATAATTAGCCTCCGTGTGGGTAGACGTGGTGTTGGTCGATCGAGCTTGGAAAGTTTGGACTGCGGACCTTGTCTTCACAGCCACAGCGACGGCGCCGCCTCATGTCGGCTTGTCTCATGGCGACAGCTCCATAACGGCTGTCGGCAGCCTGGTTGGCAGACGAGCAGAGGAGCCGACAAGAGGACGAACGAAGCGAGAGAAGAGCAGCGACGACGAGCGACGAAAAAACGGCAAGCCAAAAAGGTCGGAAGACGAGTCGAGAATGGGAGGAGGGGCAGCAACGGCTTTAGCGCCGAGTGGATCTGCTCTGCTGGCCAGGGTCTTTGGGCTTCAGATTGGCTGCCGTCAACAGGGGGGCCTGCACGCCGGCGCCGGGCTCAGACGAATCAGACGGCGCCTGTAGCCGCTGGCAGCAGCGCAACGGCCGTCTGTGGACGAAGAGGAAGAAGGGAGAGAGCGAGAGAGACGGGCCGGGCTGTACGGAGTAATACTATGCAAGATACTATGTACGATGTACGACAGAGGAGCGCACCAGGCCCTCACAGCAGCTTCAGCGCCGGGCGACAGCGTCCCAGCGGATCGTGCAGCTCTCTCTTCAGCGCCTCTTCGCCCTGGCGCCCGCTGTGGCTGCCCCACCAGGGGAGCTAAGTACGGGCCTTGCACCATACTCCGTAGTATCTGGATCGCCAGGTCCACTCAGACAAACGCTCCACGGACGCTGCCGGCAAAGTAATTGTCTGTTGGCTTGCTAGCGTCAGTTTCCACCTGAGTATCTCTGGGTATGTACTCCGTACTCTGTATCTTGCAAAGTGATCTTGTCCCTACATCGGCGCTGTGCTCGCATCTCGTAAAACGCCACACCATGCCACCTGGAGAGATTGCCTACGGGTGCGTCGTGCCATCAGCTCTCTCCAAGCCTCGCTCATCACACAGCAAGAGGCATTGGGGCTTTTTATACGTCGCGACCCCTCGTCTGGTCACACTGTGTATAGGATGCCTTGATGGGCTTGCATGTCGTACCTGGCATACGAGCACTCGTACGGAGTAACTCGTCCTGCGGACTGCACATGCTGTACGGAGTAGAAGCATGTGCATGCATTGTACGAGTAAGATACGAGTAGGAATTGCGCCCTTTCCAGACGCGGGAAGAAAGATTGCGAAAATAGGCCTATCCTGCATTGTAGCCCCCGGTTTTCTTGTTTTCTTTGTCTCCCACTTTGCGACAATGGCTTTCCTCTTTCCTCTCGACCCTCCCCTTGCGTCTGCTGGGGTGATGTGACACCGCATCTTGAATATGGATGCCCTTCTTCTCATCAGACATGTGTTCTAGCCACCGCATCCTCCGTCCCCTAGGAGAGTGTCGTATCCTGTACCTGGCAACAGTGACTGACTCCGCGTAAACTTCTCCGTACGTCGTACTCCGTACTCCGTGCAAAGCAGCAAGCAAAAAAACTCAGCTTGCCAGCATTGGAAGTGGAGCACGGCCGTCCCATTCCAAGCCTTCCTTCTTTTTTTGGCCATTTGTATGCCCTCGGATGCATGCACTACCACCCTACATGGCCTGTTTTTCTGGCCAGGACTTGTCTGTCCAGGATGGAGAAGCCGGCTGCCGACAGGCCCTCGGAGGACAGAGAGCAATGAGCAGAGCGAGTAAGCAGCCAAGCAAGGAAGCATTTAAAGTACTATGTAGCACTCTTGCTTTGACTGCCATGTGGTCCTTCCTTGTCACAGTATTGCGAGCAGTCGTAAACAATCTGGAAAGCACCTCCAGATGTCAAGGATACATAACTTATCGCAAGGGCTTATCAAGCCTGCAGGATACCACATGTGATTGCACCCAGAACACCCTCATCTTGTTGAACAAAACAAAAAGCTCATCGGCTCCTCCGTCCACAGGTCTGATCATATGATCGTTTTGTTTCTCTACCGCTAATCTCGTCTATCCTAAATTCCTACGGCCCCTAAGCGGAACAAGTCTACATGCGCATTTTGTCGTGACTTGGGACAAGGCTCGGTAGCCTGCCTGCCTTTCCTAGACAAGGTCCGAATCAGTACACAGTAGCTCACTGCGGAGTATGTCAGCTCCTACGGAGTACGGCGTACGGAGTACATAGTAGATGCGACGGCCGATTGCCATCTCCACTCAATATATCTATCACACTGGCATTTCATGCTTTCCTCCTCCATCACCTCCGCTCTGGCACAGACGGGCCGAGATATGCCTTGCAAATACCCAATACCCAACCGTGGAGAATGCAAGGCAGCAAGAAGAAGACCAGACCACGACATCATTCAACGGCCCAATGTCGCAGGCACCATGGGTTTCACTTGATTAGAAAGTCCTGCCGTAAACGCATCCTGGCCAATAGGCCCCCAGCCCAGGCCGCGAGCTATAGACGATAAACTCCGTACTATCAGCAATCTCAGAGAGGAAATGTCCATTTTTTCTCGCGCGGGACAGTGCTTTATCGCGCAGAGCTCAGAGATGGACCGCGGAACGAAGCCGAATCCTGCTTTGATGCCGTCACGTCTGCTGCCTTTCCATTCGGTGTATGCGAATGGATGTGACGAGAACGAGTGAAATGAAGTACTGACTCTATCTCAAAGCGATCGCAGGAAACGGAGAGAATCCCATAGCTCGCAACTCGTAACTCACACAGCCGGCTCTGATGCCTTTCGCGTTCGAATCGTCACTGACGGTGAAGCCCCGCCTCTGCCCTTGGGCCTCATCACGCGCTGGCCTAGCCTTGGTCACAATCACACTGGCCTGTGCGCGTTGGAAGGGGTGGGGTGCCGGACCAGGGCTCAGGTCTCCAACAGCTCCCGACTCCAACATTTGGTTGTGGCAACAGACAGGGCTGGTGAGAGAACCCGGAAGTACGGCGTCGTTGGAAACGAGGGCAAGAAAAGGACACAAATCAAAACTCGCAACATCGGCAGCCGGTTCCTTGTCCCAATCAGACCTTGCGCCCCGGTGTGAAGTGGTGTTTCGAACAGATCCGTATGAGACGGTCCTCATCCACACGGGTAAGCAGCAAATCAGGCAAGCCGCCACGCGCCTCGGCGGAGCAGCCCTCCATCTCCGTCCGTACTTGTACACGATCTACGACAGGCGTAGCTAAATCGGACAGCCGGGGCCGAGAGAAAAGTGATAATCCGAGACGGGCAACCCGCGGACTTCCTGCTGCAATTAGTGCAGCTGCGAAAGCTCTAGTCCCCTTCCAGCTTGATTTTATTGGCTCTCCACCGTCACCTCTCCTTGCTTGTCAAAGACGTAATACGTTTAATGCTCGGTAAAAACTCGTTCTCACAGACCATGTGTGATGATGTGATAGATAACGGGTGGCTACTACATATGTAAGTGCGGTGAACGATTCTCGTCGCATCACCCCCCTTCCCTGCCCGGCCGGCTTTGATAACATCAGTACGAGTACAGAGACAAGTTTCAGAAGAGCAATAGACCCATGAAATACGGGATGTAAAATAAGAAAAGGAAAAAATATAAAGAAAAACAGACAAGGAACAGCGCCACCACAGAAACGGTGTGCCGTCACTTGCCCCAAACGGGATACTGCCTCGTTCTGGGTTCGTAATACAGAGCACGGAACCCCTGCACCCATTCGTCATTCTTCACACCTGCTTGTGCCCAGACGGCACATGGCACATAGCGGTGAAGGTGTGGAAATGCGAGCAATGGGCGGGTTCTCGAGAAATGGGTCCCCTGTTCGTCATATTGCTCACTCTATTCCGTACATTTCGCATTTTCTGGTCACAGCAATCCGGTCCGCCACATGCTCGTATACGGTGTAATCTGGACATGGCCCAGAAAACCCTCCTCGGTGTGACCCGGGGTGGTGTGCAATGGTGAGATGGGTGGGACAAACGAGCAAGGCACCATGCAGCTGCAGTCGAGACCTGCATGAAGTGCGCAGAAGAAGCTGCAGAAACGACGAGGAACAGGAAATTGCCCTTCTTTGCATAGTCAGTCACTGTCCTTCCTCCCGATCCTGAGCACAGATGTGGTGGAGCTATGAGACAGCAGCGAAATTGAGGTTGTCGACCTTTCTCCGTACTTTCCCTATCTTTCTCTGCTCTCTTGCTCTTCTTCTCCCCCTGGACATTGCTGTTTCCGCCGCGCGGTTGGTCTTCCTTCGCGTAGTCTCGTCCGTCCGACTTTTCCCCTCAAGGAAGATCACATGCAGGCTCGGGATCGTCCACAGCAAATCAAATGTCGTCAGGAGCGAGCTAGACGTGTATGACTCAGGTCCTGCGTTGCCCAAGCCTTCACGATTGGCATATGTGCTTCCTGCTTCAAATCCTGCTCGTACGGTGGCGCATCATGAGCCGATAAGAGCTCCGCCTAGCTCTTAAGGTGCTGAAGCTATCCGAAAACAGGCGGGACTGAATTCGTAGCTAGCTATCTGAATTTTGGCCAATAGGTGTCCTTTGCTGGCAATTACGGCCATGGCCGCGTGTGATTGGCCAAAATCGAGGCTGGATTTTCGTTCCACACAGCCCATGTACTTCCGTATGGAGGAAAACCCCTACGATCCTCTCTCCCTTTTCTCCGCAGAGTCGTTGGATGACAAAATCGAGCTGCCGCCGACCGCCGGCCGCAAGAGGTCAAGGCCCAGCGGATGGGCGGCGTGGCAAATAGTTGCCGCATGATGGGGTCCGAAGAGAGCGAAAGTTTGTCCGCCCCGACAAGACAGATACCCATATTAAACCGGGATTAATTCGGTGCAGATCGATCGACAACGACTGGCCAGCAGAGCAGCACAGCCATACGACTCGTGATCGCCATGACACACAACCGGGGTTGTGCTGTCAGTCTCGCTTTTCGCCTTGGTGAGCTGCCCCAGATAATGGCACCTCGGCAATAATGTGCTGTGCCCTTCGAAAACGGGTGCTGGCCCATAGCCCATAATAGCCCAACTGGACCAGAATCAAGGCCCAAGCGCGCCCCCAGGAGAGGCCCAAAGGGCCACCGAGGAGGCAGCCTGCGACGATGCCTGTCCACAATTCTGCATGTTGGCCCTCTTCTGCCTACAGTGGAGTAACGTGATGTTCTTCTTGCGCCAGCTGGCTGGCTCGCAATCAAAGTCATTCCCGTTCATACGAAACGTTTCGGTCCCCAGCCTATTATCCGCCATCCTTCTCCCGTCAGCAGTCCAGCATCGCCTGCCCCCAAAGCCATGTGTATTTCCAAGTTTGTGCTTCCGGAGAAAGGGATGGGTTCGTTGGAAAAAGGCCGACAGCAGGAGGGGGGTGTAAGATGGAAGGCAAACAATGGGTAAAGCCGCCCTCCCTAGCGGAAAATGCTTCCCAAAATAGGGCAAAGGACACAACGTGGAATGTAGCACTCCTGGCTCGCAAGCGGCGGACGCTTTCTTCTTAGTTGGCCGCCCCGTTGGTCGTTCCCGTCATCTGCCCTCTTTGTTTGTGTCGGCGTCTGCGCTTTGGAGAATGGGGGAGTGCAAGAGCACAAAGCAAGATGCGCGCGAATCAAAATGGTTTGCTCTGCGTTGAAAAGGCAACTGACGAACGAATATACAAATTTCTGCCGTGGTTAAGTTGTATCACGAAAGGAACAGTTGTTTTGGAGTAGTAAAAGTGTGTATAGTAATGATGATATGAATACCCAATATTCCATTCAAATGCTCACACAAGGGGTATCATGCTATGGATCGCTAAGCTAAAATGGAGAGGAAGAAACTGGTGCCGTTGTGATATGAACCTAGGCGCAAACGCCATGCTCAAATAAAAATAAAAATAAACCGAATGAATGCGATGTTCGCTGTGATGCATCATAAAACCGTAGTCCGAACCCAAAAATACAATGAAGGCGTTAAAGCCTTGTCTGTTGTTTCCTTCCCTGTTCCTTCCTTTCCTTCTGATTGTGCGCGAGCATTGGCACGCATGTAGTGACCTGCCTAGACAGCAAATATGCGAAACTCCCTAGAGATCGCTTCCCGAAAACATAAAAAAAAATGAAACTATATAAAACAAATCGAAAAAGAGACAGGTGAGCGAGCACAAGGCCGTGGGCACTGTCTCGACAGTGAATCCAGGCAGCAAGGCAAGCTGGTGGCCATCCGCAGTCACAGTCGGCTTGGTGAACGAAAAACAGAATGAAATGGGGTATCTCAAAGGCAAAGGGGTATATTGTGTGTAGATGATTGGTGGAGAAGGGCGCTGCCTGAGCCGGGTGTCGGTTGTAGGAGTTGTGGTATTGGTGCGTAGTGGTCAACAGGAATGCCAGTGAGGGTGCCAGTGTGACTGCGAATTAAGTGTGGGTGGGTGTCATTGATTGTCGTAAAAGTGTGCGTCTGCCTGCTTGGGACTGTCGGAGATGCCCCCTCTCTTCCAACCCGGCACACGCCGATAGAGGAGATGAGGGGTGGGACGGGGATAAGGTAAGGAAATCCGCACAAATCGGTTGAATTTGTGCTGGGCTTTTCCGTATCTTTCCGTTTCTTTGGAAGGGGAGTCTATTGGAGTCAGCTGCTGAACTTGCAGGAATAGTATAGGGGCTGTTACTCACAGTTTGTGGTAGTGGTAGCGGTAGCAGTAGGAGTAGTGGTAGTAGTAGTAGGAGCGGGTGCGAAGGTCACGTAGGATCGCAACATTTCGCAGATTGCCGACGAGACTTTCATCTAGGATTCCTCGACGCCGGTCTCGGCGATGGCAGCGAGCTTGCCCGACTTCTTGCGAGAGGCAGACGAGGAAGACTGGCCGCCGGCAGCAGCTGCAGCCCGGCGCTGCTGGCGACGGACAACTGCTGCAGCCTGCTTGCGGCGCTCCTTCTCAGCGACCAGGGCGCGGGTGATGTCACGCTGGTAAGCCTGGCGCTCGCGCTGGAGCTGCAGCAGCTCCTCCTCGGACACGACACGCTCCTGGGGCTGCTGGAAGTTCTGCTGGAAGTGGTGGTTGAAGTGGTCCTGGGGCGGCTGTGGCTGGTAGTGACCACGGTGGAGGTTGTGCGGCGGCGAGATGCTGCTGGCGTTGCTGTTGCTGCGGCTGGAAGCGGTGCTGCTGCTGATGTCGTCGTCGAAGCTGTCGCTGAGGAAGAGGTCTTCGTCCGAGAGGTAGGACGAGGCACTGCTGTAGTCGTCGGACGAGAGCGAGGAGCGGCGGGGCCAGGAGGGAAAGGCACACGTAGAGCTGGACCGCGTAGTGCCAATGTCGATGGCAGTGGCGGGGGTCACAGCCCTCGCGCACATGGAGCTGTAGGAACCGTAGGAACCAAACATTGTGAAGATGTGAGGGTGTATTTGGTGGGGTGGGAGAAGAGAAAGTGAGTCGCTCTGGCGAGGAACTCGAGTGAAAGTATGGCAAGAAAGTGGGAGAGCAGGGTGTTTTATTCTTGTGTTTGCTGCTTATTCAGAAGGCAGTCGAGACGGATTATATCGTCGTTATAAATGTGGGATTTGGCTGCGTGGTTGGTGTGTAGGTTGTTGATGGTGGCTCACATGGAGACAGATCTGGAATGTATGGGGTATAGAGTAATGGGTTCGAGCGAACATGAAGACGAATGAGTAGCTTATTTGATGAGGAGAAGGAAAGAGCAGAAGAAGCACGACTGGGAGGAGCAAGGCAGCGAACGCGTTGAGTGAATATATAAGTTTCCTGTCGTGGAGGGAGAAAAGGAGAGTGGAAGGGGGGGTGTGTGCGATTTCCGAGGTACAGCCAGTCTTGGGGTTCTAGGTCAAGGACAAGGGGGCGTGCGACGGGCACCGGCTCCCAGGATTTGACGGGGTGGGGGGGGCGCTTTGAATAGACTGGGATGGGGCACAAGGCGATTTTGCTTGCTGGCACGCCCCCCCTCCCAATCCCCTTTCCCCGTTGGTGGCCAGGGTGCTGTGAACAAACGGTGACTGCGAGCGGTAATCTCTTACCCACCGACTATGTATCCGTTTCGCGTTCCTTCCCTCCGCGGTCTGACCGCCGCTTGTGGACATGGCGCCTACTCCGTACAAGTTCTAGCGGGCACCATTGGCTGGGGCCGCGCTCTTTCCCGGTGAACAACCGACAAAGCACAGCAATCGCGAAAACAGCGAACATGGCGAGCGGTGTTGGAGGGGATCAAAGCAACCAACAAAAGTAAATAAGTCGGTGTATGCTGCATCTGTCAATCTTTTGCGCCGGACAGACCCTCCTCCTCAGCTGCTGCATGTATATGTATGTATATTATGTGATAGCAGCCGTGGCCGGAGCCGGGTCGCAGCCCGAGTGCGGCAGCATACTAAGGCATCGTATCTTTGTATATTGTATCTTGTATCTTGTATCGTGCTATATATCTTACGAATCTGACCGGTATGTAAGATACGACGGCTGTTGCATTTCGTACATAGTGTAATATACGTGCTACGACTTAGGCGTAAGCCCGACACAGGACGGCTGAATCCTGCTCTCATGCACTCGTTGCACTTGCGCGGGCCGGCTGGCCGGCTAGCTAGCTGGCTGGCTGGACTGGCTGGCTGGACTGGCTGGACTGGGCTGGATCCCTTCTTGTCTCTCTGTCTCTCTGTCTCGACCCCCCTCTCAGGATGCTCACCGCCAAGTGCTGTACTGTGTAGCGCTTGCCCATGTGGAAAAGCCTGCGGTGTGGGTGGGCTGGAGGAGGGGTGGGATGGAAAGGGAAGCAGCGACAGTCACAGACAGCACAAACAGCGACGGCCAAGCAGGCAGGCGACGTTGGTGCGCGAAATGGTGCTCATTGCGGCGGCTGCGCCATTTTGGCAGGTGCGCGGGGTTGTTGGCGTGCTTGGTTTGTGCCTGGTTTGATTGATCCCTTCCGTCCAAACGGCCGTTTTCGCCATGAAGAGAAAGGGCGTCATGCTTGTCTGCTCCCCCTCCTTCCGTCACATGGAAGATCTGTTGGCCGCGACCCAGTCCTGCTCTTCTCTCCAGGCCAACAGTGCCCAAAGGCGTGACGGCAGCGGCGAGACGGACATGCGTGCAAGCATACGAGCACAGGCCAGATGTGTGTGTACGAATTTCGGTTTCCGGTTTTGTCGCGTACCAGACAAGATGCTCCGTGCATTTCCGATCCACGGCCTTTTCCCACAGAAGCGCCACGGGAGGACATGTTTGGTGATGCGTTGCATTACGGTCCGTTTATGTGCGAGGGCGCGGGTCTGTCGCACCTGCTGCCCTGCTACATAGTATCTTACACAGTACGGAGTACATAGTACCCTCATCGGCGCGGGGGTCAAGCAGAGCTTGTGAGCCCTAAGCGTAAAAAAGGTGACTCACGAGTTGCATGCCACGACCAAGCAAAGCCCATTGTAAAGTTGCAAACGCATACACACACAAGCACAGCCAGGGCCAGCTGCTGTCTCGCTGGCTGCCCGCCGGTTCTCGGGCTTCCCCATTGCCAGCGCATGCTCTCGGAGCGCAAAGTGTGCCTGCCACAGGCAGCCGCTGATGGCATCTGACAAAGCAGCCGCTTGCTCCGGGCGTAAGATAAGATACATAGTACTACTCCATACTCGTATGTAAGATACAGCTTCTCTGCTTTCCGTCCTATTCCGGCATGTGGCTTGGACTGTTCAATTGTCTTTATTCTGGGGTCTTGTCCGTTTTTGTCCATGTTCTTTCTTTCTTTCGCCTGCTTTCTGGTTTCATGTCGTTTTATCGCCTTTTGTCCCATCTGTCTGTCCGGCACCCGCATGCCCGCATTGTGTAATTTGCCATGCCCTCCTCACCGACCGTCCATTGTTTGCTGTTCAGACCGCCTGCACGGCCTAGTGTGTCGCCGCCCAACCTTTTTTTAGGGACCGCTGGCTGCGAGCCCAAAGACCCTCTCTTCACGCGGACCCGCACGATCTCGCACATGCTTCCCGTCCTGCTCCGTCCTGCTAGCCATCATCCTCGCCCATTCACCGCCGGTCAGCCATGGGATACCATGTGTCTTACAGTGGGCTGCGCGTGCTCGACTCCGTACTCCGTACTCCGTACTCCGTACATAGTATCGTGCTCCGGGATGCCCTATTTGCCTGCCTGCCTGAAGGAGAAAAAGCACAGACTACGAGGCAACCCTGCTGTGCTGGCGAACGGATGCGCTCAGGCAGGAAGGCATGAACGGGCGCCGCCCGTCCGTTTCCGTTTTCCCTGACCGCCCCTTCCCTGCAACGTCTGGCTACCCCTACTACTACCGTATTCTGTAGAGCCGCTGCACCTGCAGGCGGCTTCCCCATAGAGCAGCGATATTCGCCCAAATGGCAGCCACACCAAAACGCTCCGTCCACATGCGACTATGCACACCCCCTCCCCTCCTGCCGTTTGTGCAGCGCCGCTGTGCGATAGCCGAACCGACTTCCCGGAAGAGTCTCGTTTTCTTCCCCGCGGTTGCTGGCCAGAGCGTCGAAATGTCTGCCCCCTTCTCACAACCCTGTCACCGAGCGCCGGTTGCCAGGGCCCCACGTAGTATTTCCATCCAGCAGGCGTCGTGTGGAATCCCATCTTTCCTGTTGGGGCAGGCAAACTTGCCGGACGAAACAGCACTCGGATATGCTCGCACAAAAAAATACACATAGTACAGCAAGATTACGGAGCAAGTGCGTATACGAGAACCAGAAATTCATGGTGAATACGATGCACAGGATATACGGGATACAAGTGCATTAGGACACGAAGCATGAAATACAATGTACAATGTACGAGGCCATGGCTCCGTGATACGGAGGGCAGCTTTGGTCGCGTCCATATGGAGTACAGAGTATTTTACTACATAGTATGTAATAGTATCATAGCCAGCAATTACAATCCTCATGTATCTGGAATTGTCTGCTGCCTCTAGTCCACATTTCCCCTCGCACTTGACAGGCTGGGTGCAGAGTTTTTTTTTTCACTTGCAAGGAAGCTTAAGCGCAGGAAAAGGGGCCGTCTCGTCGATCTAGGCCGTCAGACCCCTGCCCAATCGCCGGTGTTCTTCGGAGTTTGTCGCCGTCAGTTGCCATGAGCACGTCGCATCGTGTTCTGGTAACTGGCTTCCCTTTGCAGCGCCTTCGCCGGTTACTGCTTCCCTTCTGGCTCATTGCCCGACCAGGCGGAAAACACGGGCCCTTGCAAAATACGACTCTCTCCAACACGCACAGGCCGCCTACGGAGTGCGTTATCACGGAAGAGGAAAAGCAGACGAAGCAGGCAACGGCGCCAGGGTCTTCTAAATTCCTTCTACGCCGTACGGCAATGCTCGGGACCCGGCCTTTCTCCCGGCTCTTTCCCCTCTCCTCCAATCTTCCCTGTTGCTGTTTTGTTATCTTGTCCGTTTACTCGTATGTCGTGCTCTAGATGCGAGTACCACTCGTACCAAAAATCAGACAAGAGACTCACCATCCCATAACAAGGAGTTGTCATTGCACCCCTGTTCAGCCAGGCTGCCGCTCTTGTTCCCTACGACCTACTCCGTACTTCGTGTTGCCTCTCTGGCCATAGCACACAGATCCAGCTCTCTGTCTACAGTAAGATACGAGTACGGGGTGTTCGTAATCTCTCTCGGTCCGTGCTATCTCAATTTCAACCTAGTTTGGGTAAAAAAAGAAAACCGCTGGCTTGCCGTTCCGGAACGCTCCCGTGCGGGAGACCCTTTCTTCTCAGCGAAATTAGCCGAAAAATTGCGGCAGGCATTTCTCATACCCAGGTGAAAATTCTGGACATGTGGAGAAGGTGAGTCCCCGGGCCACGGGGAAGGCATCCGGCCCAGCCTCTGGTTCCGGGAGAGTGTTTCCCAGGGGAGGGCGTATAAAGCGTGTCTTGGTAAATTGCGCCTTCACAGAGTAGCAATGTCTGAATTGCGAGGAGGAGGGTCCGACCGACCAGACGGAAGGTTTTCGGCTACCCATCGAGTAACCGGTGGAATGGGTACAGAGTATGACAGATGCGGACTTGCCTGGACTCGGCCAGACTTGCCCATTGAAATTGCTCCACGAGGACGCGTCGCCGTATATTGCAGCACGTCGCAAGCATTGATGCCATTCGCGACGGTGGCGCATACGATGCAAGATACATACTATGTAGTAAGAGGCACTCGTTGGCTCGGCTTGACTTGCCCCGACAGCAGCTCTAGACTCGGTCACGCCGTCTTGGAAAGTTTGCTCTCGACCTCATCCACCCGAACACCTGGGCGCGCGTCCGGAGCGGTCTTGCTGTCCACATTGCGATGTGCACTGAGGCAGGGGCTCCCCAGCTGCCACACAGTCCACCTTCATTCCGACTGACAGAGCCTCGGGACCGGAATATGATCCGGGCTCTTCATTACGAACTCGAGCAAGAATTAGCGGGTTGGGCAATCGGGGTAGCGTAGCCGTTGTTACTATGTTCGGCCTCATCGCGAGCAGCCAGGTTGTCGGGAAATGATAGGGACAGCTCGAGCACCTTGTTGCGGAAAGGCGCAAGGCACGGATCCTGGAGAGGTCCATTGCGAGAGTAAGGATGCCCAACCGATCATTTCTTGTGTTCCCTGAAAGCCCAGTACTGCAGCCCGCCAATTTGGATGTGCCCACTTTTCTGCTCCCAGTTGAACGGGTTCTGGTATTCCTAGTACGAGTACGAGTAGAAAAGGGGGGAGGGAAGTCAAACTGCAAGGGGATTGATTGATGCCTGTCGTTTTCCTGCGTGTGGGTATCTTGCACCGCAATTTAAAAAGACAGGCATCAAAACGGAGACAGGGTTCTTCTCTCCCCGGGCGCTGCCATACACGTTACTCGTACTCTCAACAGTAACATAGCTCGTACTCCGTAGTTACGGATGCGAGTATCCGTAGAGGCCATCCCACGCGTCTGGCACCCGAAAGCCCTCACTTCAGATTGACCCTCGCCCACAGGGGCCGTCTTTCCAGAAGCGCGTGGGGGAGGGGGGCCCCTCTGTCTCCTTCTCACTTCGGTCATCTCCATGCTGTGGAGGTCGCTGGCCGGACTGGAAAGCCTCTGTCCCGTGGCGACGGGTTATCATGGCGCACTTCAAAGTGGCTCTTCTCAGGGTCTCGCGGCCTCCCACCAGGCACTTTGGGGAAGCTCCACCCTCTGCTCTGCCACCATGACCAGACAGTGGCTTCGCGGGCGGCGATGCTCCAGACCACACGTGGCTATCGTGTGAAGGAGTGAGCGATCGATAAACGGTAAGCTAATCCATACTTTCCTTTTTGTCTTTGTTTCTGTTTTTGCACCTTCCGTATCGGAACCGCATGCCTTCACCGATCGGAATGTGTCCATAAATGCGCGACACAGCCCCAAAGTCGATAGCAGATCCCTGCTTTTCCATCTCACATGCAAACCAGCCATTGTGTCCCAAACATGATAACGTGACCAGAAACAACGTGCTCGGGCATCTGTTCATCCCGCGGCCGGTCATCGCCTGTTGTCCGCCCCGCCGTGTGCTCTGTTCGCTCGTCTGCCCGCTCAAGCACCTGTATCTCGTAGCACAGCGAAACGTCGATGCACGTGTTTTAGGCAGTCCCTCAGCTGCCAGGTCTGCAACGATAAGCCCCCGCGCGAATGTGCGGGGGTCTGCCAGCTTCAACTACTATGTAAGATACGGAGTCTTCCGTACGATACTTGTATCTTACGAATGGCTACGGGGCATGCAGCCAGGTTGATCTCCTAGTCATGCTCTGTACTCGTGCACGGTTGTGAGAGTGCTCGTATGTTAGACGCAGGACTGACGACATGTCCTGTCCCCGTCTCATCCGTATGCGATGGGAATATTTTTATGCACGAAATCGATGTGGACAAGAGCTCCGTAGTTCTCGGATAGCTCTCGGCTTGATTCTATAATAAACGCATTACCAGCGCGCCATATAGTCGATTGAAGGCACAAAGTCACTCATCATTCGTATTACCAATCATTGTCAATACGCAGTAAACAGCCGTTTAGTCATACTCGTAATCAGGGACACGTTTGCCGTCTCCTGTTCAAGGAGAGCCAGTCGCCTTTCTAATCGGTCGAGCACAATTTCATCCAATGGGATGGTCGAGAAGTCTGGTGTGTCTTACGAGTGCAAGCCTCTTTCGCAATGTGGAAGAACGGTGACATTCTGTGATTGCGATTGGCTGGTTGAGCTGTTTTAAGCATCCAATGACGCGGCTCATCGCCTTTCCCACCGGAAGTCCTCTGCATACGAGTACGGAGTACAGCGGCTCTCTTTTTCTTTTTCTATGCGCAGTTTGCGCGGCCGTTTCGTTCCGTATCTTACTGCTGTTGCCAGGGAGAAACATCAGTCTGTTTGAACTCCGATTCGCAGTCTCCAGCACGCAGTCATGCCACGCCTCGTATTGACCAATATCCTTCTTTCCTCACTTCGCCGGACAGCTTGACGCTGACAGTCACAATACGGAGCGCTGTCCCAGTAATCGTCGGGTATGTCACTCATCGGCTCTGCGTCGTACTCACTTGCTTATGCAGGTGCGTGCCCAAATATAACGAGATCGCAAATGGGGTGTAGTTCTGGTCACATACAACCTGTGGTAAGATAGCTGCACTACCACCAGGCCAATTCGTCACATCTTCGGTTTTCAACCAGTCAGAGGGATGGATTAAAATAGACGCAAGCACTTGTCAACCAAGTGTGGGCGGCATTTCTACGAGTACATCACACGTCCCCAACAGCTTGCATTGCGCATACGCAGGCGATTTGCATCTGGTCGTCTATCTCATTCGTCGGCTTTCTTGGCTAAAATCTGGCAACTTGGGACCAACTCCGCAAAACAAGCGCCGCATACTGCAGGTGGAAGTACGGAGTAACATAGGAGCCTATCAAGAGGTGCATGAGGTGTCCATAATAGTAAAACTCTGCAATTGTGTGATTTCCCTCTGGCGAGAAGCGGCCTTCGAGACATCCTAATCAGGGAACCTTATAGAGAGCGGCGCAGTTGGCGGACAAAGCGTACCAATTGGTGCAGCATGTGGCAGTATATTGTATAGAGGTCTTCTATTATTGCTATCACGATAGCAATATGTGAAAGGAGCTTAGCTTGTAGAGACCGAGCAGCCCTTTTCGAGTAATTTCGACACCAGCTTTTCCCATTTTCCGTACGCAGACCGTTATTCCTCGTAACAAGTCAAGTAACGTCCAGTCTAGGATATATATGAATTCATTGCTCCGTACTCCGTATAAAATTCGAGACAGTTAGCCCGGTGTAACAATCGGCGTATATTAACCAATGTTAGCTATAGCCATGATACAAACAGTAGATACGTGCATAAGATGTCTCGTAAAAGAGTTGTAAGGAATAGCATCTTTAGCAAAAAGAAAGTGCGATCTCAGATATTGATTCGCTCACGTTAAACTGTCGAGTAGACACCAGTTTGTACGAATTGGGAGCACAAATGAACAACCTTGTTTCTCATTGTCCAGACGGTAGGTTTGTGTAAGGCATGATACACGAAACTCCGGACAGAATACGGGGTCCTTATTGTCATCTGCCTCTCGTGCTCGCAGGCCTGCTTTAGAACTGGGGAGAGTTCCCGTTACGTCGAGCATTATCGTCCACCATTAGCACAACAAGTTCATGTCCAGACACGCAGCCGATTACTCCCGACGGCGAAATGTATATAGATTGCTCTCAATAGCAGTAAAATTGTTCAAGTACCACTCGAGAAATGAACTCCATCAAATATCTACGAACCGTGGTCAGAGAAGAAGAACCGATGAAACGCCATGCCCTGCTAGAATAAGAGAGAAACGAGTAGATAACGAGAGGAACAAGAAAAGCAAGAAAAAGGCCAAGAAAAGAACCAAAATCCACAAGAGGGACGACATCCCCAGCCACACGACCGTTGTGCCTTAGCTCCGTAGCGACTCAAGCCGGTTGCGCATCTGGTTCATCATGGCCTCAGAGTCCTCCTCGTCCTCGTCCTCGTCCTCCTCCATGGCCGATGGACCACCGGCAGCCATGGCGACGGGCTTGGCACGAGCAGCCTGGGCGGGGACAGCGGCAGCGACGGGCGGCACGGCGGCCGAGGCGGGCATGGCGGGCATCTGGCCGGTGGTGGCCATGCGGTCCTTGAGAATCTCGCCGAGAACCTTGTCGACCTCGGAGTCGGCCTCGACATCCTCGTCCTCGAGCAGCATGTCGCCATCCTCGGGCAGGATGTCGTTGGTCATCTCCTCGACGATGCCGGCCTTCATCAGCTCGACGCTCAGCGCCTGCATCGTGCCGGCCAGTTCGGGCAGGCGGATCAGGCTGTTGACGTCGTGCATGATCCCGACGCTGGCGCGGATGGAGCCCTCGATCTTGCGCATGGCAAAGGCCTCGCTGACCTGCAGCTGGACGCTGTTGAGCTGCGCCCGGCCCGTCACGAGGCGCGCGCTGGACCGCCGCGCCCGGATGAGCTCGCGGGCAAAGTCACGCACTTCGCGCTGGGCCTGCTTCGCGCGCGAGGGGTCGCGGTGCGCCCGCCGGTCGGCCTGCAAAATCAGGTTCTTGGCCTGCAGCTCGGCACGCTTCGCATTGGCAATGTCGCGGTCGAGCTTGCGGATGTTGGAGCGCAGCAGCACGTTGCACTTGCGCAGCTGCAAACAGCCACACGGGCCTGCATGTCAGCACAGAAGCCGGACGCGAGGCAAGCAGGCGCGAGCCCTGGAGAGAGAACCGACCTGCGCTTGAGGATCGGGCTTGACGAAGAGCGCCTTGAGCGACTCCATCGTGGTGACGCGTGTGGGAGAGTGTGTCGACGCTTTCGGTATATATGCCCGCTATCTGGCTGCGGGCAGTCAACTAGTGGTGGCAAGGCGCGGTTCGGGACTGGTGCTGCCGCCACACAGAGATCTTGGTTGGGTCGTCGTTTTCTCTTTCCGACGGCTGCCTGCGATCATGAGGTCGGGGAGACAGAGTGTAACGCACGGCCGCGGCTCTGAGAATGCAAAAAAAACTAAAAAAAACTGCCTCACATCAAGAGCCGGCGTGTCCGGCGTATGGTTTATCGCAAAGAGAGGCAGGTCGGGGCGACAGGTGTTGGGTCGTATGAACCTGTGCTGTCGTCTTGTGTTTCGCTGCTACACATTGCAATTACGACCCCATGAAGTTGACGCCTGTGGCACGTGGAGATAAGTGTTATCAGCCACCTTCGCCCCAGCACCAACATGTCGTACTTTGGACCAATCAGATCTGCCTCACAGTAACCAACTTAGCTGCTTACTCGTACATACGCGTTGACGCCCCTCTCACACGGCCGTTATCGTGTCGGGAAAGAACGACCGCTCCTTGCCATTCCTGGCAACCAGACCACCTCCTCTACGCGGTTAGGTCGATTGATAATGGCAGCCTTGCGGTGCCAGAGGCCAGACAATGGCCGTGGCGCATGGCGCCTCGGTTGTTGGATCCCTGAGCCCTTGTTTCGTCCGGCGCAAGATAAAACTGCATTTGTCCCATCGCCCCCGGCCAGCTGGATGCTTTTGCGGGGCAGCAATAAGAGACACCGGAGAACTTGGGAGATATGGGCGACCGCTAACCGCACTGTGGAGCAGGGCGCCTTCTTCGCCCCTCCTGCCCCCTCTCCATTGCGCAGGGCAGGAGCCTTCTGGATGCCGCGTCTGCTTGTCCAAAGCGAAAAAGACTCGTGCCTGCTCGATCGTTCCCTCTAGGCTGCTGCGCACTCCATCATCCTCGGCCAGCGATCGGCGCCGGCATTGCGCTCTGCCCTGCTCGCTGTCCTGTCCCAGATCAAAGGCGGGGTTTGTCCGTATCCATTACATCTAGCCTTGGCCAGACTCCGTGCTCGTACTGTGCTGCAGCACCTGTCTGCCTAGCAATTCCGTGTGGTTCGCTGGCTTGGAACAGCCCAGCCGCTGTATCTTTGCGGTTCCTTTAGCTTCCACCAGCCCCAGAGAAGAAAATCAAATGGGCCAGAAACCGAATAAATACAACGGGTCCACCATAGCAAACGTTGAAAAATCCACAGCCGCCTCACCATTGTTCTTTTCAGTAAGAGATAATTCGCTCCCTCCCACCCTTCCTCCCTTGTTCATTTGAGCATAAATATCATTTTTTGACATCTGCGAAAAATCTGACGACGAGGCCAGATCAATAAGGACCAAACATCTCCCCATCCTAACAGCTTCCGAGAATTTGTCCGCCAGCTTGACTAACAAGCTACACATCATGTCTGAGACTTACACCCCCGAAGGTGAGCAAGTGATGCAACTGCTACCCGGCGTCTTGCTTGGACCGTCGAGTCTTGCGGCGTAGTCGCTAATCTTGTCATACAGTTCTCTGGGCCCAGCGCTCGTCCACGGTCGACGCCTCCAAGAACTTCATCTACCTGACCATCATCGTCCCCGATGTGCCCAAGGACAAGTTCCAGCTGGAGTTGAAGCCTACCGGTCTGACCTTCACCGGCTACTCGAACACACTGAAGCGGACGTACCACCTTGCTCTGGAACTCTACGGCGAGATCGATGAGGCTGCCAGCCAGGTCAACCACACAAACCGTGACGTATCGCTGAAGCTTATCAAGAAGGAACTGAAGGAGGAGTACTGGCCACGGCTGCTCAAGGAGTCTAAGAAACTGCATTTCCTCAAGACTGATTTCGACAAGTGGGTCGACGAGGATGAGCAGAACGAGGCTGCCGACGAGGATTTCTCCAACTTTGGCGGTATGCCCGGCGGCATGGGCGGTGGCATGCCCGGTATGGGTGGAATGGGCGGCATGGGCGGCATGGGCGGCATGGGCGGTATGGGCGGTATGGGTACGTGATTTTCTGTCCAAAGACGAACAGTTTCAACCCTCCCCTCTCCCCTCCTCCCCTCCTAAACTTGGGGGTTTACCGCTAACTTTTGAAACAGGCGGAATGCCAGGTATGGGTGGTATGTCATGACTAACGCTTTGCTACTTTCTTTGTATACACCCTTGCGGTTGATCTCTTGCTAACATGTGCAGGTGACTTTGGCGGCATCGACTTCTCCAAGCTGGGCGGCGGCAGCGGAGATCTTCCCGACGACGAGGATGACGAGGATGATATGCCCGCCCTGGAGGGTGAGGAGGAGGAGGCCGATGAGGAAATCACCCCAGACGCCAAGGCAACAGAGGGTGCGGTGAAGGCCACGGAGGCATAAAGCATCGGAAGCCAAGTCAAGCTGAACTTTGATTGAACGATAAGGTCACGAGACAAGCGGCATCCCAGTCAACATACGAATGGGCTTCCATGTCGGAATCCAATTTACGCCTTCGTGCTCGTTTTTCTCGCTTGTACAATTGCAACGGAGAGTAAACGGTGTTTTGACCTGTAGCGAGGCAAAGAACGGAAAGAAAAGCAGGATCATAGCTTCTATAAATTAGATGCCACTACGGAATGGAGCCTGTAGAAATGGACAATGGGACTGATCAAACCCTTTTCGGCGGAGTGACATGTCAACCGTAGACGATGACTGGGCAGCAGGCCATACCAAGTTTCATATGGTTCGCATATTTAGTTAGCATCATCATCAGCCTTGGGTTGCTTTTAACGCTTGGCACAATCACAGCGATCGTATCTTCACTTGTATTTGCGGATGGCGAAAGGTTGAGTAACCGAAAAGCTGACCACATATAATAATATTAAAGAGTAAAACCCAACATACGACTTAAAAAGCAATACCACAACCATTCTAGTTCGTCGTTAATCCGCACTCCGCCTGCATATCCTCCACAAAAAAACCCAACCGCAACTCATCCATTCCGAGTCGATTGCCGATGAGCATAATTACATAATCTCATCGTCCATTGGGGCGTCGCCGTTGGCAGCGGGAGCAGGAGCTGCTGCACCATTGGCTGCTGCAGGAGCGGCGCCGTTGGCATTTGCGCTCGCACCGTCGAAGTAGTCAGCCATCTCCGAATCGAGCTCCTCGGCGGTCTTCTTCGCAGGTCGGCTGTTGCGAGCACGGCGTGCGGGCTTCTTTGCGCCGCCCTTCGCGTTGGTGGCATTCTTTGCCGCAGTCTTGTCCGATGCCGCAGACTTTGGCTGCGGCTTGGGCTGCGAAATGCGCTGGCCCAGCGGCTTCGGCTTCGGAATGAGCTCCGCCTTTGCAACCACGACCTCCACCTGTTAGGACAGCAGTTAGCACGCCAATCATTGATCAAACAGCCACGCATAATCCTCCACCTGTTCCTTACCTTCACAGGCCGGTTGTCGATAAGAAGACCGTTCAGTTCGGTAAAGGCCTTGCTTGCGCCATCGGCATGGTGGAAGATGACCGTGGCAATACCGCGGCTAACACCACCGGGGCCATAGGACAGCTCGACTCTCTTGACTTGGCCGACAGCCTGGTTGAAGTAATCCTAATGATGTGAGGTTGGTCAGCTGTTCCAGAAAAATATAAGCAAGCCGATATCGCCACGTCGAATCCGAAATCGTCCATTGTGCAAGACGCAACCCGCGCGGTCGCATCATTCTGACAAAGGGACAGTCCGGTAGCCCCGACAAAGGCGAGCGAGCAGAGCACAGCAAAGCAGTGAGCGCAGATAGGCGAAGCCGATCATACCCCCCTCCCACAAACAACGGTCGGAGCCATGCTATCCCATCGCACCTCACATGCGTACAACAACGTAATCCCAAGTGAACACCACCATTCTTCCCAGAGCCTTTCGTTTTTGAAACAACACAAACGTCCATTTCTGAACGTCTCTCAGTGTTTCAGAAAAGCCGTGTCATCCATCGAAATGACGCTTGTCTTCTCTCCAGAGTCGCTATCACGCTGGATCTGAAAAGAAAACAGGTTCCATCCTGGACATCTCGGCCAACCCCATTATGGATCCGTGGTAACGATGGTACTCTGTGATGACACTGGGACCGTTGGGGACTTTATCCATTATCGTTTTTTTAAATCCCAGCTTCTGCGATTCACTGCTTTTGCTTGCTCTCTGGTAGCGATTCGCTTCCTGGTGACGAGCCAGGAATGGATCACGCTCAGCATCCATGTGGACTTTCTCATCGATATAGTGACAGCCCAGTGATTTCCACTAAATGCCAGCGCCGGATGAACCGTTCTCAACTGCTTGCCAGGCAACGAGGTGACTGGTATCCGATATTGTGCGCGGCTAGGATAATCAAATACTCAACTACCAGATAGTGCCAAAAGAGCCACAGTCATAACAGGAAGGAGTCTGGGTGTCTCGATGGTCCAGCTTTGGAGCTTGTGTTTGTGGATGTGGACGCGCGCGAAACATGGTTGGTATGCATCAGAGGCAACCCATCTTGACCATAAAGTACAACGATGGCGCCGGCTGACGGTGCGATAGAAATGTGCCGACAATCCAAGAGGCTTGAAAACCTCATCGGAAACATACCTTGATCTGGGCCTCGGACACATCCTTGGGCTGCAAAATCTGTCAGCTTTTGCCACAAATTAAGGCAACGGCTAGAGTTATGAGATGTTCTTACCAGGTTGCTGACCACAATCTTGCTTTCGCCAACAACGCCAGTCCCCTTCTTCGGTACGGCCTTAGTGGCGGCGCCACGGACAGGCTTCGTGCTCTTCTGGATGCCGCCAGCGGGTGCCGGCTTAGCAGGGCCGGATTCACGACGTGTTGACCGACGACGTCCAGCAGTGCGGCGCTGGGTCGAGAGAATCTCGTCAAGGGTCTGGTCAAGCTTTCCCGACATGTTGATGGATTGTGATGGCAAGTGGTGTGATGATTTAATTTCTTGATGTGATTGGTCTGCGATGGACGCAAACAGAGATGACACTTTTGAAAAGCAGGGTTAAAAGAGAAGTCAATGTTGACTTGTTTGTGGATTGAAACCGAGATTATTAGTTGTTGCCTTCGGATGCAAAGAGCGTACTCGAAGAGAATGTGAATTGCGCGACCGTCAAGCTATGTGTTTCGGCGGTTTGGGAAAGACCAGGCACGTTATACTCAGTGTTGAAACGGGCAACACGAATGATAACAAGACAGAGAATGGAGGATAGAAAATCCGGAGATGGTCAGTGGAGAGATTTGTTGGGCAAACAAACTTCAGAGATGAAAGGACGGAAGGGAGGAAGGAAAGAAAAGGGGAAGCAACGCGGTGCGCGAGGCAAGGCAACAGCAGGGAGGGAGAATTGTGCTGGCGCGAAAAATGGAGGTGGCGCTACGCATGACTCTTCGGTCTAGCCTCTTTTGGATGTCAGGGTCCAGCCAATAGCGGGTCGATTTGGCAAGCATCTTCCCAGCGCGGCTCTTCCAGGACGAGTTACCTTTTCACAGCTTTGTTGAGTAAGTTTCGAGAAATTTTCTAGTATACTCGTACTTACGGAGTATTGAGATGGAATGTACCGTACAAAAGAGGTTTCGCTATGTCCACACGTAAGCTTCAGTGAATCTTACGTGATTATTTAGGCATATTGTTCTTCACGCAGTTTCCACGCAATTTAAGACAAAAGAGCAAGCAGCTGCACATCTATTCATACATGGTCTTGCACTTCGCGCAACAACATCTTGTCGATGTAGGATAGTCAATACATATGATGCGATTCTTTCGGCGCATCGCCGCGCGCCCGGAGCGTATCTTTTCTAGTGTCTGATCGGCCTAGTGTTTGCGGTGCTCTTGAAGCGTTGTCGTGAAAGCGCATGGCACTGCCCCATTCATCGCTTCATTCGCAATTGTGCTCCCCAAGCATTGGAATCACCTTGAAGCTGTGACTTTCCCGGATGCTTGTGTTTGTGATGTCGTTTTCAAGAACTTTGTCGCAACCGAATCTTCGTCGTCGGCATTGACCTCGAGGAAATGGTAAACAACAATTAATACCATCGCCGAGCAGCCAAGAAAGATGGCAAGGCTATAGAGGTCGTTGTCCGAGATCATACTGCAAGACTGGAAGGGCGGCGACTTGTGGTGGGTATTGCTTTCAGAGCTCTGTAATCTGCGAGCGAAAGGTCCGTTAAGCAAGCTATGCCAGAGAGATTACAAACACACTTAGACCGAATGCAGTGGACCTACAGTCGAGAGAGACAATTGTGGTCACAGATAGAGAGCTGGCAGTGCGGTGATGGCGTTTCTTTCGAGCTGGTAGGGAAATCGTCGCAGTGACATGTGTCGTCTTGCTGTTCACTAGTCGAAACACCGTGGCATATAATCTCACTAGAGATGCAGCTCTCATTTACGCGTATACAAACCACGTGACATTGCACATACTCAGTCGGCGTCATTTTCCCACCAGAAAAAGCCCACAAAACCCCACACGGCACCGCCTTCACGCCCTACCAGAAAAATCACTGAAAAATCCAGCGCTCATCAACGGCTCGCTTCAACGACAAGACATAACGTCTTTTTGCGGCATCTCGACTTTACGGACTACAAACCGAGCTGTGGGATTGAGGAGCCAATTAGGGCCTCCGGTTTCCTTGTGCTATTTTCCTTGTTTTGTCCTCTACATTCATTTAGCGATCATGCCTCCGAAAGCACAAGGCAAAGGTGGGGTGGGAGGGAAGAACGCGGCGGCGACAAAGCAGGTGGAGGACCGGACTTTCGGCATGAAAAATAAGAAGGGTGCCGTGGCCAAGAAGCAGATCGCTGCCCTGGAGTCCCAGCTGAAGAGCGGCGGAAATGCGGAACAAAAGCGAAAAGAGGCCGAGAAGGCGGCACGAGAGCGGGAGAAGAAGGCTGCTGAAGATGCTAAGCGAGAAGCCGACATGCTCTTGAGCAGACCGGCGCAGGTGCAAAAGGTTCCCTTTGGCGTCGACCCCAAAACGGTGGTGTGCATATTTTTCAAGAAGGGCAACTGCGAGAAGGGAAAGAAGTGCAAGTTTTCCCACGACTTGGAGATGGAGCGCAAGGTTGAGAAGAAAAGTCTTTACACAGACACCCGTGGAGATGAGGAAGAGGAGAAGAAAGTGGAGACGTCGGCCGACTGGGACGAGGAAAAGCTCCGGTCAGTCGTTTTGTCGAAGAAGGGCAACCAGCGGACCTCTACCGACAAGGTGTGCAAATTCTTCATCGAGGCCATCGAGGATGGCAAATACGGTTGGTTCTGGGTCTGTCCGAACGGCGCAGACAAATGCATGTACAAGCATGCGCTACCACCAGGGTATGTGAAGAGAGTGTGCACGACGGTCTGCGAAATGCGGGTGCTTTTGCTAACAGTAATTCTTCCCGTCACAGCTTCGTGCTCAAGACCAAGGAGCAGCGGGCGGCCGAGAAGGCGCTGTTGGACAAGTCGCCACTCAAGACGCTGACCCTGGAAGAGTTTCTGGAGTCAGAACGCCACAAACTGACGGGGCCTTCGACCCCAGTAACACCGGAAACGTTTGCGAAATGGAAACAGGACCGCATGGACAAGAAGGCTGCGGAAGAGCAGGCGCGCAAGGCGAAGGAGGCAACCGGTCGTGCGCTGTTCGAAAGCGGAAACTGGCGCAAGGAAGAGGACGACGAATCCGAGTCAGAGGACGATGACGACGATGGCGACGACGACGCATGGAATCTCGAAAAGCTGCGCCGGGAGACCGAGGCGTTACGTCAGCAAAAGGAGGACGAACGCTTAGCTTTGCTTTACCAAGGCGGCGGCGTGGGCATCCCAGTGCCACCCAGCCAGGAATCTACGGAGGCCGCGGTGTCAGCTGACACATGAAAGCCGCCTCGTCCGGGGGCTGCTTGATAACCATTGGTTGTTGCATGGGAGGCACTCGTTGTTCTCTTGGTCCTGCTGAAGGCGCCAGACAAATCAAACTAAGCGCCGATTCGACTCTGGCCGAAGCCGGCTGGGTCAGCTTGAAGGGTTTAGGAGGACTCGTCATCGTTCCATCATACGAAGAAAAGCACGTATGCACGCTGCGCCTGGTGGCCTAATGACACTTGCATAGGGAAAGCTGCTAGGGGGAGGGCATATTTCTTCTGTTTTCTTGTATTAGACACGATGCCACAACAGAATGTCGGGGCACAGAAAAAAGGGGAGACAGGCCGGCCAATGCCTTCTCCCGGCAAAGAAAATATTCTAGCTACCGGCTAGAGAGAAGGTACAAATATCATATATTGGACAGTGACCAATTCGGATTGGCAGTTTTGGTTGTGAGATACACTGGCTGGCTGGCAACGCTGAGCCACACACTATAACTAAAACTTCTCCACGTACGGACGCAGATCAAGCTCCTGCGTGAAGCCGGACCGATGCTGGTTATGGAGGTGCCAGTACTCGTCGGCGATCTGGAGGATGAAGTTAGCAAGTTCTGTATTTATCTGGAGGAGTTCGGTTTTTTTTAAACCTACCGCATCGGGGCTCAGTTTTCCGTCTGGTGCACCATTGTTGACAGCGTAGGCCTTTGTACGCGGAATGTCGATGACGGCATCGATTATGACATGAGCGACGTGCACACCCTGGGGATGGAACTCCCGCGACAGCGACTGGGTGAGTCCGCGGACGGCGAACTTGCCGGCAGCAAAGGCACTGAACCGGGCGCTGCCGCGGTTAGACGCCGTGGCACCGGTGACGACCAGCGTCGGTGGGATAGGCGAGTCTGGCACGGATGCAAGCAGCAGTGGCAGCGCGCTCTGGGCAAAGAAGTAGAGCCCACGGCTGGGCTTGTCAGAAGACAGAAGACGAGGCAAAGCAGGAGGCGTTAGGCAGGTCAAACATACGGATTCACGGCCAGAGCCAGATCGAATGTCTCGATGGTCGTCTCCAGGAACGGAGTGCGATGGCCAAGGGCGCCGCTGGCATTGTACACAGCAGCCGCAAGACCACTTTTGGCAAATGGCTCCTCCTTCTTCAGCTGGACAAAGGCAGCCTCGACCGACTTCTGGTCCGTGACATCGGTGGAGATGCCAATGGCTGTTCCTCCAGCCTTCTCGATCTCTGCCACGATGCTTTGGTAGCTCTCCGGCTTGCGTGCCAGCAGCGCCACGGGATATTTCTTTGCAAATTTGAGGGCAACAGAGCGGCCGGTGCCAGCACCGACGCCAGCAATGACAGCATAAAACGTCTTGGGAGCCATGACAGCTGAATATGGTAAGATACACTAGAGAGATGGTTGATTTGTGTGTGTTATGTGGAATATGCTTTACTGCTCCGCTGGACGCCGGGACTGGGCAGCTTTATACATTATAAAGCCAAAGTCATCCCGAGGCTGTATTTGTGTATTAATAATGGTAAAGTGCCTGCCCGCATACGCCATCTCTTGTGCCATCCCGATCTGGTCTCGTTCTCAGATGGGCAAAGGTGGGGAGGGAGGCGGAGACTGGGACGTTCACATAATGCACGTGATGCATAGCTTAAAAGATGGTCCGTGCACATTGCTGTCTAATTCGAACGCGACAGAAAATAATGCGTGTCGACTAGACGCAAAAGACACAACAGCGGCGTTGCCGGCATTCTCAAAGAGGAGAGGAGGTAAGCCGTTAGAAGAGTGTCCAGAGGTACGCCTGTGCTTTCGCATCTTCAAAATCCAGCTATTTAAGGGGTGGGCACTGGCCGGGCTACCAGAATACCAGGTGAGCTGACGGCATCAACTGTCTCACGGACGTTGACACGGGCGCGTTGGCCTTGCAGCAAGGCTCCAGTTCTCCATTGATTGGAGCCCTGGGCCTTTCTTGACGCATTTGGCTGTCTGGGATACAACCTGCTGCCGTCTGGCCGCGCCCTATGCCGATCGGCGCCAGGATGTCCAGGATGTCCAGCACGCTTGATATGTGGTTGGGGCGAGCACGAAACGGGCTGGGCCTGACTCGCCTTTCTGAAGCCCCCCAAGTCGAAGCTCCTCAGCCAGACGGCGAGGAGGAGGACCACCAGCTTGCTGTCTCGCAGCAGCTTCTCGGCTCGCAGTCACGTCCGCAACATGATCAGTCTCGGCTGCCTGGTAGCCCTGTCATGACTTCTCGTCCGATGTCTTCATTCGTGGCCAGCGGCCAAAGTGCAGTCCATGCACAGACATACGTGAAAGTCAAAATCCCCCCTTTACATTCGAGGCCACTACAATCTCAGATCAAACACTACAACCTCTCTTCGGAGCACAAACAACGGGATACACCAAAGCAGAACATGGCGACCGAGTCAAAAGTGAAAGCAGCTGCGCGGTCCTATGAGGACGAGCTGGACACATATCCTCTTCCCCAGGTCATGTCTGATCTCGACACAAGATACCCGGGTCAGAGCACGAACTCGGGGCTAGCACAACGGGCTCCAGCCGGGACGCCCCTGTCCGTGACGAGATTCACACCACCACAGAAAAGCAGCGGCAGCCACAGCGGAGCAATAGCGGAAAACCTACTGGTGGTGGGCATTCCGGCCACCCCGAAAGCACCGGTGCCGCTCACTGCGACAGGTCGAAGTCCCTTTACAGTATCGATTCCGCCGCTGTCAGCAGAACGCCTCAGAGAATTACCGAAACCGTCGTCGCCTGTAGTTGCCGTGGGCCGCCGCACTAACACGGTGGACAACAATAACTCCCGCATACGAGGCGGCCGGCCCAAGGGCTGGAGGCCGGGCATGTCATATAGAGAGGTGGCGCTGCGCAATCTGGGTGTTGACGGTGACGCGACCTCAACCGTGCTCCTCACGCCACAGAAGAAGTCGAAAGACCCAGCACACCGAATGCCGAGACAGCGCAGGATCGCGGGCAGCCAGAAGCCGAACTACGTGCTGAAGCGGAAAGGACGGCCACCGCTGCTGTCGATCGAGGCGGTGCAGCGGTCCATCTTTCTCAACAGCAAGGCGGTCTTCAGGCCCTTTCTGTGCGAGTGGGCCGGGTGCCGGGCTGAGCTGCAAAACATGGCGACGCTGCGAAAGCACGTGGTCGTAGTCCATGGGCGGGCAGCTAAGTGCTGCTGGCGGAAGTGTGCGGAACGGACGATGCCGCCGGCCTTACCTACGACTGGAGCAGGTGGCGAGGGCGAGACCCTGATGGAACACATCGAGTACAACCACTTGGCCCCGGCTGAATGGCACCAGGGCGACGGGTTTGCCAATAGCGGCTGCCTGGGTCCGCCGGCACTCAGGATAGGAGCCAGAGCAGAGGATGGCGGCCCGGGCCATCTCGCCACGGTACACCTGCCACGGTATCTACTCGACGAAGAGGGCAACCAAGTGACACCGCTATTGCAAGACCCGCTGCTGGAGCCGGCGGCGTTATCGCGGTCTAGGGCAGAGACGATGCGGCGGCTGCAGGATGCGTATCGACAAATCCGGCGACAGCGGGGCCCATAGGCCAAGTCGGGGGCGTCTGGGGACGATCTCTGCTGGAGCGAGCGCAGTAAGATAGGACAGGATATGATACGAAACAAATGTACGACTAAGACAGCAAATACGGAGCAAGATACAATGCAACGCAATTTCAATGTCTTTGGTCAGAGCCGAGTTCTCCGTGCTGTCCCACGACTTATGGAGACAAACTGCATAGCGGCCCTAATTAGGCATAGCCAACTCGCTAGGATCATCGCGCAACAGGCACGCGGAGACAGAATGAAGTCGAAAGTGGCGAGTACGAGTACGACGTAAGAACGAGTATGGCGGCTCCGCACATTGCGCATGACAGGTCGTCCGGAAAGCAGCCATTTGCCAGACGTACGAGTGTGGCCACTGCCCCTGTCCTGGCTGACTTGGGGTCGCCTAGAACACAAGGCTCCGCTTGGATCGGCAAGCTACTTTCCGGTAATGCGGTCCGCGCATAAAATGCAACTTATCGCGATAACCAACGAGACCATCACTGTCCTCGTTGAGCCGATGTCAAGGCCGGGCACTAAACATATTACAAAATAGAATATGTATCGTGCTCGCACTCATCCCACTCTTCTTGGCAGTGGGAAAGGTGTGCAAACTGACGTCATCCCGTCGAGGCTGTGCACTGAGAGGCATTTTCCGGACGATTCTACCGTGCTGGGAATCAAACCCGCACTCGACTAGATAGTGCTCCGTAAATCGATTTGTCAGCCGATCATGCGCGGCCACAACCGGACACGGCGGCTTACTCCCATAGGAATGCTAGACTTATGCTTGACCGAGACAGGGCATTCCGCGTTGGGAAAGTGCGCCAAAACGTACCCTACTACGGAGTATGTATGCTCCTAACAAAGCAAATCGAGGGGGAAACACGTGGTGGAAAGCTGCTAGAAAGCCGACAGCATAGAAATGCTAAAACTGCCTCAAAAGCACACCATCGCCTCTTAGGGGATATAGCAAGGGAATGGGGGGGAAGCGGGAGGGAGAGCGATAGGATAGCGCGCTTGAAAAAGCTTGGCTCGCTGACCGAAAAAAGGAGTTGGGGTACGGAGTCGGAGTGATTGGCGCAGCATTTTTTTCACAGGTCGTCGGCCTTTGCTGTTCGTAAGATACATACTCCGTACGAGTTAAGATACTACATTTTTGCCCGCTGTGGCCATTACGCGTACAAGGCAGCAGCGGGCCAGACGGGTTCTCTTGCTCACTAAGCGGACAGCAGACTCGTATCCATCCGCTAGCCGACAACGTATCGATATTTTTAAATTTACGGGGTATAATTTCTTCATCCTCAGCTCTCTGCACAGAGCGTGCAGCGCAGATAGCTGAGATCCCGAGCGTTCTCCTGACAGTAGTTCGTATTCGTAAGATACGTAAGACGTCCGCCGCCTCCTTTCCAACGTCCTTCTGTCGCTCAGCCCGGGTATCTTTCGCTTTTGTGCTCCTTTTCGCTCTAGGCCCCGTCCAAGAGGCGCTAGCAGGAGCCGGGCTACATAGTAGGCTTGGCTCATCGTGTTGCTGCCTCAGGCCACAGACAAACTACAACTGTACTCCATAACCTGCCATGCAAGTGGACCCCGGTCCCCTAATCTTTTGTCTCCTCTCTGGCCGGCCCTGACAATATCACCACCAGCGCCTCCCAGCACTGGTTCGCCCTTGTTCGCTACTATCTCCACAGCCACAACCGGCAACTACTACTAACTACTGGCTCCGCCGTCTCTCCTCTCCCCTTCTTTCTCCTTCCCTTCTCCTCCTGCCAGAAGCTACCGTGTACGACAGTGTTTGTCAAATCCCGTGTCTCTTCCGAAAAGACGAATCACCGACTCAATCCCCAAGGCCAGACCATTGTCCACGCGAACAGTACCAAAAACTTGTTGTTGTCCAAAGGGAGCTCGGTTCGACCCCCTTGACATACTCTTTTCGGTCGTCTGCAGCACCGCCGATACCCGTGCCACCCTCCTCTCCGTTCCTGTCTGTGTCCGACCGTCTTTCTTCTTGCAACTCTGGCGCGCACGTCATGGCCGCGGCGTTATGAACACGGCGCCCCTTCCACAATGCCGTCTCTAAATATCAAGTCCGTTCATGGCGGCAGCAACAGTGCCAATAGCAGCAGCAGCAATGGTGGAAACAGTCATTTCCCTCAGAAGCTCAAGAATTTTTTCCGCATCAACAACTTCTCGTCCGAGCACGGCCACAACGAAAAAAACGTACACGAGAGGAGTGAAAAGGGGGACCGCAGCGACAAGAGCGAAAAGTCGGACAAGGGCACGTCCTTCCGACAGTCCAAGTTCTTCTCTGTCGGCCGCCTGCGATCGACCACCGTCGCCAGCGAGGGCAACCCCCTGGAAGAGGCCTTGAGCCCTACCGTGCTCGCGAACCCCTACTTTGCCCACCAGGGCCAGCCGGGTATCCGCCACCATAATGAGGGGTCGGAGCCGCCAAGCCCGCCAGAGTCCCCGCAGGTGACAGCGCTGGCGAACGGGGCCAGCAGCCCGTTGGGGCCGGGGGCCACAAACGGCGACCGGGCTACGGCGGCCTCCAAGGAAGAACTGGCCCGCAAGCTGCGGCGCGTAGCCAGTGCTCCCAACGCACAGGGCTTGTTCCACAAGGGCACCAGTCATGGCCCTTCTTCGCTAGGGCCGAACGCCAACAAGGACAGTTCTGAGCGTCCAGTCACGGCTGAGCTCGGCAAGGAGCCTGTCCTGACGAACAAAACCGGCAGCACCGTCGGATTGCAGGCGGCCATCAGCAACGGCTCCGTCGACAGCAGCACTGATGCTGCCTACAACGGTATGATGCTGGGCACGATGAGCGACATTGACGAGCTCAGTGCTCTCCCACCGCCGGGCCGCTCTCCACTCACCTTCCGGCGGACGTACAGCTCCAACTCGATCAAGGTGCGCGACGTCGAAGTTGGCCCCCAGAGCTTTGACAAGATCAAGCTCATCGGAAAGGGCGACGTCGGCAAGGTCTATCTGGTGCGCGAGAAGAAGAGCGCGCGGCTCTACGCTATGAAAGGTGTGTTTCTGTGCTTGCTGTGCTGTCTGCTGCTGCCAACTAAAACTCTCCCCGCCTGCTTACTATTGCTAACTCGATTGCAGTTCTGAGCAAGAAGGAAATGATCAAGCGCAACAAGATCAAGCGGGCCTTGGCTGAGCAGGAGATCCTGGCCACGAGCAACCACCCGTTCATCGTGACGCTCTACCACTCCTTCCAGTCCGAGGATTACCTGTACCTGTGCATGGAGTACTGTAGCGGCGGAGAATTTTTCCGCGCACTGCAGACGCGCCCTGGCAAGTGCATTCCCGAGGACGACGCTCGCTTCTACGCTGCCGAGGTCACAGCGGCCCTCGAGTATCTGCACCTGATGGGCTTCATCTACCGTGATCTGAAGCCAGAGAGTACGTACCAATTACCGAGAGGAAGATGTAGCTGTTCCTGACGCTGTTCACAGACATTCTCTTGCACCAGTCCGGTCACATTATGCTTTCCGACTTTGACCTGTCGAAGCAGTCCGACTCGGGCGGCAAGCCGACGATGATTGTCGGCAAGAATGGCGCAAGCACGTCGTCGCTGCCAACCATTGACACCAAATCGTGCATTGCCAATTTCCGCACCAACTCATTTGTCGGCACGGAGGAATACATTGCACCCGAGGTCATCAAGGGCAGCGGTCACACCAGTGCTGTTGATTGGTGGACGCTGGGCATTCTGATCTACGAGATGCTTTACGGGACAACGCCTTTTAAGGGCAAGAACCGCAATGCCACGTTTGCTAATATCTTGCGGGAGGAGATTCCATTCCCAGACCACTCAAGCGCACCCCAGATTTCCAAGTAAGTTTGTTTCTCTTGCTACCTCTCCACGAATGCCTGCCGGGTGCTAATACGTGCGTCTCAGTCTTTGTAAATCCCTGATCCGAAAACTGCTCATCAAGGATGAGAACCGCCGACTGGGAGCGCGGGCTGGTGCCTCTGACATTAAGGCACACCCGTTCTTCCGCACGACGCAATGGGCACTGATTAGGCACATGAAGCCACCGATTGTGCCGCACCAGGGCAAGGACATTGACACGGTCAATTTCCGCAACGTCAAGGAGAGCGAGAGTGTGGACATCAGCGGGTCGCGGCCTATGAAGGGCGTCCCACTCGAAAGCAGCTTAGCGACGCCGGGAGGCGAGCTAGTTGATCCGTTTGAGGAATTCAACAGCGTGACCTTGCATCACGACGGAGACGACGACCCGGGTTACTCATAGTAAATCTGGGTCCGAGGGAGGGGGGGAGAGGAAGAAGGATGAAAGCGTTTCTGATATGGCGCGAGTTTGGCATATACGGCACATGCTTTTGTCTTATTATAAATGATGCTCTCTCATTTGAGGTGAGGGCTGCGGCCCTCGGTATCAGGTGTTCTGTTTTCGTCCTTTACTTTTCTTTTTTATGGCTCATCTTGAATCTGGTTGACTGAACGGGAAGAGGCAGAAAACGCAGGCAGAAAACGAGGATACCACTGAATTGACGGCATATAAGATGTATGCTTCGTTTTGCACAAGCATCCGACCAGCATTTCAATAGCAAAATGTGATCCTATGTGGCAAGCTGGTTGCCAGTAGCGAGATTCCTGGACACCCTAATCAGTCCGCCGATTCTCTTTGAGAGTCCCGATTTGACCCTTGCCCTACATATCAATTGCAACCACATCCAGTGTGGCTGAGCAGCCTATCGCGTGATCTAGAGATGGATGGTTGCATAGGAAAGGCTGTAAGGTGCCAGGCTAGCCAACGTGTCTGGCCTGTCAGTGAGGGTTGCGCCTTCCGCAAGGCTTCTCCCACGCGAGCGTCGGAAAGGGAAGGAGCTATGCCCAGCCTTCCTTTTTGAAATCCACTATTACATGTTCTGCTGAAAAGGGAATGGGCGTAGGAACCTTTGCCCAGCAGGTCGGAGAGGTTCTTCTTTGGCAAGGGAAGGTATAATGGCCTTGTCTCGTTGCAGATGTAGATGGCTGTCTTGGCCTTCATTTGTTCCACACTTTTCGTTTTCTGCAACTCGACGTTGGTGTATACATTGTCCACCGATCTTCCTCCCCTGATGGAGCCCTTTCTCGCAGATTCGGCATCGTCCGTCGAGGCCAGCCAGTCCAGCCTGACTCGGGTCACCTATCTAGGAGGCATACTGATGCCTTTCTCTGTCGTGGCCGCCGTCTTGTCCATGGAATCTCCGTTTGGGCCGGGAAACAAGCTTTTCTGGGTGTTCTGGACCGCCAGCATTGCACTTATGACTCTCACCCTGATTGCCATATACGCTGACGACATCCGCCGGCTCGAGGTTTGGGTGGAGGTTGCGGCCGACAACCTGCAAGAGGCCATTGGCACAGATGAGAGCGTCCACGTGGGTACCGGCGCTTCGTCTCGGCCGGCATCCGCAGAAAAGGTTCCTGCCGGTCGGCATATGGGGGTCAGAGGCCCCCAAAACACAGACGGCCTCAACGACTGCGTCGTGACCCGCGTCCGCGTGGCCACTGGCAATTCCAAGCCCGACCGCGGCTTTCTGCCATTTCACAAGCTGTCTGAGGTCACAGCGGAGCCGAACAGAACGACCGGAGCATCTGCAGACGCCTCGACGTCTGTTGTTGTCGATGACGATGTGCAGGAGATCGTGATCGAGATGGTGAGCGCACACAGACGACGCCGGTTTCGTATCGTCGATCCTCTGGGCGGCGACGGCAGGCGGCCGTCTGCAGAACCATCGGTGCCGGCTGGTCTTGGCGCTGCGGACGCAGAAGAGAGTGTCGTCATTGATATGCGCGAGGGTGGTCACAGCTCTAGCCCGCCCCAGCCTCTGTCTCCGTACAGTCACTACGGTGCGAGACTACAACACATTCCCCGACCGCCGGGTCCACCCAGCTATGTCTTGGAGCGACCAGTGGACGGCTCTCAGCCCAAGGCGTGGCGACGGCAACAGCTCGGCTGGCTAGGCGCGGCCAGGACTATTGTGGGTTACAAAAAGCTACACAGAGCTCAGGATATCCCCATAGGTTCAGCAGCCGTGGAGAGGATGCGGGAAAGGAACAGAAACGAGGACAGCTACGGGGCTAAGATAATGATGACAGGGACAACTACACAATAATGCTGTGGGAAAGAGTTCCTGCCGAAACGATCGGATGAACGGATGACCAGATGACCATGGTGTCTATTCAAAGGGCAAAGCATGTACGCATCGGCGTGTTGGACGCAGGGTAGTGACTTACATGAACTTGACATTTTCTAGCAGCCGAGCATTGTTCTGGAAGTATTATTGGCCAGCAGCAGTGTCTCGCCCGAAATTGCGACATGCAACCAAAGCGATCCACCTGATACTACTCCGTATGTCTTACGGTGTCTCACAGGAAATGGTTGAGGCTGGCTTGATCGAAGATGGGGATGAGCGAAGGTGCTTTTCGAGGCTGTCAAAAGGGTAAGGACAGTCATGTGTATTTTTACGACATTTCGAAAAGGCCTAGGGTTCTGAACCGAAATTCCATCTAAGCACGCGGGGTATCAGTGTCGGTGCGGAGAAGAGCAGCGGAGTAGAGCCATCACTCAGCAGCATCCAGACTTGCACTTCCAAGGTAACTTGGCAGCATGGCTTCGACACTGGAGAACGAGACGGAAAAGGTCGATGTAGCGGCTCGGCAAATCGAGCAGGCCGACACAGAGAGATCTCGGCTGACACGGCGAGTGCTGCTGAAGATTGACACGAGGCAAGGCCACTCGCGATGACAGTTGCTGCAGTCAAAGCTGGCTAACCCGGTTGCAGAGTTCTTCCCGTCCTGGCACTTCTATTCCTATGTTCCTTTCTCGACCGCACCAATGTCGGCAATGCAAAGATCCTCGGCCTCGAGACTGACCTCGGGCTTACAAACCTGCAGTACAACCAGGGTCTCGCTGTGTTCTACGTGACCTACATTGTCAGGTGTGGAAGCGAACATGCGATGAATTGAATGGGGCAATGTGAGCTGACTGTCGACTGCAGTGAGCTGCCGAGCAATCTCGTGCTGAAAAGGACCACGCCCAAGGTGTGGCTGCCGTTGTTGGCCGTTGCATGGGGCATTCTGGCCATGTGTCTGGGCTTTGTTCGCAGCTATGGAAGCTTCATGGCGGTGCGTGCCCTTCTGGGCCTTGCTGAGGGTGGGCTGCTGCCCGGTATGGTGCTATATCTCTCGGGTCTGTACACGCGGTCCGAGATGGCACTGCGCATCGGCATCTTCTATACGGCTGCGTCACTGTCGGGTGCTTTTGGTGGTAAGTTCCGGTTTCCGGTTTCCGTCTGGTTCTTCTGTTCACGTTTAACTGACGTCCCAGGACTCCTCGCCCGCGGTCTGTCAGCGATTGGACCACGAGGTGGCCTTGAGGGCTGGAGATGGATCTTTATTGTCGAGGGCCTTATGGTAAGATGCGCTTGAGTTTTGTGTCGCCGGTCGGCAGCACTAATGTTAACGACTTCCTCTGCACAGACAGTTGTCGCGGGCGCCGTTGCCTTTCTCTTGCTGCCGAGTAGCCTCGCCAATGCAAAGTATCTCACGGTCGAAGAACGGGCGGTTGCCGTGTCCAGGCTCGAGGCACAGGTCGTGACAGCAGGTGGCGAGCGTTTCAAGTGTGCAGATCCCCTTCTTTGTTCAAAGTGATCAGGTTCAGCTGACCGGAAGTGTGGCGCTGGAACGTGAAGAACGGTTTCGCTGGTCCGAGGTGCGTCGCGGCGTGTTCAACATGCAGCTGTGGCTCACAGCGACGGCCTATTTTGCCATTCTCTCGGGCCTGTACTCCTTTGGCCTCTTTGTAAGTGATAGTCATATTCTTTCCCTCTGGAAGGCAACTGACCTTGCACCGTTCAGCTTCCGACAATCATCAACAATCTGCACATCACGTCCAGTGCAAATCAGACACAATTATGGACAGTAATTCCCTATGCAGTGGCTACACCCATCACGGGTAAGCGAACAATTTCACTCAGTCTCTATCTCTCTTGCTCACACCTCCAGTCCTCGTGGCATTTATCTCAGATCGTGTCAAGCTCCGTGGAGTCATTATGTTGTTCACTCTCCCAATCGCCATCACAGGATATGCTGTCATCGCCAACGTGGAGTCTACCCAGGTGCGATTCGGCATGACGTGCTTGGTGGCCATTGGGATGTATAGCAGTGTGCCGTGTGTTCTGGGCTGGAACTCGAACAACTCGGCCGGCCACTACAAGAGGGCAACCACGTCGGCGTTGCAGCTGGCCATTGCCAATGCCGGCGGCTTTGTTGCAAGTGAGTACAGCCCCCACAGTGAAGGCTGCGGTCGGATCTGCTCGCAGACGTTTCTGACTAGTCGATGCTCTTAGCATTTGTGTACCCCAACCGCGATGCGCCGCTGTATCACCGTGGACACACGATCATTCTAAGTCTTCTTGTGTATGCATGGTTTGCGTAAGTCCCACTGGGTAGTCGGTTTTTGTCGGTCACCGTACCACTAACACGTCGCCAGTGTGCTGGCAAATGTTCTACACTGCATGAAGATCAACAAGGACAAGCGAGAGGGGAAGTACGGCGAGTTTGAGGGATCGGGAGACGACCGAGATCCTGCTTTTGAGATGGTATTGTAGGCAGTGAAAGCAGCTAAGCTTATAGCGGGAGTTAGTGCTTGAGAGCCGGTAGTCCGTCAGTGGTACAAAGTACTTGACCAAAATCCATCCCCACCAAAGGCCCCTCTACGCGTTTCGAGCGCGTCCAATCCAACGGGCGTTTTCGAGCTCCAGACAAGTCAGCGGGAACTCCGAGCAGCCGCGTGCGACAGACGATGGATGCCGATGCGACGGAGATGATGGGCTCGCTGCCGGCGGGATCGTCGGGGCTGCCATCGCACGAAGACCTGTCGCCGATGGAGCAGGCAGTGTTGGAAGAGTACGAGCGTCTGGCCGAGAACATGAAGCGGGTGAGTGGTGTTTGTGGAGGTGATGCTGGCTGGCAGTCGCTCCGTTGTTCTGACGTATGCTGCAGCTGGCTGCCGTGCTGGACGATCTCGCTGGCCGGCCGACGACAGAGACACTTGACGGACTGCGCGAGCTCGAGCGCAAGACCAGTCTGGTCTTCACGCTGCTCAAGGCAAGCGTCTACAGCATTGTGCTGCAGCACCAGATTGACGAGGGGACTTAGGATCGAAGCATGCATACAGCAGGCAGACAGCAGACAGAAGACAGCAGACAGACATGGAGACGTGTTTTATTTACATTTTATCACCAGCTACAATACAGGCTTCCGACTTGGGCCTAATAGACAGCACCCCCATAGTAGACCTTGCGGACGTCGACCAGCTTCTTGCCGCGACCAATGGCAATATCCTCGGGGTTGGGCTGCTGCATAAGGGCCTGGTAGGCAGCCTTGACCGTGTTCATGGGGTTGCGCGAGCGCGGGATGCTGGCGGCCAGATCGGTGATGCCGACAGCGCGGGCCATCTCAAAGATGCGATGAGGGACGCGCAGGCCGAAGCCAGGCGGCCGAGCTGACAGCTGGACGACGGTACCGCCGACCTTGGCCTGGACGGTGCCGAAGACGGTGCGGTTCTCATAGCGCGGCACCGGCAGCATGTTGCGGACGGCCATGACCTTGGCCTTGCTGGTGGCCAGTGGCAGTTCCTTGGCCTTGGCCATGCCGAGGCCCAGACGGCCCTCGCCGTTGCCAGCAATGACCATAACCGAGACGCTGCGAACTTTGCCGAGACGCGTCTGGTTGTGCACGTGACGAATCACGAGTGTCTTGACGGCCAGCTTCATCATCTCCTGCACCTGCAGTCCAGTTTGTCGCTTGAGCTCGCGGTAGTCGCCCGCCTCATCCAGGCCCTCATCCTCGGGGTCCTCCTGCCGCTGATAGTGTTCCGTCACGCCGGGGAGCCGTGTCCCGAGCGACGGCGCCAAACCCCAGCCGCCCGTTGCGCCGGCCGGCACCGGCGTCCGGCCGTCTCGCTGCACCAGTGCCGGTCGGTCGAACCACCAGCGCATCAGGTCCTCGTCCTTGGGCCCGTGCTCTTCTGCCACGGCCCGCAGCTGCTCGTCCGTCAGCCCGGCCAGGTTCACGTCTGTCGGCACAAACGACTCGAGCCATCGCATCAGGTCCAGTCCAAAGGCCTCCTCGCCCATGAATCGACTGCCGATCGCTGCCGCTGCTGCCGACGTCACTGCTGGCTTCTCTGCTTCTGCCGCGTCTGTCCGCGCCCGCTTGTCAATCACCGGCTGCACCTGGCTGAAGTCCTCCACGTACTGCAGTCCCGTCGTCTTGCCGTCCGTCCGCAGCCGGCCCTGCACCGTCAGGTCCCGCACGTCCACCGCCGCCTCGCCTGCCTCCACCGCCGCTAGCTGTGCTGCCGTGTACTTGTCGCGCAGCGCCTCCTTGTCTTCCGTCGAATACGACGGGAAATACTCCTTGGAGAACCGCGAGATCGCGTCCTCGTCCACGAGACCCATCTCGGCTGCCCGCACGTTGCTGAACCGCCGCCGTCGTCGTCCCGCCCGCCGCTCCGACGTGTGGAACAGGCTCATCTGCGGCATCCATGCTGCCATCACCACTCTGCTTGGCCGCCCCGCTAGCATCGCTGTCGCCGCCGCTGTTGCCGTCGCTCGCTGCGTCTCCCGTGTCGATGCCAGCCGTCGCAGCAGCGCGCTGCCGCTGCCCGCTGTTGACCACGCCAAACTCATTGCAAGCTGTCTCCGCTATATCGCCCCAGTCGTCCGGATTCGGCTGCGCTGTCGTCTCGAGTCAGCGCCGTGGTGCGTGGCCCAGCAGCTTTTCCTCCGTCCAACAGGCTGATAATTTTCTGCCATTGAAAAACTATCATGATCACGTGATTTGTCACATGATAACGGCTTGCTCCGTTTCACGACCTACTCCGTATTTTATACAGTTTAATCAGCCCAGCCTGGCACAGCTCTGAAACACTGCTCTGTTCCAGAGTCGTCTTGACAGCCGCTCAGGTAAGAATGCTACATCGCCGCAAAAAGGGGGTGGAGACCGCCTGCGCTCGACCTCTTCGCCCGCTCTCCTGGCCTCTCTTGCTTTCGTGAGCCAAAGTACGGCCATGTTTCTTTTTCCCCCTACTTCTCTATTCCTCTCTTTTTCTGCTCTTCGTATATACTCTTCCACCCGTCGCTTCTACGTTGTGCTTGCACATCTCCCAAGGCGTCTCGTTACTTTCTTTTAATCACTGCAGCGCAGTCGGACCCGTTTCTTTTCTTTTCCTCATCCTTTACAACTCGCCCAATCTCACCATCGTACCCCTCGCATCTTCATCATGGGTGAATTCGACTGGTTCTCCAAGATCGGGGCCACGAAAGAGGCCGTCGCCGTGCTCAACGATCAGCCCATCCTCTTCACCATCCTCATCATCGTGCTGATCGCTGTTGCACTTCTGATCACCCTCATCTGGTACATCCACTACGCCACAATGAAGCCAGGCCAGAAGAAGAAGAAGCCGACCGACGCGAAACCGCCGGCTAAGAGATAGTAGCCGTCGCTGCCGTCCTGCACCGACTGCTGATCAGGACATCACGAACCGGGAGGACGGCACTTGGCAGATCGGATAGCCGGCGTTGATTTATTACCAACTTGATACCGACAAGGGAGGGCACATCCTCTCTTGCCAATGCGGACCGTTTTATTGGAGCTTGGAAGCGTGCATTTTGTATCTTATATGTGTCCGTTTCAAAGACGGGGAAAACAATGAGACTCTGTGTTGTTGGTCTATGTGGAACACATACGTTCTGCTTGTACATCTGTAACAATCAGCTGTATTTCACCATCCATCAAGCTCTTCATATCCGTCCTGCCACATATGTACATCATCTATGTTAACGTCCATGTATTCCATCTCACTTTCCGTTACTTCGTCGGTATATCGAGGACTACCTCCCCTAAATTCACGAACTTCGCTCGCTTCCCAATCTTCCAATTGCCAATTTTCAATCTCCTGCCAGTCCATTTCACCAGCAAGTCCACCCGCTACCTCGTCTAGGTGCGCGTAGTTCGCTGATTCATATTTGTTCTTTGCAATGCTATCACCGTCTTCACAACATATATCTTCCCCTCCTGGCCAGTCTGCAATCTCTTGCCAGTATGCATCAGCGTTGTCCCAGGGCGAGATCACATCCCCGCCATTGATTGCATATTGTTCGTTATAGATGTGACCATAATCCTCACTGGCAGCAATACAGGTTTTCGTATTTGCCGAGCCAAGTTTTCGCCCACCGACTTCTGTATTGTTAGACGCCCCAAATGTGTGAGATGGTTGTATGTCGAGTTCAGGGACGCCAGAAAAATTCTCTATATGGCCGCTCGTAGTTACAATGCGTGGGCCTCCCTCTGGCTTTCTTTTTTTCCGTTTAGGATGTGTCGATACACACTTTAGCATAATCTCATGCAGCTTCGACTCCAGGCCCCTCAGCCCTGATGGCTCGTCTTCTGGGCCTTCTAATAGTACTGCTGCTTTCTGGCGAAGGCTGGGTGACTGTGCATCGGCACAACAGTCCATCAAAAGGGTGCATATAGGTGGTACGAAAACTGCATGAGCAGACACATCCTGGAGTCAAACCTGTGAGTAGATGACACGTCCCTAGCACCATAGCAATATCCTACCTGAAAGTGTCGGTAGTTCCAGACTGCTGGAGCGATGCTAATCAGGGATGGCAACGGCTTGACATAAAAAGGTTCGATTGACCGCACGCCTAGGACTCGACCTTTGATCCCTACGAGAACGTAGAGCGACGCTTCGATCAACGTAGAGGCCTTTGTTCTGAGCTCACAGTCGCCGAATATGGTACTGGCAGGTGCTTTTGCCGGTTTGGCCACTCTCCGCCGCTTGTTTGATGCGCGTGTTCTCGTTGACCTCCGGGTCTCACTCTGCGCGACCATTGCTTGTGGCCGTGTCTTACCGTGTTTCTTGATGCGCTTCCTCTCGACGTTCGCCTCCGCTGTCGATGATATGCCCAGCTCTGGCCCGTCTAGGTGCAGAGCAAAGTTCAAGTGGCACACGACCCGCCTGAACTGAGCCTGTGGGACACCGGCAGGTGCACAGAGTCCGCCCGGTGAGGACGGATGCGTCACAGAAAAGAAGAGCCGGCCCGCATCCCACCGACGGTCGCCCGACTGCCAGCGACCAGTGCCGTCTTTGTCATTGCCATCCAGACGAACGACGAGTCCGAGGCGGTCCCAGGCCGGCCAGCTCAGAACGGCCTTGGCAAGCCATCCTGCTGAATATGTGCTATCGCTCTCACTGTCCTTGCTGTTACCTCGTAGCAGGATGTGTTGTCGCTGCAATGTTGGATACACCACAAGGCCAAAAGCGCTCCCTCCACAGCCAACCCATAGACGGCCCGCTCGGACGAGCTGTGCGACACGTTCGGCTGACGCATATGGACCGAGAACCTCTGATCCGGCTGTCCGCCAGGACAGCTCGGCGATGGCCGTCACGGTCACCGACAACTGCAAATTGCGACTGGCAAATCTTTGGCGCCCGAGGCGGATCTCCGTGCAGGCAGACATATAGAAGAGATAGCTCGGGGTTTCTGGCTGCAGCTCGTATCATGAGGCTGTACATCATGTATTCCCATATTTACTCCAACAAGGGGGGATATGAGCAAATGAGATAAGACAAGAACAAGGTTTATTCAAAGCAACTTCAAGTTACTAAAAACAGAAAGACATTTCTTTCGTCAGTTTCTACATCCTGCTTCCCTCCTTCCTTTGTAGGAAGTGGTCGTTGTCATTGTACACGCAAGGTTTGATGAAAATGCGAAGGGAAGGTGCAACGGGTAGAGAAAAGGTTGACCACGAGGTGCACTTTATGTATTGTGAGGGTCGCTATTACCCTCAAAAAGATCATACACGCAAAAGTAGAATGGCGCACTAATCTGTTTGACGTAAACAAAAAAAGTGCCCAAAGGCTACGACTATGCTACCGATAATACTCGCCAAAGTTTCCAAAAGGTAGAAGTATCCAGAGAGGGGGAATATCCAAAATAATAACAAGTAGGAAATACATAAAACCCTTTATCACTTCGTGAGACTTTGTTCTAATGCCGTAAATCCTGTATCCGTCATGTGCAAAATCGTAAAGTAAACTGGCTGCGCATATAAAACAGACTTATAAACAAAGCCCACAAACGGATCACGTTGGCCATCGTTTATTTCGGTAACCAGGGGAATTTCTTCTTGAGCGAATCAGCCGGCCCGGCTGTGGGCTCAACCTGCACGCTTCGCTGGTATATTTCCTGTCTACCGTTAGTCTCTCGGTAGCTGCAGAGCAGAATGAATGACAGATGCAGCTCACCTCGTCGTCTGATGGCATACGGCAGTCCATGATCAATTCCCTCGATATGTCGTGACGTTTCAGATTCGGATATGGCGTTCCTTGGCTCTTCATAATAGGCAAAAGTACTTCACCGAGAATCTCAAACTTCTTCCAGTTGATACGGTCGCCATCGGGCCCGACAAAAGTGCGACTGCCCTCTTCGGCACTAACCAAATCCCTCCGGTGTAGAGGAATAAAAGGAATCCGTGGCAGAGGCGAATTCTCCCACGCTAGACGGTAAGCAAAATGACTCTTTTGCGTGCTCATAAGTAACCCTAAGCGCGCAAAGCGCTTCTGTATGTCTGCATCGACCAACGCCCGGGTCTGGGCAAGTCGGTGGATTGCGGTCCCGTTGATGCCGGCTAGCACTGCGGCTAAGCCGTTGTAGTTGTTGAGCTGGCGAAGGCGAAGAGCGATGAGCATGAACTTTTGCATGCACGGCGCACGGTGCTTGGCCTTGTCGCGAATCAGGATCATATTGGCTACCCATTTCGCCACGTGGTTAAAGTGCGAAATCATGCGATTCACGTTTGCCAGGGACTTGCATCGCTCCTTTTCGTGGAGAGAGAGCGAGACATGTCGTACCAGATCGCGGATGCGTATGCTGCTGAACATGATCCAGTCTATGCGCGTAATCTCGTCTGCCATGTCATCCGGATTCTGGTCCATGAATATGTGGTATCGAAATTTGTTGAGCGGCAGCGTCGCCATTGGCACCAAGGATGCGGCTTCCCGCTCGTAGTCTTCACAAGAGTGAAACTGGAACTGAGACTGAAACTGAGACTGGCTCATAGAGACGCCGAGGCCGCTTCCATTTTCGCTTGGCGTCGGCTGGTCCGTAGAATGGGAATCGTCTAGTTGCAAAGACTTCAGGCCAGCAGACGTCAAACTGTCCGAGCCACGCGGCGCGCCACCCGTGGGGGTCGTTTCGCCGTCAGTGGTATCGGCCGTGCTGGGATCCTCGGCAGAGGGCTCGTCGCTTCGTGCCCACTCGGTGTCATCATCCTCGACCACGTCCTGTTCCATGTGGTCACGCAGCTGCTGGGAAGCCACAGCAAAGACAGGCTCGCTGGTAAGCTCCTCCACGAGATCCTCTAATTTCTGTCGTGTGCTCGGACGCGCAAAATCACCGGGGTACATGGATATCCATCGGGCAACGACCTCGACGATGCGAAACTGCGTGGCCGTGCGCTCCAGATAATGGCTTGCTTTGTCCTCCCAGGTCTGTTCGAAACGTTCTAGAATGGTGGACAGGAGCTCGTTAGGAGGGACGAATTTGCGATACAAGCAGAGGAACACGTCGCCAAAGTTCATATCGGCGCGGTTCATGGCTGGGGCGAGGAGGCGGTCGACGAGTTCCTTGAAGGAAGTCCCGGTCATTTTCGAAGGTCTGTCTGTATTCAACTCGTCATTGCGCTGCAGGATGGGAACATCATCTGAGTAGCGAAATGACTCGGCGTCAGACTCGTCGACGTCTAGAAACGAGGCTCCGGCGTCTAGGCGCACACCGGGCGAGCGCAGCATACCTTGAACAGTCTGCGCGGGCTTCTCGTCGCTCATCTCGTTTCCAAGACTGGATGCGTTCTGTGGTATGCTCGGATACTCGATTCTCGGCGACCTAGAGTTTTGAGTGCGGTAGAAGCTTTCCCGGTCGGCGGAGCCGGTCTGAGCTCCTCGAAGAAGGGATAGGTCCGAGCTTGCGCGGCTGTGCTTGCTGCTGCTCCGCTCACTGGGTTGTCGGCCCCTGGTGCTATCCGGGGGTGTGTCTAGGTGGGCAGCAGAAGAAGCAGCGCGCCGCCTGGTGTAGCTCTCCTTGTCTGACCCTGCTCATCGTCAGTAAGGGCGTCGAAGACGGCTTGCTCAATCGTATCATTTGTTCCCAAGCATATGCACAGTATGCATAAATACACATGACGTGGTACAACGGGGTAGCGTATGACGGGCTATTTCCTACTGGGGCACTGTCATGGATCTGGATTTTTCTGGAAAGCCAAGGAGCTACTCAGAAAGGGGGAGTGCAAGGGTACACGAGAAAGGCGCACGGGGGTGAGAGAGAATACTTAACAGTCCCTCGCCAAGTACGGTGGAGCAGAAGAATCGGAAGACACGGAGAGTGAGGAGTTGGGACAAAACAGCGACGAAACAGCAGGGCCATGAACCGGACAGGGGGGCGGGGGCGAACAGAGTGTGATTGGCATACCTTTCCGGTTGAAGACAGAGGCTAGAACGATTGATTGCAGGCAATCCCGGGTGCTTGCCGGGACATTTGCAGACGTTTTGAAGTCGGCGAGAATGGACGGAAACACAGTTGCCATGCCGTTGGCGTTGATTTGGCGCATGTTTTCCGGGTTGTCGCACTTGGTCGCAACAAGCATTGTAGGCAGGCCAGAGATGCTCAGAGCGGCTGCGACGGTCAGAAACAACACAGCAACAGGCCGGCAAAGGGGCCGGCAAAGGGGCCGGCAAAGGGGATAGTGAGGAGTGGAACTGTTTTGGCATACACAGCGTGTGGGGAAGATCCCGAATGCTCTCCTTGTTCATGACATCGTATAGAATGAGAGCTCCATCGATGCGCGGGACCATATGGCCGTTGATCTGCTTCGGCCAGCTGATCCTCTGGTTCGGACTAACGTCAAAGTATTCGAGATCCAACTCGATAAGGGCGACAACATGCGGGATGCTCTCGACATCAAGACGGATGGCATTGATGTTCGAGGTTGGCGGGCGGTTCAGACGGAGGGCTCGCTGAACAAAAGCCGATTTGCCCACGCCATTAGCCCCAATGACGGCGATATTTACGGCCTCCATTATCGGTGGCGGAGAAGCCTACACAAGACAAAGGGGCAAGGTTAGTGCCTGCATAGTGGAATGGTTGATGTGCAGCACAAGCACAACGGAGCGGTGGGCAGGCAGAAGCAGGAGAGCGTACCCAAGACGGATCGGTTATAATAAGAGAGTCTCTGTTGCGAGGTTGCGACCCTTGGAATGAGAACGACTGTTCATGGCGGGTTGCGTCCTGAGAGCTCGATTCTATGTGCGGGGAGGGTGCGAGAAGCTCGGCGTCGTCAGCGTCGTCGCCGAGCCAGTCGCTGCTGATGCTGTGATATCGCTGGAAGAAGGGGTCGTCTACGATGGAGATGAAGGAGTCTAGAGAGTTCCTCGAATTTTTCGACCCGTGCTGCCTTTGTGGTTGGGGGTGTAGCTGCGCAGGGGGAGGCGAAAGCTCCTGCACCGAGCTCTCTGCCTGCTGGGGTAGCTCTTCGGATTCGAGAAAAGTGCCTTCCCAGGGACCGTGCAAGGAGGTAGAGACGGAGGGGATCGGAGGCGTTATCGGGGCTGTGGTTGAGGTGATGATGGAGAGAGCGGCAGCGGCGGACGAGGAGGCTGATGAATCGTGACCCGCCGTAGTCGAGACGGATTTCTTGCGACGGAAGTCGGGGGACAATAGCAATGCCCGTTCGTCTGAAAACATGTGAGTCCAGGGCCTGTCCAGCTTTGCAGTATTCGCCATGGGATGGAGAGGGGCGCTCGAAAAGAAGCGCGGAACGGACTGGTGATGCTATGTAGAGGAGGTATGAGAGCAGCGGGAAGAAGCGAAAGACAAGACGTTGCGGTTTGCGATGCAACGCGGAAAGCTTTGACTCGACAGAGAACTGCCACCAACGGTGTAGCAGCAATCGAAGAGGACGACAGTCTAGCAGCCTAGCAGCCAGCGGTCCAGCGGTCCAGCAGCCAGCAGTCAGCAGCAGACGGCAGACAGCAGACAGCAGGTAACGAGAAGCAGGTGATCAAGCTTGAGGCTCTCGCTGGTTCAGATACTGAGCGGCTGTGTTCCGATGGAGGCGGGGGAGAGAAAGAGACAGAGAATGAATGGTTGGGATGGGGCTAGAGAAGACGGGGAAATGACAGAAGCCGAATGGTAAGATAGGTACGACGTAAGTAAGTGGGTTTACCTTGTCCTTCGCTACTTGAAAATTTTAGCGGTTATTTATTTATTTATTTACCTGAATGGTATCTTAGGATAGGTCGAGACCAGGACGTGATTAGATGTATCCGCTTTGGCGCTTTGCGGTGAGGTTAATAGCGATTGGGCCGACTAACAGGGGTCAGGAGGGGGAATAGTGCGGCGAGAGGCGGGTGGGGAGATATTTGGAGTGTTCAGAGACGAGGCCTGGCTGAGAGAGGCCGAAGGAAGAAGCGGCTGTGGCTGAGATGCGTTGGCCGATTGGCGAGAGAGAGCAAAAGGAGGGCAAGAAGGGAAAAAGGACCGGGAGAGAGGGGAGCGGAGGGTGAGAAAAAAAGAGAGCTACCACTCCGTATGGGGGAGAAGAGGGAGGGGGAGGAGGGGATCTTAGAGGATGAAGAGGAAGAAGAGGTCTTGGCGAGCAGACGGAAAGAGTGGAGAGCTCAAGCTACGGAGTATGTACGGAGTATGCAGTTCAGGAAGGAGCTTCAGGAAGGAGCAGGCGGACGACCGGAGGCAACGGAGGAAGGACGAACCCTCACGGTGGGGAAGGAGCAATGACGGTTGATACTATTACATAGTAAGTAGTTTTGGGGGGATTTCGGGGGTGCGTTGTCGCACAGTTCTGCCTGGCCTGTCCAACGTCGCACTTCCATATCGCAGTCCGTGCTCTGCCAGATGGACGTACGAGTGTCCACTGAGCACTGGGCACTTGCAGAGCTGTTGTCTTTGTGCCCCTGTGTCGCGACCGGGCGCCACGCTCCGGTTGGCTGGCCGTAGCTGCAGCAGGCAGAGAGTCTGGTACGGCTGCCCACGGGCTCTGGTTGTCATATGGGGCGATGGCCGCTATACTATGTATTACGTATACAAGCACAGTACGAAGTACTCCGTACTCCGTACAGCGTATCTTATCTTGAGACGAGCCGTGCTTGCATCATACGATTGTGGGCAGCAGCTATCCGCGAAATCGAGGAGAATCCAGACAAGGCTGTCTCTCTCATCATGCATCGTACGTACCCGTTCTCTCTCTCACGGCTCCGGCCCAATGCCTTCCCCCACGTGGGGACCGTCTGCGAATCAGCGCCGGTGCCCGGACAACGATCAATTGCCGGAGTCCTTGCTCCATTACGCCCCTCTCCAGGTTCCTCCAAGACACGAGCTCGATGCCACCATCTCGCTAGTTGCAAGTAAAACCGTCTTTCCTGGTGGGTAGGGCCATCCACTTTCGCTGGACAGATGCTGCGTGCGCTCTACAGAGTACGAATACGACGGCCTTTTCAGACGACGTCATGTTTGTGTCTGCAGCCTAGGCTGTCCAGCTCGTTTCGGCTAGCATGACTTTTGGATCTTGGGTGCGACCTCAGCCTTGACAGCTTTGCTGGCTTTTCTTGCTTTCGCCACCGCCTTGCGATTACTCCGAACTCGATACTCCGTACTCCGAAAGGCTGAACAGCCGACCGAGACGACCAGGAACGGCTTCGGAGCAGAACGACGAGGCGTCGTACGAGCTGCCTGCGAGGACAACCAACCTCTGTTAAGAACATCCCGTCGCAGCTCGCATCATTCGACAATCGACAGTGGACATTCGACGCCCCGGTCTGGATGGCCGATGCTCGGCCGGCATGTTTGCCGATTTCGGTTTTCTTGTATCTTACTCCGTAGCTGCGAAGAGTTAGCGCCCCACTGCTGCTCACGTGCGCTTTTCGGAGAACCGTCCTGGCTTCGTACATCTAAAAGAAGGAGCCTGCTCTGCCTTGTCTCATCTGCTCGTAGTTGCTCGTAAATTTGGCTCTCAGAGTAGTCTCTTCTCCGGTATCTCTTGCCTTTCCCTCTTCTTCCACCCCTTCATAATGCCGGTCCAAATCGCCGTTATCGGGTACGTGGCTGAGTCATCCAACAGAGCGGATGGTTCCAGTCGACTAACACATTGGCAGCGCCGGCATCACCGGCCTGAGCGCAGCCCTGCGCCTGGTCGAGGAGCTCGGCGACACGGTTGAGGTGACGGTGGTGGCACGCGACTTCCCGGCACCGGCTGAGAGCTTCTTCTTTGACGCGCCGGCAGCAGTGAACTTTTCGTCGCCATGGGCCGGCGCCCACAACCGCTGGGTGCTCTGGGTGGCAGACGGGACGGCCGAGGCGGCGGCCCAGGCACGCGACCACGGCTTTGCGCTGGCGACATACCGCCATATGCAGGCAGTGCAGGCCCAGAATCCCGAGGCCGGCATCACCTTTCTGCCGGGCATCGAGTATCTGGAGGCGCCAGGACCCGAATACACGCAGCTGGCCGACGAGGCCGTGCAGACGGCGCTGGGCTTCCACGACGCCGATCTGGGCCTGGGTTTCCGGCTGCTGGGCGCGGACGAGTTCCCGGCCGCCGAGGCTGGCTCCAACGCGGTCGTCTTTGGCCTCACGTACCGCACCTGGTGCGTCAACCCGATGGTCTACTGCGCCTTTTTGCTGCGCCGCTTCTCGGCTGCTGGAGGTCACGTGCAGAAGCGCGAGTTGCGCAGTCCGAGCGAGCTGCTGCAGGCCACCTTCGACCTCGTCGTCAACTGTTCCGGCAACGGCTTCGGCGACGACACCAACATGTTCATCACGCGCGGCCAGACCTGTCTGGTGCGCAACCGCTGCGACGCCACCGTCACGCGGCAGAGCGCTGACGGCAGCTGGTCCTTCTCGGTGCCGCGCTTCTACGATGGCGGCACCATCATCGGCGGCACCAAGGAGCCCGACAACTGGGACGCGACCCCATCGCTGGCCGTTCGCGAGCACCTGCTCTCCCGCTTCGCCGCCACCTACCCGTCTGTGCTGCAGGGCGGCAGCACGCCTGGCCGCTTCGACGTCATCGCCGATGTCGTCGGCCGGCGTCCCACTCGACGCGGAGGCATGCGGCTCGAGACCGAGGCCACGGCCAAAGGTCCCATCGTGCACGCCTATGGCGTCGGTGGTCGCGGCTACGAGATCTCCTGGGGCGTTGCCGGCGCTGTGGTTGGCCTCGTCCAGGAACAGCTCAAGAGGACCGGCCGGAAACCGTTTGCAGCCAGCCTGTAGAGGATAGATGATGCTATTGGTATTGATTCCCTTTTTGTGCGTGTAAACTGTGTGTACATGAAAATCATCCGCCAGGAGAAAGGAGAGGATCAGAAACGCCGACGGTCATCGTCCATAGACCAAATCCACACTGTCAACCGTAGCCATGCGCCATATAAAGGGACCACAGACACGAGCTCTCTCGTCTCGTTGTCGTTTGTCGTCTCGTCCGTCTTGTTCCATTTCACACCTCCCTCACCTCTTCTCTCCCGGCTGCTCCTCAAACCGCGGCCGGTCCTTGGCCGCAAACCCGCCGAACCGCTCCGGTCGCGACATCTTCTCCTCCTCCAGCCGTCGCCGCCGCGCCTGCACGTCCTCCACGCCGGCTGACCCGTCTGCTCCCTCGAGACCCCACCATGCCCTCAGCAGCTTCTCCTGTTCGGCCTTGCGTCGCGCCTTGCGCTGTCGCTCGGCCGCTCGCTCTGTCCGCCGTGCGAACCACTCCTCGCGTGCCGCGTCCAGTGCCGCTGGCGTCGCATGTCCCTTGAGGCAGGCATTCATCGCCTTGTTGTGTTCGCGGCATGCGAACACGACCGAAAAGGTCCGGCCAAGCGCGCACTCGGCAAAGGCTGTTCTGTCAGTGGCGGTGCAATACAGACACAAAACGCGCAGACCCAGAACACACCCTTGATCTCCGCCTGGCACTGCTGCCGCACCCGGTCGTAGTAGAGCTCCCGCACCTGCGCCTCCTGCGAGGCCGAGAGCGGAATCGGATTGGCCGTGGGCAGTGCCGCTAGCCGCCGCTGTGGCTGTCCGGTCGCGGTACTGCCGGTGCTGTCGCTGTCGCCGGTGCCGCCGGTGCCGCCGGGGGCTGCTGGTGAGGACGGGTCGACGGCCATGGCAGCCATAGACGGAAGCTTGGTTCGTGGAATGCCGGCTGTCCAAGGGGGAAAATCCTGCAAATGCAAATGCAAATCGTCTGCGAAGATCGCCAATCACACTCCGGCTGTCTTGTCGGGTCCGGCTCGCAATCTCGCACACGTCTGTCGTCTTGCCTGCCCTCAATCTAGCAGTACTGTCGGCCTCGGACGGAGGTGGGACAGCGGGCGAGGGTGAGACTTGTCAACCTGGATTAATATATCTTACAAAGCTGTCGTCGTTGCTCTGCCGGTCGGAAGTCGCTGCCCCGCTTTAAAACAGCTCACGCACAACATTATGTGCTCACGTCTCCACCGCCTTTCGCTCTAGCGCTTTCATACAGAGTCCGTTTTACGGTGTTATCATTGCGACAAGTCACTGGAAAACAAGGGGATAGAGTATGCACATATTTGTTGCCGTTTAAGCTTTACTTTGGAGATTTGCTCTGCCAACGAGCCACTCAGAGAAAGCAGCAGGAGCAGCATCAAGCATCAAGAAGCAGCAGCACAAAGCAGCAGCACAAAGCAGAAGCACGAAGCAACGCCTCACACTGCCCTCTTCTCGCCGTCCTCGGTCGGCGCAAAAGAAGACACAGACTCCGTCTCCATCAGGCGATCGCGGTCCATCTCAAGACTCTCCTTTTCCCGATTCTTCTTCTTAATCGAGAACCACGACCCGGACGTCTTCAGCTTGCTCTCGGCCTTCTCGCGCGACTTGGTCGGCCCCAGCGACGGACAGGGACTGCCGCCCGTCACGCTCTCGGGTCCCAGCACGCTGCCGCCGCGACCGGACACAGACCCGGCTCGGTCCAGCTCGTCGTTGACGTCCTCAAAGTCGCCAAAGCTCGACCGGCTCGCCGACGTGTTCTTCTCCGAGTTGGTCATGCTACCAGGACCCTTGGACGGTCGCATCCGCCGCGAGAAGCTCAGCTTGCTCGTGCTCTCCTTCTTGAACAACTTGAGCAGCGTGTGCTCGCTGCTGTCCTTGGACGACGACAGCACCGCCACGCTGTTCGGCTCCGACGCCGTGTTCGAGATCGTGTAGTCGAGCGACTCCCGCGACTCCGACACCGACGTCTGTGTCCGCAGCGAGTGGCCGTCGCGTGAGAGCCGTTTGCTCGGCTGCGTTTCCTCGATCGCCAGGCTCGGCGTCTCCGGTGCCGCCGTCTCGTCTCGATCCCTGTCCTTGTCGCGGCTTCTAGTCTTGTCCTTGACTTTGTCCTTGCCCCGTTCGCTCTTCGTTCGGAAGATGCTGGCCATGAATGTCGGCGCGGCCGGGTTGAGAGCCTTTCCCAGCGAAGACGCCTTCTTGTCCGCTGCCGGCGGCCGACTTCCAATCACGCCAACCTGGCTCGGGGACGTCTCCGGATTGAGCAGCTCTTCCTCGTCCAGGATCTCGTCTTCGGCCGAGGCTAGATTGGTCTTGAGCGCCGAGGGCGAGCCGTGAATCGACGGCCGTCGTGACGGGTTCCTGCTGGGCCATGCCGTCTCGCTGGGCCACAGCCGGGACGACTTGCTGAGACTGCCACCTCCACCCTCCAGTCCTGGCGGGCCCCAGATCGAGCCGCTGTCTGTCGAGGGACGTGGCATGTCCGTTGACGCCACCGAAGCAGGCCGTGGGCTGCTTGCGTCTCGATCTGCAAAGATGCTGCTGTTTGTGCGAGATGCAAACGGAAAGAGACTCCGGGCCGAAAAGCCGGGCTTGATCATGCCCGCGCCCGCTGAGAACTGACTGTCCATGATCTCCGGCCCGGCCGAGTTGCGGTTGAAGACGCTCCAAGATGACAGGCTGATGCGCCGGCTCTTGTTTCCGAGCTCGGCATCCTCGCCCTGCCTAGGGAACGACTGGCTCTGTCCGTGCTTAAGAGACCCGAGAGCCGGGCCATCGCCGTCCAGGGCTCTGGCACCACGCGAGCGAGGGAACGTGAATATGCCGAATCTTGGGTGGGCCGGAGCTTGGCCGTGCACCGCTGGCATCGTAGGTGACGGAAGCCTCCCCGACTGAGGCGGCCGTCCGTCAGTAGAATCGACACCGTAGACGGAGAACGGGAGATGCTGGGACGAGTCTCGGGGGCTGGACAGAATGCTCATGGATCGGCTCGATGACGCTGGTGACTGAGGATCGTTGGTGTTTGTCGAAATCACGTTGTCGTTGCTGCTGCCGTTGCTGCTGCTGTTGCCGTTGGCCAGGTCGCTGCCGTTGTTGTTGCCGCTGCCATCATGACTTCCAAGCGGGTCTGGGGACTCCGTGTGCACCGGCACAAAGGGACCCATCCGGTGGACTAGGTCTGCCGGGTCTGAGGCATCGTCGTCGGCAAAGATATTGGACGGCAAAAGAGATGTGGCAGACGGACTCAACGGTGCGCCGGCTGTCAAGGCCCTGAACCCGCTTTCGTCCATCATCAGATGGTGCTCCGTGGCCAGGCCCATGTACGGACCCGTCAGAAATCCGGACTGTGTGGAGGGTCGCGAGGCACTGATGTACGGCGATGCTGTCGATGTGATCGGCCCGTTCAGATCGGCCAAGGTGTATGCCTGTGGCGGAGACGAGATGGCAACACTCGAGATCGAGTTGCTCGCACGGCTGCGGTGCTTTAGCTGGGCCTGAGACATGCTGTCAAAGTCGAAGCCGGGCGGCACATTCGTGGAAGCCCCCAGGGTAGCAGCAGGCCCTGCCGGGTTAAAGGGGCTATACGGCCCGACGTAGTTGTGAGGGATCTGCTGCATCTGCGCCGAGAGGATGCTGATATGGCCGTCGAGCCCCTGCTGGCGCCTGGTTTCGTGCAGGAGCCTATTTCTATACTCCAGCTCGCTGCGCTGCCATTCCTTGTGCAGCTCGGAGAGGCTTGCACGCCACGCCACGCCGTCTCCGTTGTTGGTCTGGTTGTCCCTGTCGTCCTCCAGCTCCTTGACTCGCTGCCGCTTCTCCTTCAGCTCGGCCTCCAGGCGCGAACACTCGGCCTGCGCCTCGGCAGTGCTCTCCCGCAGCTCCGTCGTCTTCTTCTGCTGTTCCTCCTCCAGCTCGGCCCGCTGCTCGTTGTATTTGGCCTGATCCCGCCGCATTTCCTGGATGCCCTTGTCCCACTTTGCAATGTTATCGCGAAGCCGCTGTAGCTCGGCAACCTTCTCTTTGAGCTTCTTTTCTTTTTGCGCGCGCCGCTGGAGAGCTGCTCGCATGGCACGCTCGGTCGAACCCTGTTCCCGCTTGAGCTTTTCGGTCTGCTCTTCTTTTCGCTTATGCTCCTTTCGTTTCGCTCGTTTCTGGGCCTCATATTCGGACATGAGCTTTTTCGAGTCCTCCTCCTCCTTCGCCATCAAAGCTGTTATCTCCTCCGTCTCTTTGCGAAGATTCAGATACTTCTGGTTTAGCTCGGCCATTTGGGCCTCCGTCAGCTTCGTCTCCTCGTTGCTTCCTGGTCCTGCCACAGACATGGCCGACTGTTGGTCCAGGCTGGCCGTCGATGGTGAATGCCTCCTGTTGACCGTATTGCGCCGGGAAGAGTGATTGATCCCCGCCGACAGATTTCCGTCCCGTGTGAGGCCTTGTGCTGTGTCCTGTGGGAGAGGCTGGGCAATGCCAAATGTGGACGTCACAAACTGCTTTGCCGACCCGTTTTCGTCGCCCCCTGCGGCATCCGACTGCCGCGACGGCGTATCATTGTCAGAGAAGTCGGTCGGCAAGCGCGCAGTGCCGAGTCGAGGCTGGCCGTTCGAGGCAAAAGTGCGAAGCCGCAGAACCCGACTGCCGGCCTGGAAGTTGTTGGAGCCGACGGCGATGATGCGCACGTTGTAGAAGTGGTTTGCCTTGAGCCCAGACACGGTAATGAGGTTATCACGACTCGTCGTTGATTCTCCGACTGTTTCCAATCACCGTTAGCAACCAACAGGACCGAACACCAGACTTGTTCAGAATGGCTCGGGAACCTTTCCAGATGATTACTACGCACCATTGACGCCGTTGACCTGGATAACATACTTCTCCACCGGCCGGTTAGGAGGAGGGTGTGTCCAGGTAATGGTTGCTTTGTCAGAGCCAATCGCCGTTAGAGAGACATCAGGTGGAACCGGCACTTCGACGCCCAGGATGTCAATCAGCTCGGGCACCGGCTTCCATAGCGTTTGAAGGGCTCGACGCGCCAGCCTGAAGAAGAAGCTCGGGTTAGTTGCCTGGCAGTCGAGTAGCGAGCATAGGGCAGGAGGGGCACCGTGCCTGCACGCGTGCAGCAAGAGGCGCCGCGAGAGAGAAGACGCCGCACAGGACGGAAGAGGCGGGGAAGGACAGCACGAACCAGACCACGGCTGCACCGCTAACGAGCATATTCGCATGTGTCAGAGTGAGGCCGTCGAGGCGCCAATCGTCGATGAGGGTGATGGACAGTCGGTAGAGGGCATTGAAGACGTCGGAAGCGCGGTCGGGAGCCAAGGAGAGGCCGAGGAGCACGAGCACGAGGACAGACAGCAGGTTGAGGTGGGTGACCTTAGGATCAGCAGCCCAGATGACGAGCACGGCAAAGCAGAGGACCAGCGAAGAGACCAGCGGCGGAATCGTCCACGTAACCCATAACATATCGTGGCGAGCAGCTGCGAGTCGGGGGCGGCAGAGCTGAAAACATGGGTCAAGACGCACAGAGCGACGAAAGAAAACCAGACGAGAGACAGCCGAGGAGAGGAGAAAATATGATGCCCAAGGGAAAGGATCGAAGTCCTGCCAAGCAGGTTGGCGGTAGCGGCCGCGAATGGGAGATCAGCTAAGGGTATGGCGTGGGTGTAGACGGAAGAGAGGAGAGAGAGGGGGGAGAAAGAGGACGAAGAGGAGGCAGCAGGATTCGCAGCGGCGAGAAGACGAAAAAGACGCCAGAAAAAAGAGGGTTAAAAAAAGGATCGTCTCCACGGCAAAAAGATGCACCTCGCCCAAGTCAGGCACACATGAGAAAGGGTGAAAGGAGAGTTGAGAAAAAAAAAAAAAAAAAAAAAAAAGTAGCCCCTGCTAGCTTTAACAGATCAACTACTCCGTATAGCAGAAGATGCATCTGTTTCCAAAGGCAAAAAGAGAGGCTGCTTTTGGGGCTGGAGAGGGGGGGGGCGGTTTGGCGTGTGGGTACGGAGTACAGAGTGGGTAGCTTCGGCCACGGCGGTCTTTTTCCAGTGGGCGAGGTAGTGGCCTAGAGGGGCGCTGACTAAAAAATGACTTGGGGGGGGAAATGAACCGACCTTCCGCCGTATTATCTCACTTCGTTACGTCGTAGTGCTACGACACATCAAGAGTGAGAGCTAGTGAAAAGAAGCTTTTTTCCCTTCTCCTACTTGTACGAGCTGGCGGGTGTGGCTTGCACCTCTGGAAGGATCCTGCCAGCAGTCAAAACGATGGGGCACAGGGACACGTCGCAAGAGAGGCGACAAAGTATCTTACGGAGTACGCAGGCATGCGGTGCCAAACAGCGCTAACAAGTGATTGCCAGCGGCTGGCGGGTTTCTATTATAGGGCCATCTCGGCGGGGAACGGGCTATCTGCAGGACGACTGCCTTTTTGCCGAGACAGATCATTGTCGCGTCTAGGTCTCTTCCTCTGTTTGATTATATTCTGGCGGCCTTGGCTGCTCCATTTCCCATGAGCTCGGTCGCCACCGCGACTGCGGTTCAAATGCCGTAGCGCTAATTACCCAACATGAGGAGCGAGCCGAGAAAAAGTGCCCTAGTCCGCAAGTAGAAGCGACAGGTTAAGATTGCCTGCTGCATCTTCTGACGGAACGTGGCATCGGGCGCGACTCTGACGAAAGTCGGCAACAGCTGCCCACCCGGAAGGCGTGAGATAGGAAAAAAACATGCGAATCAATCACACGGGGGGACAAACACACACCATCTGACGACGAAACGACTATACGGCCGTCGACCGTGGTCACAAGCGAATAAATATTGCATATCTGCGTTCGTGGGGCGCTAACACATGCAGCACGAGGGTCAAAACAGAATAAGCGACGGAAGATCGGAGGAAAAATAAATGATCGACATGCACGTCTTGCCCGCTTTTTTCTTTATCTTAGCAGTGCTACATACGAAACTGGTGTCTGGCCGAGGACATCGAGGCATGGACACAGCGTCGTCCTAGCCAGATTCTTACTAGCAGCCCACAGGTAAGGCCAGCCAGCCAAGCCGGCAGGCTATGGCCTTGAGTAAGATATGTATCTTGTATCGTGTTACCACCCTAGACACGTCGCAGACACGAATATTCAATTGGCACCCGCCCGGCAAGTAGCCATCGGCCAGTCGGCGTCGTTTGCATCTTACACCTACACGTCGAAAAAGGCCGCAGTTCCGTCTTCTGGTGCGGGGGCGTAGTAAGATGCGATGTCAGCCGCGATCGCCTAGTTCCGCTCATGGCAGCTTTACCCGAGCCGCAAATATGGTAGCACAAGCACCTGAGCACCCTGCTGGAAAGAGAGTCTGGGCGTACGCACGGCAAAAACAAAAGCGTCTGTCAAAAGCCGTGTTTTCATTTCCTACTATTGCGCCTATAGAACGTGCTCGAGACCCTTATTGCAGAGCGGCAGTCGGCAGCGTGGCCACCTTGTCCTTGTACAGCTTTTCGGCACCGGCCCACACGGGATCAGCGCGCCAGTTGTTCAGCGTCAGCAGGTAGGGCAGCAGGTCGTGGCTGAAGGTGTCGGAAGCCTCGCGCGGCAGCAGGCTGGGCAAGTGGTCGATGGAGATGACGGAGAGAGGGGGGCCGGACGAAAGGCCCTCGACGGCGACGGTGGGCTTGTCAAAGGTGGTGGTGATGGTGTAGATGGGCACGGGTGTCAGCGGGTTGGTGGAGTCGGCTGAGACGTCGCAGACGACCGATAGCTGGCGACCTGGCTGCTGCAGCGACTCCAGGCTGACAAAGGGCGGGATCTTGGAGCTGAGGTAGATGCAGTTGACAAAGATATCGCTCTGGGCCACCTCCGCAAAGGGGCCGCCCGCCTTGGTCTCGGCCATGTCCCACTTGAGCACCTTGTCGGCCGGGATGCCGGCCTTGAGACACATGTCGACGGCGCCGCTGCCACAGCGGCCGAGAGCTCCGATGACAATCACCTGCGGCACCTTACCGCCAGACGCCGCCTGGCCGGCTGCGTACGCCTTCTTCACATCAGTCACCAGCGCATCCTCGTTCGGGTAGCTCTCGACGGCCGGGAACGGCTCGTCCGCGCTATGCGTCAGCTGCCAAGCCCACAGCTCAATCGCCAGAGCGGCACCGCTGGAGATGTCAGTTCACCAGATCAGAACAGCAGCAGACAGAAAAACTTACGCAAAGCCGGCCCAGTAGCCGAATGCAGCCACCCGGCGGCCATTCACACTGAGGAACTCCAGGTCCAGCAGTGTACCATTGCCTCGGGCATATCTCGCCAGCACTGTGTCCCAGTTGGCCTGGCCCTTGTAGCAGTCTGTAAATGCTTAGTCAGCAGACACACGTTGCTCGTCGTCGCAGGATGACTCACGGGCAAACTGCACGTGGGTGTGCTTCAGAGGGACTGTGGCTGTGTCAGCAGCGGTTCGGAACGTGTGCTAGGGCCCCGCCATGCTTACAGTCCTTCTCCTCGAGTTCCTTGAGGCCAACAATGATCTCCTCCTTGGGCGCGTCAACCCAGCTGCCCTCGGGGATCAGCGTGGCGCCGACGGCCTCGAACTCGGCATCCTCAAAGATGCGGCCCGGACTGCGCTCGACCTTGACGGTGAAGCCGGCGTCGATCAGCGCCTTGGTAGTGGTGGGGGTCAGCGCCGAGCGGTGCTCGAGGTGCTTCGTCTCTGACCGCAGCAGAAGAGTGGTTCCAGACATTGTGAGATTGATGGCAGGTGGCAGCAATTGGAAAGTGGAAAGAGATGCAGTGCGTCTTGGAATGAGGTGCAGGCCCGATGAGAGCTATCAGACGAGAGGCGGTTGACTCATTGAAATTCACCGCCCGGCAAAATATTTTATTTTCTTCCCTTTCTTGAAAGCTTTTTAAGACGAATGCGAATCGCACTGTAAGAGTAGGTTCGCACTACAGGCACATAAACAGCCCACACACCGGCTTAGAGCAGTCAGAGCTACAACATGCAATACCAAAACAAAAGAGGAAATGAGAAAGCTTTGTTTCTCATAGAGTATACAATGAGACTGGGATTGCTGAAGCTACACGTTGTTGTTGATACAGTGCGATTAGCAATACTCTTTTTTCATTACCCCCCATCGCCGGTATCGCAGTAATATGCTGCCGGGCGAATGCCTGCCCTGCTTGCCCTGCACCCAACGTTCTGACACTAGAAAAAGACATTGGCCAATAAACTGCCCTGCATTGTACACTCGCAGCTGTCGCCGTGTTGAAATGTGAATGTCTACCGCACCGACCAGAGCAGATGACAGGAACAAACCCCCCACTTGTAGGGGTCTGCCGGAAGTGAGCAGGTGGGAGAACGACCCCGCGGTGCAGGGATGCGGGAACGTGCGTGGTAGCAATAAAGCAGGAGGTGAGAATTATATTATTTGCCGGAGTGATCCCGTACATTACGGGAACAGGAGGTGCGGCTTGCTCCTTTATTACAGGTGCACGAACACGTGAGATGCACTGTGCTGCCGGGATGGACAGCCGGGCAGTCGTTACTGGTCCCATTCCAGGCGTCGGCCGTCAGACATGGCAACGACACCTTCTTGTTGGGGCGGCCAAACCGCGCCATCAGCCTGCTACTCTGGCAGTCCGGGCAGCCGCGGCCGGCTCAGCTGCCTGGACGAACACCAGTCAGCAGAGATGTTGCGCAGTGCGGAGAACGAACTGCCTGGCGTGTGGGGGCTTTTTGTTGGGCCTGGTCCAGTATGTCCTGCTGCAGGCAGGCAACAGGTGTGTTTCTGGAGCTCCGTCAGATTATTAGCCAGCCCATTCCCCCCGTTCACATGCCCAACCAAACCACGCTCCACTCACATCCTTGGCTTCGACTCCTCTCAACATCTCGTATCCAACAGCTCGTTTGCGCATCGTCCACTGTCTGCCCCTAAATCTATTTCTCTATATTGTCTTCATCTCTCCTGTCATACTTGCTCTCTGCTCTCGACTCGACGCTGTGTCCTTTTTTGCTTGTTCTTCTTGCCATTGGCCCTGCTAGCTAGACAACGAGAGCTTCTTCTGTCAACTGTGTTCTTCTGACCATCAACGCGTGAACCCTCAACCTCGGCTCGGCCGCTCTCAGATCCATCTCCGCACCAACTCGCCGGTGGCGTTGCCTGGCTAGTATTGCTTGCCTCTGTGCTTTCCTCCGGCTTTCCGGCGCCTTGTGTGCCTGCCTTTCGTTTCTTCCTCGATTTGCACCTCCCACCGCCTGCCTCGACTGTCTCGACCGCTGCTTTCGCCGTCAATATGCAGTACGTGCGCAACCTCAGCGACTCTGTGTCAACGGCATGGAACTCGATCAACCCGGCCACACTTAGCGGCGCCATTGATGTCATCGTCGTCGAGCAGGAGGATGGCTCGCTCATGTGCTCCCCCTTTCACGTCCGCTTCGGCAAGTTCTCGCTGCTGCGCCCATACGAGAAGAAGGTCGAGTTCAAGGTCAACGGCGCTCGCCAGGATTATTCCATGAAGCTGGGCGAGGGCGGCGAGGCCTTCTTCGTCTTTGAGACCACCGACAACATCCCCCAAAGCATGCAGACTTCGCCCATATCTTCGCCCGTCAGCAGTCCCTCGCTCAGCCCCCAAGCTAGCCTAGGCCTGGGCTCGGCACAGCTTCAGGAGCCCGAGCTTCTGGCCCTCGACTCTGCCGGGGCTGGCGTCAAGTCGCGTTCGTCGAGCCACTCGCTGCGGTCGCCTCCCACGGTCATTCCCACCATATTGGCCGCTTCGGCACAGCAGAGAAACGGTGAGTTTTATGTTGTGCGTCTTGTGTTTTGCGTTTCGCGCCTTGCATAGACTCTGACGTCTTCTCGCATAGGCCTGCTCACCCCCCTCTCTGCATCGCCCGAAACGTATGCCGGCAACCTCAAGGCGGGCGACTGGTCGGCATGGTCGCAGCGGGCTCATAGCGACGACGTGCTCCCCAAGACGCTCCACCAACCCTCCGACACACAGGCAGACTCGGCCGACGGCGATGCCACTAGCACAAGACGGTCTGAGCGGTCGCGCAGCCCGCCGCCGCTCGCGCCACCCGAGGCTCTGGAGCGCGCGCTGACCCTGTCGCGGGAGCTGTCGTCTGTGAACATCCCCAGCCGCGTGACCGACTCGGGCGACCTCATGCTCGACTTGACCAGCTTCAAGGGCAGCGAGGAGGACGCGCTGCGCGCCGAGATCCTCGCGCGCCGCGTGCTCTCCAACGAGCTTCAGGGCAACTACGACGTCGGCGCCCTCTTCGGTATGGACGAGCAGGGCAACCTGTGGATCTACAGCAGCGAGGAGGCCAAGGAGGCGGCCATGAAGCGCGTAATGGAGTCGTCGATGGGTGGCGGTGCTGGTGGTGGCAACGGCTCTTCTGGGCCCCTTGACGCCGTGTCGGACCCGGGCTACCAGAGCGACGACAGCTCTGGGTCGGTGCCAGGCATTCCGAAGCATCGGCGCACCGAGTCGGACGTCGGCGGCATGGCGGACCGGAACACGCCGCCGTCGTCTCCCGGCCTCGTCTCGGCGGTCGGGGACCCGAACCGGAACTACGCCAAGACGCTGCGGCTGACTAGCGATCAGCTCAAGGCCTTGGACCTGCAGCCGGGCGAGAACACGATGAGCTTCACGGTCAACCGGGCGACCTGCTCGGCCTACATGTATCTGTGGAAGAACGACGTGCCGGTGGTGATCTCGGACATTGACGGCACCATCACCAAGTCGGACGCGCTCGGCCACGTGTTGAACATGATCGGGCGCGATTGGACTCACGCCGGTGTGGCCAAGCTGTACAGCGACATCGTGGCGAACGGCTACAACATCATGTATCTGACGAGTCGGTCAGTCGGCCAGGCCGACTCTACACGGACATATCTGCACGGCATTTTGCAGGGGGGCTACCGCCTGCCACGTGGGCCGACGATCCTGTCGCCCGACCGAACGATGGCGGCGCTGCGCCGTGAGATCTACCTGCGCAAGCCAGAGGTGTTCAAGATGGCGACGCTGCGGGATATCCGAAACCTGTATGGCAGCAACTCGCACCCGTTCTATGCCGGCTTTGGCAACCGGCTCACGGACCAGATCTCATACCGCACGGTGGACGTGCCGCGCAATCGAATCTTCACGATCAATGCGAATGCCGAGGTGTCGCTCGATCTGTTGAGCCTGAACCAGCTGAAGCTCACGTACGTCAACATCACGGAGGTGGTGGACCACTACTTCCCGCCCGTCAGCACGCTGGTCAAGGGCGGAGGCGAAGACTACACGGACTTCCGCTACTGGCGCGATGCGCCGCTGGAGCTGGACGACTTCTCTGCCAGCGAATCGGGCGACGACGATATTCGCGGTCGGCGAACCACTGCCACCCACAGCCACAGTCGTTATGAAGTGGAGGAGGAGGAGGAGGAGGACGAAGAGATGGACGAGGAGGACGACCTAGATGACGAAGAAGCCGGAGAAGGGATGGGCGATAGCTACATCTCTCGAAACTCGATGGATGAGTACGGTGAGGGCAGCATCCTCAGCGGCGAGTACGACAACGACGGACACATGATGGACTCAATGATTGCGGAAGAGCATGACGGTAGAGGTGCAGACGAAGAAGAGGATGTCTATGAGGACGAAGAGGAGGGGGGCGAGGACGAGGTTGAGGAGGTACAATCTGAAGAAGAGGCTGAAGAAGTGGTCACAGAAGAGGTCGGAGAAGGAGACGCCGAAGGAGACGTTGAAGGAGACGTCGAGAGTGAGGACGTGACTGAAAAGGCTGACAACAATAGCGAGGAAGTGGAAGACGCAGCTCCAGTGACACTTGCGGGGACAGAGGAGGTGAACTTAGCCGACAGTACACCGGCCAATGGCAGAGTATCCGAGGCATCCCAGGTGTCTGAGGCGACCACAACGACGGAGGATGTGGGCGCCGAGCTGATCACAGGCATCGAGAAGCTGTCAGTCGAGGTAGTGCCGGCGAAGGAAGACGAGAGTGCAGGGGCGATGTAGATACCAACAAGGACGAGGGAACGTCAGCAGCGCGGCCAGTCCAGGGCCAGCAAGCTGCTGCTGCTGCTTCATAGCAAGGCGTTTTGCGTGGATTGTCATCGTTCTTTTTTGCGGGATTTCAAAGATATCACTAGGCAATGCATCCGGCTTTTTGGGCGTCTTTTGGATTAACGGGTCTTTCAACTTTCTTTTAGAGCTCTTCAGGTATCTCATCTCGGTTCAGCTCTCCGTTTCTTCGGTGCCTTGACCGACCGTCTCAACCGGATAGTAGTAAATCATACAGGATTGTACAGAAAATAGGGATATATGTGGCTAGACTGGTTGTGTCCTCTGTCATTGTTCCACCTCCTACTCCATCCCCATGTCCTCGTCTTCCATCATGCCGTCATCGGCAAATACATCGCCAATGGTGCCACCCTCGACGCCGTCGCCACCGACGTCATCGTCATCTGCGCCATCGGCATCGCCCATGGTAACGTCTCCGTCGCCGTTTGGCCGCTTCTTGCTAGCAGCAGCGCCATGGGTGCCGTCTTCTGTGTCGTCGCCTCTGGTGCCGAGCAAGACGTGGTCGTGGTCGCCCGGTCCCAGTTCTTCCTCATCGTCCTCGTCGTTCTCGTCTTCAGCATCAGCAGCGCCGGCAGCCCAGGCGTCCCGGAGGCCCCAGGCGACGCCCGAGAGGACGAAGCGTTCACTGGGCAGACGGGCGCCCCATTCGACGGCGCCAACACGTGGCAGGGCGACGCGATTGCGCTCACGGGCGAGCTCGAGCAGCCATTCCTTGGAGGGTCCACCGCCAGCAGCCGGACCACCGGGGCCGCCACGAAACTGAAAGGCGAGGCGGCTGGCGATAGCGAGCTGGACGGCGTTGGCACTAACGGCAGCGTCGCCAGCCGGCGGCACGGAAGCGGTGGCGCCACTATTGGCACTGGGCCGGGCTCCGGCGTGTGTCGTGTAGGGGTCAGCGCTGAGATGCAGGGCATCCGACAGGATGGCCGACGTGTGGCGGTAGGCAAAGTCGAGCAGCAGCTGCGGCACGCGTGTCTCGTACGAGGTGACACCCTGGGCCGTCAGCAGCAGCTCCATCGTGCGGACGTCACGCGGCTTCACCGACGGCTGTTGTTGTTGTTGTTGTTGTTGCTGTTGCTGTTGCTGTTGAGCGGCTGCAGCAGCGGCGGCTGCTGCCTGAAACGACTGTGATGCGGATGTCTGCGAGGCCGGTGCCTGGCTCTGTGACGGCTGGACCACCATGGACTGTGATGGCGTCTGGGCCCGGTCTGGCTGCTGTGACTGTGACGATGATGGCGGCAGCACAGAGCCGCCGTTGGTGGTCGCTGTTGGCGACACGCCGTTCGTCTGGAAGGAGGAGGCAGCTACGGTTGCCATGATGTGGGCGGGAGGGTGAGCAGCCGGTCAGATTAGGCCGAATCAGTTCTGACCGGGTCGAGCGAGACACGCCTGCAGCTGGGGACAAGCCGCCTCGCAGAAGATTGTCGACGGGATGGCGATGCCGCAGGTCGTCTCTCGAGTTGGCGACGTGAAGATGTGATCAGAAGCACGTCAGGGATGTAGCAACAGTCTCCAGAAGCGTCGAGCGGAATTGTTCAATCACCGTATCGGGCCGGGGCACGGTTGGCGATGAGCGACGTCGATAAGAAAAGGCGGTGGGAGCTGTGGTCAGTCGACGTGGATGTGCGTCGCATTTGGTCGTCGATCAAGATGATGCTAAAGTAGAGCAGCACAGATACAAAGTACGAGCACCTAAAAGGCGTTCAAGCCACAGAAAAAAGGGTGGCGCGTCTCAGCCTCGACGGGTTTGTGACGGACGGGGAAGGAGCCAATCAGGACGCTGCTGAACAGACATGAACATCCGATAGCGCTTGCCCCGCGGGCGATTGCTGGAAGATAGTGAGCGGTTGCCCGTAGGGGGGGAAGTCACTACTTAGTTAGTCGTTGCCAGAAAAGGCAAATCCCAGGTATGACTCGAAACTGTAAAATTTTTCCCAGCAGTGTTCACGTTTGTGAGTCTCCCATCGATCTCGACCAGTCTTCTCTCTCGTGCCAGGACGTACGAGCACACCTTTCAGCAACCAATCCGCACCCAATCGACGGCAATGGAGTCGACGCTGCCGTTGCCGTTTGTGGTCAGCGTACCAGCCGGCCTGGACGGCCTGAAGGACGGCCTGACGGCGGCTGAGATTGGCTGTCTGGGCACGATCTTTGTCGAGGCCACGGCAGCCAACCTAGAGCAGCTGCAGGGTCTGTTGGCAGAGCGGGGCGCGGATCTGGTGCCGTTTGTGGACGGCACGGAGCTGGCATCTGCAGACGAGGCCGTGTCGTTGCTGAACAACGGAGCGCGGCGGGTGTTTGTTGGGCCGGAGCAGCTGGCCGAGCTGACGGGCTACGGAAGCCGGGTGGCGGCAGCAGTGTCCGGTCGAGACGCCGACGTGGTGGCAGCAGCAGCAACGGCAGCAGTAGCAGCCGAGCAGGGACTGCTGGTAACGGATTTTGACAGCGCGAGTGCAGCAGCTCTGGAGGCAGCGCTGAAGATTACGACAACGACGACGACGACGACAAAGCCACTGGTGCTGGTGCGGGCGTCGGCAGCATGGTCAGCAGACGTGGCAGGGTTTGTGGCGCTGGCGGCCAAGGCGGGAGCGACACCGATCCTGCTGTCGACGGCGCTGACGACGGCCAAAGCGGCGACAGTGCCAGACGGCCCAGACGGCAAGGTGTCGGTGGCCCGACTGCTGGCAGCAGTGTGGCATTCGGACCGGGCAGACCAGCTGGTGCCGACAGTGGTGACGGACGAGTCGGGAGCGGCGCTGGGACTCGTGTACAGCAGCGAGGCGAGCGTGGCCGAGGCGCTGCGCACGCAGACGGGCGTGTATCAGAGCCGAAAGCGCGGGCTCTGGCACAAGGGCGCGTCATCAGGCGATACGCAGACGCTGCTGCGGGTCGGGCTCGACTGCGACGGCGACGCGCTGCGGTTTGTGGTGCGGCAGCAGGGCCGTGGCTTCTGCCACCTGGACCAGTTCGGCTGCTTCGGCGGCCTCAGCGGCGTCGCCCGGCTGGACCAGACACTGCGGGCGCGCCGTGCGAACGCGCCGGCTGGCTCCTACACGGCCCGGCTCTTTGGCGACGACAAGCTGCTGCGGGCCAAGATCATGGAGGAGGCTGAGGAGCTCTGTGAGGCCGCGACCCCTCGCGACGTCGCTTTTGAGGCAGCCGACCTGATCTACTTTGCCATGGTCAAGGCTGTGGCTGCGGGCGTCGGCTTGGTGGATATTGCGCGCAGCCTGGATGCCAAGGGACTGAAGGTGCAGCGGCGGCCGGGCAACGCGAAGGCCAAGTGGGAGGTGAAGGAGGGGGAGAAGGAGAAGAAAGAGGATGTGGCACCAGAAATCCACGGACCTATCAAGATGCGTCGCTACGATGCATCCAAAGTGTCAGCAGCCGAGATCGAAGAGGTGCTGCGACGGCCGTCGCAAAAGTCGTCGGAGGCGATCATGCAGATCGTGAGGCCGATCATCGACGACGTGCGGCAAAACGGCGACAAGGCACTGCTGTCGTACACGCACCGATTTGAAAAGGCGACCGGGCTGACGTCGCCTGTACTGCGAGCACCCTTCCCGGCCGAGCTGATGCAACTGTCGGCAGAGACACGCGAGGCGATCGACGTGTCGTTCCGCAATATTGAAAAGTTCCACGCAGCTCAGCGCGAAGACAAACCGCTAGCGGTAGAGACGATGCCAGGAGTAGTGTGCAGTCGGTTCTCGCGGCCGATCGAACGGGTCGGGCTGTATGTTCCGGGCGGCACGGCGGTGCTGCCGAGTACGGCACTGATGCTGGGCGTGCCAGCGATGGTGGCGGGCTGTGCCAAGATCGTGCTGGCATCGCCGCCGCGATCAGACGGCACGGTGACGCCAGAGATTGTGTACGTGGCCCACAAGGTGGGCGCCGAGAGCATCGTGCTGGCCGGCGGGGCCCAGGCGGTGGCAGCGATGGCCTACGGCACTGAGAGCGTCAGCAAAGTCGACAAGATCCTCGGGCCGGGCAACCAGTTTGTCACGGCAGCCAAGATGCACGTCAGCAACGACACGAACGCGGGCGTGGGCATCGACATGCCGGCCGGTCCGTCCGAGGTGTTGGTGGTGGCCGACAGCGAGGCCAATCCGGCCTTTGTGGCCTCGGACCTACTCTCGCAGGCAGAACACGGCGTCGACAGCCAGGTGGTGCTGTTGGCCGTCGACCTGACCGAGGCCCAGCTGGCGGCCATCGAGGACGAGCTGGCGCGCCAGGCAGAGGTCCTGCCGCGTGTCGACATTGTGCGCGGTGCCATTGCCCACTCGGTCACTGTGCAGGTGGCCAGCGTTGCCGAGGCCATGCGCGTGAGCAACGCATATGCACCCGAGCACCTGATCCTGCAGGTGCGCAACCCCGAGGCCGTCCTGGACGACGTGCGCAATGCCGGCAGCGTCTTTGTCGGGCCATGGACGCCGGAAAGCGTGGGCGACTACTCAGCCGGCGTGAACCACAGTTTGCGTGAGTTTCTTCTTTCTTCTGTCTTCTGCTTTCTTCCTTGTCTTCCACTAACCTGTCAGCTACCTATGGCTTCGCCAAGCAGTATTCGGGTGTCAATCTCGGCTCCTTTGTCAAACACATCACCAGCTCCAACCTGACGGTCGAGGGCCTGCGCAACGTCGGCTCAGCCGTCATGCAGCTGGCCAAGGTTGAGGAGCTCGAGGCCCACCGCAGGGCCGTCAGCATCCGGCTGGCCAGCCTGGACAAGTGAGGCCGTGGGAGGAAGAGGCATGCATCGTGCAGTCATTATCAAATCAAATATGTTCAATCATCCCGCGAGGGCTTGCATCGTTACATCGTGAACCGGCTCTAGATCATCTCACTGCCACGTCTCCTTCATCTTCCCACAGAGATCGCACATCCACCACTGTCGCTCCCTAACACGGCCGCAGAACGAGCACATCCACTCGGGCGCCGGCATCACCACGGAATAGTCTGCTGCCGACGAAGAGGACCCGCGCACAGACCCGCCCGACGTCGACGGCGTGAATGCCACCTTCTTCGGTGTCTTGCGCGTCTGGACGACCGGCCGGCCGACTGCTGCAGCCACCGCCTCAACCGATGGTCGTGGCGGTGTCGGTGGCGGCCGCTCGTCATTGGCTGGCAAGACTGAAGGGGCTGAATATGGCCGCTGCATCCCGCAAACATCACAGCACAAGAAGCTCCCGGGATTGTGCAGCGTGCATTGGCGACACGTCCAGCCAGGACTGGAATGTCTGTCTCTGTCTCTGTCTTTGATGCCTCTCCCCTCGACCACGTCCCCGACCACAATCACCTCTGGCCAGGACCGCCCGCTGCCGCTGCCCTCGGGACGGACAGCCGTTGGGGCGAGGTAGCGTGGGCCCAGTCGTTGCCGCTCGTCCTCCTGCACGAGTTCCCACAGCGCCTGCGCAATGGCCGCATCGTTGGCTGCCTCCTCCTCGGCCGCCGTGCGGAAGCCGTTGCGTGCCGCCTGTTCCTCCAAGGCGCGGCGTGCCTGGTCGTCGTAGCCAGCCGTGGCACAGGAGGAGGACAGGGAGGAGGGGGATGACGAAGACGGCCGACTCGGCTTTTGTTTTGGCCCGCGAGCTGCCGCAGCTTCGGCAACCACGCGCCGAATGTCGGTGCCAGGGTGTGGCCTCGTTCCACCCAGACGGTGGCCTCCACTGCTGCCATGGCCATCATGGCTATTATGGCCTCCATGGCCACTATGACTGCGCTCTTTCTGTTGTTGTCGTCGCTCAGCAGCGATGCGGGCCAGCCGGCGAGCCTCGTCCATGGGCCTGATGCGGGCGTTGTGGTGCCCGTTTCTGCCACCACCACCACCACTTCCCAAACGACGCCCTTCAGACAGGAAGCCCTCGCCGGTGTAGCCCTTGAGGGTCAGGGCCATGTGCTCGTCGCGCAGCTGGTTCCAGAGCGCGTGGAAGGTGGCGTCGTGCGGCCCGTGGACGATGTGGGCGAGCTCGTGCAGCATAGTGTCGGCGACCTGCTCGAGCGGGAGGAAGACCGAGCGGTCGCCGGGGTAGCGCAGACGGACCAGGATCTTCTGGCCCTTGTTGACGTTGAGTCCGAGCAGATTGGGCTGATCGGGATAGAACTCGGCGAGCTCGCCGACGGTCCAACGGCGCGCACGCATGAGCGGCTTGACGAGCGAAGCCACGCGGCGAAGCATCTGGAGTGCATCGGTGGCCCGGGGAAAGTCCCGGAGATGGGAGTAGGAGAGGACGCGGGGATCGTGTTCAGGCATGGTGGGGGAGGGTGGGGGGATGAGATGAGACGAGAGGAGACGAGAGTAGACGAGAGGAGACGACAGGAGACGACAAGAGAGAAGATCAAGAAATAAGACGGCACGGAACAGAAGCCAGTCTCAGAAAAATAAATCCTCAGAAATTTTCTAGAAGGTCGTAAGCTGCATCTCGTAAGCAGAAGCGCAGGAGACTGTCAAAAGCCAATTTATAATGACCAAGAAAAGCACAAGGAATACAAGAGGCAAGACAGAGACAAGTGAGGCGTGGCCGCACCAGTCCACGTCACCCGTAGGAGCCTCTTGGGTCTATGTGCTCTGGCCGAGATGCAGAGGCGAGGCAGCGAACCGATAGGACAGAAGTCACGGGAGTAGAGACGGAGCACCGGTTACGCGTCCAATGGCAGCGGTGGCGGCTTTTCCGGTTCCACGCCAATGGCTGCGGCTATTGGCGGTCGCCGGCTTTGTCAGCGTGAGGGGCGAGTCTCTGAGATGGGAGCACAGGAAGCTACGAACGAAAGGATGGATCGAAGCAAAAGGGGAAAGAGAGGAAATTGCCAGTCCAACCAGTCTGAGTTCTAAGTACAGGAATGAACTTGAGACACGTTGTAGACCGTAGCTGGGAGATGACAGCCAGAGTCAGGTCCGGCAGGCTGGCACTCACTGTTCACGGCTCCAGGCACAGCAATGCCAGATCTTTTCTTTGAGACGCAAAAACCAGGCCCGCCAGCAGACAGCGACATGGGTCGCACCTTCCCCGATCCTCCCTGCCTGCATTATCCTGTCATCACCGATATGCTTCCCCGAGACCCCAAAAGCCTTGGTCTGTCGATCCATATGCAGCAGATCGATCGCTCGGTCAACCGCCTTCCCTCTAGATGAGATGCCCGTCGGCGCTGGTGCGATCTCTGTCTGGGCATACGCTTGCGGAGTCTGCGAGAGGGGAACGACGGAACGGAGAAAGATCGCACATCCGACAATCACGGCAAGTCTGACTTGTATCTGTTCATCATGACCACCAGTCGTTCACGCGAACCGGCCAAAGATGGCCTGCCAAGACAGCCGCGCAGGAGCACCTGCCACCACCACGGCGCATCTGGTCGACCGTCTTCCAACCCGGCCGTCACTCTGCTCGCTAACACAAGCACCGGACCGGCCTAACGAGTCCTGCCATATCCGCCCGCGAGACCCAGACGAGATCCACCAGCTGGTCGTTGCTGCGGCACGCTTCGCCGTCGCGCTCGGCACACCATTCTGGTGCCGAAGAATGTTTAAAGGGAAAAGCTGTCTGCTGAAATGCTGAATGGGCCAGTGCCAAGCCACCAAGGCGTCTGCTATGTAACGGAAATGTGTGCGTGTGTTTTGAAATGAATCTATCCGTGATCTCTTCTCTGACTTGACCATTTGTCAGATGGCCATCCAACGAAGAGACCTCTACGTGCCCTCCTCTACTGCTGCAGAGCACAGCTCCATGCTGTGTCTGTGCTATAGTTGCAGAATGCGCTGCCAAACATGCAGGCCGGGCCGAGATTATCAGCAGCGGGGATTGAGACTCGGCCGATATAGCAGACGTGCAATCACGAACAGGACAGGAACCCATTCCACGGCTGCATCCGACTGTGCCTCTTTCCCCATCCTCTGGGAAGCTGTGTTGTTCTTTCTTTTTTCTACATCTCCAAACGTGATTGTGCCATAAGCCACGGCCCTCCTCGGCCTTCGTTCTGTTTCATCGACAGACGTCGGGAACAGACGCTCTCCAGGGGAAACCGCACTTCTCTCCTTGGCCTCTCCGCCATGACCAGCCGTGGCCCCATGTCTGGCATACACTGCTGCATGTGTGCCCGCATCCCATACGGAGTACGCATAGGAGTGGTGTTGACGACCACTGGCTACACCTTTGCCAACAAATGGGCGGGTCCTTGGCCACTTCCGGCCCGCTGATTCTAACTGTCTCTCTCTCAGGCATGACCGTTCCGCCGCTGCCACCCTCCTTCCTCCCCAATTGTCCCGCACCATATGCACGCCGCCGGCCTGCCGTGTTAGAATTATCAGAGTGCGGTTTGGCATGTCTGCTAGCCGAGGGAGGCCAAGTAACAGCAGAGGCTCGAGCGAGGGAGTGGGAGTGGGCCTGAAAACGTCAGAAACAAGGCACATTGGATGGCAGAAACTCGAGGGAGGAAATTGATATGGCTGTGGAAAATATGATTATCATAATGACAAGCAAAAGAGGGACAGAGGAAATAGAAGCAAGATGTGCCTCCTTCCAATACCACTACTCAGATAGTATTCCTTTTTTTATTATATTATATTATATTATATTTTATTCCAATTTTATATTTTACTTACTCCTTTTCTACCCTCTTATTATCGTTTTTTCTTCTTTTTCACTCACCTTCAGATCAAGCTCCAGTCTTTTCTGCTGGGCCCAGAGGCCACACCGGACACACTCGGCCAGACCCCGGTGACTTTCTTGGCTTTTTGGGGGGCCGCTCATGCAGAGCCAGTTGTGGGAATCATGGCCTGCTTTCGGTGCGCCAAGTGAGACCTGTATATATAAGTAGCCGCCACGACCGCCACGACCGCTACGACGAACCTCAAGAGGCAACCACAGGACAAATCAAACAGTGCACAACCGCCAAAAGGGCCATTAGGCAGCGTCCTGTATCCTCTGGCTTTATCAGCCCCCACGCGACAGACATAAGGCCTAAATTGCCCTTGTCGGTTGGAGCCATGTACTTCGTGTCCACTTGAGAGGTTGGGCGGAAAGACAGGACTGTAGGGTAGCAAGCTGCGCATATGTTGGCGGGCTCCAATTGGCATGCCCGCCAGAGGTGCCGTTGGGTATCCATTCCGCGACAGGACGGAAAAGGGAAAAGGAGGGGGGCCCGAAGCACACTCGTGAGCTCGAGCTGACTGTCTTGCTCTGTGCTTCTCTCGCGCGTCGACATCATGCGCTGGCACCTCACCGGCCTATGGCCTGCAGCCCATTTGGGAAATAACCACACACACACACGCGCACACTCCCTTTCTCCGCATCCAACCAGCTGCAAGCAATCAGACCGATCAGCACACCTGCCACGGCCAAGAACAAGGAGCGCCGGTCTGCCAGAAATTCAAGAGCGTTGCTGCTCCGCTGTCTTGCCATCTCCCGTTGCTGACGCAAGATAATGGTTGTTGCGGCCCGCATGCCAGCCCTTGGACCGTCGTGTTGTGTCGAACTGCGTTTGTACCGTTGCAGCAGTCACCGAGAACGGAAGCGGGACCGTGGAAACGCCAGGCCAGTTCACACCGAATCTCTCCTCGCACAGGTGCCGATTTGTGCTGTGGCGAATCATAAGCGAATAATAAGCAGGCTGGTCCGCTGTGGCTGAACTCGCAGTGCCTTTGCGGCTGGTGCTCTTGCAGGCGGAGTGAGAGAAGAGACAACATGCCATGTTCGTATGTAGGCAGGCTGATAGATACCATTACCAACTTGCAGCACGGAGCTCGTACTTGTTGCCTGTGGCTAGTAAGATACAAAGGAGCTGTCGTAGTATGCATGCACATCCAGACAATTTCGGGTGAAATACTAAACAGCAGCTTCCCAGGCTCCCTGCATGTAACCGCTGTGCAGTTCTACCTGTACTCGCAGAGCCGTATCACTCGACCCAATAGGCCTAGCCGGGCTTGCCGCCCACAAACCAGATTGCCTTTGGAGGGGAGTCCATAAGGAACAGAAGCGAACAGACCGTAAACAATACTCTGTGGTATTGTGCATGCACGCTCCCAGGTCAATTTCCCACCTCGCGCACCCTCCGAGGTGGATCTTGATCTAGATGTCTCCATAGTCCACGAGCAATCCGCTAGCCACTTGGCAGACGCTGTCTTGCCTGGTAGTGTACGACGTAAAATACCTCATGCATCGGACACAGAGCCACGGCGACAATACCATGTACGACTACTATGTAGAAGCAGGCATCAAAGCTAGCCTTAACGGTGCAATGAGTGGGATGGCGGGCGTCAGATGCGATGGCCACTGGCGGGCTAATCCGAAAGCACCAGCACCGTCGCAAGAGCAAAACACATGGCACTCCGACAGTCTATCGTGCTCGAAGCCCAAGCCCGAACAGCGTAAGGCCTCGAATGCATGACTGCAAGTACATCATACACACGAACTGCATCGGCGAATCTGAATACGTCCACTGAACGATTCGGCTAGGCGACGCTCTCCGGCGTGTTGGCGGCCGGCTGCTGATCTCGACGCATACTATGTAGAGCTCACGATGTGTTTCGGTAGTCCTAAAAAGGAAACAATAGTCAACTTAAAAAAGCGAGAACAAAGCGTTGCTTATTTTATCTTTGTATTGCGAAACGGGACCCCTACTCCGTACTGTTCAGTACACAATTTCGTAAGTCGCCCGGCCCAATAATATCAAGGCTGAGAAAGCAACGGCGGGTGGAGCGGTAGGCGGGCCTGCAAAAAGGCAAGCAGGGGGTAGGAGGGGGTGCTGTCTGCAGGTCATTGCGTCTGGCCGGCCAAAGGAAGTCGGGAGGGAAATGCAAATTAATCCTCGTAAAGAAAAATGTGACAGATCTGATTGAGGGGTCGAGCAAGGAAGAAAATAAGAACACGCAGACACGGAAGCCATTCTAGTCAGCAGGAATGAGCAACAGCCACGAGTGCAGAGCAGTCGTGCATGGAAAGACGGCAGGATGGAAGGGCTGTGGCCCGGTCAGCCAAGGTGGCATCTCTAGACTGAGGAACAGGTCGTGGTCGTAAGATTGCGTTCAGCGGGCCTCCTCCTCCACTTGTCGACCCATATACGAGTAGGGCAAAACAGCCGGGACAACGGAATCCTCGCTGTGCTTCACACGATTAGCAAGCAAGCTGGGGGGACGGCGGAAGCCAGCAGAAGGCAGCCCACTATGGCCCATGGGCATGCAAAACGATGGAGACGCGTTCCTCTCCAGTCAAATTATTGTGCTATCAACTCGACCGTTTAGGCTCGTCGCCAACAGGCCGGCCGAAGATCGACAATAACGGGAGTCTTTGATTGGTGGACAAAGCAAGGATTAGAGAGCGGGCGGGCCTGCAGTAGCGATCACATAGCGTTGTAGAAGGTGGTGCGGGACAAGGTGAATATTGTGCGGGAGGAGATATCACCGACGTGGACACGACGCCATCTGGAGAATCGCCTGCAAGTAAGAGTGAAGCCGCGAGATGGATCAACACAAAGAGTAAATAATCCGTACAGCGTCTCGTACAATGGCGAGAAACTAGTTAGCAGGGGAGGTATATTATGGTACGCTGTTTGTACTATGTAGGTTTCCAGTCGCTCCTGCCTGATGTGTCCTCGCCGAGCGTGTCGTAGTGTTCAGCACCTTCCTCCTTAACCTCAAGACACCACACATGTGATTACGAACTTCCAGATATATGTCATAGATTCCATTATCGACGAGAAAAGATGCTCGTGCTTTTGTATCTTAGTAGGAAAGAACAAGGGTGCACAGTTGTAGCTCGGGGATTGTCGTTTTAGACAAGCCGAGGTAGGTGGGACGATCCTGGTCGCGTCGAGTAAGTGTATCTTTACATGTGCATAAAGCTGCCTCGAGGCAGCACAACCCAATGTACTCTGTATACGAAGTACTCGTACGAAATTCTCTCGTATATCCTTCATCTTTCACTAGGGACAATCACGACATCGTCTCGGGCCTAGCGCTAGCTCGTTGTCATTGGCCACGGCCGCTAGGCGTATCCCGTACAACAAACCGCGCCATGTTTGCCAGATTGGCCTGTTGCTATTGGGACGAACAACCTGGGGATTCGGCTGCGATTCTATTCGCAATGCAACCGGCCAAACATCCCGCGGGCTGCTGTTGCTACTGCTGCGGGGAGAAACAGCCGCCGGTCGGGCACGAGCAGAGGCAATAACACGAGAGCTGTTGCACGGTGTATCGTCGCAACAGCGCGCGACAGAGCAGGCCGGTACATCAACGCAGTCGGTAACCGCGTGTTTGGGCGTCCGCATCTACCTCACGGCACGAGGGTGCGTATCGGGCTCTGGGGAATCCACGAGGACATCGTACGCGTACGCAACACCAACAGGCCATTGCCGGCCCTGGTGCTCTCTGCCGTCCGACCTTCTGGAACACCATAGCCCGTGACACGAGTGGCAAACAAATAACGGTTGAAGGCCTGCTGCGAAGCGGTTTCTCATGGCACCCCTCTCGGCTTGCGCAGTCCGTCCTATGTGAGCCCTCACCTTGTCTCGGCCGGTTTCTGTGTTAGGCAATACAGACACGCTCGAGCGTGACCTGGCGGCTTGCAAGACCCCTGTCAGAAGGGGCAAGCGGCAAAAATCGGAGTGGAGCGTCGAGCGTTTGCGGTTTGCAAGGTGTGATGAGGCTGGCGGCATGTCCCGGCGAGGCAGCCGAATCGGTGTCGGCTCAGTATTTTAGCCTTCTTCAGCGTCGATCAGCCACATCTCAGTAGATGTCAATATGAACTGAACACGAGCACGGGGTGGTGCAACCCTTTTGCCCTTCACCCGCCTCAGCTTGCATCTACCCACCCCCTCCCTCTGAACCTGGGAGAGACAATCCCGGCCGATAAGGACAGACAACCAGGTACACTAAAGGGCAAGCGGGCGGACAGACAGACGCGAGAGCGGTTCGCAAAGGGATCCGTGTTGTAACTTCAGTGGGGGCGCCATGTCTAGAAGAAAGCGTCCCCAAGAACGAGTTACGAGTTGCTGCTGCTGTCACTGCTGCCGCTGTCCGATTTGTTATTGTTGTTGTTAGGTTAGGTTAGGTTAGTGGTGGTCTGTCATATATATTGCGGTCGTGGCGAGTGGATGGCTATCTCGTTTGTGCTTGCCGACCTGCAGGTCGCGGCCTGCTAACGGAGCCACGACTGAGAATCCACTTTTGGTCGTCAAAGGAGTGCCTCCCTCCACGGGCATCACCTCTACTCGGCTCCTTGACGCCTGAACCTGTGCAGCTGGAGCGTCTACCCGCCGCATGCCCTTTCATGACCGGCCACGCATCCCGCGTAATCCTGCTACAGCATCTTCATGCCTCCGTCAATATGGCCAGCACGTCCGGTCAGGCTGCATCCCACGCTGCCTCATTATAGGATCCCCTCATTCATTCCGTGTCTTTGCCCAACCTCTGCATAATCACCCCTAATCCGGACTATGGCCGTCTTTTCAGTACAAGCTGTGTCAGCTCACGTCTCCTCCCGGTGTGTGCTCTTGATATAGCAAAAGAGGAGGTGGGAGAAGGCGGCACGGAAGAGGGTGTCAGACTAGAGGAAGAATGGCAGACGTAGAAATAACAATGTCGACCTCAAACGTATATTGTACAGAAATGTACTGGTGTCGGCTAGCAATTATCGCAGATATCATCGAAAAAACCGGGGCCATTTTAGTCTGCAGCAATGGGCTTTCTCGACCAGTTCCTTGTTTAGGCTTGGTCCCATAGGGGAATTTATCGCTTTCCCTAATTAAATCCTAGACGTCTTTGCTTACTTTCCCTTCGTTCTGGTCCTTTTTTCCTGCTTCGTCTTTTTATATGTCGTTGCACCTTGTATTCATGCCCTGGCCGCGGCTGCTGGCCCCTTTGCTCCTTCCCTCCATCCACACGTCTTCTCTTTGGCCAGCGCTCTCTTGGTTTCCGTGTCCCGCAGGCCGCGACCCGCACGCAACCCCTCCTGCACCGTTCCTTCCTCCCACACCTTTCTCCCCCGGCGTCGCTTCCCTCTGCTCCTTGAAGAAAGATGCCATTAGCTCGCACTAGCCACTGCTGCTGCAACTCCATGCAAATCTGCTGCCGCAATGGCAGCGTCGCCAGCCGCTTTCTACCTGGAACGGCCTCTGACCACCCCGTAGCTTGCAGCGGAATACTTATTCTATATCCGTAGTGTTACTCTCAGAGCAGCCGCCACCTTTCTCTCTCCTTCACCTTCATCTTCTCGCATTCCCCAATCACTTCCACAAACTCACACCCCCCCTTCATCCCCCCCCTCCACTTTCTGTAGGAGTGACTCCTATAGGCAGAAGTTTAAGCCAATAGAAAGAAGAACGGCCCCGTCTTTCGTCAAGCTGTTTGGCCTCTCACCTTCATACCTCCCATCTGACCTCTTTTCCGTTGTATGCTTCAAAAACCCCATACGACCTCGCAAAGTGGTACCATCGGGCATTAGCAACTACCGGTGTTTGTCTATAAGCTATCGTGACCGTTCGTGGGGCCTCTTGCCGCTGGCTTCCTGTAACTCTGGCCGATCGGGGTGCCACGCAAGGCCCAGAACCCAAGAACGCTCCCGACGACAGGGACGGTGTCTGGCACACCGAAGCTGACAACCCCAGATCGAGGACGGCAATGGTTCCTGTGTCGAGCCGAGGGTCTTTTCCAAAGCAGTGCTAGGCTCTATTCCTGCATGACAATCCCTCCATTTTTACCAAATCTTGGACGACGCTTTCACCCGGCAAGCTCTACCTGTTCATACGGCAGAAGAGCAGAAACGAACAGGTTCAAACGAACGAAGAGATCAGACGCATGACAAACTAGCAGAAAGTGAGCGGGATAATCGACTAAATATCAAGGACTCTGCCTTCGCTCCTAGAGCCCACCACAGACACACCTATCGGTACGCTTTGTTCGGCAGCCGGCATTCTCTGAGAGTCCTCCTCCTGTTGCCCTCGTCCTACCGGCACACCACTTTGACCTGGCAATGCACCGCTGCCGTCTAAGCCATTAATCTTTCCTAATCTCGACCGTCCCCCCCTCCCCTCTCCCCCCTCCCCTCCCACCATCGTAACGACAACAGCAGCAGTAGCACGCCCACCTCAAAAAGCAACACTCAACTCAGACTTGCCCCATTTCTTCTACCACAACAGCGCCATGTATGCAGCCAGCAGAGGTTCCTTGGCCAGCCACTGACCTCCCCTCCTGTACACCGTCATACTGCGTACACGCCTACCCCCTTCCCCTTCTTTCACCCTCTTGATTGTACCAGCCCGCTTGTTTACCGGTCTGTTGTTTACCTTTCTTATAAGCCAGGCTGTCTTGGCATCGTTCACAGACGCTCGTCGGCCATCAATGTTTTTGTGCTGTTTCTCACGAGCCAGATCTGCCCCCTTCAAAACTATCTCTTGCCCATACTACCTTGACCGGCTTCCCTCCTTTCCCTACCAGCACCTTGTCGTGCTAAGGGCTCGGGGCTCAATATCACTTCCATATACTCCAATCTAGTCATTACGCAGCAGCTCGTTGATGTCTTTGTCTTTCATCATAACACATCTTCTCCTACCGCACGTTTCCTTTTGAACGTCCATATACTCACTTGCCTGGCCTTGTTTGGTGCTGTCACTGAGGCAGACTTTACGTTCTATCACCGATCGCGTACATATCATACCCCTCTTGTCATAGGTTCCACTCCGTTTATCTTGGAGGTTTTTTTTTCCCTCGCAATTACTATTTCATCCGGCATTGGCTGCATGTACGAATTTTATCCCAAGCATCCCAATAACTCGTTGTCGAATTTCCATCGACAACGATAACCATAACATTTTGAAGCATCGCCACTTCTTCAGGGATCTTGTCACGTTTGTACGGGGCGGTGGGTGAGAAAACCAAAAAGCCCAAAACAGCGGCTATCTGGAGCCGTAAATCTGACAAAATCGAAGACGAGAGCAAGATAACTTCAGACGATGTGTAAGTAGTAACGGTGGAATTCGCCGCAAGTAAGAATGCATCAAGCCCCCAATCTTCTCGAAGCGCCTCCATTGAGAGATGAATCACGAAAAGCCCAGCAACGGCCAATATCCGCAGGATCAACGGGCACAGATCAGCACCGAGTCTCACCCACATCATCGTCTCCGCCAAGGAGGAGAAAGGATACTATGTCGTCAATTACGACAACCGCGACGGCAGCCACCACGGCTGTGTCTGTTGATACCAACGCCGAACGCCCCTATAATCTTTCCGAGCCAGTTTCCCCCACATATCCATCGCAGGCGGTGTTTTCCGCTAGTTCCGGGGCCGACATTACCGGATCCCGGCGGCCCAGCCGGCGAAGAACCGGCCCGCTCTCTGCCTCACAGCGAGAGAAAGCAGCCCTGATTAGGAAGCTTGGCGCTTGCAATGACTGCCGACGCCGGAGAGTTGCAGTGAGTGCTAAGAGTTGACCCTTTGTACAGAACGTGACGGTGCCCTAGAAAGAAGCATCGAAAACGGCTGAGAAAGCTCACAGCCCCGTCCTTGACAGTGCCATCCAAACCACCACAACATGAGCTGGGAAGATGCGGTGCGGAAGTACAAGAACCATATTCCGGCGCAGGAGTATGTGCCTCTTGCCGGCCGTCCCACCAACGCTTCTCAGCCGATGGTGATGCCATTCCAGAGCGATCCGCAGGAGATGGATCTTGATTCAACACCAGTGCCGACCGGCCCGTATCCGGTGCAGCACCAACTTCACCAGCACCAGCATCAGCACCACCAACACTCCGTGTCGCAGGGCCAATTACATTCAAAGCCGTCTCCAACTCCGCTATCACAGCCATCCTCTAGTCGCTTGTCCATCAGCAGCGCCCCCCGCACGCCGTTGCCATCTAGTCGAACGGACAGGATGACGTCGGCGGTTTTGCCGGGCATTGAGTCTCTATCGGGCGATCTCCAAAGCGCAACGGCTCGGATCATCAATAGTTCTAACCCCTACCGCACGCGCTATGATGCCGTTCACGTGCAGCTGGTAGTGTGGTCTGACGACAATCAGCTGGATAGGTCTGCTGTCGAGAACCTCGCAGCGGTATTTGAGAAGAGATACAACTATACTGCTGAGATCATGTGCATCCCGGTGGATGTCTCGAGCCCATATCGATGGCTGGTTCAAACGGTGACAGAGTTTGTCAGCAACCGAGACTCGCGAGAGACACTCAAGATTCTCTACTATGCTGGCTGCAGCTATCTAGATGGCGAGCGTGAGATGGTCCTGTCAAGGTGGGTGGTTATGAGGATGCGCAGCACTAAGCCGAAGAGACGAGCGTGAGAGATCTGTCACGTTGGCGGGCGCTGACAATTTTTGCAGCTCAACGGACGGGGCATTTTCGCGCACGATTCGGTGGAGTGGCATCCAACAGGTGCTCGAGGACGCGACTTCGGACACGCTCATACTCATGGACGCGGCATACTATCCGTGCTCCAAGATGACACGCCGGGAGGGTGTGCTGGAGCTGATTGCAGCATCGGCAGGCGAGAGCCAGAGCAACAAGCTTGGACGGGTGGCGTTTACGCATGCGTTGATCAATCAGCTCCAGACGCGGCTGAACCAAAAGTACAGGGGTCCCCTGTCAGCCTTATCGGCTGCCGAGCTTCACGTCCGGCTGTTGTCGGACTATTCTCGGATCATGCAAGGCCAAAATCCCGAGAAGGAGCAGATCACAAGCTCCCCATCACCGTTGCACATCCAGATATCCGCGAATGCGCGGCTGCCATCGATCCTGGTTGCGCCTTCGAAGAGGCCGATGCCAAGCAGCCCCGAGATGCAGGCACCGGGGACACAGATCCATCTAACGCTGCAGCTGTCGGACAGCGGAGTAGACAAGGCTGGCTGGACTGAGTGGATGCGGCTGCTGCCAGAGGGTGTGCAGGAAGTCAAGTGTGACAGTCCATTCCGCAATACGTTCCGATGACACGGAAAAGCGGGGGAAGGGGACCTGGGCCCTTAGGAAGAGGTGAAAGCATCCTCGCGATTGATGATACCATTGTGTTGGGGTTGCGTTTTCAGCATTTGCATTTGCATTTTATTTTGGCATTACCATTTCTATGCTTTACATTTCATTTTCATAGCCTTGCGATGGCAAAACAAACGCTTAGGGGAAATTAAAAAAAAGATGATTAAACATGACGAATGGGCACGAATCAAGCAACCAGGCAATCACAGGGCAAAGAAACACTCTACGGCAAGAGCTCTTTCTATGCACACGTATTATAAACGTAATCGCGATTGACCTGGACTGTCTAACAAACAAATCTACATTACACTGATGGGCAAGTGTGCTAGATACAAGCAGATCTTGCACGTATATGCTCTACAGGAGCAGGAAGGCGAGGAGAGAGCTGAGAGAGGCAGCAGCTAGAGTGCGCATGGTGCTTCCGGCAGCAGGGAGACCACGAACAGCAGCAGAGGAGACGTTGGCGAGGAGGAAGGTGGGCTCGTAGGCGCCGTAGTTGGTGGTATTGAGGGTGCCGTTCCAGCAGTACTTTGCGAAGCAGGTGGTGCACGCAGCAGGAACGGAGGTGTTTGTGCGGGTGAAACTGCGGCTGAGGACTGCGCAGGCGAGACAGGTGGTCCAGTCAGCGTTGACGGTGCCGTTGCCCTGGGTGGCGGCATTGAAGCCGTTGGTGATGATCTTGTTGCGCAGGGTGAGGGTGTAGCTGTCGGTGAAGGTTGAGACGTTGCTATCGACGCTGTAGGGCGCATTGGGCAGGTAGACGACAAGTGGAGGGACAGTCTGGCCGTCGGTGAGGGTGAAGTTGGAGGCATTGCAGCCGAAGAAGGTGGGCCGCTTGTTGAGACCGAGGTTGACAAAGGTGTTGTCGTCGGGAACGGCAGGGAAGAGAGTGCCGTTGGAGATGTCGCCAAGCGAGCGGTCGTAAGAAGCGCGCAGAGCAGTGCCGTTGGGCCAGTTGTAGTCGGTGTCGGCGGAAGAGTCGACGGCGACGATGACATCGACCTGGCGGAAGGGTTGGATGAGCGGATGCAGAGGCAGGTTCTCGAGGTCCTCGCCGCCATCGACAAGAGACAGTTGGATGTCTTCGGCAGCCGCATTCGTCTCGGGATGGTATTTGTAGAAGGGGTTAGGAACGTATTGGGCAATGTCGTTGTTGTCGTTGCCGAGATCCTCGAGAATGTGGTCGATGACCTTGATGACAAAGGACGGGACATTAATCTCGGTGCTCAGATTAGTCAGCAGGAACTGGTTGAAGAGGGTAGAGGAAGTGCCCATAATATAGCCGAACTGGTCGAAGCCGCGGACACAGTGGCTGTCGTTGCCGGTGGGCACGACGCCGTTTGTGAAGTTGGAGCCGAGGTATTCAGTAGGAACGAAGCCGTAGGTCGTGGGATCCCAGGAGCCCATCTCGAAGGCGTTGAATTCATAGAGGGTGGCGTTAAGGGAGATGATGGTAGTGTTGGGGGCGCGGCCATCGGCGACGAGGATGGGGAAGGGGGTCTGGCCGGCGATAAAGTTGTCGGCGAGGGCGATAGAAGAAAATGTGTAGTCAACGCCGCCATAGGGAGCATTGATGAGCTGGTACGAGAGCGCGCGGCCCCAGTAGTCGGTGAGGGAGGTCTGGAAGCCAGCGTCGGCCTTGCCGGCGACCTGATCGGCGACGTGGGTCCAGTACTCGGCGGTGTCGATGATGTGGAGATGCTGGGCGGTCTTGGGGGCGGTGTCATCGTTGTCGAGGTCGAGCTGAACGCCGTCACGACGGGCGATGTGGCGGATGGCCTCGATGGCGCGGCGTCGGGTCGAAGTGCTGGTGGTCTGGGTGCTGCCGCTGTTCTGGGCATCGTCGCTGGGGCCGGAGAAGATGGAGTTGTCGAAGCGCCAGAGATCGGAGCCGACGTAGCCGTCACGCAGCTCGACAATGGTCGAGAAGTTGTTGGCAAACATGGAGCCGACCAGCCAGCCACCGCCAGAGAGGCCGGCCAGATAGGTCGACGCCTGCAGCAGACCGCCGATACTGACGTTGCTGGCCGGCAGATCGGTCGTGCGGCTGTCGGCGGCGGCCAGGAAGCCAGCTCCGTTCATCAGTGCTCGATATCCGCCACCCGACATGGCCAGGCCGATGTTGGGCACGTTGCGGGTCGACGCGGCCGCCACATAGGAGGTCGCGTTGAATCCGGTGATGTTGGCGGCCACGAGGAAGTCGACCAACGGCTGGCGCGTGTTCTTGCGCCGCAGTGCCAGCCACTCGGTCTCGTTGGTCGACAGAGCGCTGGCCACACGGGCAGCCGGTCGGGCGGCCGGGCAGTCGACGTAGATGGGCGTGTAGTTGCCGGACGGGTTGTTCGGTAAGGCACGGCCGTAGAGGGCGTCGGTGAGTTCGGTAGGGGCGGCAGCGAGAGCGGTGGGCGCGAGGGCGACGGCGCCGACGAGGAGAGAGAGAAGAACCATGGTGGAGGGAGGGTGAGAGAAAAGGAGAGGGAGGGAGGAGAGGGAGAAGAGGGGAAGAGAAGAAACGAAGGCTAAGAGAGAGAGAAGAGAAGAGATAGAAGAGAGAGAAGAGAGAGAAAAAGGAGAAGAGAAGGGAGGAAGATAATAGAATGAACACGTGAGAAGGGAAAACAGACGAAGGAGAAGGAAGAGAAGAGACAGAGATGAGAGGAAGGTTTAGAGAGATAACTTCGTACAGAAGACAAGACGGCCCAAACGAGCCAAGACCAACAAGAACCACTTCGCCTGTCAGGTCCTCATCTATTTCACCCGCTCACAATCTCACCGCAGCTGATCACGAGAGGGGCGTAGATATATAGTCTGCACAGACAACACAGAAATGAATGAACGAAATACGAAACGGAAAAGAGACTGCCGCCAGACACAGGCAAGATCAAGCCATATATCCATATAGTACCGGATCTACATGCAGAGTAGTAGCATGCAGGGCCGCCTGTGTCTGCGCGCGTAGCGCCAAAGGACGCTCATTCCGATCACCTGGAGACGGACGGATTGGATGGACAGGCGGAATGTCCGGAAGCTAGCCACAGCTCCAGGGGTCGCTTGATCTTAGGGGGTGAGGCTGAGCTGAACCGGTATGTGATACCCACCACTTGGCAGTGTGTGACGCGTACTTTCTATTCTGCTCCGTATATAATACAGCTCGATTTTCGTCTTCTTTCTTGTCGACTTCTCTGCCGAAGAGGCATAAATGCTAAAATACAGCCGCAAGCGTTTTTTCTTGCACGCTATCACGCCGACGCCGTGAGCCGTCGCCGCTTATGTAATCTCTACAGTGCGGCGTCGCCACTAAGAGTTCTGACAAGGCCCGGTTTTCTTCCTTTAAATTGGCGAGCGCTTACTCTATTTCTCACCCGCATGCGACGCCTGAAACGATGAATACGAAGGATTGCACCGGCCCCGGCTTACCGTACTGATGCCGACAGATGTCGTTTTCGCTCAAATGCTCCCGATCGGCCAAAGGCTTGGAAAACTTTGCTACCAGAGACAGCTGAGCTATATACTAAGATCCGACCACCAGCGCATACTCAGATGACACGGCCTCGGGGCTACTCGCAATCGATAAATGCCGAGACGCCGTCGCCAACGCTTTGAGAGACAAGAAGCGCTAGTCCATGGCAATCTTGCAGCAGCCGGACAGCCGGAGGGTATCGTGCGGAGGGCTATGTATGGCAGAGAAGTCCTTGTGCCTCGTACGAGCACGTGTAGCAAAAGTCGCTGCCGGCCGCTTGCGGTGTATCAGGTACTGTAGCAAGTTTGCCACCCCTGCACGATCACCGCGCCGATCTGGTGGCACCCTTCCGACCGCCGTTTTGGCGCAGGAGGCAAAACCGCCATAGGAGATCAGATCCAGCAGAGCCAGTTATGCCGTGTGTTCGTACAGTGCATATTGTAACACAGACTGTACGGGTACGCATACCTCCGTTGCCTGGCAACCGCCTGTTTACCCCATGATGGCCCGTGACAACCTCCACCTGCCGTTTCTGCAAAGCTCTTTGGCTAGCAACATCCTGGCCTCTGTGCTTCCCCACCTGCCTATCAGGCCCGCTTTGTGTTTTGATACCACCCCGACTGCGTAAACAAGCACATCGCCAATTCCTCGACAAGCTATCAACGCCTGTCGTGTCGAGTCGCCGACCGCAACAGCCACGACATCTCGGAGTCGGTTTCCGCCTGCCCCTACAATCACGTCGTCTCCTGGACGCTCCTTCCCTCCCCCCAACTTGGATGGACGCCCCTTCCTGAACGCGTGCTCTTCACCAGCAGAAAACTGCTTCTCTCCTTCTTCCACTCGGCCCTGCATTCCACCCTCTCAACATGGAGCCCCAGGCACCCCCCAAACGGATGACGCGAGCCAGAGCCGCGGCAGAGGCCAGCGTCGACACCACCGCCTCGGCCGCCCGAGCTGCTGCCACGCGAGCAAAGGCGTCCACCGCCGCATCCAAGGCCAGGTCTTCCGTCCGCTCCACGGCCACGGCCACGACCGCGTCTGTTGCTGCCAAGAGAAAGATCCGGTCCGACGAAGTCGAGACCGACAACGAGCAAGACGAGCTTGGCCTGCTGCGTGCACAACCACACATCATGAAGGCTGCCCGTGGTGTTCGTGGTCGGACTAAGAAGACGGCCACCGATGCAGATGCACATGATACCACAGCTGCAACCGAAGCAGCAGCCCCAACGACACGTCCTCACCGGGGTCGACCACCCAAGAACACAGTGACGTCTGAGCCGTCGACAGCACGGACGACGCGGACTAAAAAGACAGCAAAGGGAGATGTGGATGGTGCTGAGGAAGCAGTCGGTAGTGCCATGTCTACAACAGCAGCTACAGCCGCGAAGAAGACGACGCGCACACGTACAAAGTCCACAACGACATCGACAGGGCCGACCATTTCTGTCCGCACAGCTGCAGCCACGGTTTCCAAGTCAACCGCACCGAAGAAGAGGGTAACTTTTGAGGAGCCCGAGAAGGAAAATATCGCCCCAAAGATGACAGTCAAGACGGCCAGATCGACTGCCGCTTCAAAAGCATCCGAACCCTCCACAGGCTTGCGGGCTCAGCCAACCCGCCGAGCAGCATCATCAACAGCACCAAAGCCCGCCACGGCTGCACGCTCTGCCCGCACCGTCGCCTCTGCTCGTGGCAAGTCTGCTGCCGCAGGCTCGGGCGAGACGAAGGTCGAGAAGCCGAAGCCGCCAACGCCGCTCAGCCCTAAGAAGGTGACGCAGGTGCGCATGGCGCGGGACGACGTCGAATCTGAGGACGAGCTGGGCGCGACCGACAGCCAGCCGGTCTATGTCAAGCCCCTGCTGAGAAGCCCCTCGCGGCCTGGCCTAGGCCTGGGCGCCCAGGAACGTGCCAAGACGTTGACCGGAGCCGGTCTGGACCTCGAGTCAGCGTCGCGCGACATTGGTAGCGGTCTTCCGAGCGATGGCGTCCTGGCTGTGTCGGCAGAGCTCACAGGCACGATTCTGGCCAGTCCGGCACGCCGGCCGCCTCCATCTCCAGCCAAGGACGGGCTGCTGCGTTCGCCGGCTCGCCGACTGGATGGAGTGGTGCCACTGGACACGGCGGCTTCCACGGTCAACCCGACGCTGAGCAGGGGTCCGCTCTTGCTATCGCCAGCAAAGCGGTTCCCCATCCCGGCAAAGAGCAGTGGCGGTAGCCTCGAGGATGCCACGCGCTCGCCCTCCAAAATGTCCCTTCTTCAGACGCCGGCAAAGCGGCCTGCATCGCCGGTCAAGGCCGCTATTTTCCTGCAGAGACCAAACATGAAGCCGTTGGCAGTATCAGACATTGCAGAGGAGCTGGCCACGTCGCCGGAGCTGGAATCGGCTCTGCTGGCTCCCCATTCGAGCACGCCAGCTCCGGACGACGAAGATGATGCAGATGACGCCGATGACACCGATGACACCGACGATGACGACGTCGAGGACGCCGACTCTCTGACACAGATGCTCAGCGAAATGGCATCGAATGCAGCCGCACTACGGTCGGACTCGCCAACACGCCTCCGGTCGCGTGACGTACATGCTGCAGTGGCGGGCCAGAGGTCCCCTGGACTGACGGACAACAACACTGCCGAGTACGAGGTGCCCATGCCAGCCGAGGAGGACCCGATGGAGGTTGATGGACCCGCTGTGGGCACTGCTCCCGCCATAACGGCGGCCGTGCCCGCTGGAGGAGCGTTTGGACTTCGTGCACGGGACCTGACATCGTTTGGTGCTGAGTCAGACTCTGAAGACGAGCCAACACCACGGATCCCGTTCTTCTCGGCTCCACCAGACGCGGCTCCCGCAACGCCGTGCCCGGCTGGAAAGACGGGAAAGCGGAGAATGTCGAGAACACGATCGCCGTCGAGCAGGAGGGGCCGTGAAAGCTTGGATGGTCGAAGCAGCGCGAAGCGACTTAGAGTGAGCAAGCTTGGCTTCACGCCGTTGGCCGAGCAGCTGAACAGCTGGAAGGCCCACAGCCCAGCGAAGACGGACGTAGCAGCAGAGCCGTCTATCTTTTTTGAAGAGGCCATGGCTGGCCAGGCCGTCAGCTCTCCGACCGTTCAGGGGCAAGACAGCGTGGAGGAGCAGGCTGCGACCGTCGACAGCACGATACTGTCGGCTGCAGCGGAAGTGCTACCGCCCATCTTCGACAACGTGTCGCTCACGCAGGAGGACCTGGAGCTGGCGGATGAGGCCAACGACATGTCTCTGATGGAGACGGAGGAGATGGCAGACGTGGTACATCTGACGCCGAGCGCGGCCGACGAGTCGGAATCTGAGGACAGCCAAGAGTACGGTGACGAGAATGCAATTCCGATCGACCCGGCTCTGATGGAGCAGAACGCAGCTGCAGTTTCTGCCGCGGTGCCGCCGGTGACGCCGCAGCGGGTGATGATGCACACATTCCACACGGTGTCCAAGGTGCCGCTCAAGGCAGCCGACGAGTCATCGCCACAGTCGACGATGCGCCGCCGCAGCTTCAGTGCGCCTCGTCGGCGTCCCGCCGCCAGCAAGACGGCTAGTGAGAGCAGCAACGATGGCAGCAGCACCTGCGGTCTCACGCGGAACGGAACGGTGATCTCATATTCGCCGACGAAGAAGGATCGCCGGCGCGACAGCCGGCGTCAGAGCCGTCGGGACTCGTTTGCCGGTGAGGCGGCCGTGGCCGAGATGGTGTCAGACGAGGAGCGAGAAATCGTCCGTAGCCTGACCAACTCCCCTGCGCCAGCAACACCGGCAAAGTCAGATGGCGGCTGGTCGGTGGCAGCGACGCCTGCCCGCACGCCGCGGCGAGACATCGACCCGGCGTTGCTTCGTGGAGCTGTCGTCTTCGTGGACGTCTACACAACCGAAGGCGCTGATGCCAGCGGCATTTTTGTCGAGCTGCTCACGCAGATGGGTGCACGCTGTGTTAAGCACTGGCCGTGGAACCCTGAGAGCGACAGCAGCAGTTCGTCTGCTGCCGATTCGACGTCCAGAATTGGCATCACGCATGTCGTCTACAAGGATGGTGGCAAGCGCACGCTGGAAAAGGTGCGCGAAAGCGCGGGTGTGGTGCAGTGTGTTGGTGTCAGCTGGGTTCTTGAGTATGTTTTTTTTTTTGCTTCTTTTTCAGTTCCCTTGCCTTTATGCTTGCTTACTAACCAACCGACAGCTGTGAGCGGGAAAACCAGTGGCTGGACGAGGCGCCTTACTATATCGATACATCAGCGATGCCACGTGGTGGTTGGCGGCGCAAGAGCATGGAGCCGCGGGCTCTTGCGAACATGAACGGTATGATAGTGACGACACCGGCAAAACAAACCAACGTGGCGTCGAGCTACCGCGACTGCCGCACGGCACCAAGCACGCCGGCCAATGAAGCTGTCGATGAGTACGAGGACGGTGAAGGCGAGGTGGAAGGACCGTCGGAGTGGATGTTGACGGCAGTGCCGAAGACGCCGGCACCCGAGGCAATTGCGCGGTATGCAGCAGCACTCTCGCCGTCGACGCCGCTGAGCGACGAGGAGGAGGACGAGGACACGATCATGTCGCTGCACGACGAGCAGTCAACGCTGTTGACGCGCACATGTCCCCCCAAAAACACATGTTATCGCGAGCTGGGCGCGGGCATTCTGTCGCGTGAAAAGGACGAGGGCGTGCTGATGCGGCTGATGTCGGCACGGCGGAAGAGCCTGCAGTTTGCGCCCAAGATTGCCAGTCCGCTGTCGAAGGCATGGTACTAGAAGAAGGGATAGTCATTGGCATGGTCATGGTCATGGGTGCAGTTATTTGGGCCTTTGCTACGTGTTTAAGAGCATGTTTGCTTGTGACTAATACGGCAGCTGGAAGGAAGGCGGCACCGGGGTTCTTTCCGTGCCGGGAAAAGGCGTCATAGGCTATAGACGGTACCAAATTGCAGGGCATTTTTGATCGAGTGTATTCCCCAGTGATTCATATCTTCCGAGCCAGCACGCGCAACCGGACATAGTTGAGGTTGAAGGAGCCGTCGGGCTGGCGGGTGGTGTACTCAAGGACCTGGACGATCTCGCGGGTGCAGGCCTCGCGCTCAATCGGATCGGGGATGAGGTCGAGAAAAGGGCGTGCCATGAGGCGGATCCAGCCATCGACACCGGAGGTGCCGGCGGGGGTTGGACGCCATTGGCGCTCAGCCGCGAGGACGGACCAGCCGCCGACGCGGGATTCGAGCATGTGGCGGGCCCAGGCCTCGTCGGGGAAGAACCAGGGATCGGCGACGACGGTGGCGGCGAGGCCGACGCGACGGCTGACGGCAGCGACGACGGCGGTCACGAGCTCGGCCACATTGCCGAGGCCGCCCATCTCAAAGGCAAAGAGGCCACCCGGCTGCAGGGCGTCGCGCACGCCGCGGAAGAAGGCCTCACGGCGGTCGGGTGGCCGAAGGATCCAGTGCAGGGCGGCGTTGGAGAAGGCCTTGTGGAAGCGAGCCTGCAGGAGGTCGGGACGATGAGGGAGGTCGTTGGCATCGAGAACTGTGGGGTGAGTGAGAAGGAGTGAAGGAGAGAAGAAGAAGACTGACCCTCAAATGTGCAGTTGCTCAGACCGGCTGTCCGGACGGCCGTCTCGGCTGACGTAATCATGGCGAGCGAGCTGTCGATGCCGTGGACGGAGCCGTGGCCCTGCGCGAGGATGTGGCCGATCGACACGTCGAGCACGCCGTCTGGCACTTGTCAGCGTGGTCCGGGGACAGACACCAGGCCACTCACCCCCACAGCCAATGTCCAGGATCACGTCGTCCTTCTGCACGTCCAGCCAGCCGACAATCTTGCCGGCCAGTCGGGGCACAAATGCGGCTGCATCCTGGTAGGCCTACGGAAACGCGATCGGTCAGTCGTTCGTCGGTCTTGGGAGCAGAGAGATGCAGCCGACAGGGCTCACCTCGGCGGACCAGAAGTCTTGTTTCTCGGTCGTCATTGCTCCGTGTATGCGGACAGATACCTCGTTGCCTGCTGATACTAAATTAATACTGCAACAGGCAGAGGCGAGTTCAATCCTGTATTTATACAGAGACACCTTCCTCCCGTATAAACGCCCCGCGTTACAATTGACAGGCGTCCTAGCTATCTCAACACAATGCCGATGTCGGAGTCGGCGTCGATGGAGAGTGAGAACTACAGATCACGGTCTAGACGGTAAAATGGAAGTTCGATCGGCAAAGCACTCCAATTTTATATGCTATCACGGAACTCAATACAGAGTGGATAGAGCGGCCTACTCCAGCTCCAGCAGCTTGTACCTGCTGTCGCCTAGCGCATCCTCGACCCTCTTCATGGCAGCCAATACCTTTTCCTCCTCGAGGCGCCTGCCGACAACCTGGACGGCCACAGGCAGGCCGTGCATGGCGTCGGCGTCGTAGTGCTTCATAGCACCCTGAGCAACGCCATTGAGCTTCCTGAGGGAGAAGTCGGCGGGCAGCTGGTCCTTGGTCCTGTCGACGTGGGTGACGGGGAGGATGCCGGTGGTGTAGTCGAGCTGCACAACATTTAGACACGGCAACTAAAGGAGCATAATACAAACACAAGGAGACTAACCAGGTTGAACAAGAAGGTGTAGCCGCAGCTGCTGACGGCATCATGCATGGCATCATGAGGAAGAGCAGGAGTGGCATTGGGGGGAGTGATGAGGATATCCAGCTCAGCACTGTCCCACCAGTGGAACCAGCTGTCGCGATAGGCCTCGCGCTGGGCGACGAGCTGCCAGTTCTCAAAGGCCGACTTGGGACCCCAGCTGCGGACAAGACGGGCCCAGACAGGGTCGCGGCGGACGAAGCGGACCCAGAGGTAGTAGAGGTAGCGGAGGGGGGCTGGGAGGGCGGCAAGGCGGCGCATCTGGCTGGCACCGCTGTCAAGCCACTCGTGGGGACGACGGGCGACTTCAAAGGTGCGGCAACCGTCGGCATTGAGGAGCTGGGCGGCAATGTTGAGGGCGTGTTCCATGTTAGGGGGCATGGGGACGTGTGCTGACTCATCGGCTGACTTATCAGTATCTGTACTGGTGGCGGGGCTGTCGCGGATGAGGACGACGTCGTGGCCAGCGGTGCGAAGGGCGTCGGCGACGGAGTCGAGGGCACGGCGACAAGCAGGGCTGGGGTCGACGACGCCGTCGGTGGTGAGGATGCCGACGCGGAGTAGTTTGTCGGGGGCAGCGACAGCCTGTTCGACGTCGGGCTTCCAGGGCAGCGGATGGACGGAATAATCGTATTTCCACGGCTGCATCTGGACGACGGCGCGGGTGAAATAGGTGAGATCGGCAAGGGTACGAGCCATGGGGCTATAGACGCTGGGGACGCCCTCCTGGCCGGGCATGCTGGTGCGAAAGCCGAGCTTGGGCCAGCGGCCGGTTGAGCAGCGAAGGCTGTAGCAGCCAGACCAGGCGGCGGGCAGTCGGACGCTGCCGGCGACATCGCTGCCGACACCGATGCGACTGCCACCGAGAGCGAGCAGGGCGCCCTCGCCACCGGAGGAGCCACCGGGTGAGTAGCGAGCATTGTGGGGGTTTGTGGTGCGGCCCCAGATCGCGTTAGTCGACTCGAAGCTGAGGAGGGTGATGGGCAGGTTCGTCTTGACAAACGGCACGGCGCCAGCGTCTTTGAGCAGCCGCACGGCAGCGCCATCAGCCGCTTGGACCTGCTGTGTGAAGCTGCTGTAGCCGACTGACGCGTCGAAGCCGCCGACGACGATGGTGTCCTTGAGGCTGACCGGCATGCCAGCCAGCGGGCCTGCCAGGTTGATGGATCCGCTGGCCGCATCGCCGCTGCTACTGCTGGCTGCCAGCCACTCCTCGGCTGCCGTCATCATCACCTCGGTCACGCAGTTGGTCTGCTCCTGCGCCCGCAGCGCTGCCTTGCCGTACGTCTGTAGCACCGTCTGCGGCTGGACCGCGCCGGCCTGCACCTGGCGCACCAGCTGCTCGACCGGCAGGCCGAGCAAAGCGCGGTCGTCGGCCGTCAGCGCGCCGTGGTAGGCCGCAGGCAGCGCGCGGATGCGGTCAGCCCGCTGGGCCTGCTTGAAGGCGCTGCACACACGTCAGCGAGAGGGGGAGGGGAAAGAGGAGCCCGCGGCCAACGCACCAGTCCTTCCGGTACTGGAGACCGAGGAACGAGGACAACATGGTGGGTGGATGTGTGATTCTGTGTGGGAGACCGGCTGCTTGACGCTGGTTTCGAGCTCGACTCGTGGCCTTGTCGTCCGATCACATCCAAACGATCATCCAACAGTCAAGACAATCCAGACAACATCGGCCATATCGCTCCTGCCTGATACGGGACACAAGCCCCGCACTTGCTTGTGCCGCAGATAAGACACGACGTCCAGGTAATACTTTCCCTTTAGGGCAAGTCCCCCTCAACTTGCACAACCTCTCGGTCTTCGTCCGCATCCGTCCGTGATCTCGCCCTGACGACCAAAAGACCAAAAAGACAAAAAGAGGTCGGCAAGAGCGGCACAAGACATTCATCCATTCTCCCCACCACCCGAGCCCAAGCCAGCCAGCCAGACCGGTCAGACCATGCGGCTGACAAAGGATGGAAAGCAGAACAGACAGTTTGGCCAAGCCATGGCTACCTTCTCGTCACTCCGCTAAAACTGGAGCGAGACCAGCCGCCATTGCTAAAGTAGGCTCCATTGTCCGCGCCAGCTAATGAGATGTCAATACGCGGAAGCCCGGACGCCAGTTCCGGGTCCCAGACACTACGACGTAACGAGTCTGAGAAGCCAGACAGCCAGCATCCCGTGAGCCACGCCGCTCATCATGGTTTACATCCATGTCCAGACTTTTACATAGTACGATTCTCACGCCGTACCACGTCTGCCCTGCGGCTGTGCCTCGGCTGCCTTGTTGAAGGCTCGGGACCGTGACGACGATCAGGGATACGAAAAGATAGGGGGACGACCGACGGCCTCTCCCCTTTTACTGCTCGTACCCGGACGGCACCAACAATCCACTATTCGCCGGATTCCTGCCTATGCTCCAACGCTAGTCTCACTACCGCTCGGCTGCCACCATCTGTCAAAATGCAGGCCGCACAGACTGATCTGTGCGAGTGCATCATGGCTCCTGACGCGGTAAATTGGTCTGGCCAATCCGCGCTTCCAATCTCCCCCCAAGGCTCCGTCTGTCTCTTTCTCTCGCGCGCGCTCTCTCGCACGGGCAACACATACGCGTGCACGCACAACCATCTTACTGCTCCGTACATAGTCCACCTCGCGCTTGATTCTGCAGGGATTCCCCTCCACCCACCCCCTACTCGTACCATGCCCCTGCTCCTGCTTGAAGTCGCACACACACACACACACGTCTGCAACCATGTCCGCCGATGTGGAGCACAGATGCACAATCTCAACCACAAAGATCACCTGAAATTTCGCTTCCAAGCCGTCGGGTCGCCCAAGAAGTCGGCGCTTAACCACCTCCATTCGTTGGCTGTCGGTCCAACAATCTGCCCGACAGCCTCTTTTGGCCGGCTCCTTCTCGACTCTAACACCACAATTAGAAATCGAACTCATGATTTTCCCACTTGGAGGGGGGGCGTGAGGACAATGTCTTTCCTGCAACGGCTGCAACAACTGCCAACGACTGCACGCTACGCAGGTCGACGGCTGTTGGTTCTGCGAGACTCGTACGGCCCCTCACTGGGCCCATTTCCCACCAATTCAACCGGGACATGGACATTGATCGGACTAGGCCTCTTGTTTGTCCGCCATGGCCGCCAGATGCTGGCCTGCCTGTCCGCCTGCCGCCTAAGCGCACTGCCGCTGCCAGGGGTAGATGGATGAGCTTTTGACCGCGCTGCAAAATTGTAGGACCACAGGACTGCAGAACTGCAGGATTGCAGGATTGCAGCACAGCGAGACCAAAAAAGTGACATATGCACCGCTTAACGTGAATACGAGTTCTCGTAGACTAGGGGGGGGGGGGCACGAGAACAGACGACAAGAGCTAAGAAGAGGACACCGAAAAAGAAGAAAAACAGCAGCCGCTGTAAACGAACATCGGTGGAGGCGACAGACGATCGGGCGCTTATCTCGAACAGGAAGCGGCCTATATGTGCGGCTGCGCTGCGTTAGCCTTGTTAGCCGGCCTTCTGGCTGCTGCGCTCAACTGCTCACACCATCGCACCATTGCGCATCGTGTCTCTCTGGACATGCGCAGGGACTTGCCGTGGGGCACTGCTACGCTGAACAAGACCAGCTGGGCTAGTCTTCTGCTCAAGCTACCCGGCTCGGCCGGCATCTGTGTCGTCCTACCATGTAACGGTCGCCAAACCCACCCAACTAGAGAGTGAGCGAGATTGGACGACATGGGTCAGCGTGGTGAGCGAGCTTGAGCCTGGCTGCTCTCCCTACTCTACGTCGTACTACTACACGGCCTGTCTCACCAATGGCTGGCCTGCGAGAATCCGGTTAGAGACCAACCCGGCTTCGGGGGGTCATCCTAGGCCCGTCTGCAGGCTTCGATCGGACGGCCAGCAACGGCAGATTGCCTCTAATCTACTTTTCCGACTCTGGCCGGCACGAAAGACAAACGAGCTGCACCTCTGCCAGGCAAACGCGTCTGTGGACGATCAGTCAGAACCGGGCTCCATATTGCCGCAGAACAAAGTGGCCCTGGAAGGAGCGGCAGATTGGACGGCCTGTCCTATTGGCCTCTACCTCTCTGCCTCCTCCTTTTTCCTGCACCTTTATGTCTTCTCTTTCTCTCGGCCTTCCTCGCAACACAGACGCCCCTCTCCCCACCCCGGCATCTGTATTAGCTCGCAAGACGCCTATGCACGCCAACGCCAGGCACACCGCACGCGCACATGCACCACCACAAGCGCAACTCGACCCTCCACCAGGTCGTCTCGCCACAGAGACCGCCCTCTGCTCCGACTCCTACTGCCGGTTACACACAAAACCCCAGCACAGTCCCTCCCCCCCAACTCTCCCTGTAATGGCCTCTCCAGAAGATGCCGTCCTTCGTCCAACAGACTGAGACTCGGGGCGTTGTTGGCAAACGGCTTCCAACATTGTCTTTGTTGCTGCTGCTGTTGCTTCCAGCCCGATCAGCTAATCCGCCGCTGTTGCTAAATCCTGGACTCGTCCTTTTTGATTTTCCCTTCACCTCCAACAGCCTCTCCACATCCACACTTTCTGATTTTTTACACCCCCGCCTGCCGTATTGCCCAGCTGCAGCAGGGATGCATCATAGCACCTTTTCCACAGCTGCGGTTCACATCTCCGCTGCCCTATCAAGATACGGGGAAGCACACCATCAGCACACGATAGGCCGCGTTCTTGGCTGACCGATACCGATGCAGACCACCAGACTCCGTACCGACTGATACTCTGAGACTTTTGCACTCGTATAACGTTACTCTACCTTGGATGACGTCTGTGAACGGCCGGCGGAACAGAGACGAGCTCTCGCATCACCGACACCAGCTGTTATCTCTATTCTTCATGCGTGCATACAAGCACATATATATGTATGCAACCGGTCCTTCCTTTCCTCTTCGGCCTCGATCAGCCACGCATACTCACTCTTGGGATGCAGCTTGACATTTCAACGTATACAATAGCCATCGATCTCTTACAGTCCATCGAACAGGCCACCCCCATCTCCTCTAAGCTCGTCTGTGTCGCCATGGACCACCACGGCCACCCGCCATTGCATCTGCCATCTCCACCACAGATGCCGGGCCACTATCACTGGCTCCTGCATCTGCCGCCGGCCTTTTGGGCTCACATGAACCTCTACCTCGACTACCACGACATCCTCAACCTGTCCATGCTCAGCTCGCAGTTTCGCGCCGTGCAAGTCGAAAAATACCTGCCCTGGACGGCCCGACACGCCGCCGTCGCACGCTGTGATCGCGAGGCGGCAGCGCTCGTCGCTCGGAGGCACGGCTCGCAGTACTGTGCCTGCTACATCTGCTTCCGCATGAAGCCCGTCGACGAGTTCCAGCGTCCCTCGGACGCGTACACCTTTGCCCGTGTCATCCAGCGCGACGCGTACACCGGCCGCCGCATCTTTGAGCCCGTCGGTGAGCCGTTGCCGGGCGAGGTCGGCAACATTGTGCAGCCGCCATCCATGCCATCGTCGCCGGCCGGCATGGGCATGGGCATGGGCATAGGCCTGGGCATAGGCATAGGCATGATGGGCATCGGACCGTCAGGCTCCGACCTGACAAGACCGGTGCCCGGACACATGCCAGTACTGCAGATACACACGTCGCGTGGACCAGTGGCGATAGTGTCCCGATCCGGGTGGACGCCACAGGCTCCAGGAGCCGAAGTTGGCCAGATCGAGAGCTTGCGACGGTACTGCATAGACTGCGCCCTGGAGACACGCCTGCTGGTGCCGGCAGACGTGACCACGACGCAGGACAACCAGCGGCTGTGGGTGTGTCGCTGCCGGGAGGCATGGCCAGAGACGGTCAGGCGCTGCGACTCGTGCCAGATGAACCAAGTCTTCCGAGACTGACTTCTTGGGGGGCTCCTTCTTTTCGTCTGCCCTTCGCCTTTTGCCTTTGTTTCTATTCTTTCCCCTTTTCATTCTTCTTCTTCTTATGCTTTCTAGTCTATGGAGGGAGACTTCTACCTGTGTCGACTGTTAGCAACCGATTCCATCCCCAAGACTGTATATACACAAGTATATTTGTTTCTCTAGTCTGGTAACCTTGTCTTTTCTACTGGTGGTGTTTGTCTATGAACGTTGTACGACTGCTTGCATGTAGCGCAATGCTTTGCCAGAACACACTGGAACAAAGTAATCCTTTTTCATTTCCTAACAACAGTATCCATTCCTATGCAAAGATTTGGTGGAGGAACCCTGTTTTCTAGCCGAGACCGGTTCTCTCTAGTTTCCCGCTTTGTCTCAGCTTCCGAGGCCGTCACGATTGGGCCATACAGTTTTGTGGCATCGTGTTTCCCGTTTTGTTGCGATTGACATTGCTTGCAAAAACGACATGCTGTATGCCTCGAATGTTTCCTCTCAACTCAAGTGTAATTTCTCTCTCCTATGTACCAATGTCGACAATATTCACCATCAGATACATCTCTAGTGGAATACGCCGGCTGGAGATGCCCTGTACTCTTTACAGCTCCACGAGCAACCAGACAAGCGGAACAATAGCAAGGAGCAGGCTCGCGGCGAGAGCCACTGATGTAACAGCACCAGGGTATCTGAGCCCATTCGTCTTGCAGGCGAACAGTTGGTTATTGGACGACCCTGGTAGATGTTTCTGGCCCCGGACAGCCTCAACGCGGCACCAGAAAGAGCAGGGCGAAGCGACGCGGGACCGGAGACTGGTATTAGGGCCAATAAAGGAAAGAATGCTACGAGAGGTCATGGTTGCACAAGGCCTCGTCGATAGAGAACAAAGGTTGCATAAATCTATTGTGCTCTCTGCCACAAGGTGCATAAATAGTGAAGTGATGAGTAATCCGAATTGGCCCAGCAATTCCTTGGCTTTCTTTCTCACAGCTTGTCGCAGATGCTCATGTCTGAATTTGAGGTCGCAGCCGCCATCGCGATTTAGGAGCAAGACGGCCGAACAGGCCGGCCGAGTCGGACTTTCAGTCTATCAGCACAGCCATCTCGCGGCTAAGATGAAGGACCCAGGGGGGCAGAGTAGACAAGAAAAAGGGGCAGTGGAGAAGCGCAGCCAGAGCAGAATCATGTCCCCAGCCAAGTTCTCCTAGGCCTCAAGGCGTCTGGCCAGGTGCATCGGCTGCTGGTCAGTCCACCTTTCCGATCGCATAGCGACATGCCGATGAGGCGACGAGCACGACATCTCCGGCGAGAGCAGGGGCATGTCTTGGCGGCTGTGATTGAACAATGGCCGTGGGCGAGGGAAGAGAGGCCGCCACATCCATTGACTCCTAATTGTCCATGGTGTGCAGACGACTTTACAGGGCCCTACGGAGGCTCCACCGAGGCGCCAGTGGAGCGGCCGGGGCTTTTCGGCGCTGTCTGGGTGCTGAGAAGGTGCTGCTAAAAAAAGGTCTGGGCTCAGGTTACACGAGCACCTGCCCGATTTTCGAGCTCAGCTGACCAACAATTCGTGCTTCTCTCACCGGTTTCTCAGCCTGTGCTCCAATTTGCTTCACGCCGGTCAATTGGTGGCGCCGTCTACCCTGTCACGCAGTCGCTCAATTGAAGTTTGCAGTCATGGAGTCAACCTTTTCTGTTTGCCTGGGGCAAGACTCCATCGTCAAGTCGCATCGAAGTTTCTATCCTCAGGCAAAGTAAGACGTCACTTAACTTACCCTCCGTAAAAACACTACACCTCCCAAGCGTCAGACCGAAGAGCTTCACACACTCGCCACAATGCCGCTCATCGACCGTGTCTACAGCCTGGGTCTCTTGATCGACACCGAGCCTCCGACGCCCAAGACCCCAAAGGTGAGCGTCTGAGATGAAGTGCTACGTTTCAGTTCCTTGCTCACCTTTTGCAGATCATGCCCAATGTTCGGCCAAAGCCAGCCGAAAAGGCGCCTGGCGATGCCAGTCCGTCTGCCGTAGAGGGCAGCAGCACGTCGACCGAGGAGGCGGATCTCACCAGCGATTGCGAGACGCTATCCTCAGTCGACAGCGATAGTGCGTGCGACAGCATCCACGACAGCGAGGACGACGACAGCGACTGGGCCGTGAAGACGCCGAAGCGCATCGACCACGTGGCCGAACAGGGCCGGGCAGAGAAGTGTCGACGACAGTCTCGCTCGTCCGGACGATTCCACGAGCTCAAACAGGCGGCTGTCGACGAAGACGCATCTGCCGGGTTCCGACTTTGTGGATTCAGCAACGGCAAGCGGGTTTACCGTCTTGAGTCGCCGTAGGTGATGCCATGGAGAGTGTGCGAGTCCTGTTTCTGACCAGATCAGATACACGAAGAAGCTGCGCGACTCGACGGTCCGGACGGCCGTCGGGCTCTGCTACATGAATCTTGCGGCCGTCTGTCCGCCAGCCGTGGTGGAGGTGCCGAGCAGCGAGGATGACAAGGTCAAGCACGTCAACGGCGCCTTTGCGATCCGGCCGTCCGCGCTGGGCGGTCTGGGGGCGTTTGCGCTGCGCGACCTCGCACGCGGCGAGCACATCCTGGTGGAACGGCCTCTGCTGCGGACCGACTGCTTTCACCTGTGCGCCGAGCTGGAGCGGCTGTCTGCGCCACAGCGGGCGGCGTTCTACGCGCTGGCCGGCCACCATCCGGACACGCGAGCATCGGCAGCCGAGCGCATCTGGACGGCCAACACGTTTATGGCTGGCACGCTCGAGGGCGTCTTTCTGCTGGCGTCGCGCTTCAATCACGCCTGTCCGCCGCTGAACAATGTGCTCTACCGGTACGACCGGCGGCGGGACGTGCTGGTCATGACGGTGGCACGCCGCATCGAGAGCGGCACAGAGCTGCTGATCTCGTACGGTAAGACGCCGGCGATGCTGTTCCAGCGCTTCGGCTTCCGCTGCACGTGTGGTGCCTGTTCCGGATTCAGCGAGGAGATGGCCGCCCGGTACTGGGACATGAGATGGGCGTAGGGCAGGGACAATGTGAAAGAACACCGGGATGGATCCAGCCAGACGTAAAAAAAATAAAAAGAATAAGATAGGATACACGCTGTAGACTTCGGTCTGTAGATTAGTCAGCAATGATCTAGATATCGCTCCACTTTAGACTGGCTACGTCATGTTCGTAAGACGGCCAGTGATTCGGCCGACTTTCGACATCCAAAGGCCGCAAGGGTACAGAACAGACAGCGATTAAGCGCCAGCCGGACGAGCAGATCGATTCCGCTTCTTCCCTTGCTAGTCGCCCGCATCAGCGCTCCTTCTCGCATACGCATCGACGCATTGGATCCGCCCCTTCGGAACGGCACGTCCAGATCGCCAAGACATTTGTTGCACACGCAAGACACGTCATGGTCTGTCCGATACGCACGCTGCAGGCCGGGCTGGCGCTCGTGGCAGCGGCAGCGGCGGGTGCCAACCTGTCGCTCTCGGCCTTTCTGGTGCCGCGGCTGCTGGAGTCGCCGCCGGCCGCGATGCTGCGCCAGTGGCGCCGCATGTACGAGTCCGGCCGGCTGGCCTCTGTGACCACCAGCGCGCTCTTCTCGGCCGCTCAGGTGGCCGTGTACCTGGTGCGCTGGCACGCCGCAGCAGCCGGCACCTCCTCTGGCAGCGGCCGGCCGTCGCGGCTGCCGCTGCTGGCTGCTGGCCTCGCCACCGCCGTCATGCCCTACACGTTGACGGCTATGCAGCGGACCAATCGGGCGCTGCTGGCGCGCTCAGCCAAGGCCGAGGCTCAGACCCAGACCACGGACGAGACCGTCTACACGGCCCAGGAGATCGCATCGTCTCGCTACCTCGTCGACCACTGGGGCGTCCTCAACCTCGTCCGGTCTGCCCTCTGGTCGGCTGCGGCCACAGTCGGCATCGCGGCCGTGCTGTAGGAGACGACGACGGCGACGAAACAACAACAACAACACCAATTGTTTGTGCAGCATCTCAAAGCTCATCCCCTTCTATTTGGATATACGCTAAAGCAAGCTTAGTAATAGCTTAGTAATAAAACATGTTTCCCGTCGGCAGACCACTCTTTTTAGCTATATATCTTACATGGCCCTCAAGGAATGCAAAAGTCGATCCAGCTACCGAGGTAGTCGAGACGGTTGTTAGACGCCTCCTCGGCCTTGAAGATGGCCTCGAACTCGGGGTAGCTCAGCCTGCCCCAGCCGCCACGCTGGGCCGCTTCTTGTTCGGCCAGGTCCAGCTTCTTCCACTGGACCAGCGTCGCCTGGGGAATGGGCGTCTGCGTGCTGTGTGTACCGTTTCGGTCGTGGCCGTTTCTGCCGTTTCGGCTGTTGCCGTTTCCGTTTCCGCTTCTGTTTCGGCTGCTGTTGCTGCTGTTGCTGCTGCCACCATTGCTGTCGCTCTCGCTCGTTGCTGCCGCAGACAGGGTCGAAAAGCCGTGCGCGGTCGGCGTTGACGGTCCGCCTGAACTGGTCGCCACTGTTGCCGCTGTCGAGACAGCGGCGAGTGCGTCTGCGAAGAGCCCATCGCGCTCTTCTTCCTCCCTGTCCTCCAGGTCTGCTGCCGAGTTGGGTCGGAACTGCGGCATCGTCGGATCTCTGTATGTCGGCTCTCTGCAAGTTGGCTCTCTGCCGATCGGTTGCTCGCTGCCTTGACCGACTGCCGAGCCGTTGACGTGCAGAAGTGGAATCGTCACTGATTTGTCAGCAGGCGCTTCTGGTCTGTCTGGTCTGTCGTTTTCGTCATTCTCGTCATTCTCCTTCCTGTCGTTTTCCTTCTCGCCATTCTCCTTCTCTTCGTTCTCCTTCTCTTCAATCTCCTTCTCTTCATTCTCCCCTTCCTCCTCCTTCACTACCTCTTCCTCCTTCTTAAGCACCTGATAACCGCTCCGAACAAGCAGATCCATCAGAAACGGATCTGCTTCCTCTCCGCCCGTCGCCGCTGTCTCTTCGGCTGGCCTGCCTACGTCGATCGCCTCAAACAGATGCCGATGCTCCTCGCGTGCGCTCTTCGTCTGTCCAGCCAGAACCGACAGGTCCTCCTTTTCCTTGAAGAGGATGTCCAGCAGCTCGTTGAAGGCCTGCTGCATCACCTGGTACAAGATCTCCTGGCCGGCGTCCTTCTCGGCCCCGGGAATCTCCATGCCACCCCATCGTTCCGGCACGCTGCGCGATGACGTCGACTGGATCTCGTAGTCCTCCGTGTCCTCGGCAAACCGCACCTTGGACGATGACCGCGACCGCTGCGTCTTGGCGTTCCTGGCCTGCGCGTCCTGTTGCCGTTGCTGCTGCTGTTGCTGCTGCACAATCACGTCCTCTCCATCGTCCCAGTCCACCGGCGGCGTCGCGCCCTCCTCTTCGTCCAGGTAAAACTGCCGCCGGACCCACCGCTCGTGCAGGTTCTTCCGCGCTGCCAACGCTGCCTTCCGGGCCACTTCCTGCTGCGGCGTACGGCGCCGATGCTGTCGATGCTGTCGATGCTGTCGATGCTGTCGATGCTGTCGATGCTGTCGATGCTGCTGCCGCTCTTCTTGTGACGTGGCCACGCCGTCTGTGCTTGTCTGCGTCGCGCTGTCGCGACGTTCTGTGTTGCCTGCCTCATTGCCCTCCCCGTCGTCCTCGTCCTCGTCGTCACCCTCGCCGTCTCGGCTCGCATCCACGCTCTCCTCCTCGCCGTCCTCGGTCCCGTCATCTTCGGTGGCGACATAGATGCCGTCGGTGAGAGCGACCGAGTCGCGGCGGCCCAGCAGCAGCGCCGGCAGCTCCTGCACCGACGTCGGCGGGTTCATCAGCGCGTCCCAGTAGTTTGCGGCCGCAGACGTGTCCCGGCCATCGTCGCCGCCATGGTGATGGCTGTTACCGACCGAGGCGGACGCAAACAGCTGGTCGTCCATCAGATCGCCGCTGCCAAAGAACTCGGCGCGGGCAAAGAGACCCTCGAGGATGGCGTTGCGCGACACCGTGTCCGGACGGCTCTCGCTGACGACGTCGGGTGGAAAGCCGTCGCGGAGGACGACCTCGCCCGAGGCACGGTTGAGCAGCTTGCCGTCGAGAACGCGGCGCAAGTCGGCAGGCGGGACACGACCCTCGCGGCCAAACAGGCTGCTCAGCGGAGTGCGGCCAGCCACCAGCTGGTGAGTCTCGGGGGTGCTCATGGCCTGGTCGTCGAGGCCCTCGATGATGTCCTTGTGCATCTGCTTGTAGAGGACAAAGTAGGCGCGGAAGAAGCGAAGGAAATCGCGGCGGCTGACAAAGCCATCGCGGTCGGTGGGTCGTAGCCGTCAAAGATGCGGCGCAGCTTGTCCTTGCGCTTGCGGTACGAAAGCCCGTGCAGAAACTCGGAGAAGCCGATGAGGTCGTCGTTGTTGGTGTCGTAAAAGGCAAACATGCGGTCGTGGATCAGGTTTGGCACCGCCTGGCGATAGCCGCCCGACGGCACGAGACAGCGCTCAAACGTCCGGCGATCCATGGCGAGTCCGAGCTCATCAGGGTCCTCGCGCCACTCCGTGTTGGCCATGTACGTCCACTGCTCCCAAAAAGCCTCGAGCTCCTGCCGCTCGAAGCCGGTCTCGTGCGAGAGCCGTGCCATCAGGCCGCGCGGCAGTGACGGCGCGCAGTTGTCGGGATCGCCAGGATACCAGACCGGCTGCATCTGACGAGGGCCAAACGGCGGTGCCGGGATCTTGACCTTGTAGAAGATGTGCGTCTTGGTGTGTAGCCCCTGCGACTCGCACGTCTCGCAGAGGTCGAAATCGGCACAGTTGGCACAGCGGTAACGAATCCCACGGATCGGCACTATCCCACACGCGTTGCACGCACAGCCACGATGCACATACGCGCTGCGTCGAGCGTTGTCCTCCGACACCCGGAAGAGCAGACTGACAATGTTCTGGCCAGCCCGTTGCACTACTGCCTGCGTCATGTCGTCGAGCCAGCGCTCATCCACGCCGCCGTCGTCCACCACCGTCTCGGCCACGTCTACCCGCTCGTTCTCGTCCGCAAACGGCGCTGCCGTCTCGTCTGTCCGCCGGTGGTCCTCGCGACTGGTCCCGTGTGGTCGTCGCACCGCGTTTCGTCTGTGCAGTCCACCACTGCTGTTGCTGCTGCTGCGCTTGCCCCATCGCGTCTGCCGCAGGTGCTCCAGCAGTATCCCGATGCCGATCGACAGTGCTGCCGTCGCCGTGATGACCGCCACGGCCACGCGCGGTCGCATCATCAGCGTCGCCGCCGGCGAGCTCGACTGGTCCATGGCGAAGGGAAGTAAAAGACAAAAACGACCGGCTTAGCTGCTGCCCTCGCTTCTGGCCGGCATGGCGTCGCGTGTGCTCGGAAAGGATTGGACCGATCGACTGCAATCAACTCCGCAGCTACTCGTCTCGTTCGATGGGGCTGGGCACTGGCGGCTGACGGCTGGCGGCTGACGGCTGAGCTTCAATCCTACTGGGCTGGAAAATGATTCCACAGCAAATAAGGACAACGAGCAGTCGTCAAAAATCCACATCCCGATTATATAAACTAAAAGTGGGGCATCAAACCCCGGATGCGCTGATTTGCCGACAACGGCAGGAGCGGCGTTTGAATTGGACCGGGAAGTAGAACTTTCTCTACTCCGTACTTGGCCTTGCCTCAGACCTTGCAGTCCCCGTATACGAAGCATATAATCATAAAAGGGCCCCGGCTTCTCGCGCATCCACGCTGCGTTCACGACTCTCTCCGACACTCTCCCATCCTCAGCCGGCACGCTGTTTTTCTCATCTGCTCGACGCACCCTTCGAACGGGCGCCTCTGGTCTCTGGATTGCCGCTGCTGCAACAGTAACCCCCACCAAAAACACCCACGGCGACTTACAGAAGCTAGGCTCCCGCAAGATGCACAGCAAGGTTGTCGGTATGTGACATGAGCTCCATCCGTCGTAATGCTTCTCCAGACTGACCTCCCGCAGTTATCGGCTCTGGCCCCGCCGCCCACACGGCCGCCATCTATCTGGCCCGTGCCAATCTGAAGCGTGGGTGTTTTCTTTCTTTCTTTTTTTTCTCCCCTCCTTCTCCATCACTAACAAAACAGCGGTCCTGTATGAGGGCTTCATGGCCAACGGCGTCGCCGCCGGCGGCCAGCTGACCACCACCACCGAGATCGAGAACTTTCCCGGCTTTCCCAATGGAATCATGGGCAGCGAGCTGATGGAGAAGCTGCGCGCCCAGTCGGTGCACTTTGGCACCGAGGTCATTACCGAGACCGTCGCCACGCTCGACCTGTCTGCCAAGCCGTACCGCTACACGCTTGAGTGGACGCCCGACGAGATCCACACGGCCGATGCCGTCATCGTGGCCACCGGCGCCTCCGCCCGCCGTCTCGGCCTGCCCGGCGAGGAGAAGTACTGGCAGAACGGCGTCTCTGCCTGCGCTGTCTGTGATGGTGCTGTGCCCATCTTCCGTCAGAAGCCGCTCGTCGTCATCGGCGGCGGCGACTCGGCCGCTGAGGAGGCCATGTACCTTACCAAATATGCCAGTCACGTGACTGTCCTCGTCCGTCGCGACAAGCTCCGTGCCAGCGACATCATGGCCAAGCGCCTGCTGGCCCACAAGCAGGTCACCGTCCGCTGGAATTCGGGCGGCGTTGAGATCCAGGGCGACGGCAAGCTCATGACCCACTTGGTCGTCAGGGACCACAAGACCGGCGAGCTCGAGACTCTCCAGGCCAACGGTCTCTTCTATGCCATCGGCCACGACCCTGCCAACAGCCTTGTCAAGGGCCAGGTCGACACCGACGAGGACGGCTATATCATCACCAAGGCCGGTACCCCCCTCACCAGCAAATCTGGTGTCTTCGCCGCCGGCGACGTTCAGGACAAGCGCTACCGCCAGGCCATCACCAGCGCCGGCTCCGGCTGCATGGCTGCCCTCGAGGCCGAAAAGTACCTCGCTGATCTCGAGGCCGACGAGGCCGCCAAGGAGAGCAGCCTTTGAGTGCTGGCTGCTGTGTCTGACTGCTTCGAATTCAAAAGATAAACACCAAAAAACAAAACGTCATAACGGCAAAAAAAAAATCAAAGGTCTGCTTTTAGATAGCCAACATTAGACAGCTTCCGATAGATTAGACGTCCCGGTAGTCTGCATGTTTCCCGGATAAATTATGTGTAGCTCAGATCTCTGCTGTATATACTCTGCTTAGGATATTCAAAGTGTCCCATCAAGTTATCCCGCTCTTACTTGTGCCTGTTTACCGTCTTCTATCGGTCTTGTTTCTACCATCTAAAACGCCAATCCCTCCACATGTGTCTATCTACATCAGGCACTGCTCATCGCTTCCAACAGCGCCTTTGCCGTGTCCCGATCGCTCTCGCGCATCTCGCCACCGTCAGCGTCCCATGCCTGCTCAATCCAGTCGTGCTCGTCTTCGATCCCAGCTCCCTCTTCCTCCCGAGTGGGTATGTCCACTCCTGCTCCCTTCGCACTAACGCCTTCGGAAGTTGGGGCTGTGTCAATGGACTCAGTCGTCGATGAAACTGGTGGCGACATCTCTTCGTCCGACGATTGTAGCTGCGTGGCCACGCTCGGCGCAGAGAGGGCCGAGAAGCCCATGTCCATGTCCATCTCGATGAGGTCCATGTCGAGATCCATGTCGAGGTCCATACCCATGGCCACACCCATGCTCATCGCCAGGTGGTGGGGACTCATCAGGAACTCGGAAGAGTAGTCATCCCCCAGATTGTCGCCATTGGAGATGCTGTTACCCGTCATTCCATTGGCTTCACCAGCCACCATGGTCCTTCCCTCCATGCCAGCATTCATCATAGAACTTGTCTTAGTATATAAGTCGGGAGCAGCCGTGGCTGCAGCTGTAGGGTAGGAGAGGCCCGAAATGTCGCTGTGGAGGTTCACACGGTGCCCAGCGTCCAACATTGACGCATCCGCTGTTGAAGTTGGACCTTTGCCCACGCCGCTATCACTGCCAATCGGTGCGTTTGCATTAGCACCAAAGCCGCCGGAAAATAAGCTGCGCAGACCGACTGGAAAGTCGCGCTCCTCTGGAATCCGGTTCTTGCTCAGCGCCATGTCCATGGTAAGAGCCAAGCGGAGGTACCAGGACGGATTAGACGCCAGGATGTCTGTCCAGTCCGAGACATCGGCGCCCTTGCTGCTCGTCGCTTGTTGTGTTTGCCCGATTTTGTCGTTCTGGGCTAGCCCGCCGATCTCCGCCATGTTGACAACGTGTCGGATGGTCTCGCTGATCCAATCAACACCATCATACTGCGGCTGGTACGTCTTCATAGCCTCGATCAGGATGTTGAGTCGGTGCTGCTTCAGCGCTGAGCTGGCTGCACTGGCCGATTTCGCAGCTGCTGACTTCGTTGCCGATGCAGGCGCCGCAGCAGTAGCAGCAGCCGACGCCGCTGATGAGAGCTTAACATCAATGATATGCAGGAAGAGCGGCAGGGCCGTGCATGTGACGCTGAGAGAATGTTAGGACAGGTCATTCAACATATACTAGGGCTAACAGAAAGAGAGCTGGTAACAACATACGCGCTTATGGGTAGCCAACGGGCCAGGCGAAGCCGGATCAACTCTTTCAGGCATTCCGTCACTCCAGACGTGGCACCCTTGAGCTCGCGCCTGCTCTCGTAGAGGGGCGGAACGGCCATTGGATTGTCATGAATGCCACCAGGATTGTTAGCATTAGCCACGGCAACATGAAGCACTTCATGATGGCAGAGTGCTACACGAGTAGAGCTAAAGTCTTGTTAGCCGCCGGATGGTAGGATATCAGGAGCCATTTGACCACTCACTGATAGTACATGTACATCAAGTTGGTGTACAGGATGATAGAATCGTGACAGAACTCCCGACCCATGCCAGCACCAGCGGCAAGGCGCGTTGTGTTGCCTCCAGCTCGTCCGTTCGTAGCTCCACCGAACATGGGGAAATGGAGCATTGCATCTTTGTACCAGCGGCGCAGCTCGGCTTTGCATTGGCGCACGCGGCTGGCGTCACTCTCAGCCGTGAGACGGCCCCAACCGGGCGTGCCATCAAGTGGGAAGACAAGGGCCAGGATATCAGTCAGCACAACGCAGAGCTTGACCATGTGGACGAGAATCTCGTTTAGACACGACTTGGTGCCCGGGTTGTACACGGGACTGCGCTCGATCTCGTCAGCCAGATCGGCGCAGTTCAGCGGCGGGTTAGCATCAAAGTCAAAATGTGCGCGCGTGATATGTATGCTGCGACGCAAGCCCAAACCCAAGATGCGGTCGCGCAGGACACAGCACCACCACAGCCTCTTAAGTGCATTCGCACGCCCGGCATCGCGCGGTGCCGTCAGCGAGGCGTACCGATGCGCCTCGGCCAGCTTGGCGTGCTGGATGGCCGTACAGAGCCATGCCGTGTTAGGCGTCTTAGTTCCAGGTGAGCTTGACGGCGACCAGAAGCTGAGAAGGAGTGCTGCCTGGGCAACAGCTGCTGGCGACGTCTCTGTCTCGAAGTCAAACAGCAGCTTCGCCCGCCGATAAAAAGCAGCACGAGCTACCCTGATGGTAGGGAACCCCAACGCATGAATACTCTCGCGAGAAATAAACTGCTATGTTAAAACATGTTTTCTCGCTGTCGTCACGCTTCTCTCCAAGCCCCCACTTACATTACAAGTTGAGAAAAGCATGGCCTGAAACACAAGCAGCGACATGCCATGTGATGACACGCGGCCGGCACCTTGCTGGCAGTACAGGTCCCAAAAGTTACCCTCGTTGAACAGAGGCAGTAGTGGGTGCACGTGCGCGAAAAATACTGCTGCACGAACTCGTCCAGGATGGCTCTTGTTGGAACCCGCAGGCAGCTCTGCGTCTCTAGGTAGTTGACGTCCTGTGGCAGGACGCCTGACAGGTTGCTGATCGCCAGAAAGGGGTAGTAGGAGTACGTGATATCGGCAGTCATTCCCGGGCCTCTATTGCAGATGCTATGCTGGCTGGCCCAAAGCATACTTTCAGCACCTGTCGATGCATGCTGCTGATCCGGGCCGGCTCCGACACCGGCAGCTGCAGCACCAGATCCGCTAATGTCAGCACCGGTAGTTTTGTTGACCGGGCCCTGATCACTCTGTTCTTGCGGCTGGTTGTGGTGGTGTTTGGAGTTCTTGTGGGGCTCAGACCGGTGTACGTTTTCGTATGCTGACTCGCCCTTGCTATCATGGCTGTGTGCACCGCCCTTGGATGGCGAACGGCACCGCACGGAGCCATTTTCAGGCGAATGTGACTCGCTGTTCCCAGGTGCGGAAGTTTTCGAGGAAGTGTGTGACGTGTTTTGTGCATGATTGTGATGATGTTCATCATGTTGGCTTTCGTCGGCTTCGCACATATGCAAGTGTCCATGCTGCTCCAGGCTGGTTTCTTGGCCTGGTGACTGAGCAGCTTCGGTGTGCAGCTCACCAGCGGAAACAAAATCTGGTGGAAGACAAGAAGTCTGTGCATCATTCGTGCCGGAATTTGCTGCAGCAGAAGCTGTGGGTGATGGTAGGGCAGGCGTAAATATGTTTGCGATTGGTTTTTGGGCTTTTCGTCTATACCCAAAGATAGACAGTCAGCGAATTGGGACGTTGCACCCCAAATTGACAGTCATCGTTGGAGAACTTACAGCCTAGAAGCTCGGCCCGTGACCACACAACTCTCACTGTCGAGGTAACAGTTCATGCATGGCCGACCGCGCTGCGACACGTCACAGCGAACCTTTCGGGCCCGGCATGAGAGGCACGCTTTGGGGGCCCTCTTGCGGGCCTTGCTTGGATTGTCGGCACGCTTGACAGTGGTCATAGTCTGTACCTCTGTTGCCATCGTGTGAAGGGAAATTGGGGTTTGTGTGTGTGTGTGTTATGCAATGGAGAAAATGCTGTAAGCCCGTCGAGCTGGGCGGGTTTTGTGTTCGTGATAGCCAATTGCCCACGGTGACAAGTTGTATACTTTACCTGGCATGTAGGATCATGTTCGTGACTGGCATCAAGGGAGAAAACCGAGGGGGAATGTGTGAAAGAGAGAAAAGAGAACAGAGAAGCAAGGTCACAAGGAAAGTGAGTCGCCAGGGGAAAGCACTGGTGGGGCCGGCAAGTCTTGGGGGGCGGACATATGGGGTAAACTTGGGAAGGAGCGGGGGACGACATCGGGGGCCTTGCGGGTTTTCGGAGGCGATATGTGAACACGTTATGTTGTTTTACTAATAAATCAAGAAAGTGAGACGGCTACGAGTACGGAGTACGTAGATCTGGGGCATGGTCTAGCTAGAGACGGGAAAGCTTGGCGCCATATTATCCATTCGTCCAAGTAAGATACGCGTAGTAGATCAAGGAGCCTGCCAGAGACCAGCGATATCCAAAGGGTTTTATAGGCAGCGGAAAGGAAGCAAAATAACAGTAGTGCTAGATCTACAGAGGCAATTTAAGGGGGCTTCATCAAGACATAGCGACTCATCGCCATCCACGCGGTGTAAGCCTAGGCCAAAGGTAGAGAAGACACATGGAGCGCGACACCGGAATCGGAACCGGACAAGAGCACAGCAGGGAATTGCAAGCAGAGTGCAATTAACAATACAAAGCAGCCGTCGGGAAGCATGTGTCTCACCCGCGTTCAAAGATTGGAGGTCTCAGAGAACATATCGAGCCTCAAGCCTCATATAAAACGTCAAGACGTCCAGACACTATGAACAAGCCAGCTGCCGAGCTCAGCCGGCAGTCTTTCGGCATGGAGAAACGGAAGCAGCACTGTTTCCTGTTTTTTTTTTTGACACAGAGCACGTCCGCGGATGTTGCCAGCATCCGCAACAGCCGCAACAGCCGCAGGCCTTTTTCTGCGCGCCAATCGGCCAAGCGGGTGGCTGAACAGGCCAATATGTCAGGTGGTCGCCTATTTTTGACACATCCAAGAGCCAGGAACAAGCATAAGATAAGGATAGAAATAGAGAGCTGTCTGCGGACGAGTTTTCGTTGGTCGAAAGCCCCCAACTCCTAAACTGCCCTTTGAGAGTGCGAAGTTCCGCCATCCAAGCACTAAATAAATTTAGAAATAAAAAACTGGGGAGCCAATGCGGAGCCGCGGGGTAAAAGCCGCCAATCCACAGAGGCCGAAGCAAAGGAGCGCATCGTACTCGCGAATATGCATGCCTTATAGCTACTAATACCCCATACTCCATGGGTGATAAATACACGTTCCCTGCCCTTTATGAGGCCGACGCTAGCAACAAGAACAACGAGTAAACAACAGGCGAAATGAAAGCGCGCAATCCCGTTGCAGCTTATACCTGCCCCACCGACATCTTCTTCCTGGATTGCCCAAACGAAGACAATCCAAATGACGACACGATCCGCATGTCGCAAATCTTGCACACTTTGCTTGACAAAAGTTTCTTCCGATCGTGTTGTTGCCGTTGTTGAAGCGATGTGCCATGCTGCCCGCCGACGACCAGGCTCATTGAATAACAGGGGCGTCGCTTTATTGGGACATTGAAGGTACGGAGCAGTTCTGGCAAGGCTGGCTACTCAGCCTACCCCCGCGATCGGCGAGCAAGGTTGCCAATCCCAAACTTTCGACGGGTAACTCGCTGTTTAATAATGTGACCGTAGATTACAGCTTATTGCGTGTGGGATCGCCACATACAAGCTTTATAGATTTGTTACGCATGGCCTGTGGATTATCACACAGGTTTGCGTTCATGCCCCTCAACTATTCCTGTTCGCTGCCCTTCCCAAGCATGCACAGATGAGCGAGAAGCTCGCCGTCCGAATTATAGTCTCATACTGTGTATGGAAAGAAATGAGAGGAACAAGGTCTTGGACCTGACAAGCCAAATATCGACTGTACACTGCGTGAGACATGGGGACGTCGGATCTTTGGACGGAAAGAGCCGTATAGAGGTTGAGATACAGAGTCTTGTAGTCCCAGGTAATTAAAATCCATGCCTACCCTGCACCTCCCGAGACTTGTCGCACAAAAGACACGGTCATACATGTACGTTTTCCCCGAAATGATGTATGGTCGAAATCCTTAAAGTCTAGCACCCTGCCACCTCTACGGAGTACTCCGTACTACTACGGAGTATGTATGATGTCGATCTCGAGCCCCAACCCTGCGAAGCTTTCCGCCTTACAGCTCCATTTGGTGCCACTAGTAATGAGGAATGGGGCGTATAATCCAAAAGGGGCGAGCCAATAGGCACGAAGAAGGATAGTTCGGGCAAGAGCCACAAGCTTGCAGCTGCTGCCTGTTTGCACACACGAATCGCGTCTTGCACTTCCTGCACAGCGGTGAGGAAGGTATACCGGCAGTATGCGTCCGCGCCCAAAGCCCAGCATCCGCCGCCGGGAGTATGGTTACGGGAAGACGAGCACATGCACAAAGCAATATCGGCAGCCGTTAGCACCGGCCCGTGACATGGCCTGCAATGCCATTGGCTCGAAGTGCCGTCAATATATGTGCCCGAATACCACCCCATGCACCAAGGCGGGCTGGCAGCCTGGGACGAGAACAACAAAGCATACTCGCACGTGTACGAGCATGTGCCACCATGGTTCGAAGACATACCGTAAGTTGCAGGAGGTGTTTATTGGAGCCTGTCAGGCGAAACGTGTCCCCGTCATTGTCAGGCGTGCTGTTACTGCCCCACTGCTGGGAACTCAATGAAGTGGGCCGGTGGCCAGAACAGCTAACCGGCTCAGCAGCTCTTGCAACTGTTACGGCTGTTGCAGCAGCTGTCATGATGTGGACGCTTCGTGTTGTAACCGTTCGGACCCCAGTGCATCTGTCGGCTTCCTTCTTCATTGGGCCGGGGAGGGGGTGGCCGTGGATCCGTGGGTGAGAGGGGCGTCGGGATTGACAAATGGCTGTGGCAACGTAGTGGAACATATCTCCATCACGGCCGCTGTGAGATAGGAGATAGGGGTCAGCAGGGCGACGGACGAATAAGAGAGAAAAGGGAGTGAAAAAAGGGGGGGGGACAGAGAATAGGCGGTCATCGACACACCTTCTGGGCCGGGCCTTTGCCGATCGAACATGATTTCATTAATCGGCCTGGGCGATTGAGTGTAGGAAGACGGCCGCGAGTTGTGGGCTGATGGCTGGAGCGGTCCTCTGATTAGCTTCCGGTCGGGATTGCCGGTTTCGGTCGTGGGAGCCGGATGTGTGCTCTGTGGCGTGGTCGCGCGCGCCGACGCCATGCTGGACGGTGCTCTCCGTTGCCCGTTGCCCGGTGCTGTCATCGGGGTGGAAGGAAATTCAAGTCAAGGGGAAAGCCAGGGCCACGATTGGACGAGTGTTCGTGCTCGTACGTCGTAGCTCGAACCGGTCAGCGGGGAGGAGCTCCAGCGGGTAGATGGACCAGGAGAAAATGCAGAAATGAGTCACTGGATCCCAAGTCGAGCAAGAGCCAGCAGCGGGGCACAAGGGCCCGGTCAGAAAGCGGGGCTTCGCAGTAGCAGAGCGGACTCTGCAAGATGGGGCAGGCCAACGTTGCAGCAGAAAGCTGCAAGGTCAAGAGAGAAGAGGAAAGCTTTGTGCAGCTGGGAGTGGTGCTCTGGTCCGCAACGCCCATTGAGCCGACGGTGATTGGCAAACAGCTGGTCGATCAGTGCCGAGTCGCCACGGACATGCGACACTAGGCGTTACTATTGCAGAACTGCCTCGACCTTCTTGGACAGCTCAGACCTGCTCTTCTTGCCCTGGAGCAGAGGCAGCAAGGTCGATGCACAATGGGTGGACTCGTCACCCAAACGTGCTTAGCTGCACCAGACTGATACTTGGTAGCGGCTGCCCATTCAAAAGGGTGCCTAGGCCCCACTCATGCATGGTTTGCATGCTCTCGCTTTCCGTAGTTGGCCAATCAGGCTAGCCGTCTGCTGTGGAGACGGGTCATTGTGGTACTCACGGCCAATCAGGAGAGAGACTGGGGGCTAAGCACGCAAACTGCTGTACCCACATCTGTTCTTGGTGTGTTCTTTCCTAAGAACAGTGAAGGATTTTTTTTTTAGCCCGTCGCACTGCTCTTTCCCCCGCCCCCTCCGCCTTCGGGGCGGCCGTTCTTCCAATCCAACCTCTGACTCTTGACAATTGCGAAAAAGACTGACTCGAAGTGCCGTCCCGTTCGTGTTTTATTTTACTGTATTGTTTGACCTCTGCTGCTGTCTGCCGCTTGGTCGAAGCCAGACATCGAGGGCGAAACTGTCTGCGTCACCGAATGGGCACTGCCTTCAAGCTCAGACATCTGCAGCAGACAGAATCTCAGACGTGCTAACAATTGCGACCTCGTCCTGCTCTCCCGTTTCTTTTTGTCATCCCCCCCTCTCTTATACCATTACTCCACTCGCCCCCTCGGTCGGAGAGCGGCATTCCCTGTCTGTTCATGGATGGATCGCCACTCCTCGCAGCCGGCGGCGGTGCCTCTCTGAGCCCGACAAGCCCGGTGAGCGTCCGCAGCGTCATCAACATCAACGGCGTGAAGAGAAAGAGGAGCACGGGTGCGCCTGCGAGCGCTGGCTTCGACAGCAGTCCCGGGAGCGTGTTGAACGACGACGATAACGGCGACCCGTCCGAGAAGAAGCGGCAACCAGGCGTCAAGCGCGCATGCAACGAGTGCCGCCAGCAAAAGGTGAGTTTTGTCGTCTTCCGGCCGTCCGCCGGTATATTTCCGGCGCGTCGGCAGTACTCCGAATTACCTCCAGACCAGCTGCCCCCGTTGCTGTCGTCTGCTGTGCACACGCCCCCCCCCCCCCCCGATCTGACTGACCTTTCTCGTCCAGCTTCGATGCGACGTCAGCCAGGACCCCTTTCGCAGCTGCTCACGATGCAACCGGCTAAAGCTACAATGCAAGATCGAATCCAACTTCAAACGTATTGGCAAGCGGTCCAAACACGCCGAGATGGAGAAGGAGATTGAGAAGCTACGGCGAAGCGTCCAGCTCGCCCGGTCCCAGGGCTTCGTCATCGACGACGACGACGACGGCCCGTCCACGTCCCAGCTGCAGTCGCCCATCATCAACAGCGTATACACCCATACGCGCAACCCGTCGTTGATGGGCTCCGACGAGGCCGTCTCGTCATTGCTGCATCTCAAGCGCGGCGGCTCCTACAGCGTCCCGCGCATTGTGCGTGAGCTCGAAGAGGTCCGCCTGACCGAGGAAGGCGAGGCACAGCTGTTCCAGGACTTTTGGCTCTTCTACCACCCTTTCCTCCCCTTTCTCAATACCGCCTTGGCTCCAGAAGTGTACTACCAGCAGCATCCGCTGCTCTACTGGTCTATAGTCGCTGTGGCTGCCCGTCGATACGTCCCTGACCCGACTCTTCTCACAGCCATCTCCGTCCCGCTTAACACGCTCCTTTGGAAGACCATCGGCGAGGTGCCCGGCTCGCACTTTGTCGTCAAGGCCATGTGTCTCCTCTGCACATGGCCGCTGCCTACCAGCAACACCAGCTCTGACCCTACCCACATCCTCTGCGGTGTCATGATGAAGACTGCCACCGGCATCGGCCTCCACCGTCCGAATCACATCAACGACTTCACCCGCGTCGCCATCGAGCTGAACAAGGACCAGCTCCACGACCGTGTCGTCACCTGGGCCGTGTGCAATATCGTCGCCCAGAACGTCGCCACTGGCTACGGCCAGCCAGCCTCTTCGCTGTACGACTGGACGCTTGCCACCCGGTCCGGCGAGTCTGGGCCCTTCCAGCTGTCTGCCGAGCTGGAGGCCCGCCTGCAGATCGAGCGCTTTTGCGACAAGGTTTCTAAGGAGATGTACAGCAATGCCAGCGACTCCCGCGGCGTCGCTGGCGACGAGCACCGCTCCATGCTGATGCGCGTCTTCCGCCGCGAGTATAGCGAGCTCCATGCCGATATCATGTCGCGTGGCTTGTCCCACATCGTGTCGTTCCATCTCAAGGCCGCCGGGCTGCACCTGCGCCTGGCCGGCTTCTTCGATGCGAGCTCGACGCCTGGCTATCTCGACGACCTTATGGGGCTGTGGCGCTCCACCGTCAGCTTCTTGGAAGACATCATCAGCAACAGCACCGTCTCGTCACCGTCGTCACCACAAGAGCACATCGGTATTGATACGCTCAAATATGCATCAAACTACCTGCAGCAGATGCTGGTGGCCGCCGGCTTTGCCCTCCTCAAGCTGATGCGCTCGTTCTTTTCTCGTGCCATCGACTACGACCGCGGCCGGCGGCTCTTCCACCGGATCATCGGCGCTATCCGGTCCACCAGTGTGGTGCACAACGACCTCCAGTGGAGGCTAGCTGAGCTGATGGTGCAGATGTGGAATGGGGCCCGGCTAGAGACTCAGCCGGCTCGGGCGTACCTGGACGACGACAGCGCTGTCGAGATTGACGACACCTTGCAGCTGAAGGTGCGCTGTCGGCACAGCATGAGCCTTGTCTTCGACTCCATCTGGCACTGGCGAGAAGAGTACCAGGCCAGGGGTCGAGGCACTCTGGATGGTGGGTTTTGTCTTTTTCCCTTCGGCCCTTCGGGTCGCTCTGTTGTTATATACAGGACTAACGCAGCTCAGTTGCAGCTTTAAAACAGCCAACCAACCCAGACTCGGCGAACGAGTCAACAGCCTCGTCCACGCATATGGATGCCGGCATAATGGCCTCTAACCACGGTCTTCCAAGCCTTCCAACGTCAGTCTCAAATGGCGCGCTGGCCGCTGGCATTACTGCAGGGCTGGCTGGACATGGGCACAACGGTATGCTTGGAGGTGGAGTGTCGTATGACGCAAACCCAACTAGCTACGATTTCTTTGATCCTCAGCACTGGATGCTAGACAACCTTCTGGACTTCAACTACTCTTACGTGCCGCCCATGGAGGGTGCTTAGAGAGATGCTTGGGCTTCAGACAAAGCCAGCATTATACAGCCGACTCGCATCTAGCCTTTTTTTTCTATTTTTACGATAAGGCCTTTCTGTTTTTTTTTTCGCCACTGTGGCATTATTATGGCAAAAGCAATGTTTTGCTTTTATTGACATGTTTTCGTGCCGTTTCATGAAAGGCAGACACGGGAGGGATGAAGAAGCAAAGAAGAAAGGGGGTATTTGGTCCAGACTTCTGGCCAAAAATGGCGAACTATCACATACACGCGTCTACAAAACACAAGCAGATATGCCCATCATGACTACCCCTCTTGTACATTCTTTCCTGTCTCCTTCTCTCCCTCCCCCCTCCTCCCATCTTCTCTAACGCGCTTCAAGCCTACCAAAGGCAGAAAAAACATGCGTTTTCCGATTTACATCTTCCCCTCTACCCCTTTTCTCGTCCCGCCCCCCTTTCCTTTTTCTTTATACACTGGCTTGTCACAAAACGATATGTTCTTGGATTCGGGCGGTCTGGTGGAAGACGGTGCATAGGTTTGTTGCTATTTGGCGTTCAGGGTAGATGCTTCTGGCTGGAACTTTTCATGACTTTTTCTCAATCCTAATTCATCATTTTCAATTGCCCTATTATGAGCCTTTTATGCATCATCTCGTTTAGCCACATTCCTATGTTGATATACGACAGGAACAATCTTCGGATCTTCCAAAATCCAGTTATTACAAAAAAACGGTATGCAGTGGTTGTATCTTGCCCCAAAAGCCAACTGACACTCACTGCCGAAGTATGTTTGATCGTGCGGTAGCTTATGACAGCGCTATGTGTAAGGACCTTTGGCGGACCTTTGGCGGTGGCGATTCTGTCAGTGGCTCGCTTATTTCACGGATGCATCCCGAATGCGAGTATTTGCGTTGGTGTTACAAGTACGAACAATAAATACTAAGGGAGGGCTTCCGAAGCAATCCCAGTGGAAGTGAGGATCTGTTCTTTGAGCTCATTTAGAAGGCATATATTAATACACAGTTGTCACATCTACATCCACATCAAACAGTACTACATAAACATTCAGAGATCATCTCTTTGAAGATCAATGATGATTTTCAGCCCCACTAGGCAAGAGACAATGGAGGTGGTAGGAGCCCCTCTCCTATTAGTGATATAAATAGGAGAAAACAATCGAAATGAAGGTGTAAAGAACAAGCAGACTCCTCGTAGTAGGGACTGCACAGGGTTAGCTGTTTTTTGTGTCGTGCTCTCCCTTGCAACGAGATATAAATTTCTCTCACTGCGAATCGGGATTTTTGTAAATGCGATGAATGCGGGAAGAGAGGCAGAGCTGATTGTTGGCCGCAGAGACTGGCTCCTATCTCTGTCGCCTTCTCGTTGGATTTGCTATCCCTCACGGCGGGTGAGGAAGAGGATGGGCACTAAGTTCGGCATGGAAAATCGCTGGTCGAGGCATGATAGCCAAGCTGTAGTCCTCGTTGCCAAATTGCGTGTGCGTGATTGACAAATCGCCAATAGTATCTTACAAACCAATTCTAGATATTAGCCTACATACTATGCAGGCCTGTTCGCCGACCACATGAGTAAAGGGAAGGTAGCACGAGAGGCTAAGCCAAACAAGACCCGAGGTCCGGATAAGTCTGGGGTCATGTGGCGGGAGCCGGAGATGGTCTCCGGGGAATGCTCTAGTAACAAAGAAAAAAAAAACCGCCGGCGGCTTTTGCTTATTACCGCTGAGTGCCCGACCACATGCGCCAGCCAGGAAGATCAAGGAAAGATTCGGAGAGGCTGAAGAAAGGCCGTACAATATTGAAAGTTGTGGAACGTAACGGCGTTTCTCAATTCGATAGTCATGAAAGCGACCTGGCTTTTCTCTCGTTGTTTTTTTCCTCGATTTTTTTCCTTTTTTTTTGCCTCTCCCCACCCTTTGTTCTTGGCAAGACCCCGAAAACGGGAAACGGGGACGCCGAATTGCAGTCCTGTCGCTGGCCACCTTTGGTGTCCGTTCTGGCTACGAGCAGCAGCATAATACTTCGTACTCGTATGGAGCAGTCGCACTATTCTCATAGGGTGGTGGTGTGGAGCTCATATCTCCCCACTAAAATGGACCCTGCCTCATATGAGGTCAGGCATCCGGTCGAGATGCATTGGAGATGCGGGCTGTGCTGAGGACAAAAGTACGGCCTTATTTGCAAGTGCATGCGGGCGTTCTCTAAGAAAATTGACCTGCTGGGCGGCACGGTCAGAGAGACTCGCGATGCGAGCTTTTGAGCCTCTGAGCTTTCGACCGGTGTTGGCCCAAACATCCATTGCTGTCAAAGCTCTTGTCACTAGCCGAGACAACCTCACAACCCGCTGTCTGTTGCCTGTCAACCGCCGCGAGATGCGCTGTTGGGAGATTCTGGGGGACAAGGATCGTGGCAGCTGCCTGTTGGTTAGGCGTAGGGCGACGGCGGCGGTGGCGGTGATTCCCTGTCGAGACGCCTTGGCTTGGCGTCGTTGCAGGGAAGAAAACGTCCGTTCTCCCTCACGTCCAACAGGCGCGGTCGCTAACCCGCCAATCAGATGCAGGGATCACAGCACAGCCAGCGCAAGCTGGGAGGTAGCACAAAGTCAGGTCAAAAATAGGAAAGCGTGGATAGACAACGGGCTCTCGTGGTTTTTGGCAATTAGCCAGTTCTCCCACTTGCCTCTGGGCGCGGAATGCATTCCTCGTGACCCCTTCCTCTTTTAGTCCCTGGGATGGGCAAGGGGTGCGGGAAAACGTGGGAGATGCAAGGGAGAGAGGAGGCAGCCACGACCGGGCGCGCTCCCACGTTCTGCTCGAACGTCTTCTTTGTCCTGAAGCACCGATAGGAGGGAATTTCAGGAGCAGTAGGACATCTGGAGAACCAAAACATGACAGACAAAGAGATGACAGGCTTAGCGGCTCGGCTCCAAGCATTCCCCTGTGCGCTGCCTGGGCAGACTCTTGCTGTGCAGATTTTGCGAATCTACAGCGACGGGTCTGTCATTACATTGCGCGCACACACTAACTAGCATGGCTATGAGACTAGAGCAAGAGGTGGAGGAGGAGAAAGAAGAGCGAAAGCGAAAGAGAAAGAGAAAGAAAGGACAGAGGGGGTGTAAGGCTATAGAGCTTTGGAACTATTCCGACTGGATCAGCTGCGACCATTGGCTGCAGCACCGAGCGCAAACCAGCTCTGCGCCATCTACGAGTACGGCATAGCTGCATTGACCGTTCGGCCCGGGAGCAGAGAGAGAGACGATTCGTCGACGCAGTCTTTGGACTCGACGGTGAATTCCCCCTACGGCTCAAGTCGGAGCATCTTCACGGCCGTACTTGTACATCGTACGGCCGTGAAATGAGAGAGGACGCCGGCTGGCGATAGCGCTTGGGGATGGACGAGACGAGGACAGCCGCAGAAGTGTGTCCTCCGTACTCCGTGTCAATATCTGTCCAGTCGCTGTGATCGCAGTCAGCGTTCCAAGAAGGCCGGCTACTTCGGGCTTCACCACCACAGCTGAAACGGTGGACTGAGTGAGACACATACGGAAAGACCTGCGATCTCACGGCCTATCGCCACTTTGGGAGGCTAGCCTATCCCTCTGCTCTTCACCTTCTCCTTCTCCGTCACAATTTTGGCACCGGCAATGGGCAGATCCTCTTGGAGCTAGGTATGCAGAAGTGCCGTAGCTCGGCCATCGCCACACCTTGGCTGCCTAGCCGCTAGAAGGCCTACCATGTAAGCCTTCAGCTAGACGGGGAGGGAAGAAGGACGCCGGTGTTTCGAGCGTCACGGGGGCATCCCGGAGTCATGAGGACTCATCACCTAGGACGTCATGGGATCCCTATCCCCTCTCCGTACCATGTACGATGGTGCATTATTCCACTTGTCGTTATGTACAGTTCTTTTGCCCATCTAGACCAGCTCGATCACGTACATAGCGTCTGCCGTCATTTGCATCCCAAGTCTTCTGACAGTTGCTTGTCCAAGCGGTCTAGACCTTTCCTTGATCTGTTGTATCTTACTACTGCACCCATCGGCGCGCTAACTGATCGAATGTATTTCTGCTCATACCATAGCTCGATTGCATTTACGTTTCTTGTGGCGTCAGAGATATGGGAAAGCTAGGCGAGCTTGAGCCGAGAAAATTGTGCTGAAGGGCATGAAGATCCCTAGCGACACAGACAAAAAGGGAAGGGGTGTGCAAGCCTGAACCGAGGCAGAACACATCACTCAAGTACTACGTAACAGGCGAAGAAGAGATACAGTATACACGGAACGCATACGCGTACACGCAAATTGGAAGACCCCTCCTGGCCGTCCCTGGGGATATATTTGTTTATGCACATTTCGTATTCCCTGCCCTGGATTTCGGATACACAGGGCAACACCGCTCGGTCCCGAGTTGGCTGCCATCCGTATCGTACATGGTAGACGCAGGAGAAGGGGTTTTGGGAGAAACGGACAGCAGTTGGAAGAAAGGGGAGGGTGTGCGTGATTATTTCGACGTGTCAATGTAGACGGGAATAGGCAGGTAGAGGGTATTCTTGCCAATGGGCCCTGTAGGGTTGTATTCAAAAATGGTCATAGACGGATAAAGCAGCCCAACTTAAGGGGGTGGGGGAGCCAGCAGATCCCTGAGGCTTCCCCGATCCGTCTGACTAGTCAGCCCAATCTGTACGGCAGCCATACGTCGTAAAGTACTCAAAGAAGGGCGGCGTGCTCCACACCTTATCTGGCCGCTATGTGCGATGTGCGCACAAGCCCTACACAGGTACGAGTACTCCGTACAAGCGGCATACATGGCAATTAGTGTGAGTCTTGGCGCCACAATGCGTCTTTCCTAATGCAGGCCGTGAACATACAAGGATGGTCCTTGTTCATGGGCGTTCAGACCTAGGTGGCCGTTGACGAAAACAGAATACTCGTGCACCAGGACTCGCAGAGAAGGGCCGAGGGTTGCTTGGGCGCATGCAGATAAGCCTGCCGAACGG